TCAATTCATATTCGATTTAAATCACTAATTATTAGGTACTGAATCATAATATGTTGCCTTAAGAGCTATGGGAAAGTTATTTTGGGATTTAATTCAATCAAAATATTGATTAAGCAGGTATCAATTTGGCAGTGCAAGACTCCATCAAAATACTAAATAAAGGAGGAGCAGGATAAATAATAGCTTCAATATTTTCTTGTACAAATTGCTATTTTCAAAATATCCTTGCTCATCAAAGTGCAATCTTTGAAATTTAAACCTAAAATCAAGGAAATATAATATTAAATAATATAGCTGCATATAATATTGAAACTAATCTACAATCAATAAGCAGCACTGGTTGCATTGCAATATATTCACAAAATAGTATTTTAAATTTAAAAATAGTAGGAGGATATTTTGAAAACATCTTAAATAGAATGTCTTCAACAATCCTCACTATATAAACATCAGTTCAAGGAAATAAAATTAATTTGGATGATATCTAGATTATCAATTGCATCTCTTTGATGAATCAATTTTTTAACATTTAATTTAGCTCTTTAAGCTAGTAATCAAACATTGTAAATGTATAACATTTTAAGGCAATTTAAACAGAAGAATTCTGGATTAAATATTTTGACAAAATTGGAATTATATCTTAATCCGAAATATCAAATATAATTAGTAATACGAATGCTGTCATTGCAATTGATGGAGGGAGCATCTAAATAAGAAAATTTCTTATAGAGGGAATCTTTTTATCCCCAATTCTTAAATTTAATAATCTCGCTAAGTTGAAAATGAAAGAATGTTAGTTCTCATAAATTTAGCCTGTTTATCCGTTCAATCTAATATCAATTAGCTAAACAGAGAAGATTAAATCAATCATTTATTTAGATAGGGTTTAAATTATAAAACATTAAGCCTACTCAGTAAACTCCAGTGTTGTCTATTTTTTGAAATATATTGATATTCGTAACTAAGGATGCGTTTTAGAGAGCAATTTAATTAATCAAGAAGAAAAGATATATTTAAATGATTTTATCGAAAATGTAATAGAATTAGCTTAAAAATCTAGTTCTTTAGTGTAAATTTCATTGAATTCAATCGAAGATTCATTAATATTGTATAAGGTGGATATTCAAGATAATATTTGTAAATACTGTGATTATGGCATTATTTATTTATAAATAGAAAATTGCAATTTATTAAAGATTTAAGATTTTAATTGTGGTTTCAATATAATAAATGAATATGGATGCTTAAATATCGCTGCAAAAACTCAGATATATCCAAAAATTTAAATTAAAGATTCAAGTTTTATCAAAAATAAGGCTAGTATTGGAGCAGCAATAATGGCTTCAAATATGTTTCTAAAATTAGAAAATTCTTATATTCTTGGAAATTCGGTTACAATATCCGGAGGTGGAATTCATTTAATTGCAATCAATAGTGAACTACTCATAAAATAAACAATAATTTTATCTAATGAAGCAAGTGAAGGAGGAGGGATTTATTTGGAAGGAGATGGTAAATTAAACGATATAAATTTTGTTTCGTCGTATCTTCTTTTTAATAAAGCTACTTCTTATGGAAATAATCTAGTTGAAACTCCTAGCCACTTAGCACTTTTTATTAATGGCAAAGAAATGTAGTCGCAATCATACATTCAAAATAACACCTTAACTAATAGTATGAATCTCAAGCCCTATAATATTATTTAGTAAGGAAAAAATGAAAAATCAAATACCTTGATGCTTCCAAGCAATTAATAAATACTAAGTTATTTATTATATCAACCATAATCTCAAAGATACTTCACATATATCTCTGAATTTTCCTTGTTTTTTAAGAATAGCAGAAATGAATAACTTTTCAAAAAAGTCAATTCAACTTGTCGTGTAAGTTAATAGAAAATCTTAAAAGAAAAATAATAAAACCTTGAGTAACGAGAGCAAAAAGCCACAATAAAATATGATAATCAAAATAATAATATTGATATAAGTTTACTTTCATTTTCTTTGGATCCCTATTATGGCCTATATGACCACTTTCTTATTTATTTTAATTGTTAACCAGGAGATTCACAGAAAGAGTTTGGTTATGTCATCAAAACTAAAGGTTTTTTATGTTAATTAGGAGAATTTTATGTTGATAATGGATGTTAGATATGTTCGTCTAGTTAAGGATTTTATTCTGTCACTTACAATACAACAAAATGTTCTGTTTTTGACAAAACAAAATTTTTTAGCATAACTTCAAATAAAATATAACTTTTGGAAGGCTACTGGAGGCCTAATATGTTATCTGATTCGGTTGATTATTGTTTCAAGAATCCAAAGTTTTGTGAAGGTGGATGGAATACAGGCAATGAATTGTGTAATCTGGGGCATATTGGAGGTTTATGCGAAGAATGTGACACGTAAAATATTAGGGGAAATGGAAAATTTATTAAAACATCATAAGATCAGAGTTGCTTAAGTTGCTATGGAGATTAAGATAGCATACTCCCTTTCATATTGACAACAACTTGGTATGAGATAATCTTAATTTTAGGGCTTTACTATCTATTATATTATCATTGAAAAGCATAAACGCGTCAAATTAATTGTTTACATCTTTGAAACTTCGAGAAAGGCATTTTCAGATTATTTTTAAATTAAGTTAGGGTATAATATTATATTTTTATAATTAGATCATGAAAGTGTATTTCTAAAAATGCTTTTAAATTATCTGTGGATTTACTCTGTTATTTTCACTTTTAACATTAGCTTTTCATTTTCATTTATTTTTGTTGATCAAGCTAGTAACACATCTTATTTTATGGCTAATAATTTAGATTGTTATTTATCCGATATAGAGGAAATTTCTTTAATTTATTCAAGAATTATAACAATGCTTGTTTTAATGCTATTTCAATTCCTGCTGATTTAAATATTATCGTTAATTTATTTTTATCTATCTAAATCAGCGCCATAATAGTAATATAATTATGATACCATTTCGAATACATTAATTTACTTATATGTATCTAATTTTGGAGGATTAATTAAAATGTAATTAATTTATTAAAAATAGGTTGTGTTCAGTTATTTCAAAAAGAGAAATTTCGAATTTAAGTTTTATTTAAGGAGATGTTTCTTTAGAATTTTGGTCAACAACTCATTATAAATGGATGATTGCCTTTATTATTCCAGGACTAGGAATATTTTGCTTATTGATTCCTTTTTCTCTATTCGCACTAATGTATAGATTGAGAGACTAATTTCAATCTATGAAACTCAGAAGACACATTTCCTATTTATTTAATGAATATGATATTAAAAATTACTTTTGGGAATTAATCAAATTAACCAAAAAAACAATTATTATACTTGTTTTAACATATTTTGAAATTCAAATTTTGTTAAAGGCTTCCTTACTAGGTTTGTGTTTACTATTTTATCAATTGCTAGCTGTTGAATATAAACCATACAATATTTCAAAGCTTAATCACTTAGATTTATAAGCTGGTTAAATTTGCTCCATTACAATTTTCCTTGCTGCTGCTAAATATGTATGTGAGTAATAGAATAATTAAGTGTTATCTATTTAGCTATAAATAGTTATTATTATTCTCTGCATAATCTTGTGCTACCCTTTTTTAAAAGGCATTATATTGGCTTATAAGAAAAAATACTATGTTCTATTACTTGCCTCATTAAAGAATCTATTTAAGAAAATTAAATCAAAGTCAAAGTTAGCAAATCTATTTAAATAACTTTGGAAATAGCAATAATCTAAAGAATAAAGGCTGAAAAAGAATTTAATGAAATTGAAAAGCGTATCAAGATCTTCAATAAAAATGAGAAGGTAAAAATATGTATTAAATTAGATAAATTGTTTTAAATCTTAGGACAACTGCAGAATCTGATTATAATTCAAACTTAAAATCAGAAAAAATGTTAATTGCAATCAAATCTGAGATGTGGATGATTTCTTTAGTATAAAATATAATCTGCATAGATTAATTTTGTATTAATTCTTTATTTCTTTTAATTTGAAAAATTTATTTCACTCAAATTAACAACTATCTTGATATTCAAAAATACATAAATTATTTCTTTAGGAAAGATTTTTATATTTCTTAATTGTAAGTAATAAATCTCTCAAAAAATTGTCATATCCATCGAATTTTTCTGCATCTTTATGAATTTATGTTTATTAATGAAATTTATATTTGAATAATCTTAATATTACAATATTTAATATAAATTAATAATTGTTTAAATAATTTAGTGTATTTAATTATAATTAATAATCTTGAAAAAAAGCAGAAGTTACTTTTAGATCAGTAATAGAATAAATTAATTACTATTGTTTTATATTTCAGTCAGTGACTATAAATATGTATTTAATCAAGCTAAAATCAAGAGTGTAAACTCTAAATACTTTAATAATTCTAAATTAAACTTTAAGTTAAATAATGAAATTTAGTGTATTTCTATTTCGAATTCCCTTCATTTTAATAAAGAGAAATAAAAAGTTTATTAAAAGAAATAGAGTCTATGATGCAAGGAATGGATTTGATTTCACTTTCCTTCAATAAAATATATTTTATGAATTTCTAAATATTATATTAGAATGCCTCAAGAATTATACTAACTAGTGGATTTTTAGTTTAAATGTAGATATTTTCTTCGAAATATATTTTGTTTATACCTTTCTAGTAACGCTTAAATAAAATTATTGCATAATTAAATATTTTATGCTCTCTTAATTTTCTGAATTTTAATGTGAATTAATTATCAGAAAAGTGCTTTAAAAAATAGAAAGTTTTGGATTTACACTGTTGTCATTTTAATACTTTCAATCTTTCAGTTAATCAAAATATTATCTTGGGTTATTCAGTAATTTAATTTATCTAATTAATTAATCTACTTATCGAAAATAAAGAATTGAATTCTTCCTTTTAAGTTGTACTTAGAGATGAAATTTTGAGTGGAGTTGTTTATATAAATATAAAATTAAAATTAATTATGTAATTATAATAGTTGGAGAAAGCGCAAAAGCTTGGTATAAATAAATATCTCTGTATCGAGAAGAAAACGAAAAAAGAATATATTCTAACATTATAGGCATCTTCTGATTATGATGATAGAATCAGACAGCTCGATCATCAAAATTTTCTAATAATTGTGGATAGATGGTAAGAAAATGGAATGATGTGTATTATATAAAATAGTGAACCCTTGTAAACGATTAACGGAGGAGGTTGTTTTGGAGAATAAAAAATTTTATCCATAATTTTATAACTTGCTTAAGCACTAAACATTGCTGAGTTAAAGGGAATATAAGCAACAGTTACTCTCTAAAATTTGTTACTCGATGAATACAAAAATATTAAGGTTTGTTATTAATTCAATTAAGATCGATTTGTTATCATTAAATGCCACCCCATTAAATTTTGCTTCTCCAGAGGTTTTGAGAAAAGAATCCACTCATTCTGGAATTTGGAGTATTGGTATAATAGGATATTTCCTTGCAAACAATCGGATGCCTTTTAATGGTGACAATGACAAAGTTCTTGCATATAACATTATTTATAAAGATCCTCAACCCACAGATCAGAGCAAATTCCCTATTTTATCTCAAATAATAAAATTGATTTTAGTTAAAAACATTTAAAAAAGATATACGTACTAGTAACTCATCAGTTATTTAACTGATAAAGTACACCTTAGAGATACCCCTTCTAGTTTAATGATGAATTAATAATTCTCAAGAACAATTTCAAAAAAAGAAAAAAGTATCTGTTCTTTTAAAGAAAGCAAGATTGAAATAATAAATGAATCAGATTCCGAAAGGAACAACTAATCTTAGTTTTTAGAAATTAAGCCCGTTGTACCTTAAATTATAACATTAGATACAATAGAAAATATGCATTCGGTTCATAGACAATTAAAAAATAGACCCTAGTCTTCTGTTTAAAGAATAATTAAGGATGATTAAAAGGATTTGATGATTCGCTTATAAAGAATAAGACCCAATTCTGCTGTAGGATTTAGTGGAAAAGAATATATTTCAAAAAATATAAAATAAGAATTGAGCAATAGAAGGATAATTAAATCATCGGTGGAACCTTAAGTAACAACTAATACTTTCAGAAACAATTTTATGAAAAAGCAGTAATTTAAAGAGGTTTCTGTAGACCTAAAAGAGGCAAAATAAATAAAAAATGAACATGTGATAAGAGTTTATAATTTAGAATATTAAAATGAATAATAAATGGTTTCAAAAAGAATCCATAAACCCTTTTAGAAAGTTCTTCAAAATCCAAATACACCAAAATGTTTAAATCAAAAAGAAAAGGTGTTTTTTGATGAAATTTAAGATTGGAAATCCAAAATGCAATAAAATATGAAGTAATAATAAGTTAAAAAATCAGAACCTATGTTAAAATTAATATCATAAGATTGAATTATATTTATTAAGAACAGTTATAATTTTAAACTCATCACATTATATTTGTAATTAGAATGAATATATTTACTTAATTTTCTTATCTTTTTCAATTTATATGCACTTTACAGTATAAGTTTAAACTTCCTCAGAATAATCAAATTATTTTATTTTTATAAACGTTATAACCAAAGAGTTTGATGATGTTTTAAAAGAAATTTGCATGATTTATATTTATAAATAACATATCAATTACTTTCGAATAATTCAGTTTCCAACTCCATCACCAATTCAGTTGGAAGGAAATCTATTTCTTCTCCTACATCTTCTTGTATAGATTTATAAATGGGGGGTAAGTTTTCCAAAAAATAATAACCATTAGCCTTATCCATTTTTAGTATTAATCTCATTATTAATTTTTTATTTTCAACATATAGTGGTTCAAAGCTAACAACCTCTTTTGAATCAATTAGCTCTGCAATGTGGTATGTTAATTGTCCATATTTTTCCTTAAATTTTTATCCCTCTTCATCACATTAATCAGTGACTTCCAACATATATTTCAAATTTTCACCCTCCAAATAGTATTGTAAGCTTAATGGCATCTCTCCATATTGTTTAACTAAATCTAATTTATTTAAAACAGCTAAGTATGGCAATGATAAATTTGCAGATACAGTTACACTAACAAGACTTGCAGAGATAAATGTGTTCACTTAATAACAATTTAAACAATCAAATAATTGCACAGCCACCAATGATATTTATAATGTTGAATTGTTTTTGTTTGTCAATGATTATATTAGATTGTAAATTGAATCATTTGCTAAATACAATTCAATCTATCCTATTTTGACATTAATTAATACCTGGAAAATCAAAAATCAGATAATGATCTTGATACTTCAATAATTTATCAAAAAGCCACTTTATGTTATCCAATAAAAATTAGAAGCAATATAACAAAGCTGCATTAGGCCTTAATTACTATTTAAACATACCCTAGTTTAAACATTTTCATCACATCCTCAACAGTTATAAGCTCTAAAATATTGATGCATAGATAATCTTCATATGAATCTTCATTCGCTGGGTCCATATTAATTATGATGGATTTTCTTTATATTTATTCCATCATCTATAGCAATCCTTTACAAAGAGTGGATTTTCCAACACCACTTGGACCAATTATTATGCTGCCATAATAATAAGGAATCATAAAATAATTAATTATACTAAATTATAGTTCAAATTTAAGAAACTCAAATAATATTCATTATTATCCTCAAATGAGCTCATGGCAATAAGAATAATATGGATCAAGTATTCTTTAGGAAAATTAATCCTCTTTTAATTCAATAGATGATTATTTAATTTTCTTATCAAATTCATCTTCTAATTCACTATATGTTTCATTTTTTGGGTAATATTGAAATTTAAAATCCAGTTTTTCAAATTGTGGAAATTTATACAACTTAATTCGATTTAAGCAACCCTATTCAAATAGGACAAGTAGATTATTCCCCCACTTTGATATTGGAATAATGGTTTTGCATTTTTTTTCTTAAAATGTATTACCAATACATTATCTATCTCCATCTTAGTCAACAAACTAAAACTAACTACCAAGTTTACCTCTAGTCATCGCCACTTGAAATAGTCAATAAATTAATTACTGTAGATAAAGATCTGATCTCCATAAGATCCAGGTTATTTATAAGATGGAAGGGAAAAGGAACAACCGTCTTAAATTTTCTCAATATTTAGTGATAATGTATGTCTATGCTTAATTTGATCATGAAAAATAAAGAAAATACTCAATTAATTTGTTTCAAAAACACATATCAATTACTATTAATGATCATACCTTAACTTAGATTTGTTGTTAAATTTTTATTAATAGCTTAGATATGGGCTTAAGTTGTTAAATAGCTAAATTGAATCTTAAAAAAGAATCAATAAGTTGTAATTCTTTTAATAATGAACTTTTTCAAATGTAATTGGATCAATAGTATCTACCTACATAATTGAGTTCTATAAATGAGTTTAGGTGAGAATCAAATAATCTTAGTCTAGAAAATCAAATTTTATTAAATTGATTATTTCCAATTTCTTCTAAAAGATTATATCATCTTGTAATGAATAAATTAAGATCTCTTTTTCTGAGAAAACTGCTATTTCTTCTGACTTTTTTCCGAAAGTGATATTAACTACCTAAATTGGTACCTCAAGATAATAAATTGGAAGCAATGTATTTAAGGCAAATATATACAATTTATTGGACGAATCAATCATGGCAATAAAACTATCTGTATTCTAATTGATTTATACATTTCATAAAAATCAATATTGATTATTTTACACTTATCCTTTTTTGTTAGCTAAAAAGGCTCTGACATAATTTATGGTATAAATTACTTCATAAAATTATAATATAAATAATGTAATTATTTTTAGTATTGTATTAACAAATATTTTCTAGTCATCACCCATGCTGTTTGTGTGCAGCTTCACACATTTTGTGAGTAAAATCCTATGAAAACATAGTTAGTGCATTTATTATATGCTCTTAAGTTCCTTTTTTTTATTAAGAAGTCATTTATATTATTATACACTGCAATGGTTCTATTTGATTTCTCAATATATTTACAACTAATCATATATTTTGTAAAACTACTATGTTAATAAACTTTATTTGATATTATATATGTATTTGATTTTGTCAGCTTAAGCATTTTTTGTTTAGATCTTCTCAGTTGCTTTTAATTTTATCTAATGTCTCTTGAATATATTCAAAATCTTTTCAGAATTTATTATTTTTATAGTTTGTTTTAGTAAGTCCTGTGATATTTCTTATTTACATGACCTAATGATTAAACCTAAATTAGAGAACATAAATTGTTGAATTTATGTCAGTTAGAATAGCAAAAGGCCTTTTCAATAGAGTTGAAGTGTGAATTTTTATTATGTAAAGTTATTATTTAAATAATAATATTAATTTGAGAAAATGGGTCTTTGGGCATGGACACTAAACTAAATGTTAACACCAAAATTTTGGACTTTAGTGAGAAGAGAAGGTAATTATAACATAACTAATTAGGATTCTGGTAAACATACATCAGAATGCACAGAGCATAATCTAGATCCAGTCATTATGCTGGAGGATAGAATGGACCGATATAATGTGTAGGACAAGATTAATTTGGCAATAAATACTACGAAGATTTTGATGTCACACGTAAACAATTAATGGAATTCGATAGATCGTAATCAAAGAAGGTGGGTAGAATATAATGACTACTTTAATCCATGGCATACTCTTGGGGATAGAGTCCCTCCTATTTGGCATGGTTGGATGGCTCATGTATATGATGAAGCCCCAACTAGAACAGGTCATTCACATTTCGTTCAGCCATTCTACTAAAAGCCAGCTACAGACAATTAATCTCCTACTCCAAATCACTACTTTCCACAAGGAGCCATGTAGAGTTTGAATAGATTGGAATTCATGTAAAATGATATAACTATTGAATCTATTTAGAAAGTATCACAGAAATAGAAGAGCAGCTCCATTTGAACCAGGATAAGCCTCAGGATTTGAAGGAAAAAAACTAGTTGTTGAAAAATAAACATATTCAGAGGATGTAATGGCTAGCAGAGAATGATTTATTCAAAAGAATATTACAAAGTAATTAATTTTACAAATTATATTAAAATATTAATTTATGGATTAATAAGAAGAATAACAAATTAGCAGTGTTACTTTTAAAGAACTAGGTGTTTGTGAGGAATTAAGCTCAGCATGTGAAAAGTTAGGATATAAAATACCTACTCCAATTCAATAATAATCCCTACCCTATACACTATAAAAAGTAATACAATATTATTAATCTTTTAGAAAGACATTATTGGTTTGGCAGAGACTGGTTCTGGTAAAACCTTAGCTTTTGGACTCCCAATATTGCAGCATTTATTAGCAAATCCATAGCCTTATTATGCCTTAATATTATCTCCTACAAGAGAACTGTGTGTTTAAATTTAAGAACACTTCTAGGCCATTGGAGCTTCGATAGCATTAAAATCTGTAGTTATTTTGGGAGGAATGGATCCTCTAGCTTAAGCAAAGGCTTTAGCATAAAAGCCACACATCATTATTGGAACTCCTGGAAAGATTCTTTACCATCTAGAAAATACAAAAGGATTCAATCTAAAATAATTAAAATTCTTAGTTTTAGATGAGGCTGACAAATTGCTTAATATGGATTTTGAAAGAGAAATTAACGCAATTCTAGACATCATACCGAAAGAAAGAAATACTTATTTATTTTCAGCCACCATGACAAATAAGGTCAGTAAATTATAGAGAGCATCTCTTAAAGATCCAGTCAAAATTGAAGTGTCTTCAAAGTATTAGACTGTTTCCACACTTCAATAAAATTACCTATTCGTTCCTGATAAATACAAAGAAACCTATTTAGTTTACTTACTGAATGAATTAGCAGGATTAACTTCCATTGTATTTGTAGCAACCTGTTAAATGGCAATTAAGATAACCTTACTATTAAGAAATCTTGGATTTCAAGCTATTGCAATACATGGATAGATGAGTTAAGCCAAAAGATTGTCGTCCTTTAATAAATTCAAATCAAAGGAATCTAATTTATTAATTGCCACTGATGTTGCAAGTAGAGGTCTTGATATTCCATTTGTTGATTTGGTTCTTAATTTTGATATTCCCTAAAACGCAAAAGAGTATGTCCATAGAGTTGGTAGAACTGCAAGAGCAGGAAAATCTGGAAAAGCTATCAGTCTTGTAACTTAATATGATGTTGAAATGTACCAGAAGATAGAATAATTAATCGAAAAAGAGTTATCCCAATATCCTTTGGAGGAATCTGATGTAATGGTGTTTTACGAAAGAGTTTAAGAGGCTAATGTATTAAAATTAATATTATTTTATAGAGGATAGCAACTCAAGAATTAAAAGATTTATTGGAAAAAAAGGTAAAGAAAACCGCAGTTGATGAAGATGATTTGGATGATAGAAAGATAAAATAAATCAATAAAAAAATATAAAAGGATTCCAAATAAAAAAAGGGAGGTTTTAAGAAGAGATTTAAATTGGATGTTTGATTATATTGCTTTCATAATTTTATAATGTTAATTCAGTTCTTCGTTATTTGCTTTGAAAACACTAATGTTGCAAAACAATTTAGCTACATATTCTTAATTTATAAAAGTTAACAAGACCTATTTAAAGTGAGCCAATAAGTTTAGTTCTTAACGATACACTATAAAACAAGTAACCAATTCCATAAGATAAAATTAATTTAAATTATGCTTATTAATAAACCCTTAATATTTCTCAAAAATAAGGAAATATTAATTCTGAGCTTTATTTCAAAATTCTCACTACATTTTTACTAGAATTTTCAGTCTTAAATAGATGGGTTATAATAATTCTTGTTAACTCAGCATAGATAAATTAAAAAATATTGAATCTTAATAAAATTTTTTAATACTCAAAACTTTCTTATTTTTTTAATAATTTTTATTGGCATTCTTTAATTAAATATTTTTATATTTCGTTGTTATTTCAAGCAAAATTAAATTTAGAAAGCAAAACTCTTGATAAGAAAAGAATTATGAAAATTTATTTCTTCTATTTTAAAAGAACAAGAAATAAAAAATTTGACCACAGAGGGATTCGAACCCTCGCCCTTTCGGACTGCAGCCTGAATGCAGCGCCTTAGACCACTCGGCCATATGATCATGTATTAAGTACTTATTCAAATAGATGATTATAAATAATTTCACTTTCTAATTCTAATTTTTTGCATTATCTTGTCCGATTCGGATGGATCCCATTTTCTTAACACTAATTTTATTATATGTAATGGTAACCAACTAATCGTTACTAAAATCAAGACATTTATGATGAATTTCTAATCGATATCTGCTAAATTTATATAACTCTATAAAAAGATAATTGATCCTGCATAGACTACTAAAGTGAACATCTCAGCAATAAACATTACTAATCTAAAGTTATTTACTTCAGTGAAAACATTTAATAATTCCGCAACTATTAAACTACTAAATGTTACTGTCACCAAATCCAAAAATGTATTTTGAAACACAGCAAAGCTATAAACCATAATAACAGCAGCTAAATAATTGCATAACTAATTTACCTTAATAAACAGATTTAAATAACCAAAGCAAAAAGGTTTTCACTGTTAACTCTCGGCCTTTTAATAAGGCTTTATATAATTCTGTATATTCAAGAGCCTTTTCTTTTGTTACATCTTAATCAAAAATTAAACAAAACACAGGAAACATAGTGTAAACAGTGGCATATCCCAACATCAACCAACCATTATAAATGGGTATAGCAACGAAGTAAAATACAATGGAGAATATAGTTTATATTGATGCAATAACTAATCCTCTATGCATAACAAACTAAGCCATAACAGAAGTTCTCTTGTAAGCCAACCTACCATGCCATAACAATAAGACAGCTAAATGTTTAAATTTTAATATAGAAAAGTCACTGGCAAGTGCTGCTTATTTTCCCTCTTTGCCAACTATTCCAACTCCGACATCAGCAGCTTAAATCATAGCAACATCGTTTCCACCATCTCCTATTGACAGAACTGTCTTTTAAGTATGCTCTTTTATCAATTCAGTCACTTAAGCTTTTTATGTTGGTGAACATCTACAACAGACTACAGCAGGAGCATTACAAGCAACATGGAAAAATGCAGTGTGTTGAAACTCAAGAGCGATCTTTAAAGATTATCCGTCTATTACTAAAACGCTGTTGTTTTTTAAGGCAAATTAATTCAATTCATTTTGTAAGATTAAAGAATCTTCAATATCTTTAATTACAAACATTTCCTAAGTAGGGCTTTTCAATCCAGTTGAGATTGCTATACATTAAGCTGTTTCTACTTTATCTCCAGTCAACATCCAGATTTATATTCCTGCATTTTTTAATGATTCCAATGTTGCATAAATATCTTCCTAAAGCATATCTTCAACACCTGTTAAACCCAGCAATTCCATGTCATTCTCATAAAAGTCTAGCACTTTTGCACAACGAGCCTCTCTGTCTTCCATTTAATTCTTCGCTTTTTCAAATTCTGTAGTAAAATTTTTCAAATCATCCTCTGTCAAGTATTTTTAAGTAATCACCAAAGTTCTTAATCCCTCTCTACTTAAACTTTCGCATTCATCCATCAAAAATCCTCTCTAGACTTCAGGAACCTTCTGTTTCATTACTGAATCTGCTCCTTTTAAATAAAAGATGGCACCTTTTTATCCCTGCATTTGTAAAATAATACCCATTCTCTTTCTTTCTGATGTGAAAGGAAATTCGTATAATATTTTATATGACTCTGGTGTTCCTCCTGCATTTTGAATATTGATTTCTGTTAACTGTCTATTGACTAATTTGAATCCGACATCTTCTGCGAAATTAACCAAGGCAATTTCATCTGGGCTGCTTGCTTAAAAGGTTCTTTATCCTTCATCTTCTACAGGGGTAACGTTATGACATAATGATAACGCAGAAATTAAGTCTCTGACAATTTGATCCTTATTTCTTTTGAAAGGTTTAATTTTTCTTCCTCCAGACTCTTGATATTTCTTTAGTATATCTTCCATAGGAAATTTACTATTAGTGCAATGCTTTTTAATCATCTTCCTTAGCATGCCTAATGTTTCAACAGAGAAAGACATTCTCTCCAAAGATAGCTTTTTAAAAATCATTGTATTTTAAGTTAATGTTCCAGTTTTATCTGTTAAAACATAAGAAATTCTCCCTAATTCTTCTGGTATCGTACTATTTCTGGCAAGGGATCCTTCAATATCCTTATCGTTTGAAATTCCATAGGAAAAGTATAATTTGGAAAAATCTAGATTAACCCTTAAAGATATTGGAATAATTGAGCTTAGCAATAACACATGTCTAAATAATTGAAGCAACCATTCATTTTGAAATCCACTACTTAATACAATAGTGAATGCTGTACACACTAATAATACACAAAGTAATTTTGCCAATTAATTTAGTTCATCATCTAATCTTCCCATCTTAGTTCTAGGCTCTCTTGAATTTAAAGCAGATCTACACTCTTTTCCTGTATAAACCACCACAGCCTAGATCTTCCCTGAGGCCAAAAATGTATTGCACCAAAGTGTGTTCTCCAATGATAATGCTTCTCTCTAACCTTCTCCACCACCGACCTCTAATTTAAATAACCCTTTAAAATCGTATATGTCCAATTTAGGGGGTTCACAAGTGATTGATGCATTAAGAGTTGTTAGGTTTTTGTTTTACCCATAATTTTAAGTATGTCTGATAGCTTTTCTTAATTTCCAATCAGTTTCTCCATCCAATTAATCTGTTCTAATGAAAACTGTTCCTGTTACATCATTTGTGTGAAGTAATATTAAATCGGCAGGTATTCTTTAATTTGCATGAACCTCAATAATGTCTCCTACTTTTAACTGCCAACTTTAAAGTTGTATTGCTTTTTCCTTCCCAATTTAGGTATATTCTTGAGAATTAGCCTCTTTATCTCTTTTATACCTTTGAAAATCATCGTAGGCTTCTTTGAGTAATGTTAGGATCAATACGAATGCTAATGGAGCAACATAACTAAATAAAAACCCTACTTTTAGCAAAGGTACAAATTATGATAGTGTGATCAACAAGAAGATGAGGTTGAAAAAGTATTTAAACTACTGATAGAGCACCATAGGAACAAATGACAAAATGTTGTACTTTTGGTTTTTTACTATATTTGGCATATTATTTTAAGGATACACTTTACCATCTAAGTAAATGATTCTTTATTCCACTTCTTTGTCAGGTGGTTTGAGTAGATCATTAAACTAATTCTTAATTTTTTCGAAAAACCCTAATGTTTGGATTTAGGGTTCCGATGGTTCGATTAATTACTGCTTAAGAGGTTCCTGTCCATTAGTATCAAATCGCCAACCTTAAACAGCTTTATGATTGGTTCCAGCTAATTCAAACTCCATTGGGAAATTGAAATTTATTTTTATATTAATAAGAACTAGTTTTCCTATGTTTAACACTTCTTCTGGCTAACGAATTAGATATGTTAAGGAAGCATCTGGAGCAAAGTCAACTACGTAGAGTTTTAAATATAAATCTAAAGAATGCGATTTATCAGCAAATGATAGTACATCATCAGCACATCTCAAACCTTTGATTCAAGTGTATGATCTAATCAATAGTATTTAGCAAATAATCTTACAATTAACATTTTGCAACAGCCTTACCATTGCGTAAGTTGGCTAGTCCATAAAAATAAGCCCCTGTAGATGGAAGAATTGTTGAGAGAACATACTCATCAGTTAGAACCAGCAATTATGTAAAGCGTTCATCGGTGGCCCCAGAGAAGAGAGTAGAAAATAAAAGTGTGATTTATGAGAAAAGATCAATAAAAATGCCAATATGTCCTCCACCATCTACAAATGTGATTGAGGAGAAACTTGAAGATGATTAGATCTAAGGGTAAGGCAGTGAGATGCAGAGTCAGAAAAGAAGGAAGAGCATTACATTTTTTGAGTAAACAGTTAATACTAATTCATAATAAGACAATGAGGAAATTGTGGAGATGATGTCGAAATATTCAGAAACAGAATTGGTAAACTTAACTTTATATTTAGAAACAAGTATAAAATCTAAGAGTTATCATTAATGGACAATTTGATGAAAGAGAAATTTTTGTAGACATTAGTTCAATCCCTTATGAATGGAAATTGGAACAAATTGCCTAATAATTAAATGAGATCTATAAACAGTAATTTAATTAAAGTCTTCGCAATCCAGCCATTTCAGTACTCATAGGAAAGATTTAAACCAAGAAGTTAAGTAAAGATTTGAAAAAATATGAACTTGTTTTAATGTCTTTAAAAGGACAACTTAAAGAATCTTTGATAGTATTAGAAGATAGCTCTTGAAAATATAGTAATGCTTTAATTTTATAATTCAAACTTTAATTAAAGAGTCTTTTATTCACATTTATTCAATAGATCTGATTATAGAAGGTAGATCTATTTCCTTATTCAACCTTACAATTGAGCCATTCTGATTTTCAATTACTTAAATCCAATGTGGACATAATTTTATTAATTAATCAATATAAGTTTTTAATTAATTTTCATCTAATAGAAACTGTTTTAAACTATTAAGACTGTATTTCAGAACATTTGTTAAGAACATATTTGACACATCTCTAATCAGAAAATACTAATGAATTAAAGTGGAGAGAGCAATTAATTACTTTTTCGGTGCTGAAAGATCAGTATGAACAATTTCTAGTTTCTTTTTTTATTTCAATTTCTCTATTAAATTTTAACTGACTTTAGAATATGTAGGCTCTTTGGAAACTTGACTTTGAATTTCATGTTTCGAACTTTATTGTTAGATTTATTTTGTTAAGGTATCTGTGATTTACAGTTTCTCCTGTAGAATTTATTAAAATGGATTTTAAGGCAAAATAGCTAAACCAATTTCAACTCCATTTTTTTAAATATAGTCAAACATTAATTATTGAAACTAAATTAAACGCTCTCCCAACTAAACATGAGATTTTATATTTGTCTTTATCATCAAATCACTTCTAACTAATCTTATTAATTTTTCATTTAAAGACCAATTAACTTCATAAGCATTTGGAAATATTTCCAATATTTATTGTATAATCTATTAAGTGACTTTAATTTTAGAATTTTGGCTCAATAATTCTTAAATTGTGTTTAAGAATGGCGGTTTTTGTTGGCTTTAGAGAAATAAAAGCATTTCATCAATTTCTTTGAAAAAGTGACACAAACTGGAATATTTACTGTGCATAAGCATTTTATCGATAGAATTAATCAAATGAAGATTAGAGAACCGTTCCCTTAAGGGTGCTTAAGCCAAAATCGAAGACACACTTTCTACTTTTTAAGGAGTCTTTTCCTTCCTTTCACTTGATTTCTTCATTTACAGACTTTCAAAGTATTCCATTCCATTAAACGTTGACGAATCCTCATTTAATTGTGGTTTTTTGTCTATTGAATTAAATGCACTCTAATATTTGACTCTTCTTTTTGGTTCATATGTGTCTTCTGGTTCTTTGTAGTTATTATTTAGTTTTGCCATTTTAAGTACTAAATTTTAAATAGACATTACTTTATTATGGTCTTTTTGTTTCTTTTTAGGAATTAGTTTCCATCTAAAATAATTGTTAAATTTATTAAATTAAAATATTATTTTTAAGTCTTTCAATATGGGAAAAGGAAAATCTTTTGATTTTAGAGAAACTAATTTCAATTTAAGGAATTACCAAAAGAGGAATGTATGAAATTTCAAGTTGCGTGTAGAATATGAATTTTACATAAGCAGATGAAAGCATAATTTAGAGAAATTCGTGGCACATCTAGAAGTGTTTTATATTAATAAAATAAACAAACTGGAGTATCTCTTCAAATAGAATAAAGAAAGTGATACACAAATAATGAGATTACCTTAGCCTGATATTAAAATATTATTGTTAATATTAGTAAATTTGGGAATGAGAATTAAGACTATATTTAGCAGAACAAAAGAAACAATAAAAATGAATAAAGACAAGACAAACTTAAATTATTAGGAGAAAGGAGAAAAAGAGATAATTATACAATTTAGATAATAATTAAGGAAATAGCATTTATCAGAATAAATATTAAATTAATAAAGCTATATTAATTTAGTATAATAATAGGATTAAAAATATGAAGTTGTTGATTAATTTGAGACATTCCAAAAATAGCCAAGTTTTAGTTAATAGAAATAATTAATTATAACTAATAAATCAAATATATGGAAAAGTAAGTATAAATATTATCATATATATTAATTGATTAAGTAGAATAAGAAGCAAATTATAAGATATCAAAATGAGAGTACGTTATACAATTAGTATGTATTAAAATAGAATTTGTTAAAACAGAAATTTATTATCTGATCAAAAATTATCAAATATGCACTAATATTTATATGGCTAGCTCATTTAGTAAGTATCAAGGCTAAATTATCAATATTGGATAAAATAAGAATATTATTTCAACTACCTAAAAAAATAAATGTGAATGATGTTAGAAATAAAGAAGATAGTGGCTATAAATTCTATATGCAAGTAATTGTAAAACAATTTAATATCAAAAGAAGAAATATTTCCCTTTTGAAGTATTTAATTGATGTTTTCAAGACTGATTTAAGAAGTTGTGGATCCTCTTGAAGAAATGGGATTGATCTGACTGGCATGTTAATTGTAATTTATGCTAATAATTATATTTACATTATGCTTTGGATTCTATAAATAATATATTTTTCATTTAATTAAACTCATTAGATTCTTTACCTTCTCGATTTCAGTAAACAGCTCGTTAAATTATGCTAATGTTAATTCGAAATGAGTTGTTTCTTCTACCATGTTTTTATCGATTGTTTTGATTTTAAGTTAGAGGAAGCAATCACTATAATTTTCTTTAGAACTATTCGCAGTAGCAACTAAAATGATATTATGATTAAAACTTGAAAATCTCCATTCTACATCTAACATCTTCTTATTGGCAATGAATTCTTATACGCTCATAAATATTGTAATTAATTATAATTAAAATTATGTAAGTTTTAAGATTTGATTAGTTAGTTAACAGAAGTCCATAAATCGAGGAGCTTTGCAAATGTATGATTTGTTTGGAAATATTCATTGATCCAATGTGTTGTGAAAGTTGTGAAAATCATTTTTGTTAAACCTGTTTAACAACCTGGAGTTAGAACCAATCAGCGCGAAGTTGTCCCGTTTGCAATAAGCTAAAAGAAAAATAGGGGCAGCGCATTCTAAAGAATATGCTTAATGATCTTGATGTGTATTGTTGTTATAAATAAAATGGATGTTTAGGAATTTTGAAATATTCCGAGTACTTCTTTCACATTAAATCATGCCAGTTTAAATAAGTGAAATGTGAGTATGAAGGATGCAATATCGATATTCTTTTAAAAGATAAGGATCAGCACGATAATACTTGTCCCTTTAAACTTTTATAATGTAAATGGTGTTAATAAGAGATATGGAGAAAGCAACTAGAACAACATGAATTAAATGAGTGTTTACAGAGAAAAGTTCAATGCGGGAAATGCTCATCCGAAGTTCCTATACTAATGATGCAAAATCATGTAGATACTTGTCCAGAAAATATTGTAACATTATTACTTATTTTCTTTTCTAGTACAAATGCTAGTTATGCTTGTCTGATATAAAATTAAAAGATCTGGAATTGCACAACAAAAACGAATGTCCGTAGGTTATCATCAAATGTTCAGGATGTTAAGAACAACTTAAAAGAATTTCGATGATATTACACATGCAATCATGTTAATTCGTTGAAATCGAATGCGAGAATTGTCAACAATAGATATAGAGGAAGGATTTAAAAGATCATACCATTGCAAAATGTTTTAAAACCTTAAAATAGATCATAACAGATTAACAAAGATAGATAAAGGGCTTGTTTACTTTCTGTGAAGAACTTTCTTAATAAGTTAACTTATTATCGTAATTGTAATAATAAATTAAATTTTCCAAACATTTTAAGCATAAGGACATTGAGGTTATTAAGGATGGCAAAATTGCTCAATTAAATTTAAATGAAAATAAAAAATTCGATAGATTGATTGCTATTAAAAATTCAAAAAATAAACCCATTGAAATTGAATTTCTTCATATCTCAGATTTGAATGTTTGTGTTGGAATTACATAAAGATAAAATATATTCAATCCCAAAGATTATTCAAAACATAATCATTAATCTTATTTATTTTGCGCAAATGGCATAGTATATATTGATGAAAACAAGGAAGAGAACGGGAAAAAAAAAAATTTTGGTTTCGTTATTGGCCAAAAATTAGAATTGGTTTACAATGATCAATTCGTAAGCATTAAAAATTGCACTACTTAGTAATATCTTAAATATAATATTTCTTATGAATACTTTGATAAAGATGACATTGAACTTTATCCTGTTCTTTGTTTAAGAAGTAATTTTGATAAAGCTCGTATAGTAAATTGAAATTTATCAATATATATCTAAGATAATAACATATAAACTCATAATTATTAATCTTCGTCATCTTCATCTTCTTAAAACTCCATTTGATTATATTTGTTAACGTTCGGATTTTAACTTTTCTCCCCTTATGTTTATACTCTTCTTAATATCGCGTAGCCTATTAGAATCATTACAGCCAGCAAAGCAAGTATTATTAAATATGAAATGATGTCATTCAAATTCAAGGATGTTGGACATTATGTTTCTATTGGTCCTAAATCTAAACTTTTTTAATTATACAATAATTTACCCTCCTACACATTGAGTTAATTTGATATATCCTTAAGTTTTGAAAAATGTTTTTCCAGGTTCACAATAGTCAGAAATATTAACAATAGGCAAGCAATCACCTCCCTCTAATTTATTAATATAACCTTGGGCACATATCCAGTCTTCTCTTTTACATGGACAAGGTTCAATTATTCTTTTGGTTATCATCTATTTAGGATTAAAACACTCTGAGTTTTCTTTTTTCCTATAGTACTTCGTTTAAGACCCATCAATGCATTTAGAATTCCAGATGTCATAATCTATATTTGATTTACATTCTCTTGAAAAGATATCGCTAAAGTCTAATTTTAAAATAATGCCTTCTCCTTTATCAGTTTTACCATAGATCAGGAAATATTTAACAGTTCCAGATGCTTCAGTAACTAAATTTTATGCCATGAATAGATCGTCATAAATAACTTTTGTTTTCCACGTTTTTCCATAATCAATGGAATATATAATTTCATTAGTGGGTTCATAATCTTTGGCCATAACAATGACTCCTCCGAAATCAGCTATTTCAAAGACATGAGATCCTTTCCTAACTTCAATCCAATTCTATCCTCCGTCTGCTGACATGTAAGTATTTTATTCTGATGATATAATTAATCCAACATTTCCAACACCCAAGACAATGCCAGGTGCTTGATCTACTGTATAAATGGTCTATCTATAAGATTCAGTTCTTCCAACAAAGTGCAAAGAGCATTCTCCTCCACATTCTATGATATTCCCTCCTCTGAGTCATATTTTGGAGCCTTAATGGATTCCCATTTCTTTCCTCCATTAAAACTTATCACTGTTGATTTATCCATCTAATCTCTTTAATCATATGTATTAGCTACATAAGTTGAGGTTAATCCCAATAGTTTTTCAAAATCACAATTTCCATCTTAGGTTGATCTAACATTATTAGTTAAGACAATTTAAAAATCTTGTCCAATTTGATTACTGATATACACATTAGTTACTGATTGCTCTTATTGATAATGGGAGACAGATAAGTATATTCTGCCGTTTTCAGTGTCTAAGACAGTATAGGAATATTCTTTTAAAATTTATAATGGTAACTCCACCAATTTCTCTTAGAATTCTTCAAGTTTTGAATGACCATAATGCAATTCATATCCTCCATTACTGGAAGAGGTCAGAACAAAAAGATATTTTGAGGTTTAATAGTACCCTTGGGCACCAATCATCAAAGTATGATAATTAGTAAAATCATCAGAGTAGATCAATTATATTTGATTTTCATGTGAAAATAATAGAATAGACCTTTCATCTGGAACAGTAATGTCTTCTATGATCTTATCCCAGGAGGCCTCTCTGCAATTCTTAAATGAAGGTAACCAAGTTCTTTGCTCCGTCTTCGGAATAAAACAATTAATTATTATATGGTTCTCTGCAATCCATGTCTGAATGATCACATTATTATTTTTTAAAAGCTATCATCCATTTTCCAATTCATTTTATTTAATCTAAATCCATAAAAGCCCTCAGTGTCGATTTCCTCGAAATTTTCACCACAATCATTTGTTCTATAGCTTTTTTAACCATGTTGTCCAAATAAAAAAATGACACGTGAATCTGCAGGTGAAATCTAAATATCTTCGAATAAACCCTCAATTTGATTCCATACAGTTCCATTGCTTTGATATATTTGGTGAGCTTCAGTAATAAAAAATATTGTCTTTTCTTCTTCCAAACCTTAAAATTGAGGTATGGTTTCATCTTCTCTGGTGTAAATAATGGAAGCTCCACACCATGATATTTATGTAATAGGCCTTTCTACAATAATGGCGTAGGTGAATACAAGTAGAAAAGGTAAGAAACGAATATCAAACATAATCGTGTTTAATTTTAATAATTATAATTCAACAACATTGTGAACTTTTTTTATTTGTATTTCCAATTACCTAAGTGGATGAAATCTATCCTATTTTCATATTCTAGGCTGATTCTGTTTTTATAGAATTTTAGCTTTTTTCTAGAACATTTTTTGCAATTGTCAAAAAGGACTATTCAATATTGGTTGACAATTTGGCTGATGTTTCTATAAATTGCAATTTCAGTTGTTTAGCTTAAATTCTTAAAATCATGTACCCAAAGCTTCGCCTTCCTCATATGAGACAGCCCTTTTGTCGTCCACATCACACTTGTTTCCGACTAGCATTCTTATCACATCTTCTTGAGCATACCTATGTGTAATTCCATGAGTATACTTATCAATTTCAGACATCCACATTTTTACAGAGTCAAATGATTCTCTGTCTGTTATATCATAAACAATGATTATCCCATGTGCTCCACTATTTTCAACATATTCTTTACCGATAATAACTACATGTGATTGTTCTGAATCTGTCTTAACCTGCAGTATCCCACTAAGAATTTGAAATATATTATTACAATCTACAATTTGATGTTTTTATTCTCTAAGAATATCGATTTGATTTTCTACTCGTTAAAATAATAGATTACAAAGTCCACTCCAATTGTGTTATAAAAATTGTTTGTAAAATTATTATCGACGTATCTCATCAACATACAGGATTTCCCAACTCCACTAGTTCCTATGAGTAACAATTTAAATAAGTGATCACTAATCTTAGTCAATAATTATACTATTCAGTGCTTTCTTTATTTTGCATTTCTTTAGGTTTATTCAGAAAATTTAATTTTAAAAAAATAATACAATTATAATTAATAATATTCCTTATATTAATATTTATGTTGTTATAATACTGTTCTTTCACCATTTTATCATCTCTCTCTTCAATTAGTTGAATAATCCAAAAGGAATTAATTATTTAAAATTCTAATTTACATTTAAATTTTTACTTCATAGCTTTCTTCCCTAATTCTGAAAATCTCCTCGATTACTGTGAGCAACATGAAGAAGTCTCCGAGAATCTCTGGCTGTTTCTATAGTTCTTTCGATTGCAACATAAAGAAGATAGTTGATTTTATGTAAAATCTAATTAATTATCATACTCTCTACCCTAAATAAGAAACAAATAGAGATGAATGCAATTGATTAAATTGATTCAAAAATCCAACTATTCCCATCAATAAGCAATTTGGTTCAAACTACAATTGATTATCCTTAGCCTTCTTTACAAGGCAATTCAATTTTTTATCAAAATCCATCAATGGTAATTAATGCAATATCACTAAAGCTAAAATCAATGGCGTGTGTCTAATGCTACTTAATAAATAAATACTCAGGCATTTCACATAAAGCATATATCTTTCTAATAGGATCTGATAATCCAACATAATTGAAGAGCTTTGTTAGGTCAAACAATAGATTATTTTCCATTTGAGTCTTAACATCTGATTCCATGGTTGAATCGTACTATCGATTGATAAAATCGTTAATTATTGTGTTGTTTAAGGTTTCTAAACATAAGAATAATTTGGTTGATCCTACTTTAGCCTTCATTTACAGCACTAAACAAATAAGTTTCCTTAAATTTATGTATTATCCAATCTACTACAAAGGATAGAGGATTTTAGAAATAAGAGGTCTAAATTACTTAGCCAGTTATTTGTACACCTTATCATAGTTTTCGTCATAATTTGTGAATAATCTGACTTATTTAATTAGAGTATCAATAATATTCCTATTTTCTTGGTTTAACTCTTATTTCAATATTCTCACAATATCCTTAACTGCCTTCGATAAATGTTAACTAAGAAGCAAATCAATTCCATTTAATCCACTAACACCTATACATTTCAATATTAAACCAATGGTTTTTAGATTCAATATATCTTTTCCATTGCTATCATAGAAGCCTAGAGTTGATTCTACAAATACTACTTCCCTTGGATTAGTGATCAAAATGATTTAGTTTAATAATCTACCAATAAAGTTGATGGCACCATATTACTTACTTTTATCGTCTGGCATAGGGATGTCTTCATCATAACTCAGTTCTTCATACTCTTTATTTCCAGTAATCAAACCCTTAAGTTCCATTGAAGTGTAACATTCTATCAATCTATTAAATTCTTCAGTAAACATCTTTAATCCTTAAGCATTAACAAAATCTTGAATTTGTTCCATTGCTAATTTGAAACCATTAATTTCCTCACCTAATTTAGATAGTTTAGTTTGGAAATCTTAAATATCCTTTTTGGGAAATATCAATTAAGAATCAAGAATTTTATGAATCAAAGCCATTAATTCTTTCCTAATACCTTGATCAAGCATTTCTCTGGGATTGACTTCGATGGAACCTAACAAGTAAGGATCAACTGTTAAAATGGATTCTGTAAAGACAGAAATTGAATTAGTTAATTTGGCAATTTGAGTTCTATCTTCATATTAAGCATAATCCTTCAATTCTATTTTATTAATCCTAGAAGGAAGTGGTTTCAATACTGATGTGATTAATGTGATGATATCCTAAAGTACTTCGAATACTTATATAGGTATGATCTAAAGAACCTCTTTTACAAATTTAACAAGTTCCCCAGAATAGTATTTTGTGACACTATTTAAATCTGGACTTCCAGCTTAGATAATACGAATAGTAGGAGTATTCAAAATAGAAGACAACTTCTAAAAAGTAGTTTTTAGACTTAAAGCAGAATGTGGATTACTCTACACTTTGGCTTACATCAATTCTTTGTATCCTTTTAAGCATTACCATGAGTAACTGAAATCTGAAATATATGAAATGTGTGAAGGCAGCGTGCTTTTAATATGAACTATTTTGACCATATGTGTTAAATCCTTCCTGGTTTCATTCAAATAATGTTTAACTTATATAGATGTAGAAATTTGAGGATATTATTCGATATCTTCTAATGCTTGAATTAATCTTTGAATTTTCCTTCCTGCATGAGTACTATCACTGTAATTTAAGGATTATATTTAACTGCCCATTTCAGTAAACCATTACATATATGATTCGTCAGCTTTCACTTTTCCTAAAGCCTTTCCACTAAAATAATCAGATAACTCTTGCATTCTCTCAACGCATTTGACTTTATCCTCATCCCAATATTGTTGTTTATTATCAATGATTGCCTTTATTGCTTTCAATAAACGATTTTCAAATTTTGAACTCTGTAATAGTAACTACAAAACTTCTTATTTGTCAATCTTATTTAATAACTCCTTTGCCTTTGGAATGCTAGTGTTAGAATGAAGTAAAATCCATCGAATAGCTATATTACTTTCTCTAACACAATTCATTAAAGATGATATCTTGTCCAGAACAAATTCTTATGTCATTTATCCTTCGTAAAGATACTCTTAAACTTTATTTATCTATTCGGTAAGTTTATTGCGATAAAATGTTCCTAATTCTTAGATATAATCAAAATTAATTGTATTCTTAATTGCCTCTCTAGCTGCACCATATGGATTCCATTATTCAGATAAATCGACAAAGTAACCCAAATAGAACGATATCACCCATTAATCATAGAAATGCTTGTCAACTATTTCTCTCATTTTTGCCTAATTTATGATAATGTTTTGATACCTTCTTATTATTTAAAATAGTCGGAGTGAAATACAACAACACATACAACATTGAGCCTTAGACTGATAATGCGATTGATCTATGATCAGCCGATGGATAAATGCTAGTGTATTTGTAAATATCCTCATCTTTGATAGAATTGATCACTTCTGTTATGAGTTTCTCTGGCAATTAGAATCTGGCCATGTATTCTTCAGGATAAAAGGCAGGTCGAGTGCCACTTTTTGAATACCCAGTTTCTGCACACAATTTGGTTACTTCATTGATAAACTCAATTGCGGTTTAACCACCCTTGTATCTGTAGTAGGAAATGATTAGCTTTTCTCTTGCCTTTCCGGGAATCAAAATATCCACCAATAATAGCATACATCCATATAAATAAAATGATTCCGCAAATAATCTTTTCCCTTCTGGATCCTACAAAACAGTCTCAACAGAATATTGCATAAAAACAGCTTCCTCCAATTCCTATATAAATGCCATCAAGTCGGAATAATACAAATAAATGCTTTCAAATAATCTATAAAATCTTTCTACTAATGGTAAATAAGATTTCTTAAAGTTTTCGTCCAATTCATTGATTTCCTACTTTAGATTATATCATACTTAGTTTCTTTGGATCTCATCCTCGAGAACATCGATGTTTTTCAAGTATTCAAAGTCAAATAAGATTTTCTCATATTTTTTATATTCTTAAGCTTTGCTAGTAATAATCTTGGGAATATTTTCTGAGAGTCTCTATATTTCAGCTAAAATGGCACTTCCTCTTGCAACCAGAATCAAAAGACTTTGTCCACATGCATTGTCAGGTGATAAGAAATCCATTTATAAATAATTATATGTTTAATCTCATGTATGTAATTACTTAAATTCATAACTTAATATAATCTATGACATTTATCAATGATATCATTACCCATTTCAATAATTGCTTCAATTACCAATTTCCTCATTTTGTTTCTTATTTTATATACAATCACATTTACAAAATATTATTTATTCTATGTTGATATAGATTTTAAATCTCCTTTGTGAAAAATCGATGAAAGAATAGAATGTTAAGAATGAAATTAAGAATAAGAAAACATGCACCAGTTTTAACGTCTAGGGACTGAGAGATGTAAGAAATGAATTATTGATACAATATTAACAATATAAGTATCCCCCCAAAGCAAATCAATTCATCATTCGACTTACATGACAAATCATCTAAAACCTCCTGAAATCTATACAATATTTTTATTCTTTTTCTTTATTTAGGCAACCTCTTTCATTTATGTATTTTTTTTCTAATAAATAAATTTTAATATTACTGGTATTATAGGATTACTATCCCATTCACTTTCTTCATTTTGTTTAGCCGATTTATAATCAGCTAGAGGAACAAAATCATCATCTTAAAACTGTCCGTTATTAGATTTAACATTTTTTGAAGGAGCTTAAGCTAAAATATATTAATCAATTAATACTAGTGTTGGAAGTCAGACTGGGGAATTAATCTTCAATTGCAGCTTGATTTTAAAAAATGGCTGCTCCACTATTCTACCACTTTCCAATTGCTTGGCTCTGTTATTGTCGTTGTTTTGATTTCTTTACTTATTATTACTATTGCTGGGGTTCATTTTATTTGACATAAAATTGCTACTCTAATTTTTATTCCTATTTTTATGCTTTAGCTATGAAAATTACAATAATAATTACGTAATGAAGGAAAATCAGCTGGATTCATTTCAATTCCATTTCTATTCAGCTAATTTTATTTCTATAATAAGTTTTGTCTGTTAAGATCACTATTATCTGGTTTCTTTATCAAACTAAACAGTTTTTTATTGTTCTGGAAGAATTCATAGTAAACACATTCATTGAGATCTTTTTTTTCTTTGTGAATTTGTTCTCCTCTTAAAATCTTCATACTCAAATTTACATAAAGATAAAATGGAACTAAATCGTGATTTGATATGGCAGATATGTGTTCTAATTGATAAATAATGAAATTTTTTACATTAAATTTTTGAAATATCATCTAAAAGAATTTTATGTTTGATTTGTTCTAACACTTATGTGCTGAGACCAAAGTTCAAAGCAAATTTGAATTTTCCCATTTCAGATGTCTTAACATGTCTCAAAACCTCAATCAATTAAAAGATTCTTTCTTTGGGCATGATGGTATCTTAATACTAAACCAAATCTCCATCTTCAATTCTTTTGATTAAATTTTTGTTTAATTCTTCCAATAATTTAATAAATAATTCTGAATATGTTTTACAGACAATAATGATTGGATTATTTCTTCTTGGCAATGCTTTTAACTACTTTATGTAAGCATCATCTAAAATTTTCGAAAATTGATCTTTCACATCTTTCATAGCCATATAAAATGTAATTAATCTTAATCCTGTTTTAGGTTCGAACATTTGAATGAAGCTATTTACGTAATGTTCTGCGCTCATTTTATCTGTTTCAAATAGTTGAATTAATTTTCTTAGTGATTCTTCTTTATTTTTCTAGCCTTTAAAGAATTATGAGCATTTTGCCATAAAAGATTGGAACTTCATATGAGGAAGTGTATATGGCTTAATTAATTGCAAATCCTCTAAAAAAATATTTTATTATGAATGCATTTTTTCACTCTAATCACTAAGTTTGTCTTAATCGTCATTATAGTCCACATACAAGTATTCTCTAAAATCAATATTCTCATCTTTGTGTTGATCAATTTAAGTCACAGCCCTTAATTTAGTTTGTTCAAGTGATATGAATTGATCTGTGAAATCTTCTCCTTCTTTATCATTGAGTTATTTTTTCTATTTAGGATCTTCATAGAATCCTGCTATTTGCTACACATTTAGGTTGGACATCTTTTTAATTCTAGGATCATTGCAATGACTCTGTTTATGCATATCTAATTCACATTAATTTTTGAACACGACTAACATTTGTTTACATTCTGGTTCCTCACACAAAAAATGTGACAGCTTCAAATGTCTTTCATAACTTCCATGATCTTTATAGAAAGTGAATTTCATGTCTTCACATAAACTGCAATTAATGTGAGCAAGATTTAAATGTTATTTAAATTTATCTTCATCATAAAAATGTTTTCTACAAAATTTACAAAAGGGATGTTTAAATATGATATTTGAATCCTCATCCAAATCACCATTATTCATATGACGTCTAACTTAGTAATCTGAATATAATTATTATTCTCCCAAGAAACATGTCTTCTGCTCGATGCACACATCACTATTAAAATATACAAAATATGCTTACCAATAGAAACGCATATGTTCGACTTTTAAGTGTAATTTTAATTGGTTGAAGTTACTTATTTACTAATCCATTTGGCAGTCTTGGAATGGACATTTAAAGCTGTTCAAACCTTCTATTTTTTCCTTGATTTGTGCTGAATCTGTGAAGAATACATCTTTTGAATCTTTCTAGAAAATATTAAAAAGTAATTAGTTACGGAATAATTGATGGACATCAGGTTGCTTATAGAATAATCACTAAATTGAGCTTAGAGATTATCTGTGAGAATTATTTTATCCAAGATTTGTTTGCAAATAGGACAGGCCTTGATTTTGCTAATGACTCTCATTTTGATCATGCATTAATAGCAGAAGGTCTTGTGATTACAATGACCCAATGCAATGATTTCAGCCTCTTAAACGCAGAGAACGCATTCGGATTCTACTTTATCCATAATTAATTAAAGAAATAAATATTTAATAAATGAGTTATTTCCCAACACTTAGACCAGAATCATTTGTAGAGGAAAGGAAATAAGTCACTCTTCCGTAAACAGAATATGTACTATAACTGTTGTTTAATTGAAGACAACAAAGTATACTAGATCTTCGAGACCAGAAGGATATCAATTTTGGCATAAAAAGGGAAAATTAAATTCTTACTAAAGCAAAGTGTTAAGCACCAATTACTAATTACAATCCCAATAGATTCCAGGTCAATCTATACTGCTTGGAGGATGCGGTTAAACTTAATAAGGCTGCACTCCTTGTGGTTAATCACCTTGTGGTCCATCATAACAAACAGTAGTAAGATTGGGAGTAGTATCAAGAGAAGAAATTGAAGCACCTTGGAGAGACGAAGTGCTCTATTTATAATCTGTTATTGCAGAATTAGAGAAGAAGAAGGAGGTGTAAATAGTTAAGGAGATGGACAATACAAGAGTAAATCTAGAATTTAAATTTAGGTTCATGAACTAGAGGATGAGAATGAAAGATTGAGAGTTTTAATTGAATAGACTCGCAGTGAAGTGATTACTTAAAGGATAACGGAAGTCAACAACGAAGCTGAAGTGTGGAAGAGGAAATTTTAGGAAATAAATCATGATTATAGTGAGACTCAAGAGAAATTGATGAATGCTGAAATTGAATTAGAAGCTCTGAAAAAGTAGAAGGTATGGGTATGAGGTGTATTTGAGGTTGTAACTACGTAGTAGTACAGTCACGAGGTCAGTTGTGAAAAGTTCAGGTTCAACTGTCAGATAGTCGGTGTCTGGTATTAAACCAAATATTTGATTTGATTAAATCATTAATAAAAATATAAAATAAATTAGAATGTACACACCAGAGCCGTAGACAATGCACTACAAAATCAGGAGTAGAAGTCGCGACACTTCCAAACTTAAGTGATTTAAGCAATTTAAAGTAGATTGATGGCTAGATCAACTACCGATAGTAGTAGCAGTGGGAGTAGCAGCAGCTCTTCTTCTTCTAGTTCATCAAGTAGCAGTAGCTCATCAGGAAGTTCTTCCAGCAGTGGATGCCACTTCCATTATGAGATCGGAGACAAAATAGACAAATATGTGATAACGAAATATTTATGTTCGGGCACATTCGGAATGGTTTTAGAAGTGATTGACCAACAGGGAAACCCATATGCTGTGAAAGTTATTAGATTAATATTCAGATCTTGAGCGAAACTGATCATACAGAAGTGGATGTCTTAAGAAAAATCTAGTTACTTGACCCCTTCGGTGAGGCGGGTATCGTCAAATTCTATGATTACTTCACTTGGTAGGACTATCATTGTATTTTACTTGAAAGGGTAGCATATTCAACAATTTAAACAGCTTGACATCAATCTCCATGATTACATCCAATCACATACACTCAACATTAAGGAAATCCAATCAATCTTTAAATAAGTTACTACCTCACTAATGTTTATGCATTCCCTCGGAATCACACACACCGATCTTAAGCCCGAAAACGTTGTTTTTGCCAATCAACAAAAGTACCCAGATCAATTAAATGACTAAGAAATTTAGTTAAACTAATAGACATGGGAGGTGCCACTCAAGCCAATGAACATCACAGTACCGTCATCAATACTAGGTAATACAGAGCACCTGAAGTCATCATGCGATGCGACACCTGGGACACCCTTCAAGTGACATCTGGAGTCTAGCTTGCCTCATAGTAGAATTATACACTGGTATATACAAAAAACAAACCTCAATATAGGAAGAGTTTTTATTAAAGTAGGCAATAACGATTTAATGCATCTGGCTATCATACAATCTATCTTTGGACCCATTCCCTCGTACATGAAACAACGTTCCAAATTTAAATCCAGATTCAACTCTCTTCCAAAAGTCTAGAATTACAAATAATTACATCAAATTATAGAAGATCAGGATCTTCTTGATCTTCTTAATTTGATGTTTCAAATAGATCATCATCGTAGAATTAATTGTAAACAAATTCTAGAACATAAATTCTTCTTAAAAACTATATTGATATTTTGATTTATATTATTTGTTTAATTAACTTCACTTTATTCTAGAAATAATTATGGTGCGTATTAAATTTAAAATAAAATATCATTCCCATAAATTTGGTTCAAATCTTTAACATTTTTAATCGAACATGTCTTATTCATTCAACAGTAATTTAAATTAATATAAAAAATACAACACTATTTAAATAACCCTCTTATGCAAACTATCCAATATCATCCAATTACTTAACTAATTTTGAATGGTGATACTAGTCCCATCAACGGAGATGATTAATAATATGATTCTCCAAAAAAACTCTATTTTAATCACCACATTGCACCTTGAAATCTCAAAAAATAAAATATAAAGAAGAAAAAAAGAGCATTTAAGTTATAACTGACGAACTTATTTCATGGAATAATTATCTACACCACAAATTCTAACATCCTGATCAGGTACATCATGGAATTGGAATGACCTTGTGAAATCAATCACCATTACTAATGACTGTTGATAATATTAACTGTTTATGTTTAATTAAAAAACTTAAAACTTTCTAATCGATTAAAGAAAATGAGCTCGGATTATAGAAATATTTGCCAGAAATTTTCATATTAAATTTTTAACACCAAAAGTCGTATAAATCAATTCTACATTTTCTACCAACAATTCTAAGAAACGCCCTCCTTTAAATACGGATACAAGAACAATACATTGTCATTTCTAGGTTAAACTTGCATTTCCTCTCTATGAATGAATTTCACTCCTTTTTTTTATTTCAATTTATATTGAGTAATATTTTGGCTAGTAAATATATATGAGATGTAGTTCGATTATAATAACCATATCCACATATTTTCTAGACATTCCATCTTAACTAATTTGTTCCATAAATACGTTTCACTAATTAAAAATGATATGTTGTATCAGTCTAGAAGAGTGAGCTTGCTGACAATTAAAGAGAAACTAATTATTTTATTAATTTTTATGGAAAAAATTACGAAATTGCCTTTGAGTTTTCTACAAAGCTTAGGGGATACATAGCCATTAATAGAAGAAGAAGAAATGATTCCGATTTAGTTAAAGAATAATAGATTTAATCATTAGAAACCTCTAAGATGTGTCTCTCCTTTTGAAAAAAAGTCAAAAGCTACCAAAAAAAGATGTGGTCATGTAATCCTAACAGATTAACTTCATTAGTGGAATAACTTTCTACATTAAAAGTTTCAAAAAGGGAATTGAATTGAAAATAATCTTTCTATTCATGTTATTATCTTATTATTGACTTATTATTAAAGCTTTATTTGTACCTTGATTCTTTAAAGAGTGAGATTCGCGAATTATAATCAATATGAATGACAAATAACGAAATTTAGCATCATGTCAGTGAATGTAAGAACTATGTGACTCATAATAAATTGAAAAATAGAAATATATATTCTGGACATTGTTAATCCATATATCATTCTGAAAACAGCTCAAAATCTATATAGCAAAACTTAACTTAAATTATTTTATAATAATGGTCCTTAAAGAAATTTGATGATATAATTTATAAATTATTTAATAAAAAGAAAACAAAACTGAAATCCAGCTTAGATATTAAAGAATATCTAAAAAGGGCTCTTTATTAGTGTCAGTAACTTATATCTAAATCTTTTATTTCTTTAATCCTCTTATTGAATTTATCAAAATTGTCTATTGTCATCATAAATTCATCATTTAAATGGAGGTTTAATAACAAAATTAGAAAACAATTCATATCTAAATGAAATTTACCTAAATTAAAACAGTTGTCACAGTATTATTCTTGATAATTTTAAGAAATGTAGAGATATAATTTAAGGATATTTTTGATTATTGAAATATTTTGAAACATGATAAAATAATAAACTTGGTTTTCATATTTTTTCGGAGGATAACAAACTGTTCACACAATTAAGCTTGCTAATTAATTCAGGTCTATCTTTAAACTAACAAGTAATTGATGCTTACTTTTCATGTCTATAATATATTTAATAACAGCTAAGCTTTTTAAAAAATGAGAAGCATTAAGATTTTAGGAAAGAACTTAGAATTTAAAAAATTCTATTTTTTGAGAATTTAAATGTTTAAAAAGAATGGCATAAAAAGTTTATAATATAATTATAAATTGAATTAAAAATTTAACACAATTCTTTAATTTATTGCTCCTTATTTCTAAATAATTATTTGATCTGTAAGTTTATCCTCATCTTTTAATTCAAAGAACCTTATAATTGAAATATTGAATTCATCGCTTCATTTTCATAACATGATTTTAATAGTATGTTTTCAATAAGCGAGGTTGCCTCCTCCAATAATTTCATCGTTGTTGTTTTATTTTTAATTAACATATTCACCTTTTGGCGAATTAGAATCTAATTCATCTAAGAATTTGATCTTTCTATATAAGGGAGTCATCCTAAATAGACGTAATTAATTAGCCCAAAGTAGTTAAAGTAGAACCAGAAGTCTATTATTAACTTAATACATCATTTCCTCATAGTAAATTAATAAATATTTTGCATTTTAAGCCCCTAAATTATATCATCTAGTACTCAATTCATCTTGCTCAATTCCCTTTGATGATTTTTCTTGAAAACAAAGAAAATAAACTTGTTTAAGAATAATTGTTTTTCTTGTCTAAAATTATTGGTACCTTGAAGATATTTAATCGACCTAAATCTGGTTCTCATTATATATATATGTACGAATTCCAATTGCATCAAAAAATGACACCAAATCTATGAAAACCCTAAAGCCTGTTAAATAGGGTCTTAGAATCTTATAAAAATCCTCTCTGCAATTTCCTTTGTGAAAAAGAGCTCATAAACAATAGAAAAAATTGAAATTAGAAGAGGGACAAGATTTTGAACTACATAATATGATGCAATAATAAAATTTCTAATTTTATTTTCAGTAATGATAAAGAAGAAAATTTCTAAATTTACCCCATATGATAGGGTATTGGATGGGTTAGAATAGGAAGAACTTATTGATGAAGACATTAATATGAAAATCATAAAAGTTTATAATAGAAAGAAAAATAATAAAATGTTTCTGTTGGAAAGATTAATCTCGAACGAAAAAGAACATTTAAAGTACATAGATGAAATACACAAATATGAATTCATTAATTCTGATGGATTATTATGCATAGAAAAATGGGTATTTATTTATTATTAACGAGACATATGACATGTTGATTGATTAAAATTTAAACAAATTATACAAATTTATTTTAGTGTTTGACACCTATTCATAGAATTTAAATTAATATCTGGAGAACATATAAGTAATCTATTATAATTAAATAAGTCAAAAAAAATATAATTATTGAAAGAAGACATTGTTGTATTCTTTAGGGCAATAATCTTATCCATAAATTACTTGCAATAACAATAAATAGTAACTTTTAATCCTGTGACAATGTCTTGCATTTTGATTTGTTCAGATACATGTATGAAATTTAATTGCATCCCAATATTATTAACCTAACATTCCTTAGAAAAAGCAAAGAAGGAAAGCTTACTATATCAGGCACCTGAATAAGTAAAGGATTATAAAAATATTACTCACATCTACTCTCAAGCTGTTTATTCTTTGGGACTAATATTTATATAGCTCTTTTTATTAAGACACATAGATTAATTAAGGAAATTTGAAGATATCAAATAAAGTATCAAAGAAATCTAATTGAAATATGGAGACACCTATAAATCCTATTTAGAAAGCATGGTGGAACAAGATCCACACAAAAGAATTAAATTATACGAACTATGCTAAACACTATCAATTTAGGAACCGCAAAAATTGATAAAGGACAACTTAAAAATAACATTTTCAGAGACCTTTGAATATTATCGAAAGTAATATTCTATACTGAACGTACCTGAAGCTCGATCTATTGCATATGGAATTCCTTGGACCAGAAATATTTTATAATCAAATTTGTTTAAAATGAAAAATTACTTCCTAGAGCTACTAGATCTGTCATAATCATAATAGATTTCGGAATAGGCTGTGACAATAATATTTTAATAGTTTCGAGCTTTTGTAATAGGGGGAATGAATTGTCACTTAGTTTATGAATTAGATGACGAGATACCAGCTTTAAAAGAAGTAACATCAATTCCTTAAAGTAATACTAACAGATGGGGTTTCGGATATGTTATATGTAGATAAATTAGTATATATTAGAGAGAATAATTAGCTGCTGTACATTTGTTCTGGGTATAGTGATTAACTATTGACCGCTAACACCTTTTGTTACAATATCCAAACTTAGAAGTGGACCAAATTAAGTGATTGCTAGAAGCCAGGAATAGGATGCACTTTGGTTTGTTATAATAATTAAAGTATTTTCAAATATGGGGGAGTTGAAATCAATAACAAATCTCTCAATTATGTTGAAGAGCTTAAAAATAATGAATGGCAACTTATAAATTTTAAAAAACCTCACTTTATATTACCCAGCTTTAGTTTTGCATAATAGGTAAATCCAACATAGATTTTTATTGTTGGAGGATATTTTGATAAAGTACCTAACACAAAGGTCATAGTAATGAATATTGATACTTAAGCTCATCACATAGATTCAAGAAAAGAATAAACATATGTTGAATTCATTATGAATGAATTTTTAGACTATGGAAAATATGGCCCTGTGGAAGCAATGCAAATAAGCACCAATTAGTTATTTTTGTTATAAAAAAGAAATGAGAAGTAACAATACTTAACTGTATAAGATTAAGCTGGATTTGTGGAGTTGCGAAAGATACATATTTGATTATATGTTGTATTGTTTCTTGTAATTATAATAATAAATAGAAAGATAAATAATTATGTATTTCTTCAAGAAAATAGAGTTTCTTAAAATTCATCTAAAAGCTTCTTAAACTCACATTGAAATGGACGAAAATATCAAAAAAAAAAATAATGAATAAATTAATAATATAAAGATCCCAACTTATTGATTTCATTAAAAATTAACTATATGTATCATTTGTTCACTTGTAACAATAAATATTGAATTCGATTTTTGTAATCCAAATAAACAATTTTTATCTACTTTATATGCTTAATTCATTTATCCATTTTCTGGGTTCCATTATACTAATAATCCACATTAAGTAAATCCAAATACAGAACTCTATGTTCTTTTGAACCCAACTAATTTTAACTAACTTGCAAATGCTGTTTTCTCTTAATATTAGAATTGATTATCCATATATTTCATTTATATAATAGCAACTCCATTTTCAGTGCATGGATAAAGATAATTTTCCATAATTTGAATTGATTTGATTGAAGTATTGACATTAAAATTGATTTGATTTAAGTATTCTAGTTTTTCAGTCCTTTTATAAACAAGTATGAAACCTTGTGAAGTACCTAAAATATGTATATTTAATATTACCTAAAAACAAGAGTTTCTCTTTATCATCAAAATTTAAACAAGAAATCCAAGCTGCTTACAATCTATTTTTAAGACTTCCTCCTCCAATCAAATCAAAATTCTATCTATCCAAAATCTTGACTTAACTATCTGTGACAAGATAAACTTCTTCATTAAAATGATGGATTCTATATATGGGAGACGTCAAGACTTAAATAGTTGTTTTCTCTTATATAGAATGTTCAGTTATTTAGTATATAATCAATGATCCTTAGCATGTGCCTACAACCAATCTATCATTGACTAAATTTATCAATTAAAATATATTACTATTTTCCACACAAAATAATTTGAAACTATAATATTTATCAAAGATTCTATGAAATGGGGTTGCTTCTCCAATTACAAATACGATCATCTAACCCATAATTTCAGGTTCAATCAGATTCCAAATTTTGCCAAACTTTTATAATTAACTCTGATTCTCCAAAGTGACAACCAAAAACTAATTGACGATTATCATCTATGACACAGTAAGATTAGAATCGGAGATTTTGAAGCCCATGACTATATTCGGAATCTAATCTGTATAAAGAAATGATATACTAAAGCTTTGATTTGCGAATAAACTTAAATTTATTGATTCAAACCTAATAAGTTGATGGTCTCTAGATAACACAATCATTTACTTTTTATTTAGTAATCAGATCTCTTCTATATAATAGCTCACCAATTAATTAATTAATCGCGATGATTGTTTTGGCTTTGTCCTTCACACTTTGTAGGAGATCGATTTAAGCTTTGTCAAGGCTTAACAACATGAAACAATGTTTCTGGATATGTTATACATATTCATAGAATTCCTTGATTGGTTTGCTGCCTTGAGATAAGCACATTCGTTACTTTCAAAACAGTATTAACTAAAGGGTGTATAAACAGTTAACTCGACTGAAGGCTATCCATTAATCAAAACTATTTCTTCAATTTAATCAAAAGCCAACGTGTCTAAACAAACTTAGATTTATGCAGACATCTAAATTAATGAAATTAATATTAAGAATAATTAATTTCAATATCACGCAGTTAGTTTGTAATATATAATAAAGTTACTTTCTCAAATTCAATCATAATATCCATTATATAGTTATATAGGTGTATAATCAAGTTACATTAACTTTAAATTTATAATTCAACTACTATTCCTTAATCATCATCCTAAATACATCAGATCAATATTTATCAATTTAAAATAAAATATATAATTTGAAATATATGTTGAGATGTAGAAATTAAATTGATTAACTGGTGTCACTTTAAATCAAGAAAAAAAGAAATAAATATAATATAGATGAGATAAAAAAATCATAGTGCTCGCACTATTTCCTCACTCCTTCTTCACCATTTTGGTTTGTTATCTTTGCAATTTTTTTTTTAATGGTTTAACGCTTCCATCTATCACATCCTTAGTGATTATGTTATTGACAAAATCAATAACTTAGATAGACTTTCTGAATTCTACTTTCTTGTATTATTCATCAATATTGGACAAATGTCTTTTGTGGTTTGTTATTTAAAACCTTGTTGGAGAATTTGGTATAGAATTGATTTGTGGTAGGTGGATTTCCGATTATGTGAGAGGAGAATTAGAGTTTGATTGAAGCAGCACAACCTTTCTATTGCTCAAAGACTGTTTTGGTTTTGAGGTTGATTTAATATATCGAATTCTAGGTTTCTCCTCTACGAATGGTAGAAATAGTGTGTCCGGTATCTCATTCCCTTGAGTTACTGATCCAAAGGTGTCTACACTTCTTGTTGAACTCTCGTTGACCTCTTTTTTTACTGTTATTAACTAAGACACGGAAGATATGTTGAATTCATTCAAAAACATCGAAGGTCTCATAGATTTGGTGTCTCTCTTGACTAATCGTCTGGAGGGAGATACTAACATAGATATTATTATTATTTAATGATATCTCATACACTTAATCATTAAATAATTGAGAAATAAAGGTCAGTATTATTAATGGTATGATTAGAAATTTTTGAATCTATTTATTTTAATAGCAATGTGGTAATCAAATTATAATTTATTGCATAAAATAATTACAAACTGGCCTATTATTAAATGTTATACAATAGCAGCTCGCTTTTGAGAACTCGTCCTGCACTCTTAACATAACTCCGAGTATTTAAGTTTATGGACATCCCTACATAGTCTCTAGCTTGGTATTTTATATATACAATAATTTATGTTTATATTAGATTAAAATCTTTATTTTCATTTTTCAAATAATGGCTGAATAAACTTAAGACAAACAATTCAAAGGTGTTAAGAAGTTTACCTACAGAGGATTATAACTTGAAGAGCTTGTCAAATTGCCAATGGATAAGTTGGTTGAGTAATTCAGAGCAAGATAAAGAAGAAGAATTTCTAATTAAGGTGAAAAAGTTCATGCCTTCTAAAATTTAATGAAGAAAGTAATCAACTGTTTCAAACTATCATTAGATTCGTAAATCAAAGAAAGAAACCTTACCAGGAGAAAAACCAAAACCAGTCAAGACTCATTAAAGAAATACTATTGTAGTCCCAGAGATGGTTGGATCAATTGTTGGAGTATATAATGGCAGATAATTTAGCAATGTTGAAATTAAGTTTGATATGATCGGCAGGTATTCTTGAATGCAAAACTATAATCATAGATATTTGGGTGAATTTTCTTTAACCTATAAGCCAACAAGACATGGAAAGCCAGGAGTTGGTGCTACCAAAGGATCTTAACACACAGATTGATATATATTATATAAGTACAATAAATAATGCAGACTCATTAATTATTTCTACTAATACTATTAATGAATAGCAATTATAAAATAAGAATATCGAATATATTATCAGATTAAGGATTAGGTGTTGACAGAATAATTTACTAATTTACTAAAATAATCTAAAAATTATTATGAATTCATAAAGCTAAGGTCTTGTTCTTTACCTTTAATGAATTCATAATATTCATATAAAAATTGTATATCACAAAACAAAAAATGAAGGAATAAATATAGATTTTATCAATAGACTTCTCTTAAGGTAACTTATGGGTCTAAATATGATATTTAAGTTCTTGGTCTATTTAATTTGAATAAAAGAAAGGATAAGTATTTCGATGAATTCTATATTTATGATTCCCTTTCTAAGTTATAGCATTTTGATGAATTCATAAATATTTTTTAATCAAAATTAGCTAATATCCCAAGCATATCTATATTTTAATCATTTAGTCATTAAGTAGTTTTGATTATTATCCATCTAAATACTGATTTGGGATTGAGAAAGAGTATTGATATTGATATTCAATTGGGTTTCTGGATTTTTAGATTAATTGAAATCAATTGATATCAATAAAATGAGAAATTAAAGAAATATAAAGTACTGTAAATATTATATTAATTCTATAGATAGTTTGATTTAATGAGTATTTCATTACGCAAAACTTTATTACTCTTCTACTTTATTTTGGCTTATAGTAACATCACAGGATTGTAAATTAGATGGAGATTTTAGATTTGATGAAAATCCTTTTTTTTTACTAGAATTTGAATTCACATTTTAAGGAGAAGTAATAACACTATTAAAGTTACTCCCTCCCGGATTATCTATCAAATGTTACTAATCAATATTTTATTTTCCTATCATTAATTCGGTATATTCAAAATATTTATTGAAGAAAAATACTATTAAAATAGCACACACTAAAGCAAACAAGAACCCAACTATTTATATATATATGTAATGTTCTGTAGTAAGGATAGGATATTTATAATAAATTGTGTAATTTGAGATGTAAAGGCATAGTTGACCTTCTTGTTTTTAAGGCAATTTAGTACATTGAGTAGAATTTTAATAGTAGGAGAATTAAATTGGGCCTGAGTCTTCTTAGTATTGGCAATCAATCCTTTGAGGAGCTGTACTAAAATTGGTAACGAAATAAGTGTGCTTTGTAATACCTATGAATTTATTATCGTAAGGTTCTGTTTAATCGATGAGATGGATTTGTTATAGTGCAGGAATTATGATTTGATTGTGTATTTAATTATCTACAGTTGGTAGAGAGTGATAAAGAATGTCATGGCGGTTCTTTCCAAGTAAGAGTGCATAATTATCTGTAAATTGGATATCATAAATAATGTTTTTTACCTTATATTTATTAAAAATCATCCATTTATTAGTTTAATTTATAGGATGTAATTCATAAATAATAGATTCGCTTTGATCTTCATCAACAATCATTAATATCTGTTCATACAATCCAATTAAAAATCCTTTTATTGGTATCATATCATAGGATGAGATTTCTTGGAATTTGAATAAAATAGGGTCATAAACACAGATTTCTACACCAGATAATAAATGCAAAAAGAAGATGTGATAAACGTCATTTTATTGCTGAACCTTCATGTCAATAAAGTTCATTTCTAATTTTTTACTAAAAATTTGGTATAAACCTTCTGAATTACAAGCGTAGATGATGAATTCTTTCTATTCCAATATGAATAAATATTCATCAACAAACTCTATATTTTAGGTAGTTAAGGTTTTATTATCAGTTTAATTCGTATATATACCAAATATATTGGTTTCATTCTGATTTATCTACACATATATAAATATCTTTTGAAGTATAATGACAATTTTCTGAATTGTTGAGAAATAGAACATATGAATAGGATCTATTAATTAACTTGGGTGTATTTATATCTTTTCGTTAGATTCCATTTTGATAATATTTCCGTTGATTTCATGTATATATATAAGACGCCCATCACTAAATAAGATTACAGCCCCTTTTTGAAATGGAACCATTGATACAATATAGTAATGATTAGTTTCTACTTTCAAAGAACCATTTAAATAGAATAGGCTGAAAACTTCTTCATCAACAAACGGCGTCAATTTTATTTCAGTCTACATCAAGTTAGTAAGTTTTTGTTTGACTATTTAACAGAGGTGAGCATTTGATGATTGATTTGTAATATTAGCATCCAAAACAACACCAAATCCTTGGAATGTATCAATTGTGTTTAATTCATTTCTATTAATAAACATCTCCTTAGCTTCACACAAGATCTCTATTATGATGAAGATTATAAACGTTTTCATGAAATCAATATAAATATAAATATTTAATTTATTTTTCACATTTCATCATCCTAAAGTACAAAATTCTATTGTTAATGTAAAAGCATTAATTTATCAAGAATGATCTCAGCCAACTCATTCCAATCTTTCCATATTAAATTCAAAAATTATATAACATCATAAGCCGAAGCTCCTATCACAATGCCAATCCACACTCCCTTAAGTCCAATCTCAGCAGTATAACAAAGCAAATATCCTATTATTTCCCCAAACACTAAATAGCATAATATGAATGTAATGGAAGCACTGGCTTCTCTTCCTATGGCTCTTACTAATCCTGAGATGATCGCTTATAGACCTTTAATTTTAATATATAATCTTACCATCTAAAATAATGAATGCCACCATAAGAAACATTGAATTATAGATTTCTTCTACAACTACTTCATCTTCACTCAATTAATTAACTATTTTCTTTCCGAAAATTGAGAATAACCCTACTATTATCAATAGGAAGATTCCATCAATCAAAAATGTGGCCTTGGTATACTTTTTAGCCATATCCACCTTCTTTCTTCCCATTTCATTTCCCACAAATGTCGTCGATGCTATCGAAATGCCATAACTAAATTGATATAAGAATCCTGCAAAATTAGACATCAGTACATGAGCACTAATTGTTGATGTGTTTAGATAACTCACCAAAATCACATAAAAATCAAAGCTTATCCACTCCAACCATAATATTGAACCTATTGGTATTGCTTCCTTCAAAAATTTAGTTGTATTCTTTAAGTAGCTCAATTTAAATTTATATAAAGTAGCCTAACTGCATTTGGTTACGAAAATTAACGAAAATAAAATTATGTTATTCAACAGATCTAAGGAGGTCAAACTTAATGCACAACCCACTATTCCCAACTCTTGTTTCACAATGAAAAAATAACTTATGCCAACAAACAGACTACATGTCACTAGTTGAGTGTAGAATTGATATTTGTAAATGTTTTAACCATTCAAAAACACCTTGGTGTTCACAAAGATCGCATTTAAGTATACTGCTAAAATCATATATCTATTGAAACGTCCTGTTTCTTCTGCTAATTCTGTATTGCTAAAGTAAACCAGCACTTGTACTTGTTGATAAAGGATATTATTTGAGTTGAAAAGATCAAGAAGAGCGCAATTGGAATCATAAACAATGTGCACAAAAACAACGATCTATAATACAACTTTGCACATAATTCGTAATGATTTGCCCCATAAGCTTGAGATACTAAGGTTTCCAAGCCGGTAGCAAGACCATTAAGAATTCCCATTCCGAAAGCTTATGTTGTAAGAATTCCCAATCCCAAAGCCCCTACTATTACAGAATCCTCCTTGAATTCTAGCAAATAAATTGATATCGTATTGGGTAGATATTCCAGCAAAAAGCTCATCGCAGTCTGGAGTGAAGCAATTGTTAACTCTTTCATAACAGAACCCTGTTAATAGAGCGGGCTAATTAATTAAAGTTCGCTCATTTTATATTAATAAAAAGAATTCTTTAACAATTTACGTAATTTTAATTAAAAAATTTGTAATCGATTTTGTTAATTACACAACAAATAACCAATACTATACATAGATTCCATATTTAATTAATCAACGTATATTTATAATCTTTAATTACTTCATAAAATTAAGTTGATTCATACATCCAAATAACTCAAATTATTGGGAGATAAAGAACTATTGGCAATTTGAATCATGAGAGACAAAGATTGAATTAATTTAAAAATAATTTACACAGCCAAAAATAATAGATAAAACAAATTTTTACTATAAAATATTTATTAATCTTAGTGGATTAATTTATTTTCCAATAGTATTACAAATTCAACTTAGAATTGGATGGAATCTAAAGATGTTAATTATTTCTTCATTCTAATTCAAATTAATAAAATAAGCAAGAGTTTTACTACATTAATCATTCTTCACTCCTTATTCCAACTTGATATATGTGGTTTATCTTTTGAATTGATGTGCAAAAATAACAAAATAACATTAGTAACATGTGCTTGGAAGCTGATTTTAATAATAATTTGAGGATAATATATTTTATATAATTATTCGTTTTACATATGAAAGTACTATGGCTCTTGATTGTCACACTTATAGTGGCAAATACGCAATAAGTATTTTTGGGATAAATCTAAAAAGGACTCTTGCTACGAAGTAGATCCAAAGGATCCACCAAGAAAAAAAGATAAAATTTCTCTAATTTATCATTCTGGATGGACTGAAGAACTAGTTGTTGCCAAACCTAAGGGAAATAGACCTTAACCATAAGAGTATATGAATTAAGAATATATCGACTAACATTTGAAGTATTTCAGATACGGGGCATCATTTATCATCACAACAGCATGGTTGGATAACAATGGCAGAGAATTTGTAGGAAATAAAAATGGTATATTTGTGATACCTAAATCCTAAATGGATTAACTCCTTAAAACAGCAAATGGCAATTTATCAATTGTGGAAAGAAATCTTGGCGTCACTCCAGGAGGATGGCAAAACAGAAGACTGAGTAGAATTGATGTTCCTTTCCCTGAGAAGTTTGGCGTTAGAATGCCAACTGGAAATGAGGTTGGTGCCAATTAATATTGGAGACCTGGTGGAGTATTGCCAAATGGATTATTGGAGGCAGTAATTGACATGGTTCCAAAAAGTGATTATTAGGAATTCTAATTGAACCTATAATGAAATGGCAACTGTAATATATTTAAAATTTTCAAATGCAATTAAATTAAAGTCCCATTCCTTCGGAGAAACTTAGTTTTCTTAATACTCTCCTAGACAAGGAACTTGATATGCTCAAATGCAATAATGCCCCAAGTTATCTCTAAAAAACATAACCTTCCTCCTATTTTGAATAAGAATCAATTCAGCATTCTAGCATTAGAGCTTTAAGTAACAATCCTACCTCATAAACTAAACGCACTACTAATGGCGATTTGAAAGAAATCTAAGATAAGATTGTTACAATTGAGGCAAGAATTCAAAAAAATATTGACAAGCAAATTCAACCTAATCATTTAGTGCAACAATAGGAGATCAAGGATTCCGACGATGAAACGCCTTTAAAGAATAAATACAGTCATATTTAGTCATCGCATAAAAAACAGATTAAATTTACAGAGTAAGAACATTCAAATAAAACACTCAATAAGTAGTCATTTCATGAGGAGAGGAAGAACAAATTCTAATAATTAGAAAAGAATATTGAAAGTGCAGAGAACAAGCTATCTCAATCTAAAGCATAAAGAAAATCTTCAAGCCAAGCAAAATCAAAGAGTAAAGAAAAATCTCAGAGTTCTTAACAGAGGGGTATAAGCACCCAATAATAAGATGTTTAACAATTGCAAATTAAAGTGTCTTAATTAAGAAAATAATGGGAAGATGACAGGGCTCAATTAATTAAAGAAAAACAAAAGAATTAACAAATGCAATAGTAAATAGACTAGTTCAGCAAAAAATTGAAAAAAGCTTTATAATAAAATGAAAAATATGGTCAAATTGAGTAGGAGTAATAGAGATTATAGGAAAATTTTGAGAAAAGTGAATTCATTAGATAATAGTAAAAACAATTAATATAAACTTTGAAATAAGAAATTGAAGATTTAAAATCAAATAACAATATTACTAAAAGTAAATCAAAAAAAAGAGGATTGGAAGATAATAGTAATAAATACTTAAATAAATGAATATTATTTCATAATTTTTACATTATTATTTAAATTTAAAGAAAATAATTATTTATTTGATATCAAGATATATCTCTTTTTATTGATATAAATTTAAAATCCTTTTTATCTTTAAAGGGATAATTCTTATTTATAACAATTAATTCTATATCAGAGTTTCTTTGATCAAAATTCTTTTAACATTTCCAATTACATTCATTTAGAGATCCATAAAAAATGATCTAAATTTGTTAAACAAGTAGAATAATAATTCTAAATTTTAACATTAATTTTTTGTAATTTAATTTAATTTTGATCCTAATCTTCAAACAAGCTCATTTACATAGTGCGAATTAAATTGAGAACAATAATAATGATTCGATTCTGATTCAAATGTTAACAAGATTATTAAATTTATATTATTAAGTTAATTTCTAATAAATTATATTGATATTTAAGAATAGATTTCAGCACTTACAACCTTATTCCTACTCTATTTTTTATGTATCTAATGTCCTTAATCTAGTATCGTTTTCAGGAGGCTGCGCAATCGTACGTTTCTAATCTACCAAATTTAAGATAATTTTGCCCAAATCCAAAAACAATTAATTGACATTGTCACCAGTTTTAGCAGATGTTTCCAAATAATTGACACCTATTTCATGTGCAAAATCATTGCCATTCTTACCAAGGATCTAACTAAATGGCTGATTCATGTACCACTCTTTTATTGACTAAATCAACCTTATTTGCGATTAAATAGCATGCTTCAGGAATCAAGCCATGTTCTTCAATTACTAATTTTAAGAACTTCTTGGCATCCTCAAAAGATCTTAGGAATCATATGTATTGGACAAGTACCTTTCATTTGTAACATCAAATACAGCAATACAACCATGAGCTCCTTTGTAGTGAGATTGCGTTAAAGCTTGAAAGCGTTCTTATCCAGCTGTGTCCCAGATTTGCATTTTAATACTAATAAGCGTGGGTACTTAGTTACGTTTTATCATGGATGGAAAGGGTTTTGATTCTAAAGTCAACCCCAACTGTGGACAAATAACTATCATTAAAAACTTGATCTATGAATCTGGCCATAAGAGAAGATTTGCCGACATTCTAGGATCCTATTAATACAATCTTAAAGATGTAATCTACTTTTTACATTTGTATATTAATTAATATAAATTTCATAAGTTAGTATGTGAATCTATGTATATTTTTAACTAATGTGCAGGATCTACATCTACATATTTGCAGTGCTCATTTCGACAATAATGACAATTGTACATTTTATTGGCGAGAGATTACACTGCACAAACATGGCAGACGTAATTGGAACAGCAAGTTGTATGGAGCATACCTATAAAATTGTGATCGCATTTTACAGTCGTAATATTTGAAGCAGATTGGACAATAATATTTACAGTTTCCTTATAGGGTATCACAAAACTAAATTGCAATTAAATAAATTATCAATACATTTGTTTTATTGAATTCTGTAATTATTTTAAGATTCTTATCGAAGTAGAGTCCATCTTAACAGATTAAATTTAACTAATGAAGATTCCCTAATGAAGCATGTTTCCGATCCTTCTTCTTTTTTCCGCAGCAAACAAACATCTAACGATAATTTTAATTTAAATTAGTATTATTATAAAAATAAAATCATTGTAGATAACGAGTGATGATTTCCTCAATGTCTCCTGCTTTTAATGGTTTTTCATAATAATCCACAAATCCATTGTTCAAAGCCTATTGTTTCATGTGTAATCCATGTCCACTTACTGCTATAAGTACAGGCATCGTAGCCATGGTTTCATTGACATACTATTTGATCATTTTTGCAGTGCCAAACCCATCAATAATGGGCATTTCGATGTCAAGGAGAATGACTCTGTAAAATATATGATTTCTAATTCTCTCATCTAGAATTTTCAAAGCATGTTGGCAACTAATGGCATAATCGATTCTATTGATTCCCTTGCCATTGAAGAGCCTAATTAAAATATCAATGTTGAATTGATTGTCATCAATAACTAATAATTCCCTCTGTCGAAAGGCTTGATTGGAATATATGCGTTGGACTCGAGGTTAGGCTTCAACTATCACTTGGTCTTCTTCTTCGTTGTTGCTCTCATTGTCACAAATGATGACAGTATCATACACAGTCTCATGATCTATTTCAAATGAAAAAGAACTGCCTTTATACAGTTCTGACTCTATTTTGATGCCGGACTCCTTGGTTGAAAGGGATTTGCATATCATGTTACTTATTAGTAATCCTAATCCAACACCAGATCGATTGAATTATTTGGTTTCATCATCATCTAATCGACCAAATGCTTTGATTAATTTCTTCTTATCCTCCTCTCTGATTCCAAAGCCAGTATCAGTGATCTTAATTTCGAAAGTTCCATCCTTTTAATCAATGACACTTACTGTTATACTGCCTTCGATAGTGAATTTGAAGGCATTTCCAATCAAATTAATCAACACCTGTTTTATTCTTACATCATCGTTAAATATTTATTTGGGGGCATCTTCATCGTATTCCAATTTCAAAGCAATTGAATTTCTCCTTGCTTCTATTCTAAATAAGTCAAATAATTATAAAATCAATTATTCTAAATTGAATTTGATTTTGTGCAATTTAAATTTACCAACTTTGATTTAGGCCAGATCAAGCAAATCATGACTGAAGTTCAATAGGTAATAACAATTCCAGAGAACATTCTTGATGGTGTCATTTTTCTATTCTATCTCTTCCAACAATTGAATGATGCATTTGATTGGAGTTCTAATTTCATGAGAAACAAAATTCAATGAATTTGATTTGGCTTTGCTATGTTGATTAATTGATTTGATGTAATCTTTGTAGGAGACGTCTCTTGTTAATATGAGTAATTAGGGTTGATCATTGAGATAGGATATAAATAGTTTGATTTCAATGCAGACATCCTTTTTGGATTGCGAGGTTGTGTAGCCATTCAAAATAGTGTGTAAGTCAAAACCAATCTGAGTTTTTGTTAATAGGGATTGCACTTCCTACGAATGGATTTGCAGAATGGCCTATTCCAGGGCCATTTTGAAAGGCTATTTTTATTGAAAATGCAGTTTACATTTTTGGAAAATTTCAATTTTGTATTGAAGAATTAGTCACACTTGTGATTCTGAACTGTGGTTGAGGCTCGGTAGATGGATCTGACAATTCCGATTTTGTTCTTTTCTGGGGAATACATACTTTTGTAAGTGGATATTGAGGTGGCCAGATCCTAGGTTTATTGACTCTTCTTCATGATATGCAGATTCTTGAGTGACATTAAAGAACTCAGTAAATCTGATTGAGTGGTTTGCAATAGGTTCATCATGGTTTGATTGCAGAAATCAACTTGAGGCAATCGATTTTCATCAAATATTATGAGAGCTACTCCATCGGGGAATTCATCTAGGATTTAGAGAAATTGATCTAATTGAATTATATGAATTTATTTTACATTTGGCACTCGTTCTGTGTCCAGCCTAATTGTCACTATACGCTATGGATTGGAGATGTATTTTGTCAGACTTATCAGTTTTATCTAGTTCATTCTCCTCCCGCAATTTCTTGTTCGAGAGGTGGATTGGTGAATATGAGAATTTGGGTTGTTCCAATAAGGAATCAACTGCAAAAGTAAGGAAGGACAAACATATCAGGACAATTTGAGATACTTCTCCATGCATAACCATCCCCAAAATTACAACATAGGATAGTTTAAATAGGAGAAATTTAGATGGTTTCATTTGGATCAGTTGCAGGGTTACTATTAAGGTGCTGCAAACATCGGTCTAAATGATTCCCATTGGCACTGTCAACAATACCTAAGATATTTCAGTAATAATGTCTTCATGTTTTTTCCATTTCAAAACAACCATCTACATTAAGACTCCCAATACGCTCAATATCAGTTGATAATGGATGGGGTTTATGCTTAAGTAAGCTATCAAAATTAATGATTATGCAATCCCACTAATTTGTTTAATATTCATATTATTAATGAACAACAATGACCCAAGTGATCCTGGAGGTATATATTGACACATTCCCTATTCCCAATTAGATTCATCAGGAGATGACGACTTCGTTGAAGAGAAGCCCCTAGAACCCAGACCATACAAAACGGATCATGAAGATGAAACTATTTAGGTAAATTGGCATTTCTAATTATCCATCAAGGAAATCCAATCCTTTACTGTGAAAGACAGGCCCCTCATCAAGATGCAATTTATTAAAAAGAGAAAAGAATTTGGGTAAGGCCCCATAATAAGCATTTAGTTTGACATTCAAATTCAGCGATTAGGAGACATCTGAGAGAACAGGTGAGATCAAGGCTCTAGAGAAGGATCCCCTTCAACTCGTCAAAAATAAGGTCATTGAGATGGGCATACAAGGATGCAACCCTTTCCAGGACGCCAGTTCTTAGACTGTCTGGAATAGAAAAATTAATAAGGCTTTGCAAGTCGATGAAGGGGATGAGAGATAAGAATAGCCAGATGAAGACTTTAAATTGCTTAAATTCTTGGAGACAGTTTATCCATTGATGGAGGAAGCGTTGTAATCGAATGAAACTATTGATATCTATTAGGACGATTTCAATGTCTTGCCACTCTCAGAACAAAATGGAGGTATCATAAATTCACTATCCCAATCTTAGATTAAAATGCTGAGCTTACTAATGTGATCAAAGAAATCAAAAGTTTCAGTTACTTAAATTGTAAAGGTAAAAAAATACAATGCATTCAATTCCAACCCACTAGTTAAGCCATCAAATCCAAGTATATCGTTGCAGAATCCTTCGTCGAAAACCTCCTCTTTGAAGAAAGAGCCATCTATCAATTGAAATCCCATAAATCACTCATTGTATTCTGGGATTTCGAAGACATTCATTCAATTGAACCAGTGCTCCTATTGCAATCTCCCCTTGAGATCCTCTCTTTTGAATTCAATCCCAAGGATCCCAATATAATCGTAGGTGGCACTATCAATGGCTAAGTGATGTTATGGGATCTCAGTGGCACAGCTCTCTCTGTTTTTGCATCCAAAAAAACATAAAAAACTAAATAAGAACGAAGTATTCATCAAATTCTCACTATTTTAAGATGAAATTCAAGAACTTCAACCCAAAATGGTATCAGCACTACAAGATCCTGCATCATATCAGGCTGGCTCATCTAATGAAGTCTTGAGAAAACAAGTTGCATCTCACAAGAATTTTGTCTTGGCTGTCAAATGGTTCCCCATTGGAATGGAATTCGATAAGAAGCATTTCAATCATCTGATACTTACATCCTCTCAAGAAACCTATCAATTTGCTAGTATTAGTTCAGATGGATAAATTCTATTTTGGGACACCAGATTGATTGACAAGGATAGCAAAAAGACACAATAAGACGTATTAATCATTTTCACTTAATCAACTAGATCTCAACTATTCCTTGGAAAGCCACCTATGGAATATAGTTGTATAGACCAGAAGGAGGAGGAATGATGAGTGGAGGATAAATATAATTCAGGAAAAGTAATTTCTCAATTTAATGCCAATAGATTAAAAAACTCCAACTTTATCAGGCACATCAGATGAAGGAGAAGTCTTCATTATGGATTGGGGAGAAAAACAAGGGGAAGAGGGATAAAAGAATTAATTGGTATCTTCAATTTGGTAATAATAACGAAGTATGAGACCACCTATTGCTTTGGATGTAAGTCCATTCTTTGAAGATGTACTACTGACATTGCATGATTTCAACTTTTGTGTTTGGAAACATAATGTTACTTTTCCAATTTTTGAAAGTCTCATCATGAAAGGTGCCCATATTACTTGTGGAGGATTCTCTCCTTATCGTGCTGGTGTCATTATTGTAGGAAAGACAGACGGTAATTTGGATGTTTGGGATATGTTGGATTAATCTCATAAATGGACTATTCAATTCTAGGTAGTAGCATGTGCTATTACATCATTGAAATTCAATGATAATATGGCTCATATTGTGGCAATTGGCGATTCAGATGGTACATTGCATTTACTTGAATTTCCTTAAAGTTTGTGTAAAGATTAAGGAAATGAAGTCAAGGCTATGAGATTATTCTGGGAAAGAGAAGTCAAAAGAGTAAATTACTACTCTGAAAGATTCAAAATCAGAGAATAATAAGCAAAATAACAAAATGAAAAAGAAATTCAAGCTTAGCCTGCAAAAGAAACAAAACAATCCGGCGATGTATATTTATTCTTTTATCATCAAATAGACTAAGGTTCTGGATGAAATAGCCAACTTTGAAAATGAATACTAAAAATTCAAAGATGCTTTATTGGGGATTGGTCCTAAACCTGAGGATGAAAAGGGTGCTGCCAAAGGTAAGAAATGAACAAAAGTTACATTCAAAATTTATAATTGTCAAATTGTTATATTTTTTTTCTCTTTTTTTTTGAATGATTACAAGATCTAGATTTCATCTATGTTTGACTTGAATTTGTATTCCGAGCAAAATGAACTGATTTACTTTCACTATTTCTCAATGTAGTCTTTTTTAATATGCTTTTTATAGATTCTTCGAACTCTATATGTTATTTCTCACTAACTTTAAATTGTTTGTTGAATTCACGAAATTAGTGATTTGAACTTGAAGAATGGGATAGATTTTTAGGAATATTTGGATCTGTCATTCGAATTTGTAGTTTATTAATGGATTCCTTTTATAAACCCCTCTTAGAGCTATTAAACACGTTCATGCATTCCTAGAAGCTGTATTGTCTCTATTTTCTCTTTAGAGATTCATGAATACTTTATATTAAAGTTATTTCTTGATTCACTTCGCTCACTTTTAAAGAATCCTCAAAAACTTTGTCACTTAGTTAATCAATTTCCATCTTGTTATTAACTTTCATTCTTTGAAAGATTGTAACCATAGTGATTTGATTCAATTCCAATAACTTGGTATGTACACTCTCGTGTTTTTAATGCATATCACTTTCTACGACTTCTGATTTTGTGTTACATTACGCACAACTCCCCATTAAAAACAAAGTATTGTTATTAATTTTATAAATTATTCAAGATTTTAATATGCAAATTGAAATATAAAACAGTAATTTTATGAACGTTCTTAAATTAAGATTTTTAAAACACCAATTGAAATGATTATTAGTCACTCATCATTGAGAATCTTATCAGTAACTGGTACTAAATATTAAAAAAGTTTTACTTAAAATATTTAATAGAATATATTTTTGAATTTAAGGTGTTATTTTCATGTTTTTGTTTATTTTTAATTTGTTTTTATTTTATTTAATTTAAATTGTAAAAAAATTCAAAGGAAAATCTCTGAGAAGAAAGATAATAAGATGAGAACCAATAATTATGGAGATTAAAAATAACATAACTCTTTCAAAAGTTCTACTTTAATATTTTAATAAAATCATTCTCAACAATGGTAATCAATATTCAGGATTATTATTAATTAATGAAATTAATTATTTCAATTCTTGTTATTGTTTAAGAGATCAGTTCTCATGATTGGTTTCAATTATTCGTGTAGTTTTGAGTATTATTGATAAAATTGGTGAAATGTGGTTATATGGTGCTTGTGGTCTGTTGTCAAGGGTGATGCATTTATAAAGTTTTTATTTCATATATAATGGAAATAAATAAATTGAATGAAGTTAATCCAGATGATTTAGATGTTATCTTTAGAGGAATCCAATTATTTATTGATCAAAAGGAGAACGATTTAGATACAACTATACCCTTGCTAGTTGATAAATACAAATATTACTAACTTCAGGATCATGATAAAAAGTTTCGATTATTTTTTAAACAAGCAGATTGTTCCACCGATTCTAGATTAGAGTATCGGAGTTAATCGAGAAGTGCAAAAATCAAAACGCCATTAATTACGTATTGAGCATCAGAGATATACTTAATTATAAGGCATAGAATTTTGCTGTTATACTAACTAAAGTTCATAAAAGGTGCGAAATACAAACCAAACAATAAAACGAGGGCAACCCATAAATTCAAATGAAGAAATCAGTTCCTTCGTGGCAGTTAAATAGTTAATAAAATCGAACGTTGTTCTAATTTTATGATATCGATTTTTGGAAACTTTACGACATTATGCTTCTAAACAAGTAAGAGCTCCCCCCTTAATTTAGACAATATTGCTCAAATCTAATCGTGTATCATCAATCGAAAAATGAGAATGTAGAAAGATTATTCGCATCCAGTTTAGAAAGAAATTAAAGATTTCTACAATCCAGAAGCTTGCCATTGATGGAAATAACAACTCTCGCTGACAAAGCCAAGAAATTGAAATTTCTCTAACTCATCTCAACAATGGAAACTCCTTATGCAAATAAGAATATTACAATGTTTGGCAATCAGAGTCCTACAAAAAAAACCCAAGTGAGTGTCAAACACTCCATGTCGATCAGTCCTCAGAGAACGCAGAGCAGAGATCCTCAAGATCAGGACATCAGAAACATTTTCGATACAGAGAATTGCAATTTATTCGATACCAATTACAAAGTCACCAGAGCCAAGAATTTATCCTTGCACAACGACAAGAATGCTGCAGGCTCAACCCAATTTAAGCAAAAGGGAAAATCTAAATTGCAGCAAGAAAACTTTAGTCCTCAGAAGGGGTGTAAAAATCAAAATTGGATGCTTCCAGAAATAAAGTCTCCTTTTCTTCAAGATCAAAACGGTATTGATAGTATTTAGTTAGATTCTCTAATCAAACCTATTCAGATACACTAAAATTATGCGTTTACTTAGAGTCCGGATAGAAGATCAGCAAAGAAACCTCCTCTGGGATCAGATCTCAATAGTACCCTTTGTTAATAATTGTTACCGTAATATAGAAGTAATAATAGAGCATTCTAAACAATAAAAAGCTTTATCCGAAAATGATTTTAAATAAATGCTAGTTATTTATTTCTATAATTATTGTTTATTTACTCTTCTACTTATGGCATCTTTCTCCAATTTCGATGAGAAAACCTCGTTGATAAATCAATGCGTTAAGACTTTGCAAGTAGACAGTTTAAGTTTCACATTTTTAGATCGCTCCATCCAGGAGAACATAAAGTGATTTAACTCTACTGTTGCAATTGGTTGAAGCTATTGCTTTTTTTAAAAATCTTCAATCTCAGAATCCTGACATCGTCCTCAGATGTATGTCAGTACTAAGTTACAAGACTGTAAAAAAAGAAGAAGTAAATACAATTTATAATTTTTAGATATTGTTTCATGTTGGCGATCAAGGCTCTCTCTTCTACATCATTCTCAAAGGATCCGTGGGAGTTTTCATATTATTGCCCAGTCCTGACGATTCCAAGAGGTTTGAGTTGAAGGAAGTGAACATATTAAAAGCTGGAAATAGTTTTGGAGAATTGGCTCTGTTGAATGATAATGCAAAACGAACTGCAACCATAATAGCCAAAGAAGACTGTATGCTTGCAATTATGGAGAAACATCATTTCAAATCAATTTTAGGTGCTTAAGAGCAACAAAAGGTTCAAGACAGGATAGCATTCTTGTGTTCTGTAATTATTATTTATCTTAAATTGTAGTTTCCATTTCTATAGTCGTGGTCATTCAGGGAAATTAAAACATTTAGTTATCATTTTGAACCAATTTAAATAACATTAAATTAGGCGGTGATCAAACAGAATGATTACTGTTCCAATTTTTATATAGTGAGAGAAGGGTAAGATATCAATTATGTTATTTAGTAAGTAATTTTGAGGTAACATATACATTAAATGATTCGCACAAATTGAAGGGAGTATTTTCAACTCACAGCATGTGAAATTTTATAAATAAATTTAGATGTGTATTGGGACCAGGAGAGTTTTTCGGAGAGGAAGCCTTCTTAATGGATGATGGCAAGACTTTCATATTAAAACTATTTAACATATTTTCTGTAAGGTGGTCAAGAGTGAAATGTTCTGTGATTTGTAGAAGTCAATGCGGTTAAATATTAAGAATCAGTAGGGAAGACATAATTAAGTACTTAATTTTGTGTAATATTATGGCAGGAGGTTTTGGGATGAAAAAACACAGACAGTTTTTATTTCATTGTTGTAGTCCATTCATCAATTCAGATTGAATAAGAAGAGATACTATGAATAGATAGCAGATGATAAATTGAAATAACTAAATGGTTAGGAAGGGTTTGACTAATTTGTTAAGCCTACTTTCAAAGCGAAGGTGAGAAATAATTGTGCATTGATAAGGCGAGAAACTCAAATGGATAAGTCTGATATGGTATTTGAATGAGTGTTATATAGTAGGAATACTAATTTTACAAGAGGCAGGAGAAGAAGGCTTTTGAATAGTTTAAGAAGTTGTTCAAGGACAGAAATTGTTCTTATGCTTAGGTTAAGACATTCTTCGATTAAAAGACGATTGGATCTCAGAATTATATAGATCGAGATTCCTATTTTAAGTTGTTCTTTAGATTTCCTTCTTAATTGAAGAACAGCGAGATTTCTTAGAATTTAAGTTAACAGTAACCGAGCACTGCAAGGACTCATTATCGATTGACGACGTAGCCAAAGGAAGAGCATGAGAGAAGTGCTCATTTTTCAACGAAGTTGAGGACACAACGAATGTTGTAGAAGTTGAAAGTGAGTGAGGTATAGCCAAAGAGCAAGACTGTTCACAGTAGCAACAGTCCTTTGAACATTCATAGACTGGAGCTGAGAAGATTTGGGACTCAGAGTTACTTATAATTGAAATGATATAAAATTATTAATATTTTCTTTTAATAAAACAATATGAAGAGATTGTTGAGGAATGCTCAAATTTTGCAAAAATAATCGCGATATTATCACCATGATCCAGCCAGCAGGGCTATAGTAGGTATGGATACGATGTGATGTTATACAGGATCTCCATAAGAGATTGCTCCTCCAGTACACTTCAAATTATATTATCTGCCTGACAATTTGGCCAAGACTGGCTAGGGCATGAGACATCCTCATTTCAATGCCTATTAGATGGAGGGGGTCACCACTTATGATAATTGGGAATACAAGTAGATTATTAAGTTGATCTAGATATTATGGCCAATGGTGGCATATTGGCTCCATCTTCTGGAATTCCTTGATGTTAGTCTACCCCTTGTTGTTGTGGTTGGTTATTGAGTAGAGTCAAGTATGTGGATGTTGATTTATCCCTTTTAGCAAGAGGCACTTCTGGCGAAGGATGACATGTTTAAGAAATATTTCAACGAAGCAGGAGGATTCTATCAGTACACCTTCATAGGCCCAGAAACCACTTTAAATTATTGAAGCATTCATTGGAAAATATAAAAATATATTAAATATTACATAATGAATTCCATCCCTAAGATAGGGGATATGTAAAGTAATGTACAAACTATGAGTTCTAGCCAAAAGCAAACCTAAGATTTCAAGCAACACAGGCTTGCCACCACTTCTATCTCCCAGAATTAAAATTGACCCGACTAAAACAGCTCAAATTCCCCCCGCTTTTAGGTCAATTTCAACAGTGAAAAAGAAATCAATCGAGAAGAAGGAAGATACTCGGCCAGTTACAGACAATACCTAAAATGAGAAGTGTTATCCATCAGCCAGAAAACAGAAAGGACAAGGTCTCATCATTCGCAAACTCTAGAATCGGCAATCAAAATTATAAACTTCAAATTAGGAACCACTAGAATAAATTATAAATAAATTTTAAAGTCCTGCAGTCAGAATGCTTGAGTTCCCAATAAATGGTATGGATTCTCTTTGACCTAGACTTTCATGATGATACATTGATAAAGGAAGAAGTGATGCTCCAATAAAATGAGTAAGGCACAGAGAATAGATTCACTACAATGAAGAATCAATCCTTCTCTGTCTTTCAAAAGTTTGTATTGGAATCCTCCAACTCCAACAAATAGGGTTAGGAGTCATCCTCCAATTCTCAGTTTGATTTCAACACTTAAATTCCCACATTTACTGAAGGGGAAATGATAGGTGCCGGCTCATTTGGATAGGTGTACATAGCTTAAGAAAACCAAACTGGCAAGATTTACGCTGTGAAAAAGATCAATTTGAAAGGAGACTTTGATTAAGAGGATTTGAAAGGATTGAAAAGTGAAATTGATTTACTGAAAAGTATCAAACATTAGAACATAATTCGTTATGTTTGGAGTTCTGAAAATGAAGATTATTGGTTGTTATATTTGGAATATTTGTCACAAGGTATTCAACAATAGTATTATAGGAACCTTAACTTAATTAACCGAAAAGTTTGGGCCCCTTCACATCAATACTATTCGTTCATACTCCAAGTAAATATTACAAGCCATAGCCTATTTGCACGAGAATAATATCATTCATAGAGATATCAAAGGAGCCAATTTGCTCTTAGGAGTCGATGGTGAAATCAAACTTGGGGATTTCGGATGCAGCAAAATCAAAGAGAAAACCATCTAACGTTCTAAATAGAGTGGAGACATCTTGCATTCTCTCAAAGGAAAGTATTCCATACATGGCTCCTGAAGTAATAAAAACTATACTTATTTTCAGGTTGCTAGTTAAGATGAGAATTGCAGAGCCAGTGATATTTGGTCATTTGGATGCACTGTTTTGGAAATGGCCACAGGAAAAAAACCATGGCATGAACACGATTTCGATAACTCTTTGAGTGCTCTTTTGTACATTATCACCAGCAGTGCAGTTCCCCTAATACCTGAAGACTTGGATCAAGATCTATAATCTTTTATAAGACTTTGCTTATAAAGGGATCATAAATAGAGACCAACTGCCATGCATTTGTTATAACACTAATTCATAATTAATTAATGATTCAATTCTACTTGATATATATATCATTTTTAATAATAGTCGAATTCTCTGAATTCATCTTAACTGACTAAATTGTTTTCGGGAGCATAAGAGTTGATTGCCTCTTCTGCAGTAAACTGCTTGTCAAAGTTTTCAAGCCATGCCTCTCCCTAGATCTAAGGTTTGAAAGGGGTTTCCACCTCCTTCTTCAACAGTTTCTCCCAGTTCACTCCCTTAAACCAAGCATGATTTTTCACATCTTCAGTTTTACTGTATCCTATCCTGAATTTGGGATCTTTGATTGTTAACTAAAATAATGGAGTGTGCAAATGTACCTTCTAGATAAAATCCTTAGCTTCCATGGAAATCTAGGGCGTGGTTGGGAAACTGATATCCTTAGTCTAAATCTGTTTAAACATTAAATCTTGATTTTTGTTGTAAAAAGGTGGAAGTGCATACAACATTTCATAAGTGAGTATTCCTAAAGCCCACCAATCAGCAGCCATTGAATGCCCAGTTTCAAGAAGAATTTCAGGAGCTAAGTATTCAGGTGTACCACAGAATGATTTAGCCAACTCATTCTTTTTTAATATCTTCGCCATCCCAAAATCAGTTAAACACACATGACCTTGATCATCTAATAATACGTTTTCTGGTTTTAAATCTCTGTAAATGATATTTTTTGAATGCAAATGTTCTAATGCTAAAATCTATAATTTATATAAGAATAAGAAATTACAATTTCTGAGACATAAAATTTTGTTCTGGATTCTTCAAATCTTTTGACGTGTTTAAGATGCTAAAAGAGTTCACCTCCTTTCATGAATTAAGTAATAAAGAACAACTTTTCAGGGGTTTGAAATGCCCAATTCAAAGAGACCAAAAATGGATGGTTCACATGTTCCAAAACTATCCTTTCAGTTTTCGTGTGTTCTAACTATTCAGGATCTGCTATGTCTTCTTTACGAATGGATTTCATTGCGTAATACTACTTATCGCTCTTTTTCTCTACCAACATAACTTTACCGTATGCTCCTCTGCCTAGTACTTTAATTAAATCAAAATCATCTATTGTCACTACTTCTCCTTTCTATTTGGCATACAATGTAGATGTCTTGGCTCTTGTTTATAATCGTTCTTCAGTCTGGGAGTCCAATCTTTTTCTGAATTGATCCTCATTCATCAATTCTGAGCCAGTTGTTGGTAACCTATTGATTCCCTTTTTCTTATCGACTTTGGTAGTTGTATAGGCAGTCAGTGTGAGTTCATCTTTATAGAATATTGGGAGTGCAGCTCCTTTGTTTTATTAGCAATAAGCTTTAATAATGCACAAAACTGCATAGTCCCTTCTTTCTGAGCTTGAGTATCGATAATCGTATTCTTCGGGGACATGCACCACAAATTCTGTCCCAATAAGACCAACTGTTATGCCATACACTCTTTTAATGGGAATTTTTCTTTTGACAGTCAATTTTGAGAGATTATATAGATTATGAGTTGTTATAAGAATTGTTCTTTCTTATCTTTTATTAACTTCATTAAATTTATATAGCAAGCTCGAAAATAAAACTTACTCCCCCGTCTCTAAAATTTTAGTAATTGATTTCTCATTAGCAAGATGCAAATCATCCCAAGACTCTTGTTTCATCAATTATAATATTTCTAATATCAAAATTATTGGAAATTGTAGAATATTTTTAATGGATATATAATTCAGTATATATAGTAATATAATTTAGGACTTTCCAATTGATAATTTGTTGAAATTATTAATTTAATCATAAAAGAGAGTAAGTACCTTATTTGCTTCATTTGCCACAAGAAATATCAACAATAATTCGTTTAATTCTGACTTTGCTGAATTCAATTAAAATAACAAGAAAATACAACTCAATTACAATTATGCGAAATATAATATTAAATTGAATACTTCCATTAAGAATCATTCATAAGTCTATATATATCAATTAATTTATGTTCCCAATAATATTAAATCATATCAATTCATTATAATTAAGCTGTAATCTTTGTCAACTCCTCGACCTCGTTCTCATTCAAAAACCAGCATTCATTCTTTCTAATCACACACAATTCGATATTTTTATTACCACTCTCCACAACATCCATCAAAGCCTACCCTCAAATAAATCAACATACTTTAGTTGTGAGTAAAAGGGCATCCTTCTCATGCAATCCTTCTCTCCAATGCTTCTCCAAGAAATCCTTCACCTATTTGGCACTCTTTCCCAAAGAAGTGGCCTTCCATTCTGAACAAGCACCTGAAGGATCGGTTTGGAAAAGCTTTGGCTTGTTATTACTAAATCCTGCAATCAGAGTTGAAATTCCGTAAGGTCTAGCACCTCCCCTTTGTGTGAACTTTTGTTATTGTTGACTGGTGAATTTGGCAATGAAATCAACAGAAGGATCATCCTCATAGTAGATCTTGTATTGCTAACATTACAATCTAGTTTGATTTGCCAAGATTCTTGCATCTGCATTCAATCCAGAAAATGTCATGCAAAGATTGTGATCTAGGGATACACATGAATTAATTACCCAATTGATATACTTTCTTAATTGTTTTAACATCTTGCAATTTCGATGTGGCTTTCTTCTCTACTCCCAATATTATGGCATCTTTTCCTCTTACACCAACGCAGCAGAGACCTCTCTTAACTGCTTCCATTGCGTATTCTACTTAGAATAATTGTCCATCTGGAGAAAATACTGTGAGTGCTGTGTCGTATGACATTATTTAAAAAAAATAATATTAAAATTCATCCTAATCTTAAGTAATCATCTTCTTCTTCGACATCCCAACCTTTGAATTCAATAAGATCATTGTTACACATCTTTATTGGCCTCTTTTATTTTGTTATTAATCCTTGGCTGACACTCCTTTATTGTGAAGGAACTACCCTCGTTTTTGCTTTTATTTCTGGCGTAGGAATACTGATATCTATATTATTCAATGAGTTTTCGATAGCTATGTTCTAAAAAAACATATGCTATTAAGACTTCTTCTTGTAGGGACCATTCTATTCTTCAATAGATTTATCGATTATTTTTCTGGCTGACTATGGTTTCTTGTCTATAATCAACAATTTTTATTCCTAAGGGATTTCTTATAGATTGTTTTGAAGGGCCATCTTGTGAATAGAATACATTGGTTTAGTTTTTTCTAATAGTCTGGCTTTTTATAAATCGCCTAGTTCTTTTTTTAATTAATTTATTTTTTTTTCCAAAAATGATGAACTTTTTGAAGAGTTGTTGTTCTACCTTCTTTATCTGTCTTGAGTTTGAATTATACTGGATCGAGATGATTATATTTAATCAAAAACTGATTGCTTTTACTTATAGGCAGTCAATTTATTGTTAATGACAAATTTGATTCCTGGTTAGATTTGTCTTATCTAAGTAAATTACTCTTTTTAAGTAGGATTGAGCAATTGATCAATTCGATTTGCCACATGTTCAAGATGAAGTATGTTAAAGGCTTTCATCTTTTGAGGTGATTTCCTTGAACTTTTCATTTTAATCTAAACAATATATATTATTAATTTAGAGACTTATAAAAATGTAATCATTTCACACTCAATCCACTCAAATTGTAGACATAATATAATATGAAGTTGTGTCCTATTCTTCTTATGTCTTAAGGAGACTATTCTTCTCTTAGACTAAACTTAACATTCTTGATTTTTTTGATATCTACACTTTCTAACTTCCAATTATAGTAATACCTTATAAGAATGTTACCTTATTCAAACTAGAAATAGTGCCAAAAAGTAGTAGATTTAGAAATCTAAAAGCATTTAATATATTAATGAATTGCACTTTATAAATCTCTTAATAAAGTATCTGCAAATAGTTAAAAAAACGCAATTAAATGGGGCACAGTTTTTTAATTACTTTGTTACATTTCGATAAGATTATTTATCACTTCTAATTCAACAAATATTAGTATCTCGCTTAGTAATGGATATTGCTGATATTTATATTTGAATATTATCTCAACTAATAATGAAAAGTCTTAGTGAAAGTATCAAATAAATCGAACTGATCTCTCTTAGAAAACAAGAGGTTTATAATCGATTCTCTATAATTCAGAACGCCGGGGTTGGCTTTATGATTTATTATATGCTAAAGAACCATTTGACATAATACATTTTGGTTATTAATTTTTTCCATTATATATGATAAAATAATTGAATCATTACTAAAGAAATGACGCACGATTTCTATTGGGAATCTATATATTACTCGATCTCTCCTAGAATTCAAATTACATTAAATAAATATGAGTTCATTAAGATTTGACGGAAAGGTCGTAGTGATCACTGGAGCAGGTAATGGTTTGGGCAAAGAATACGCTCTGTTCTATGGAAAAAGGGGAGCAAAGGTAGTGGTCAACGACTTAGGTGGTTCTATGAAGGGAACAGGAGCTTCCTCTTCAGCAGCTGATAAGGTTGTTGAGGAAATAAAGGCTGCTGGAGGAATTGCAGTTGCAAATTATGACAGCGTTGAGTTTGGTGAGAGAATAATTGAAACTGCAATAAAGACATTTGGCAAAATCGATATTTTAATTAATAATGCAGGGATCCTAAGAGATGTTTCATTCGAAAAAATGAAAGACGAGGATTGGGATCTCATTTACAAGGTATTTATTTAATTAAAGCCTTAGGTTCATCTTAAGGGAACTTACGCATGTTCAAAAGCAGCATGGCCATATATGAGAGAATAGAAATATGGAAGAATAATCAATACATCCTCAGCATCAGGATTGTATGGAGTGTTTGGATAAACCAATTACAGCACAGCCAAATTGGCTACCCATGGATTAACCCTTGCACTCTCAAGAGAAGGCTTAAAAAGAAATATATTTGTAAATTCTATTTGCCCTGTTGCTGCAAGTCGACTTACTGAAACTGTGATGAGCAAGGAAGTTCTTTCCAGTCTTAAACCAGATTACATTGTACCACTTGTAGCATGGTTGTCCCATGAGGATTGCAAAGAAACAGGATCAGTTTTTGAATTAGGAGCTGGTTATATTTCAAAATTGAGATGGTAAAGAAACTAAGGATATTTCTTCGATACTCCCTTTACTCCTGAAGATGTTAAGGAGAAATGGGATGAGGTATCAGGATTTGGTAGTGTTGTCTATCATCCTTAAACTTCCTCTGAAATATTTGAGATATTCTTCAACAAGGAAGAGTTCGTCAAGTAATAAAAGGAGGGCAAAACTAAATCAACAAGTCCATCATAGAACGCTTAACCAACCAACGTAACCTTGAAGGCAGAGAAAATATTCAATTTAATGAGGGCATTTTTAGACAGAGGAGAAGGAAAAGACTTAATTCCAAAAGTTTAAGGAGTGTTCAATTTTGAAATAATTCTTTAAAAAGGAGGTCCAGTAATTAAATCTTGGGTAATTGATTTGAAGAATGGCCAAGGATCCATCAAGGAAGGCAAGGAATAGGCTGATGCCACATTCAATATGATTGATGATGAGTTTGAGAGAGTATGTTAGGGTAAATTACAAGCAAACGAAGCTTTCTTGAAAGGTATTATGAAAATTAAAGGCAATATGAAAAAAGCGTAATATTTTTCCTTTATTATTACATAGAACCCTTTTTACACCAAGCCTTTTTCCAGCTCCAACCCCAGAAAACTTTGCCAAATATTCTTAAGCAAAATTATGAGAAATATATTAGTATTATTTAATCAAATAAGAGAAAATAATTTACCTTCTCTCCATACTCCCTTTGTAATTTAATTATGTTACTCCGTAAACTCCCCAGTTCCATGTTACAAACCGTTCATCCATTACCCAGAGTATTTTCGACCATCAGCAAATTGAAATGTTCCGAAACCTTATCTCTTATCCTTTACATATTAGCCAACATAAACTCGACCTAAACTCTTAATAATGGAATAGTACCGTCAGACCATGACAATATTCCTTGACCATGCATCATTCCATTTTTCCAATCTCCTTGATATCTTCTTCCATCTGGCCACATCTTTTAATATTATATCAAAAACTACAAATGTTCCCTTCCCTTCAAATTAACCATTTATGAACGCACCCTCATATTTCTCTTTATTGCCAAAAATCAAGATTCCATGACCATGTTTTAAACCATTACGAAATTAACCTATACATAATAGCAGAAGATACCTTTATAATGAGAATCACCTTTTACTTCAATACCAAATCCATTGTACTTGTCATTCGACCATTGTCCTGAAAAACATTTAAAATTTCAAATACCATCATAGATGGATCCATCTGAATAATTATACACTCCCTTCCCTTGCATGTAATTTAAATGGAAATCTCCACAATAATATCCACCCTCCGCATCAAAAAATTTGCCTTTTCCACTTGCATATCCATTTGACCACTAAATTGAATATTAATGATGTTACTTCACCCTAGTATCTGCTTGAATCTGCAAATTTGTATTCTCCCTAGCCCTAAGGTTTTTTTTTGTACCAGTATCCAGTGTAACATCCTCCATTTTTCATGACAATCGAAGGCAATTTACACTGTTCCCTTTCACTCTTTGCTATTAATTAATAATCCTCTTCATTCAAAGGCTGTATTAATTCTTTTTCGAATAATTTCTCTTCCCGTTCTTAGCTTTGTTTGCTTGATTTATTTGTACACAGAGAAGGCCGAATCTAGCATGAATCCTCCAAAGAATCGAATTCTGGAATTTCATCTGAATGCGCTTGTTGTAATTTAGAATTAGAGCAATCTTTAACTATCTCAAATAATTTTTTATAGTTATCCTAAGAACTTGATTTAGGTCTTCTATTTGTTAGATTTAAGTTAAACTTTTGCACACTTTCTATATCAGATTCAAAAACAGTCTAAAAACACTCCGAATGGGCTTTCGTATGACCAGATTATTCTAGCATCCTCTATATTTAAGATCAAATAAATATTAAATATATATATTTAGTAACATTAATGCGAAATCACTATATAAAAATCAAACATTAAATTCCAATTGTTTCTGACACTCAAACATCGTAATTATATGGATTTTGTGATACTTTCACCAAAAAATTAAGGAGATTTAGAATGAGAAAAATGAAATAAATGAGTTGTTTAATTTAGAAAATTCTTAATTGTATTTAAACAATTATACTTAAATTAATAATGAACAAAAATAGAATTTGGGTAAAATGAATGCTCCAATGAGAACTCTTAAAAGAATAGGAGAAAATTTATGATTAAGGTTATGAAACATACAATTAATGTAGAATATCAATACTCTTTGTCAAAATTAAGTTATTCTAATAGATCCAATTTAAGTTATCCTAAAATCTTTGAATATGGGCCACTTAATTTCTCAATTTGTTCCTCTTCAGAATTTTTCTCTATTAAATTTAAAAATACATAAAATACCTTTATTGTTTCCTTAAGAAGTGGACTCTAACATCGATAATAAGTCTGTTTTTTCCATCTATTTCAAGGATGCATTGTCTTAATTCACAATAGCCTTAGATATTGCCGATTTAAATCTTTGGATTCCCATGATCTTCTCTTCCAAGGTGTCCTTGACAATCAATCTAAAGACCTAAACAACATTCTTTTATCCTATTCTATGAGCCCTATCCATAGCCTATTGATCATTCACAGGATTATAGTCATGATCGAACATAATCACAATATTTGCTGAACTTAAATTCAATCCCAACCCACCTACTTAAGTAGTAAGAAGTAACACCCGAATATCTGGATCTTCATTAAATTTGGTAACCAAAGGGTATCTCTAATTTTATGGAACACTTCCATCTAAAATTAAATATTATAATCCTGGAAACTAAGCCTTCAATAATTACTCAGCAATTAGTTATAGAGCAGCTCTGAACCTGGAAAAAACTAAAACCTTATTAAAATTTGTGTAAATTGTTATTTAGTCGCTTTGGGTCTATTGTTAAGGAACATCATCTGTTGATTGAAATCCCAATTATTGTAATATATCTTTCAAAGCTATCATCTTACCTGAATGAGAATAGCTTTCAGGTTTCTCCTATTTATCTAACAATTAATTTATCTCTTATTCAGCCATAATCTCTATATTTTCTGTTTTTACCTTTTTCTTTGGTCTTTTATTAGGTAAAATTACACTTCTGACCAATATTGGATGATCTAAGGCTTATCTCAATTTATGCAATAATTTAAGAACAGATTCACAAACTTTGTTTTTTTATTCTCCTTAAGTCTTAGTGATCTATTATTCAATATCAGTAGAAAAAGAATTTGATTCTAAAATTTAATAAATTTATGATTGTAAAGGTTCTGATAGAGTACAATAATAATCTCCTATAATTTTAGCTGGTAATTAAGGTAACACATCTTATTTAGTTCTTCTCATTATAAAAGGTAACACCTTTTTGTGCAACAATCTTAATGTCTTAATTTGTTATTCATCAAATAAAATTTCATCTTCAGTTAATGAGAAGATATTTGTATGAAAAGCCTTAGAGAAATTTCGTTTAAAGTACTCTTCATCACCCAAATAATTAGGCAATAAAATATCAAAAAGTGACCACAATTCCAAAAGGTGATTCTGAACTGGTGTTCCAGACAAAACAATCTTGTGTTTTGCTTTTAAGCTCCTTATGACTCTGCTGGTCTTATTTTTACTATTCTTTAAAATATGGGCCTCATCTAAGATAAGGAAATAAAATTCTTAATTAAGAAAATTTTGATTTAGCTTTAGTAATTAATTGTAAGACACCATAATAAGATTGCCTTGGAAGACTCCATCATAAATATGAGGTTTCAAAACAGCATTACTTATATACTTTTTAGTTTCTGCATACCAATGGTCGACTACAGTACTGGGAGCAACAACAAGGGAAACCAAATTTTCATTTTTTCTTTTAAATACTTCATTTGCTAAAACTACCAAAGTTTAAATGGTTTTTCCTAATCCCATATCATCACATAAAGCTGCATGCAAATTGTACTTAATCAAGAATCCTAACCATCTAATACCATCCCATTAATAATCTCTTAAAATACTACGATCCTTGATTCCACCTTCTACCTTATAATCCACTTTAGTCATCTTCCCAAATCCTAATTGAAATTCCTTCGCCTTTTAAAATTTATTAATTAAAGATGGTGATATTGGAGAATATGGCACATCCATGATAGTCAAGATGGGCACTAGAAATCCAAATAATTTGCTTGCTGCTTATGCTGTATTTGGATCTTTTGCTGTTAATTTTTTGATAGCTTTCAAAGTTAAAAACCCACTTATTGGTGCTAATGATATTGGAAATTCTTTCAAAATGATATTCAGAATCTCATACATTCCATTTTCATTCCTCTTTATCAGTTAATTTATTTGCATTATCACTTGATCAAATACACTAATATTCTTTGAGACTGACAGAAAATGAATAAACTTAGCACAAAGTTTAAGTAAAGTGTTTTTCAATACAACCACCTTTTTAAAGGTTTAATCAAATTCTAATAATATTCCACCCTTCAGATCATCTAAAATAATTTTATTATTATCGTCATCAGTTATATTGCTTAATACTGGCAAATAATTTAATAGTTTTGATAAGAGATATTAGGCCCATTTGTCGAAATCAGAATGTTCTGGATTCTACAAAAATAATGAATAGGCATTTTAAATCAGACCTATCCCCCATAAGTTATATTTCAAATCTTCTACTCTTATAGTTAATTTAGATGTTTAAGTCATTAGAGTTTAATTAAATCTTAAATCACTAGGAATATAATTCAATTGCTATAAGAAGAGTCTCTCAAAAAAGAGATGCCAAGATTAGAAATCTACTTAATTTCTTAGCAAATGCCAAATTAATCTTTTTCTACCATAATCCTTTCCTAAAAAACATAATCAAATATAATACTTTTCAATTCATTCTTAGAAGATAGTATATACTAGACTGTTTATTATGTACTTTATTTAACATAAAGGGATGTTAAATCACAACAGTTTGGATTTAAAGACATTTATTTGGATAATCTTTCTGATGCAATATCCTGTATTAAATGAAATTTGTCTATTCTTAAATAAATTAAAACTTTACCTTATTCTTTGAATTAATGATTCAGTGTGATCTGTAGTTAACACCTTGAAGTTCAAGTTTAGTTCATTGCTCAACTTTGTAAAAGCCTACAGGTTCTAAACCAAATCTGAAGTAGTATCTTATAATTTCTAAATTGATTCTTAATCCATTTCGTAGTCAATTGAACTCAACTGCTTAAGTTAATTTAAGATAACAGGATACAATTATCTAAGCTTTGGTGAATGAGCTGGAGCTATTGCAAAGTCTCCATATATTTTGACAAATCCTTATATGATAGCTAAGTATTCCTGTTCTTTTTCGATTTGCATATAGTTTTTCAATAACACATTCAATTATTGCATCGAAACCTGAATCTTGAGATCCAAATCATCAAAGCAACATCCATTCTGACGTGTACTATCAACTTCTAAATTTAATTCCTTTCTATTATTTATATAATTCCTGAAAGTGTAAATAAAGTTAATTGGATCCAAATCAACTGTTAATTAATGGTTATAATTAATATCTTTGATCAAATAAGCAGTCTTAATCATTCTAAATGTCTAATTGTCGATGGGATTTGAAGTTTGTTGAGCCAAGTTTGGATAATGAATATCTATAGATTCTCTTTTCATTCCATCAAACAGATAAAAGTATTTCTTAAATTGATGATCAGTAGAGAAATTGTGAACAAATTAGATAAATTCATAGAGTTATTCTTCCTCTAAATGTTTGGATAATTGTTCCAAGATATTCATTAATGTTTAGAAGGTCTCGAATTTCTCTTCAAAGACTCCAGTCTAAAATATGATTTTCATAAAATTTATTGTTCTAGCATCAACTTATTTTGTTGCTTGCTACTTTGAAAAAGCCAATAAATATTTATAAAATTATTCTTTGACTTCTACAATTCTATGAAAGAAGAACTTTTTTAAATTTTCTATTTCTCCTTAAAATTATTTCTGTATTTTGAAACCTATTTGAAATAGTGCACTTAAAAATTAGAATATAGATTTTCCAGCAAAACTGATGTCATCCTGTTTCTTTAGTTATTCCATTGTAATTGTATAGACAGTATTATAATATTTCTAATTCAAACCTAATGATAGGAATTCCTTCCATATATCTGCCAATAATTCTAAAATCTCATCTTCATTATCTCTCTAACCTACCTACAACAGCATTTCTGAAAAATTATCAAAAATCACTTACAGATGATCCTTCAATAAACCTTTGACTAAGAATAGAGCACTTTAAGAGACTTCATATATTTACACTCTCTATCCCTCTTCGATGAAATCTTTCAATAACAGCACAAATTTCATAAAACTATCGGGATAATGAATCCAAATATTAGTATTGTAATTCCTATCTGTTAAAAGTGTAATAGCAGTTTAACAGGCTGCTTCTCTTACAATCATGATTGTTTAATTTCCAAAGTAGTCTGCAAATCGATCCATCACAATTAATACACAGCATCTAGTCAATAAATATTCTAATTTGTTTAATTATCCATTCTTATCACTTATGTATTCGATTAGACTGGCTCTCAAAATGCCATTAATCTCCTTTTCATCACCTTTGATCAAATAGCTGAATCCCAAATTTAAAAATCCTTTTTGCCTAACAATAGATTTCAAAACCAGAGCACTTGCATGTCTTTCTTACCATTTATGATTCATCAATTCATAGACTGCTCTATTGTAAATCACATTAAAAGGGTTTATTACACAATACTTTGTAGTTTGATTCTTCTTTTGAGCAGATGGTTTCTTTTTGAGATTAGTTTCTGGTAATTTACCTTTGGTCTTACTTTTCTTCTTATATTAACCTACTGCATCGTCATCACTAGAACTTTCTACAATCTCATCGGAGGATGAATTCATATCTATGGGTATCTCTGCATCTCCTTACATAAATTCCAATAATCGGGTGACATTTGACAAATTAAAATTGCCAGACAAACCCATCAATCTCATGATTTCCTCTTATCTTATGTCAAGGGTTTCATCATCTAACTTCTAATTTTTATTCTCTTGTGATCTTTTTAAGTATTTCATGTCTTTTCCGAGAATTGCACTCCCGTCGTTGATCAGATGGATGAAATCAATTTATTCACTCTTTAGCTTAATATTTGATTTGATCTCTTCATAATCACGAATTTACTCTTACTGCATAGCATCCTCTGCTTATTGATCCAATATTGGTTCAAAATGAAACAAGTTTTCAGGGATAGAGTCATTAGATGATGATAACAAATATTCTTCAAGTCGTTCACTACATTGAATAACAATCAAATTACTTGTAGATCTTGTATGTTCTTTCAATAATTGCAGCAGCAATTTGAGAATGCTCTAAACGAAGACGAGGATCTTGGGCTCTTGAATATATTAATTTGTTTGTTTTTCTTAATATTTAATACAAACAGGCAGGGTAATCATTATACACATTCACTATTTGAGCCAAAGCCAAGCTAAAGAGTTGCTGATTCTTGAAATCATTGAATAAAGCAAAAAGTTTATTTATTTTATCTTCCATTTATTTTTTAATAAAATAAATGAAATATTTCAGGTGCCTTTTAAAGTTCTGTTCAATTAAAATTTTTAAATTAATTATTATATTAAAAAATAATAAATTTAATATAAAATAAATTCTCAAAATTAAGTATCACCAAAAATCGTTTCCTTCTTCTAATCTGAATTTAACACTAATCCTGAAATATACTGAATATAAATTAATCGTTGATCCTAAAATAAAGAGAATCCTGCTTTAATCATATTAAACCTAAATTAATATAAAACGAATACTTTAATATGAGGCGCATTAATGACTATATTTCATAATATTAATTTAAACTTTAATTAGGCTCAATGATCAGCTTTATTGAGCAAAATAGTCGGCTTCAGAGTAGGTCAAGCGCTTACGTTGAGAATATTCTTCTAAATCATAAATATATGGTAAAAATTCTCAACAATAATACCTTTAAAACGGCAGAAATTCACACGTTCTTCTAGAAGGTGAATACTTCTAAAGTACTATTCTATTATTTTATGGTTGAATAATTATATTGTTAATATTATGATAAAAAGAAATCATTCCTATTCCAAAATATTAATTGTTCCATCAGACTTGGCATAATAGGGATTATGTCTATCAGAAAACTTTTTTGCCTTTATTGAGACATCATTTATAATGAGAGGCTTTATCCACTCTTTTTTTATGATAAATTTACTAAAATAATCGTATTTTATTACCTCTCTTCTCCAATAACGGCCCCGTCATCAGTTGGTATAATCATCATCATAAATGTCCCTTTTGGAAAATGGGAGGAAACTTCCTTAATCTGAATCCTGCTAAGTTTGCCATAGCCTTTTTTTATTACAGTTTATTAGCATCCTTTGAAGATTGATTGATTTTTATTGTTATGGGTGAGTTTTTTAGGAATCTTGTCGTAAGTCCAACTAAAATAACTTGATTTTCATACATTTGTAACTCAACAAGGAGATTATTCACATTGATTATTGTTTTTTCATTCTAAACTAGCTTTAGTTTGATTTGAAAAATTCTGTTTCTGTAGCACGGAAGCTCTAATTCTTCTTCCATTTACAGTTCATATTTATATTACTGATTCTTAAGAATTTGAATCTAGTCAGATGTTTGTTGAGGTTATTTATCACACATCCTAGAAATTACTTAATTCATCTTCTCAAGTTGTTTTTACAATTTTTCCATAGTTTTTTACCTTTCTAAGCACATTCCTTGAATCTACTCATTTTGGTTTTTTATTTATTCAGTTACATGAATAGCTATCCCAGAGAGATGGATACATATGTCATTCAGGTTTGATGGCATAAGAGTATTCATTTAATTTCTCTAATTAAAAGATAAATGGAAGTATATTAAAAAGTTGAGTTATATTCTTGTCTAAAAAGATACTGCAATTCATAATGCTTTGTTGAGAGATTCAATTTGAATAAACAATTACTCTATTACATAATTCCATTATAATTCAAATACGAAAATACATCAAATAATATAAAAACTTTATAAAATAAACAAATATTAACTTATTGAAATGGATTAAGGTAGTTATTTAATTATTAATTTTATTGTTAATTTTAAGTAATTTTTAAAGAAATTTGATTCTTATTCATTCAACATAATTATACAAGAATTTAAATCATAACTACTATTCTTCCATCTATTCAATCTCTTCACTTGATTCATCCAACTATTCCCTTTTCCTAAATACCTTACTAGGCAAGAAACTCGAAGTAACAGTTTAAAATCTTCCATCTCTAAAATTGTTAACTTCAAGCATTTTTCAATGTAAATGAGTAATGCCCATACAAGTATTTGAATATTTCTTATAAATTCGAAATTATGATTATCTGCATAAAACTTAATAAAAGGGATTTTCCATCTTACACTTTATCCAACATTTATTTAAAATTTGGAGCTGTAGGATTTCTAAAAAGTTTACTATTTAGATCCTTTAAATAGACATCATATTCAAAATAGGTTTCGTAATTATAAGGAGGTTTTTTGGTCATTATATCCTTTCTCTTCTTTAATTTATCGAATGGTGCTCCTCAGTAATTATCTATTTATAGATCCATTCATATACTTTTTACCAAACTCAAAATTTGGTTGATAATCTGTTGCAAATTATTCCTTTTTATAAATAATTATTTAATCTCTTGACAATTGTTTTTCTGCTTCTGTAATTTACTTTTATTATTATTTTTGCTTGATATTTCTAGCATTTTTCTTATTAGCTTGTTGATTCACATATTCCGAAGACGCAACAGATTAAGATTTCCCATTAAAATACCTGGGTTTATTTTTTAAATTTTTCTTTTCTTTAAATATAATATATTTCTCTGAAGCAATCTTTCCTGCCTTGCTAAACATATTTTGCATATCATTTTGATTATGAATTAGGGCCATTTTTATATTAATATAAATTATATTTTTATCATCTTCAAATAAGAGATAATTTAATACATAATATTAATAATAAATTTATATTTTCTATAATTATGTTGATTACATTTAACCATTACACAAATCTAATGTCAAAATTGCCTATATTATTTTTTTTCAACATAAATTTATTTCATCATTTAGTTTATTCCTATTTGATTATTAAATGCTGATCCATTTGAAAGGAATAATACAAAATAATTCAATAATGTATTTGAATTCATTCTTTCTGAGTTAGTATTTTTCAATAATATTCTAATAAATCTTTCAAAATATGGAATAACATTAAAAATTATTAAAAATACATTATTTATAAACATATTAATCACTAAAAAATTAAAAAATTAGAGTTTTGAGACAGTATTTTCTTATATTTTTCAATATTGAATTGGAATGATTCAAAATTAATTTCAAAGAAAAAACACTAATTTTGCTTTCAATATTTAAAGTTGCGAATTCTAGATAAAAAATATTTAAAAATTTTCTATTCTTAAAATTCATCATATTAAATTCTATCAAATATTGGTTTAATTGAAGTCAGATTTTCGGCTCTAAATTTTGAAAAATTCAACCTGAAATGTGGAATTTTAGATTATCCAAAATAGTTATCATTAGATGGAGTTCCAAGAAACTTAAACATAATATTGCATACGCTACTTCCATGTTAAATGACATAAAAATTTAGCCATCCCCTCTAAAGAGTGGTTATCTATTTAAACATTCAGCTATTATGCAACCAATAGCCCAAATATCAGCACTAGTTACTTCATTATCATCTCCAAGTAGGATTTCTGAGGCTCTATACTATATACAAACTTCTGATGGAAATTTTTTGATTGAAATTGGAAACACTTTAGACAGTCCAAAGTTTGCAATTTTACTGTCATCCCATTTAATAAAAAGTTCTCTGGTTAAAGATCTCTATGTAAAACTCTTTTACCATGACAATACGATAAACCTAAAATTATGTGATTTATGATTCGCTTTATCCAATTTAAATCTATTAATTTATTTTCATTTAAATTTTTTTCTAAGATCATATTGTATCAATTCGAAAACAAGGAATATCTTCTTTTGTTCAATAAAATACTTTGTCTTCAATCAAACTTTATTAAAATTAAAAATTACTTTACAATATTTGGATGTTTTAACATTTATAATATACCTTTTTCTCTCATAGTTTTATTAGGAACACCTTCATCATTAAGCTTAATTCCCTTTAGGCCTACTGATTTAGATCGTTATTTATCAAATACTTTTCTCACAACCCCATAGGCTCCTATTTTCGTATCTTTAGCATCATTAACAAAACTTTAATGAAGGTATTGAAAAGACAGGTTTCATCAACTTCTTTTTTCATTTTTGCAAATAACAATGAATATTAAACTCTCTTTCGATTTTCAGTTCTAAATTCACATTAATTTATATAATTTATAGTAATAAAAAATTTGGTTTACTAAATGATAATTCATTGGGACTCACTCGCTTTCATAAGCGAGTCTCCTAGTTTAAGTTTGTAGCTGCTATCATGAAAAAGTGATTCATAAAACTTTACTTCCAAATTTTAGACTATCATTTCGTAGATATTAGTTGCAATATGATTTATAGGGATCTTCTTGAATTTTTAATGAATTATATCAAGTTTGCATTTTTATGATTTAGTAGAAAGAATGATATTCACACTATGTAAATGTGGATAAAGAAATAATTTATCAATTTAGGAAAACAGCATTTGAAAAGCAAACTCAAATAATTTCTATCGTATCAATTTTTTTGAGAAATTATCGAAATAGCAAATTCACAAAGAATTTAGCGATTATAATATATATAATATCAATTGATAAATAAAGCCCAAATTTAGAAATGAAATGACCTCTCTTTATTATTAGTCTGAATTTTACCGTATATCTAATATGAATATAAAGTTGAGTAACAATTAGATTTGAATGTATCTAGAAACTTGAATAACTTATTTGCAAAGTTAAGAAAGGTATTCTTGAAAAGCAAAATTATTTTTTATCGTTGATATATAGTTTAATCCTTATCATAAGATGTAGTATATTTGCTGCTTCAAATATATTTTGATTATTAGAAGAGCGATAAGTAAAATATTTGGGGATGAACCAGACTTTTGTAACTATTTCTATTTTGAATTTGATTATGCTAAAACCTTAAATTTATGCTGTTAAAATTGGTCAGGTGAGTTGATTGGACATTTGGCTAAGGTAATTATCATAGAGAAGTATTGGGTTGATCTTTATAATGAAATTAAATTAGATGAAAGGGAGTTTATGCTAAAAATAAAAACAATTTTAAAGCCAAGAAACAGATGAAGAATATTTATCTGCAAAATTTGAAAGGTTAAACAATTTTTATTTAGAGTATGTTCTAATTAATATTAATATTTTTATTTGATTTTATTATATCCTAAAATATGAAATTTAAAAGTAATAATCATCATTATTTATTTTTATCATTCTATTCCGATACTATGAAAATAGGAGGATAACAAAAATTTACTTTATGCAATATTATTGCTTCACTGATTATTTTGATTTTGGGTCTAACACAAACAATTACTAGTTTGAATTCTGGATTGTTTATGTTATTAGATTTACTATTCTCCGTAATATTTTTGATTTTGGAATGGAGATAAAAGTTCATCAGTTAAACAAACGATTATTATTTAGCAGTAACTTAAATGATTGTGATTATAATTGAGATTGAGATGCTGAAAGAAAGTGCACATGAAGTATTTACTCTTAAATTATACTAAGGGATCTTTCATTTACATTTTACTTAAACTCTTTGCCTTACTCTAGATTCTGTAAATATAAATACTCTAATCGCTAATCTTCTTCATCGGCCTTACATATTTGATAGTAAGATTTGATGAGTACTAGTATGCAATGTCATACATTGGGATTGTCTTTGCACCAATCATTATTGTAAAATCAAACATAGCTTTAGATTTAAGAACGAGAAGATGCTAATGATCTTTTGGAATTGTTTAAGGAAGCCTTGCCTACTTCAATACTGGTAATTGACAAACAAACACATAAGCCTCTCTATCACACCAAAAATTTGGAAACTGAATTTAAATTTGACATCCCTCATTCAGATGAATTTATAAGATGTCTCCATTGTTTTTACTCTGAAAACAAAGTCAAATTATAAAGTATCATTGATAGTTTCTTCCCTCAGATATATAGTGCTCGTCAAAACTTCAAGAATCTATTTTCTGAAATTATGGACAATTGCCAGTATTTTTCTCAGAGTCCCTTATTAAAGAAATTCTCAGAATAATTTGAATATCCTGAGGATGAATTCAATGAAGAGCGAGAACATAAAAATCAGCATGAAATTATTATTGAAACTCCAAAAAATCAATTGTATTCTAAACCCTCCATTATTATGAGTGAGGAAACCCCTAAAAATTAAAAATCTAAAATAATAGAAGAACTATTGATTAAAAGTTAAAGTTAAAGAACTATTAGTTTAGTCTAATTAAAGAAAAGGAGATTGAAAATTAGTTTAAATCATTGTTTATGGTTTCGAAAATAAGCCTTTATGATAATACTCTAGAGCAAAGAGATCGATAAATAGTTGGATAATTTATAATAGCAATTAAATGAATAATTATAAATAAGTGAAAATAAAGATCTCATTCTAGCAACTGTGTTTCATGATTTTAAAACTCCAATCAATGGAATTGTCTCCATTTTGGAGACCCTTGATTGTAAAAGTGAAATTACATAAATAGAAAAATATTATCATAATATCATTAAGAAAAATGTATACTTAATGCTCTATATGATATATGATATTTAAGATTATGCAAGAATTCAAAAAAAAAAGTTAAGATTATGCTTAACTGATTTTTATATCAATGAAATAATTGATGAGGTTATTGAGATGTGTTCAATTCAAGCAGAATAAAAGGGAGTTGAAATTAAAACATACTATGATATTCCCTCTTATCAAATTCGTTCAGATCCTAATAGAATTAAACAAATAATAATGAATTTTTTATCAAATTCATTGAAATTTACAGAACAAGGCAGTATTACTATCACTGTATCTTCGCTCAATACTGATAAATCATAAAATATTAAAAGAAGTAATACCTCTAGGAACATACAGTATTAAGTGGGAGATTAAACAATTTAATAAATTAGAAAAAGCTTACAAGGAAGATATTAATAGAGTTCTGTAAACAAATTAATTTATTCTATATCTGTAGAAGATACTGGTTGCGGAATACCAGATAATATTAAACCACAACTATTTAATTTGTTTGCAACTTTTTCAAATTAAAAGATTGAGAATAAAAGTGGAACTGGTATTGGGTTGATGGTGTGTAAAAACTTAGTTGGTCTATTGGGTCCATCTGAATCGATAGATCTTTGGAGTGAATAGAACGTGGGAACTAAAATGTCGTTTTAGATTTATGCAAAATTGCAAGATAATAATTCTATTAAATCTGCTAATTATATCAGTTGTTTTAAGTAGGAGCACTCCTCTTAGCATCTTAGCATTTAATAGCATGACGATTCCTTGAATGGAAAGGATACACATTAAGTGATTGTGAGATCTTCTCTTCTAAGGATTTATACAAAACCTTAGGAGAAAACTGAACTTGACTTAAATGAACCATCTTCAGAGGATGTCGATCAAACAAAAAGAAGGAATATCATTTAATTTTAATCTTTGGGCTAAAAGTTATTTCTTCAAAAATCTTTATAGAAGGAGGATTCACAAGAAGTCTAAGATCCAAAGTAAAGGTTAAAATAAGTGTTGTAAAATAAAAAGTTCGGAATTCTATTAGTGGATGATCAAATTTTCAACTTGATAGCGTTTAAGACTTTACTTTAAGATCTGATATCCGATTTGGTAATTATTGAAGCCTATAATGGATAACAAGCTATAAACAAAGTAATTTTATTATTATAAGTTAGCTCTTATAAAACCAAAAGAACTTGAATATCAAATACGTGTTTATGGATTTATATATGCCCATTTTAAATGGATGGTAAGCAGCATAAAACATTAGAACAATGGTAAATAAATGCAAATTATTATTAGATCAATAATAGAGAGATCGATGATGTAAAATTGGTTGCCTTATCTGGCTTTGATGACGAGGTTGAGTAGGAAAAATGTGAAAAGCTTGGATTTGATGCTTTTATACCAAAACCAATTAAATTGGAAGTTATAGCAGAAGTTTTTTTTTAGCTTGAAAATGAACATTGATTTATAATTATTAATTAAATCTAAATTTCAGTTGTCTTGGAAGTTCATTTATGAAAATTGATCAATGATTTGATTTTTTGAGTTAGATTAATGCAAACTGAAATCAAATTTAGCAATCAGGTCATCCATCATCTAATTTTCTTCCTTCTCTGGTTGTTTATGCTGATAATAGATAAGTTGCCCATTCTGATATACTTCTATGTTTTTAAATACTTCGCTCAAATAGTCCATAATATAATTAATGAAATTAAGATGTTGTTATTAAACCCATAAAATCATGGTTTTAATATCAATTTATATAGTGGTTTATTATTAATGATAATCTTAATCATCAGTAGGTGATCCTTACCTTCACCTAATATATGATGAAAAGGAGTTAGAGAAATGATTAACGATTCTTCACTCCACAGCGCTGACTAAAATAAATTAATTATATATATATATATCACTCATTTCTGTTTCCAATTACTGTATGAATAATTAGCCTATTAATTATTGATTGATTGAGAGCGGACAGATTGTGAAGTATTGTCTTGCAATCTCTGTGATTACACCGTGCTTTTTTCGTAAGTAATTCCTCTGAGATTATCCAATTCAGCAGACATTATGACAATTATGGATAAGAGTTCCATAACCTTATCAGATTTATCAAATGAATTTGAATTCTATTTAGTGTTTCTAATTCTTGAAAGCTCAAGAGATAACATGGCAATCTTATTTTCATATTCATGAATCTATCTTTTCAATTTATCAATTTCTGCACTATTGTTATTTATCAAGTAGCTCTATTACTATTAAGTAATTAATTATTGATTCTTAGTAGTCTATTCCTAGACTTGAATTTGGAGAGTAGAAATCTATTATTAATATTGTTAGAGTTATCTATTTAATCTTTCATTATCTTATAGAATTGTAGAAGTTTCTCTTTGTGTCGATTCATACTCTTAGATTCTGCTGACACTTGCACTGGCATTAACTTGATAAGTACTTATTTGAGATTGAATGAGATCATTTCGTTTGATTATTTGATCCATGTCATATTGCTTTTATTCTAATATTTTCTTTAATCTTTCAATTTCATCTAGAAGTAGTTCATTTTTAGTAACAGCATCTCTGTTGGTTTTTTCTATTTGCCTATAATCCATCAATGCCAATTCTATTCTTTAATACTTTTATTTCCAATCATCTGCATCTGTATTTAATTATTTTATTAAATTATTTAATCTTTCAATTTCAGTTGTTAAAACAGCCACTTTATGATCTTATTATCTTAATCTCTCATTTTGCATTTGCAATTCTTAAAATTTCAATTCAAATTGTCTTATCTTTTCCTTATATTCTTCAAAGATATATTTCTATTTATTTGCATCACTAATTGCATACTGACTTTGTTCCATTGTCATATTAAGTCGAGATATTTCTGACATCAATGATTGGTTTTAAGATTGTAAGTGATTATTCTACTCTTATAATCGGGACATTTCATTTCTCAATCTCCTCACTTCATCTTCACTAAAGGATCTGAGTTTCGTTTATAATTAATCAATTTCAAGGACTAGAGTCTCATTGTCTGACCATAATTTAGTTATTTCATTATTTAGTTTAACAATTTCATTCCTTAATAAGGTGGCTTCATTATTCTCACTCTAAATCTTTGAAGACATACTTATTGTTAATCTCTGATTCTCAAATTCGAATCTATTCAAATCAGATTCTATTTATGTTATATACTAATCCATCTCTGATAGTTTTTACTCCAATTACTTAACACGATTTTGAGATTAAAGTAATTATTATCTTAATACACTGGTATCTTCAAAGGATGTCTATTTCCTCCTTAAATCATCTAATTCTCTCAGCAATTCATCTATTTTAATTTACTTTTATTACTGACATTCCTTCCATTGATTTATCTTGAAAAATCCTCGAATTACGATTTCTTTCTCCTCAATTCTTCTAACTCTCTCATTATTTAATCTGCACTTTGCCCACCAAATAGATTCACTTATTAGTTAAGCTACTTCTAAAATGCTGCTAATTGGAGTTCTGCTTAAGTCAATTTAGTTCTCAAATTTGGATCACATTCTTTTTATGATTACTATTATCTTCTAAGTTGATCTTCCTAATCCTATACTTTCCGTTGTAACTTTTCAATGTCGACCAATAGATTACTCTATGAACTAATGATGAAAATCACTATAAATGATTACTTGTTTTACACTCTAATTTTTTCCATCAAATCCCTTATCTAACTCTCATATTAAACTCTATCCAAATTAGAGTCACTATTTAGTTGTAGCTCTGATTTCAATTACGCATTTTCCCTTTGTAATCTCTCAACCTCTACTGCCATTACAAACACTGTAATATCAAGTGGTAATTTGGCTCTTTTTCCCAATTCCTCAGGAGCTTAAGAGTATCTCACTCTGTTATCTATACTTTGGATACTCTTTGCTGAACTAAATTTTGACTTTGAGTATGTTCCGTTTTTATTTAACATAATAAAAATTATTGATATTTATCAATTTATTTTAAACTATTTGAGCAATATTCAAATAAATCTATAAACTGTAATTTAGTCAGTTGGATACTTTCGACAAGTCAATCCAAATTAATTATTTTACATAAGCCCCTTTTTAGTTTTAATTTATTTAAGCATAATTTATTAAATTATAAATACCATGATATCATTATTATATAGATTTCGTTTAAATTAAATTAAAATAAATCAATCAGATAATTTTATCAATTAGTTTAACATTTCGCTTTTTATTAAGAGGACTTAGCAATTTTAAGAAATTTAACACAAATTTGATCCGTTTAATTTAGAGTAAATTTAGTAATCATTTAAATCTTCCTATATAAAAATATTTAATTTTACGTATTTTTAATGAAAGTTAAAGATTGAAGAGAATTAGAAAAAAAGTAAGTTTCGAAATATATTATTTTTGAGAATTGTAAGCCTCAAAATATATTTTAACACAAAATTTTGATTGATAAAATTGAAACTAATAACCTTATGATATTATCCCTTAGAATTTAAAAGGTTTTTGTTAAATTTCTCATTAAGTAAAATAATACATCAAAATTATATTCTATTTGAACCTTATTAATGTCATTATATTAATGGCTAATATTGCGATTATATTGAATATTTTGCAATAAAAGAATTAATTAAATAAATATCAAATTAATTGCTTAATACTTATATTAAAAGCAACCTAATACCTCTCTATCTTTAATAGAAATATAAAAGAATAAGGGATAATGGAGAGGATTGAAAATACATATAGAGCTTATTTTTCCATCTCAGAAACACTTCATAAACTTTGGTTTGAGAAAATCAATAATCATTTATTCGATAATTTAATCATAGTGTTAATATTAAGGTTAATAGAGAATGTGACTTTAATATAGAAACACTAATAAGAGTTACAAATTCAGTTTTTAGTAAAGATCCGAATTTAAATAGCCAGAAAAAGTACTACTGTATTTGTTCTTTTTTGGTTGCATTTGAAATACTCAAGCTTATTCTTATGTTAAATATTTTAGTTTTAGATGGAAAGTGATCAAAATTTCAAAGAGTTTTTCTTTATATGGATCGGTTATAAAACTTTGATTGCAGAATATACAAAAGTTCAAAACTGGAGAAGTGATATTAAGATTAGAAGCAAAGCTAAGCCTTGAATTTTACTGAATAATATGTAATTTTGATTCTATTTATTTATTTTTATAAGTGAATTAATAAGAATAAGAAAAGTTTAATCAAATCATTTCTTACTAAAAGGCCAAGGAAATTCTCTTGAGCATTTTATCTATTATTTATTGACAACTTTACCAGAAGAAATGACAAAAAAAATTAGATTATTCATGATTTCTTTGAGCAACATCAAGAAGAAGATCTAAAGGTTGTTAAGGAGATTAGAATATATTACATTTCTAGTATTTATTTTAATAATGAAAAATAACTACCTTATAAAAAGATATATTTAGATATGAAACTAATATGGCTTAAGTGAAGAACTATGAAGCTGTTTTCAAAATATATTAATTATTTTAGTTTGAAAATCAAACTAATACTACATACTAAATCAATAAATAAATTATATCATAATAGCTGAATTACATTATTATTTAATATATAACTGTTTATTTTCACAATTAAAAAAGACAGTTTCAAGGATAATGTTGATATTCATTATTTCAATAATTTCGTCAAATTTTTCATATATTTTATATAAGATCTTATATAAATTAAGTTTCACATTTTTGACAGATAAGCTATATTGCAATTGCTTCTTGTCGTTGTTGTATCATAATTGAATTGATGATGTTATTTCATTTCATATTTGGTTAAATAGAGAATATTTATTTAATAATATATACATAACCTCAAAATGATGATGCTGTTAAGCGTTACGTGTCATCTCATTATTGATTATCTTGATATTTTAGATAATGAAAAAACAATTCCAAACTATTTTATCAAACTTCTTATAAATTAAATTAATTCCTTAATATCATAAAGAGAATAAGTTTTAGTTCTAACAAAAATATATTATTCTCATCTCTAAAGCCCATAAGAAACACTTTTTAGTGAGAATAAAAGGATGCCAAAGTTCAAATACTTATTAGTCTTAGATTCACTGGAGATTTAGATCAAAGATTTTCTTAATTGGACAGATAATGTAGGAGTTTGTTGTCACATGAAAATTATGATATTTATAAGCATATTGAGAGATTTTAAAGCGAAATAACAAGAAAATATAAAGGTAATGATCAACTTTTAATTTGGTGTAAAATAAGCGTTTGTGGTAGATAATAAGGAATTAAGGGTGAACTCATTGAAATCAAAGGGTTTAGAGGAGAGAAATAGAGTGTTATTGGTAAATTAATTATAATTTATAAAGTTAATACATTATAAAAAATTATCTAATTAAGGCGGCATAGAAATGTTCTATTTTTCTGATTTGTGTTTTTTTTGTTTTTGATGCTATTATGTTAGTGATTTCCAATCTAGTTAGGAACCATTCCTATTTGTATTTAAACCCCCTACATCGATGATTAAATAATTGATTAAAATATCATATTTAAAGCCTCTAATTTTTTATACTAGAATAAGGTATTAGTTTTTGTAAGAATTATGCATTTTAGGAATGTAAAACAGCTTTGAAGAGAACCAAGGAAAAAAGTTGATAGAAGCACGATTGATATCATACTACACAAAGAAGCTGCAAAAGTCAACCATTTTAGAGAGTCAGCAGCAGAGAATCTGTGCCTAAATGATCCTGAATCACTTGCACGAGCTTCAATGTGAAAAACATCTTCTAGAGGGATTGGAGAATTTCTTCAATCAAAAGAATGGCCATAAGCGTGGGCATATTCTACAGGCTAATGGTACTTTAATTTATGATGCATCTGTCTAGATTTGAATCTTAAAAATTTAATCTCTACAAAATTGAGTCCCTCTAATGAACGTGTTATCCAAAAGATGCTTCAATAATATATAGCTCGCGAGACACCTGAGCCCAAAAGGCAATCAAGATTTGAACACATAAAGAACAAATCATAATCACTTTAATAATTAAATGGTGGTCGAAGTGTGCGCCAAGAGTATATATCACCAGTTGAGTACATGAGAAAATTAAAGACTTGTTTCGGCCATGCCCTTCATCCAGACAATTAAGATCAGGAAGATCCATACATACCAGTGTACAATGTAATATATGACAGGTAAAACATGATATGTAGACTATTTAGAACTGGTTAGTTATTGTTGACTGGAGACGATTTAGGATTGATAAAGATATGGTCAGCATCCAATGGGTTGTTATTGCAATCATTAAAAGGTCACACAATGGCAATAAATTCAATGGATATTAGTTATTGTAACAAATATTTGGCATCTTGTAGTAATGATGGTCTGGTGATAGTTTGGGATATTTAGATTGGTAAGCCTGTTGCAGCATTGAAAGTACATATATACTGTATTCAAATAGGAAGCGTAAGATGATCCAATATTAGTTTTGGTGTTTTATCAAAGTAATTCGGAAAATGTAAACTATTTGACTGTTGCAAGTGAGAAGGGTTATGTTTACATCTATGATGTATAGGATTTGATAAAATGCAATGGGAGCATATTGGGCACATAGTTCAATACAAAAATTAAGTAATCTGCCATTAAACATGAAGCAGATATCATCAGATTGAATGTGAATTACAATAAATCAAATAAAGGCAAAGTAAATGGGATATTGTGTATGGAATTTAATAAGCAGGGATATTTAGCAATGGGAACTGATTAAGGCGAAATAATTATCTTTGATAAACCTGAAAATCTGTCAAAAGTAATCAATAAAGTTGAATGGAGAGAACATTCTGGCACTGTTCATTTGGCTCGTTGGTCTAAAGATGGTGATCAATTGTTGACTGCATCGTTTGATGGAAGTGCTCGATTATGGAAATGGTAAGAAGGAGGAATTGCAGCCAATCAACACAACAGATCATAAGTGTTATTGAAGTATAAATCTACAGAGGGGAGAAGAGTAGGTGAAATCTAATGTTTTGCTATTGCTTGGTCTGCTAAAAGCACTTATGCTTTGGCTTCATTTAGTAAGAAATTGAAGAAGAAAGGAGATGAGGAAAAATCAAAGACTTAAATTCAAGTCTATTCAACACATGAGAATTAAGTCATTCATTGTATGGATTAAGAGAGATTACCATAATTGAAATTGGATTCTCATGTTGTATTTTTGGAAGCTCATCCTATTTTTGAGGAAGTGGCATTATCAGCAGATGAAAATGGATTAATCATTTTATGGAATGTCCAAAAAGGAACACCTCTAAAAGTGTTTCATGAAAGAGGATATCATTTGAAATTACCAAACTTAGAGGTTCCTTTGAAAGATGGATGTTTCAGTCCAAATGGGATGACTTTTGTAGTGTCTACAGATTATGGGTCATTCTCTATCTATGGCTATGGAGCACAAGAGGTCTTTGATTAAACTCCTGTTGAATAGTTTTACGTATCAGATTCTGAGCATCCAATAATAGATGAATCAGATGGATTTAGAGTTATGGCATTAGATTCTGATATGGAATTCTGTTATGTGGATAGGGGAAGCATTTGTAATTTCTATAGAATGCCATATCATTATCATTTCTAGAATAATTTTAAGACTCTCTTTCCTTATTTGATATCTCAAGATTATCAAGGCAAAAAGAGTGTCAATCTGTAGAAACCAAAGTTATACACTTTTATACAAATGTCCAAAGGGATTACCATAGATAACATGAAAAATGAAGAGATGTTTTAAGGCTACTTTGCAGAGATGAAGTAAATGGAAATTAAAATTATTCATGATATCAAAGAATTAATGAAAATTTAGGATTAAGTCAGAATTTAAAAATTAGAAGGTGAAATAATTGATGTAGCTAATCAACCCATTCCAGAAAGATCACCATCTAATCATAATGTCAAACTAATTAAAAAAACTGAGTAAAAGTCAGGAGAATTAATTAAGAGGGCTTTAATCAAAGATGATGAAGATAGTAGTCCATAAATATCTTAATAGGTGGCTCAGCAATTGATTAATAATAATAACGAATCTAAAAAATAAAGTCAAAGAAGAAAAAAAGTAATTGAAAGCGAAAGTGAAAGCGAAGAAAAAATAAGTAAATAAAGCAATTAGAATATGAAGGAAGATGCTCAGATTGAATAGTCTCCTTTATAGACAAGATCAAGAAGAAATCAAAGAAATCAATAAAGTAGACTAGTGATCTTGAACAGTCATAGACAACAAAATGATTTAAGACGCAATAGATCATAAGTGACAGAGTAATGTACTAGATGTCGAATTTTAATGGATAATGTTGTTCGCTGTCCTGAATGTAAATCAGCATTTCATTAGGAGTGCAGTGAAATACGTCTATTCTTAAGTGAACTTGATTTTGGAACTCAAAAAAGAATTTGTATTAATTGCATGGCTTAATTCCAACGAAAAAAATAAGCTTAAACTAGACAAGGTGATCACTTGAGAGATAAGTATTTAACTGATGATACTAATTCCCCTTAGATTGGAGATGATGTAATATTCTTTACTAAAGGATATGAACAATATCTCTAAAAATGTCTACAAAATTTAGATTTGTCTGAATTGTTAGTTGATTCTGCATCCAAAAAAACTATAGTCTTCCCTGGAGATGTTCTAACAGACTAAGAGTCAGCCAATTTCGTATATTGCAAAGTCCTCAACATAAATTACATTTTCCCTGTCATCAACACAGTCTTTAAAAGATAAGTTAATTAAAACACTTATATAATTCAAGTTTTTGAACTACAAACAAAGGATCTTATTTTCAAATGCTTTTACTCATATGATTGCGATCCATATCTTATTCTGGAGGAATCTTATGCTTCTAGTGTAAGATAAATTCGTCCTTATTTGAATCAACAATAATTAAGCTTCCAAACTGATACCGATAAAGACAATGGGTTTGGCCATCAATACCAATTTATTGCTTAAGAAACTCCAGATGTTTATTTAAATGCCAGCGATTGGTAAGTCTTAAAATGCAAGAGGATTAGTGATGACACTTACCAACTAAGAAATCAAAAAAGTATGATTGCGTATTGTCATTTAAATTTCTGGGAAATAGCCTCAATGATCAATAAATCTAATAAACCTATCGAAATTCAAGGAGCTTCCTTATAATCTGCTCTAACCACTAATGAGGCTCAACAAATTAATAAAGACATTAATGCTATGATCAAGAAGTAAACTAAGATTTCCTTTTTCTTTTCCAATGAAGTAGATGTCCAACAGTACCCGGAATACTTAGATTTTGTTCCATTAATGAGTTACATTACGCTCATTTAAAGAAGGTAATTATATCATTTGATATTAAGATTGGAGAATGATTTTTATAGGAGTAAAGATTAGATCCTAAATGATGTTGAAAGAATTCGAAGCAATGCTTACGTTTTTAATCCTTCTAAATCAGAAGTCTGTGAACTAGCTGATAAGTTAGCCAACATTTTACATTCAATAGTAAATGGTGATCAAATTCAAAAATAAGTGACAATATAAGTTAGAGAAATATAAACGAGAAAAAAAAAAAAATTATTTTGATTAATTTTTTATTTTAGTATTTAAGTTATATTTTTAGTCAAATAAATTTATACATCAACGCCTTAATTGAGCATTTACAGAAGGCAATAGATTAATTCATCATTTAAAACTTATAAAATTATCTTTGAAATCTGAATCTAATTATTTATGATGACTTAGTTCATAAATAATATAGCTGTTATACATTTATTTACTTTTGATTTGTTCATAAACTTTTCAATATTGTTCTCAACCATATGGATAAATTAAATAATAATCAAATGACCCAATGAAATACTTCAACTTGAAAATATCTAAATTTTTATTTAGAAGAATTAGATGGTTTAAGAATTATATATGATTTCATTATATAGATTTATATGAGATTTTAATTAGGATGTAGTATACAAAGCATAATATAAGGAATATTGTTAATAAGATATAATTTATAATATTTTAACCAATTAGGTTGCTGTAATTTTAAAATTCACTATATGACTAAATTGATGTTAGATATCGATCTTTATGCTATTAAAGTTGAGGTAGCATCCATTAAATAATTTTTTAATTTTCTTTGAAGAATAATTATTTGCTCGTTTGAGAGTGTATATAAGGAAAATAAATAAAATTATTCATAAATAATTTAATTATCTGTCTATAAATGTTCCCTGTGAAGTTGATCGATTTGTAATTGTCTCCATCTAGATCGGAATTCAAGGATTTCTCGACTATGATTAGTGAAAATGATTTGGACTATGATACATTCAAATTGGAGCAAGTCCATAAGCCCCCATAAATAAAGAAGAGCTCTTCATATCCTAAAAATTATGTACTATATTTGACACTATCTTTTTAGTATAAGTAGCAACTTATCGAAGAGAGCAACATCGAAGGAGATCAAATCATTCAGGAATGCAATCGCTTTGTTTAAGACTCTTAAGTTTCTGTCACTCAACTACTGTAAGAACTCGCTCTTGAATAACCCAAAAAGAATAGAAGCACCGGATACCTTAAGTTCTTCGACGAAAATAAAAATTATGGATTCATTGTTATGGACTAGGATGGCTCAGACTTATTCGTCTATGCTGATGATCTTGCCAAGACAGGCATTTCAAGAGAGTATTTAAGAACAGCTAAATTCGGAAATTACATTAGGTATTCATCTCATCTCAAATATAAGATTTACATTTACATGCATGGAATATTTTGGTAAATATAACAAATCAAGAAAAGCCATCGATTTGGAGTATCAAAAGCCTAATCCATTCTTCCAAACCATATACTGATTTATATATACAAATTATAACTTAGAATATATTATGTTAAGTCCATTTTTGAAAGTCCTATTTTACCAATAAAAATTAATCATAAAACCATTTTATTTGTTAATAACATAAAAGAGTATTTATTAATAATTCAAGCACATTTAGTGATAATCAGTCTCAATTTCACTAATTAAATCACTGAAACCTTATAATTGGGAATAATTATTGAAATTGACATCATTAATTTTAGACTCAAAATATACTTAATATTTGGATGAAAATAGTTGCATCGGATAAATAATGATATTATTCCTAAGTTTCTAATTTTTGTCTCAAAATTGTACAGCAATATCTCAACTATAAAAACTTGAGGATGCTTACAACTTATCATATGAAATTCATCAGAATTAAGAACTCTTATATCTATAGCCCATTTTAATTTGATGAATTGTTCTTATTAACGGATAAGCTTATATAACAAATGTTTTATATCTTCAATCTTTGATAAGCTGAGTTAAGAAAATGACCAAAGTTTTATTATATATCTAAGAATTGTAAATAAAATAAATATTAATCTTATTATTTATAAAAGCGATTATTCCTTTATTTATATATATATTTATAAGATGTGTTTAATATGTATAGGGAGGAGGACTTAATAAGATATATGTAGATATTTCATTTATAAAAGTTAAAAATTTACATTATTTTCTAATTTGTTATGGATTATTCCTTATCTATTACTCTAGAATATTTATTATATAAATTGTTTTTATTCATTATTTCTTCAAAAGCTTTTTTTTGATTGTCGAATAACTATTTGCATTCAAGTAACTGAAAATATTATTTTAAGGTATACTAATTGATTCTTTTGTTTGGGTCCGCTTACAGATAGATTTCGCAATTGAAAATATCTTTTATCTGACTTAAATTATAAAAGATTATTTGTTTCTGTTGTGCTAACTCTATCTTCAACAATTATTTCTTTCATTCTTTGACTTTTCTCCTCAGATTTGAGACCTCTAAAATCTTAAGGATTTTGGTTGCCAAATGATGAGGGAGTAGCTGCCTTTTTTGGTGGAATTAAACCAAATTTAAAGAGAGGATTCCTCCTGCTAATCTAAGGATGAGCCCTAGCATCACTAATAATTTTCCAATCTGCAAATGTAGGTGTCAATATATTTGGTAATTTGGCTCTCTGTTCCCCTTGTTCTTAAACTGATGATGCTCTAATCCGAGATTGTAGCTATTGCATATACTTAGGACAATTTATAATAAAATAAAGAAATTTAACTATTTATTGTTTTCAATACAGATCAATGGATCATTGATATGGAATTCGATTTATTCATTATATCAATGTTTATAATGATCTCTATTGATTTGCTCTTACAATCTCAGACTCATTAATTAAGCAATTTCTATGTCAAATTCTTCCTAAAAAGGTGGTAAGATTTCTCATTCGATACTGAAAATTCAGGTATTTTTACATCATGAAATATTATGAATATGAGTCATGTAACATCATCTTTAAAGATCACAAAGTTAAATGATAGATTTTTACAAAAATTATCAATTAAATCTCAAAAAATGGTATGTATCTAGGTGATTTAGTTGCTATATGGAAGAAGCTTGAAGATATTCTTCATTAAGATAATCAAACCATTTGTTAGATAGTTCAGGGTAAAGATTGTATGATAATACTTAATTTAATATATTTTGATGATTTTTATGGGTGTGTAAATAGAGAATTTGATATTCATTAAATAATACAGGTATTAAATAGTCGTTAAAAAACAAAAACTCATTATTTGCTCATTTTTTTTTATAATAAAATCTATGATTTTAATTCAAGCAATAATTTCAAAGGAGAACCTTTCAAATAAGTATGATTGGATTTCTTTCTTGTTGCTTAGGTTACTTGCTTTTAACTAATCAATGGCAATTTGATGTTGGTTGGTGAGCAATGAGTGCTTTGAGAGATATATTTATCAACAGTCCTGTTTGGTTTAAGATTGTGTGATTACAGAATGCCTTGATAGACTCTAGGACTATGGAGTGAAGTTTTTTGTTTAATTTTATAGTTTACTCTAGGAAGTTGAGTATTTAAGACTTGACTCTGATTAATATTCAAATTATTTGCACTAATTATTTGAGATTCATCTATTGTTTTTTGACTCACAGTTACTCCAAAATTTTGTTGTTTTGCCTATGTGGGAGTCTTTTCAAAAGTACTAGTGGTCAAAAATTCTTTAGTTTAATAGGCAATTTTCAATTCGTTTGCAAAAAAGTATTCATAGCCAATAGCACAGTCGTCTTTGGTTAATAGTCTTTTGCATTTTAATAATGTTTATTCGATAAATTAATTTTGTAGTAATGTTTTTGCTTTTCTTTCCTTTCGCTTTGGAATAAGCTTCGTAATATCCTCAATTTTAAGAGGGACTCTTGTTATCATGGCTGATAGATGTCTGCCACCTCCTTTATTGCGATGCATCTTCCTCTTTCTCTTTTTTATATGATGAGCTCTTATGTAAGTGATGGGTTACAAAGCATTCTATTTTTCAACGAATGCATTTGTCCCCCCACAATCCGAACATGTGCAAGTTTTCCTTCTAAACTTGCATTATCCTGCAGTTACGTTAAATAAATAGCATTTAAAGCTTCTTCCTCTTGAAGTATTTTGAGGGACAACTTGGTTGATTTATTTTATTAGAGGTTCTAATTTGGTTAATTTTTTGAATTTATTGGAAGAGTGGAATGAAAATTAATTATTAGTATGAGAATTTTCGAACATTTTAATGAATTATTATTATATAATTTTAAATATAAATTTTTAACATAATTTTTAATATTTAAGTAATTATATACCTTGAAAATTTAAATATTAATTTAAAGATGAAACATCTTTTGTTATTCTATTTTACTATTTGTTTTGCTGCTTCATAGGACTTGAATATAAAATTACCATCTTAGATGAAGCTACTATAAAAGCTAAGAGAAAATCGAAGAGATCGAAATCTTGAGGATATTAAAACTTCTTGGGAACCCATAAGAATACACTTTGAATATGTTGAAACTCCACCTGCAGATTACATTCAATAGACTGAGACAGTTCTTGAAATAATTAAGACATTTTTTGGAAGACACTTATTGGTGAAAAGACAAACGGGAAGTTTGGAATGGAAATCGACATATGAAACAGATTGGGGTCTAATTATTGTACCTGCTTCACTCCAGAAGAGTTATGACAGTGACTTGGTAATAAGATAGAATATATTTTTTAGGTATTTTTTGTTGCACAAGAGACAGATGCTGATGCAGAATATGTTGCGAGAGCTGGACCTGTGATTTTTGATGAGAAAACAGGTAGACCAATTTTTGGGTTGATGATATTGAATAACCACTATATGCTGGAATTTTAGGTACAAATAGAATAATTTTTTTTAAAGGGAACAAATGCAAAGTTTGAAGCTGCAGTACAGGTAGTACTTCATGAAACAATCCATGGCTTAGGATTCACTAATAATCTCTATGATAACTATATCAATAGTACATCTGGTTAGAAATATGATTTCACTGTATACCAACGAGTGAATCAACAGATAGACTTACCAACTCCAAGGCTGACTCAGTTGGCAAGGAAACATTTTGGATGTTGTGATTTGTTTGGTGGAACTGTATCTTAATCAATTTAAATATTAGATGGAAGATTAGAATGGTAGGGGGACTGCTGGATCACATTTTGAAAGGTCTATCTTTCACAATGATTTGATGACAGGCTCCATGATATCAGGCAACACTCTATTTACTGATTTTACATTTGCCATCTTAGAAGATACAGGGTATAAAACAATAACATTAATTTTAGATTTTATCGAGTGACCAAACATGCTTCTGATGTTTAGTTATGGGGATTGGATAAGGGATGTGATTTTTATTAGCAGCAATGCTATTCTGATTCTACTTATGAGGAATTCTGCGAAAATCCATACGATCCTTCCGATGAAAAAGATAACGTAGCTAATCATTTATCCTGTTCATATGCATAAACAGGGATAGGATTTTGCGTAAATGATGGACTTGTAGAATGTCCATATTACTATATCATTGAGGACCTAGATTGCAGGGATGCTGACAACTATGATGCAAAGGTATTCTAGGGAACCAACTTCCATTTTGGATATGATAGTATGTGTATTAGAGGAGGGTTGCCAAAGAAAGGAGATTATCTTTATATTGGATTTAGTTGTTTTCAATATTCTTGCGATGAGGATCATTAACTGAGCATTATTGTTGATGGAACTACATATGATTGTAGTGATGGAGGTTCAATTCCAAGTTTCGACGATAATAAATATTTATATGGATTTATGTGCCCAGATAATCCAGAGGATATCTGCTAATCAAAGAATGAATGTCCAAATTAATGTAATAAGAAAGGATACTGTTTAGGAGGAGTGGTATTCATATTTAGTTAAATATTTTAGTGCACATGTATCCCTGGTTATGCCGGAAGAGCATGTGAAAAGGCTTGCACCACATACAGAGATGGCATAGAGTGTGTTTAGACTTGTCCAGCAAACACCTTTGCTAATGATTTAACCATGTATTGTATTGGTTGTCCTGCAAATTGTGCAACATGTTCGGCTTTAGATGTATGCACATTATGTGAAGATACGCATGAATTAGTGGCAGGGTTTTGCGAACTACGAGTATATTCATTAATGTTAGTAACAAGTTTTATAGCTTTGTTTTTAGCTTTATGATGATGTTATATGTCATTATTTGCTGTATATTCAATATAATTTATATATCAATTTAACTTATTTAATTACAAAGAAGAGGTAAATGATAGAAAGTCAATTTAAATTTCCTATAGTAGAAATTGCAATTTGATATATCTCAAATTAGTAGATACTATCAAAAGAATTTATTTACTATATTAAGGATCTTTTTCGTTTATTTTACAATTTACCTAATAGATTTAACTCATTGAAATCTAATGTCAAGTGATATTGATATTTTATTTATAATCTTATGATATTTATAAATTTAAATGTGAGTCAGATTACTTAATCTTATTCAGATTTCTTTTATGGTTCCTGGCATATCATGATAAAAATAAATTATTATTGACAATCTTAATTCTTCATATTTTTTTTACTTTGCTCAATAAATTTGAATAGTGATTTCTGAATTGTGTTTAAACTTAAGTACTTTAGAGGAGCAGTGGCTTTGATTCCATTCTAAATTATTTAACGTGATATAATTTTGGTATAAAATAATCATGAATATTTACTTGAGCATTTCAATTAATTTGCTAATTGGATGTGATGCTACAACCAGCATATTATTGGCAGATTAAGGGATCACCTAAACATTAGCAGCAATAAGATTCTCAATAGCTTTGGTCAGTGTGATATGTCATTTTTTAATCCACTACAAAATTAGGGTTTCCCTCCTTACCCTCTGTTTGTAACTGTTATATCAAGTATAATTGGCTTCAGAAATTAGGTAAGCCTTTTCAAGCTTAGATCCTTATCACTTTTACATATATTTGCTATTGCTGTATTAAGAACAATCAACACAACAACACAAATATTTACAATATTCCTCAATAGTGTATTGTATGGTAGAGATTCAACTCAATAACACCTTCATACATCAGTATATTATCACAACCTTAATCTCGATATTAATAATCCTGATAAAACTGGTGAATTTACAATAATTAAGACACAAGCATGCTACATCACATGAAGTTTTATATTCTTATTCTACAGTACCAGCAGAGTAGATCATGTCAAATAGGAAAATTGATCTCATACAAAAAGATGAGTTAATTTACATTACGAATCACATTAAATAAGGAATAATATATTTTTCAACTAACTTGGATATATTGTACATCAATGATAAGGCATCCAAGATATTGATGGCTTAGACTGATGATTAAGCCATGCTGTAGTTGTAAAAAATGATATTACAGTAAATCTTTATTGAATTTCTAGGGGTTTGGAGTAGGAAGAGTCATTGACAAAGTTGCACAAAGAAATCAAGTGTCGTGCCTCACAAAAGCAATTACCCTAAAAAGCAGACGGTAAAATGATTGAATCATTGATTGCCTCTGCTGAAAAGCATCTAAAACGATGCTAATCCCTCAGTGAGAAGATACTAGAATAGTAATTCTAATATAAGAAACAAAAAAAAAAAAATTACTTATCCAAACATGATTTTAAATAGTTGCTTTTATCACTTTTTAGTGAATCACAAACTTCATCTCTGTAATAATATCTGTAACTGTAGTTTAGAACACAGGAGTTTTGTTAAAGCAAACAAATTAACAGTTAATTTCAGCACAAACAATCATGAAAAAACCATCGAAGTAACCTTCTGTAAATTGATAAACCTACTCAACTAAAATTGCTATTTAACACTATTTTAAGATGTCAGTGAAATAGAGAAATAATAATAGTTTGTCTAGAAATACAAATTCTAAACCTTATATTTTAATTCATTTTCTCATGAATTAAGAACTCCTCTGAATTGTTCACTAAACTTATTATAAGCCTTAAAACATCAACCAATTTAAGAAAATCTAATTCAATAATATATTAATCCATCAATTGTTTCTAATAAATTACTTATGCATTAAATTAATGATATCTTAGATTATGCTTCCCTTGGTTTAGGCACATTTCATTTAAATATGCAAGAATTTCTGATTAAGGACGTATACAATCAATTAGAGGAATATTATTAAGACATATGTTAAAGTAAAGGGATTAAATTAAATTTCCAAATTGCAGATGGTCTGGAAAATATCAAAATTAATAATGACCCTGAAAGAATACTTCAATTATTAGTCAATTTTATTAATAATTCATTAAAATTTACTGAATTAGATGATACAATTTCGATTACAGCCAAGAAAAAATAGAAGCCTTCAGGATTGATTAATTTCATTAAATTTATTGTTCATGACACTGGCAAAGGAATCTCTAAGGTAGATCTAGAGGCAATCAATAATATCGTTAATGCAAGTGTTGATGATAGTATCTTCTATTAGTTGAGAAATTTCACAACCAAATATGTAGGACTAGGGTTTTCAATTGGAATGAAAATGAATCACGAATTGTCTTATTCCAAAAAGTCATATTTCAAAATTAGAAGCAAAGAAGGCGAATATACTAAAATTAGTTTTAGAATTAATAACCAGATGCATTCCAGTTCCAGATCTCTCAAAGGATCTACTATAAGATTTGATGAGATTCCTGAATCAGGAAATTTGTATGATGAAAGAATCACCGTTGAAGATCATTAAATGCCTCTATGGAACTAAACCTTCTTTACTTAAAGATAGCATTAAAATGATTAGAATCCTCCAATTCTTATTTGTGATGATGTGCCTTTCAATTTGTTGTCTCTAAATTTATTAATTAAGAACCTAGGATTTGAAAGTGAAATGGCGTATGATGGATAAGACGCTATTAATAGAGTTAAAAATAGATAGAAAATGTAACTATTGCAATATAAATTGATTCTAATGGACATCGAGATGCCTGGGTTGAATGGATATTAAACTTCTGTATAATTACTATAGATTGATAGTAAATTGAATATAGTGATGTGTTCTGCCTATGATTCTGAAAACAATCTGCTTAAAGCATTAGAAAGTGGAATGAAAGAAATCTTAATAAAACCTGTAAAATTTGAACAATTAAGGTAACTGATTTTTAAATATATAAAATGATTATCATTTACATTAATTTGCTTTTCCGTTACTAAGTCCGATCAAATCTAGGTTATCTGAGCTTTCTGCTATGCAATCCTCTTCTTTCTATGACAACCCATTCAAACTATAGGAAAACTTTGGACTAAAGCCAAATTCCTGTGATTCCTGAATGCCATTGTTTGAGTCTCTTAATTTACAATTGAAGGTATTTTATGAATAATCTCTATTTTTATGACTTAATGATACTTTGATAGCTTCTGATATAACATAAACGCATAATCATTATAATCCAACTTATATTTTTCACAAACAGCTATTAGAAATTAGTCAAAACTATATTTATAACTTTGTGCTTGTAATAATTCATATATAAGGTCTAAGCTGCCTAAAATGGAATAAGTAATAATGTTACCAATTTTGTCATTTAATTTAGCCACGACCTTATTAAATCCTTCCTTGTTTATTTCTGAATTGGACATCTACATAGTTAATAATTATTTGAGTTCATCCCTTGAAATGTTAGCTACTTTTCCATAATACACAATATTGTATATGTGTTTGCCTTAGATGTAAATTTTTTCAATTTCTAATGAGCAATGAGCAATGAAAGATTGCTATTTATTGTTATTTCTATATTGTTAGTTTATATTCAAGAGTAGGGGCAATTAGGAGTAATCGATTTAGGCTGGGAATTGAATGATCAGATTTTCTATTTGATCTGATATTAGGTTTAATAACTCCTTAAGATTCGGACTACATTCTTTCAAGATATCTTTGCAGATAGGTTGATCATTGTTGATGGTCGGATTGATGAATATGCTATCAAATGGAAGATTCTTTTTTAATTTGAAAATGTCCGCATTAATTATTTCCACTTTTGGATTTGGTAAATCTTGACTAAAGGTAGTCTGATCGCAATTTAATTTGGTCTACAAACAAGCATTAGTGTTTTTATCAATAGCAATTACAAAGTCTAAGTATTTTGTAAACTTGAATTTATTAATAGTATAATACTTGAACTGTATTTTCACCATTTCCGCAACCATACTCTGCCAATGTCGTGATTTATTCCTTTATTCTGGAGGCAATGTATTTGGAAGTCAATTCTGGAAATTTGGTATTTAGAATTTATTCAGTGTCATTTTTCTGTTCAAAAAGTCTTGATTTTTTCAAATCTGAATTTTGCATTTTCTTTGATTGCAAATCAATTTGAGTTATCTTGGCAAATATAGATTCTCCACTTTAATTATTTCTTAGCAAGAATAACTAATTTTGCAAATAATTGTTTTCAAAAGTTGTGATTGCAAAACTACTAACTATTGGAGATGCAACACTTACTTTTCTTTGGGATTCTGAATTAGTTGAATTTAATAAGTTCAATTAAGAAGAAGCATAATGTTTACTCCCATCCAAATCAGATCTATTCATGGAGTGCCGAACCTTAGAAATTTGCATGGTTTTACTCGGCTCCATCTTACTCTTCTTTCTAAAACAGCCACAAAAATATCCAACATCCTCGTATTCCTCTTCTGGTTTTGAAGAGTTCTTTTTACTATTGCTACTCATTATTAAAAAATGAAATATTTACAATTACTTTAATATATATATATATTTATTGATCTCACAATAAATTTTGATATAAGTTTAGCACCTTTGTTCCAGTCAATGAAATATTAATTACTTGATAGAGTGATACCTAAATAGATTCATAGCAATACCTTGTAAATGATGTTCAATACACCCAGGGGATAAAGGGAATTTTCATAATCAAACTATTTATCCACGATCCATTGTCGTGCTATCTTGGTATCTGCCACTACGATTTAGTTATCACTCACGTGAACCTCAACCAACTTAGTCTTATTCATCATGAAGTCAATCTAGAATTATATTTCAAATAATGTACTTATTCCAAATCCAATTTCATATTATAAATTGATAAATCCATTACATTCAATCCCAACCTTGATGATCTTCTTGATTAAAACTCAATTAAATTCACGTTCTCATTCTCTTAAATCTATATTATCATTTATTGTAAATGAATCATTTTCTATAGGTGTTTATTCTAATTGATAGTTTATTAAATGTTGGCATTTTCATTAGTATAGATTTGAATCAATCGTTGTTTGCAATTTTCTTTCAATTAATATACATCTTCCTTAGTAATCCTGTACAACTGTGTACAAGTCGATAAACTTTCAAATTACTCTAAGTCATATTCAGTTTAAGTAGACCCATCTGAGAATAGATTTTGAAATTTGGTTTGGTCTCTCTTTTTAGCAATCTCCAATTCTTGAAGTAACTTCTAATAAAAGGCCTCCTCATATCCGATTTAACTCTTTAATTGTTGATTCTTGCTATGAACTGTAGCATATTGAATTTCTAATTTATCTTTTTCTTATTGGGTTTCACTTATTTCTTTGGCTATCGATTGAACTAAAGCTTGTTTTTCTTGTTTTTCCATCTCGACATGTTCTAAATCTGCTTAAATGTCTTACAAATGTTACTATTTGTTCTCTTTTTCATTCTCTAAATTCTCAACCTATTCAGCCAATTGTCTTCCTTCTTGAGAATACAATGCCATTCTATTTCTCAATTGCAAAAGCTTTTGATCACTCTCAATCAGATTTTTGTAAAGTGTTTATAAGTAATCTTTCTTCTCCTTCAATTTGTTTTTAGTATTGGCTTCTTACTCATAGAAATCTTGTGTTTCAACTTCTAACGAGTAAATTCTTTGTAAAACATTGACCTTCTCAGATTCTAAATCAGATTACTTCGCAAAGACTGCCTAAAGTTCAAATTCAATTTACTCTACACTCTATCTTCTTGTGTCTAATTCTTTAGCTAATCTATTTTCCTTTTCTGCCCAGTCCTTCAATTATAATGATAAGGCATAATGACTCTCGGCAGTCTATTTGATTTTGTTTTGTAAGTCCTTCAACAATTCACTTTCTTTAGTGAATTTATCCTACAATTCCAATAACAAGGGATCGTCATCCATAAAGAAACTTGGCTACACTGACAACTTAGATTAGAACATTGAAGGAATCATACTCATTCTTTCTTGTTGTTACTATTGTAATGTCGAAATAGTCATCTCCAATATTTCTATCTTTTTATCTCTATCTTACAAAGTTTACTACACTCTATCTGGAGCAAATTGAGACACTTGAACAGGAGCAGGAGCATCCTTAACTTCCTATTATTCCTCTGGCTTCCTTTCTGTTGGCTCTGGACTCATCTCTACCAATTTCTGAAGATCATCCTTCAAATTATTATTACGTGAATTCAAAGAAGTAATCTTATCCTGAATATCCTCTTCCATATTCTCGTCCTATTATTGAGGTTCTGCTCCTAAGGATCTTTGTTTCTTTCTTTGAGTTACCAATTGTTTCTACGCCTCAACCACATCATTATTAATTCTCTCTAATTCCTCAATCAGATTTTCTTTCTTCTTTTATAGTTACTTTAATTCCTTCTCCTTCAACTAAAGAACAGCCTCCATCATCTTAGAGTCCTCATCTACCTTCTTGAATTAATCATTCAATTTATCTAATTGCTCATTCTTCTCTTCCAATTAAAATTTCATTTCTTCCATTTAAGCAGATGCTGAATGAAGATCTTACTCTAATTCAATCTTCTCTTACTACTTTTATTCTAATTCCTATTTCTTACTGTTGTTCAGACTTTCTTATCCTTAAATCTATTATTTAAGTTATGTCTCGTCGTCCCTCAATTATTAGACCTATTGTTTCAACTACTCGATCGAATCTAGCATCTCCTACTATGCCATTGATTGTTCCATCTTCTCATTCAATTCAGCCTCAAGATCCTTCAATTATATTGAGTCTAATTAATCCTTTAAATCCTTTTCTCTCTAATATTTATCTATGATTTATTCTTCAATGCTCTTAACTAAATTACTTTGATCTTCCAATTCCTTTTCCTTTTATTCCTTATCTTACTATATTTCATCAATTTATTTATTTAATTTATCCACTTCAGCCTAAGTAGCACTCAATACTTCATCTTTCTTTTCAATAATACATTTCAATTATACTAATTACTCCTCTCTTTCTGGAATTATCTTAAGATTTATTTCTATGTCTTTATTGTATTACTCAATCTACTCCTTCAAATTCTTGAACTGTTATTATTATTGTAATAACTACTCTTAATCAGCCTGCATTTTTTGAATTTCCTCCTTAGCCTTAGCCAATTCCTATTCTTAGACTTATTTCCTCTTTAGAAGATCCTCTAATTCAGCATTAAGAACATTATAATTCTATTTTTCAGCCTCTAGAGTTTCATCTAATCGTTTTGATTTAGCACTGACTGCATTTACTAAGACTTCCTCTTTCTTTATCTAATCTTCGAGATTAGCCTTCCTCTCATTCAAATCTTGGAGCACATGATTATTTTCTTCAAGATATTTTTCTGTATCTGAGACTTCTTGGAACACCTTGTTCTTCTACTCAATCTTCTATTACAATTCTAGTTATAAATTATTCAAAGCCTCTACATTTTGTGCATATTACAACTTAGCAGTTTCTTTCAACTCATCAATCTCTTTGTTTTGAGGCAGCAACAAATTTATTTACTCTTGTGTAGCCTTCTACTCATCTTATAATGTTTCATAAGTCTGTTTATCCTCGTGTATCTATTTAGTCAGAGCATCTATTTATTCATTCAATGTGATGTCTTCCAAACTCAGATTCCTATAGATTTTCACTTCTTATTCGATTCCTTGATTCTCATCCCTCAATTGATTTAATTCTGAATCTAATTACTGCTTTTTATCCTGTTATTACAGTATTTCTTGATTAATGGTTGACAGTTGTAATTCTAAAGCAGAAGTTATTTACTGTTTCTGGTTGATCTAATTCTCTAATTGTTTTTATTTTTCATCTAGTTATTTCAATTTTTCCTCAAGTTAAGTAACAGATTCTTACAACTACTTCTCAGTTTATTAAAGTTCTTAGAGTTGTGGTTCTAGCAATTTAAGTTGATATTGCAAATTGTTTTATTCCTTGTGTAATAAATCCCTTCTTCCTTTCTACTTTCTGTTCTATTGTTAATATGATTAGTTTTCCTTATTCAATCTCTAAATGTCATTCTTCTTATCTGCAACAACTGTTTCAAGATCTAAAATCAAATAGTCATAATTAGCAATTTGATTCTTCAATTACTTCTAAGACTACTTCAAATCATGAAGTTTCTTACTCAATTCCAAATTCTCTGATTTCGTTTTTATTATCTCACTCTATTCAGAGCCACCAATCTCTTAAGGCTGATTGGATTCCTTCTTCTGAATTTCCTACTCAATCATTTGCTTCTGACTTTATTGTAATTCCTCCACTAATTCATCGAAATTCGAATTCTCTTTCTTAAGTTAATCAATCTATTGCTGCTTTTCTATTTACTCTTACTTCAGATCTTACATTACTTCATTCTATTAGAACAATTATTATTTTAATGAATCTATTTCCAATTGCTTCTCTTTCTTCTATTATAAATAGAAATCAAGTTCGCTATCATCTAGACTCAACTATCTCACCTACTCTTACATTTGATTAATAGAACTAGTCAATTCACTCAGATTGTTATTATGCTCTTAGATCAAAGGATGTTAATTTTATGCCCTTGGAGATGTTTCTGTTCTGATATTGCTAGCCTTGTCATCAGAATCTTCTTAGTAAATATACATTGGCTATTACAAAATTCTTGAATTCTAATTAGATAATCTTGCCTCCTTTTATGATAACTATTATTATTTATCTAATATCCTCAATTCCAAATTTGTCAAAGCTTCATCCAACTCTAAATTCTTCTTAATCAGCTCGTCAGTCTGCTGAATCTTTTATTGAAGTAACTGATTCTCTTTCATCTATTTTTCCACTTAGATCTGGATTTCTGCATTCTTAATTTCCATATCTAATTCCTTGACCCTTGACTTCTTTTCTTACAACTTAAACTCAGAATCTCGAATCAAATCTTCATAATTTAGATTATCTTAAACCAACGCTGAAATCTCATCCTGCAATTGCTTATTTTACTTCTTGATTACTTTGACATCCTATTAAGCCAATTAATAACCATGAATCTATTTCTTTAAGTCAGCTACTTAATTTCTTAATTCCAAATTGGTCTTATCTCTTTCAGCTAATTCACTGTTTAATTATTCAATCTTATTTTTTAATTGATCGATATTCATGCTGTACCCCTAAAGTACTTACTCCTATTGTTGCAATTGAGTATCTTGCTCTTAATCATAGGATTTAATCATACCACTTTCTCTTGGGTCCTAGATATTTGAAATACTAGAATCAGCTCCTATCTATAACTCAAGTTCCTTTACTCTTTATTATTTCTCAGCCAACCTTACTTCTAAATTATTCAAAGTCTCTTCTATCTAATTATTCTTACTGATTAATTCATCAGCCTTATTACAGTTATCTTAGTAAGTTTTGATTAATTAACTATTTCTAAACTCTCTGTCCTTCTCATCAATGACCTTCTCTTTCTCAAATACCTTCTGCTGTAATTTTGACAATTCATCATTCAAAGCAGCAATCTATAAATTCTTTTAATGCAACTAATCTTATAATTACTTTTTCTCATTAACACTATCTGACACTCTCTAACTTACTAATTCTTAATCTTTATTATAAACACCCTCCAACTATTCTTTTCTCTTGTTTTTCCTTTATAATGCATCTCTCAATTCTTATATTCTTCTGTCTGCATCATTATTATTCTTTAACAAATCCCAAACCTCTTGCAACCTTTACCCATCTATTCCCTCTTTATTGAATAAATCCTAAGGGGAAGTAAACCCTTAACTAGATTTGACTTATTACAGCTTAGGCTCGGCATCTTAATTTATTTGAGCAAAAACTGGCTATGATTTGGTAGGATGAAGTTGATTGGATAATTCTTAAGAAGGATTTGGTTCCTTGATGTCTTGTTTTTAACTATCTCCCTCCAATTATTATAAAATCTATCCTGCTTAGAGAGGAATAGAAATCTAATCCTCATTATTACTGATAACTTATTAAACATCACTAATTTCTTAGATTGGCTCAACAAATTACTCTTAATTCTATTATTTTGCGAATACTTAATTTGGCTATTCTACTTTCGGTTGTTCATTTGCCTCAGATTACACGGCCGGTTTTGTTCCTTCTTTTAATTAGTTAAGCAATTAATCTTTATAATCATTCTTTTCTACTAGTTTCTTTTCCAAATCTTCAATTAAATCATCTAAACTTAAATGTTCTCTCACTAATTCATCTGCCTTCTATTATTTCTCCACAAGTCTCTGTCTATTGTCTATTATCTAAGAACTAGAAGAATTAGAATCATGAATAGATAATTTTATTTTTTGAGACAAAAGAGCTGCCGACTCGTGCTAATTATCCATTCTTTACTACAACTCTTTATTTAGTTTGAGTTAGTTATCTAACTGATCCTCTAATCTTTATACATCCTTACGCAATTCTGTATTCACTAATTCCTCCTATTAATGAAGGAACTATTGATTTTAATATTCTTATATTGAAGGTATCTATTCCTTATAAGCTTTAAGTTCATCTTCCTTCTCTTTCAATTATTCTTTCAAAATTTCCATCTATTCAAGCTTATTCTATTTATCTGCCAACTAGTCTTTCAATCTTGAAATCTACACTTCCTAATCATACTATCTTTACAAGGCTTCCTAATCCAATTTTGAGGTGCTTGCCATCGTTGCAGATTCCTAAAGTTATGGATCCTATTGCGATGATTCATTCTTCTTGTCTAAGGCACACAGTTAAGCTTCCAATTATTCCTTTGCTTCTTTCTTTTATTAAACCTTTTGTTCAAGATTCTCTATAATATCCTAAAGTGATTAAACTTCTTAAATCAAGTCTACCTACTTCTCCAAACCTTTCTCATACTGTTATTGAAGATCTTGAGTGTTCTTCTATATATCAATAGGTTTAGGCTATTGTTACTGTTAAACTTATTCAGGATGTTCATTATCATTTTAAACTGATGGATTGGATTATTTTAATTTAGCATCATCTTCTTATTAAGGTCTATTACTTTGATCCTATTATTATGCTCCTCTTAATTATTTTAATTAAGCAATTAGGTTTCTATTTTCCTTTTTAAGATCCTTTATCTTTTTTTCGTATTTATCCTTGATAGTTAACTTCTTAGCTTGCTTCTATGGATCTTCAGGTTACTCTAATTCTGGAGCTTATTAATTCAACTATTCTAATTATTCATTCTAAAGATCTTCCTCTTATAATTTTGGAGATAAGGAAACCTCTTCATCTAAATCCTTGTTCAACATATAAAGTTCATACATTTTAGCCCTCTTTTATTGATCATTGTAATCTTTATTAGCTTCTTACAATTATTTCTTTAACTCTTCATTCTCTATCTTTCTATTAGCTAACTTACTCTCTAAATCAATTATTATGTCTGCAATTTCTATATTCTACCTAACAAGGTCATCAGATCTCTTTTGATTTCCTTCCAATTTTTGCTTCTGTTGCTCTTCAGGCAAAGAACCAAATTGTTTCATCTCTTCAATCTAATCTAATAACATCTGAATGTAGTCATCTTTTGTCTTAATTGTCTTCTACAACTATTCAAGAGTGACCCCTTAATCTTCTGGATTCTGTTCATTATTCTGATTTGGTGCTGTAGCTTCTAATTAAAAGTTAGCATTTTCTTATTAATCAGATCCCATGTTTCCAGTTTAGAAATTAAGAGGTATGCTCTAAAGTCCTTGATTGGCAAGTTCATTCTTGAGTTCATCAATCTCATTTTCCTTTTCTCTAATCAAGTACTCATAATTCTTAATGATATCCAAAGGAATAGTAATAAACTTACCTTCTTGGGTCTTATTCTTAGCAAATTATGATTATTTAATATTTTCAGGTGAGCTTGTGACTTCTTATGATGAAAAGTCTTATTAATTTAAACTTCCTAAATCAAATGAAAATTCTTCCTTATCCACTATGTTTTAGAAGGGCTCCCTAAATTTTTCAACGGGAGTTGTCCTTTATTACTCAGCTGATTTACTATAACTAGGTTTTGCAGATTCCTTGGTCTACAATTATTACTTCTTAAAGTTGTTTAACTAATCTTCGAGTTGTTAGACTTGTTATTCCAAATCTGAATTTTCTTACTCAGTTTTTTGCAATTTGTTTTTGATATTAGATAATTCCTCCTCTAAGGGTTGATTATCTTACTATTATTTTCTTAATTCTTCATTAAGTTATTAAACTAATTGTTCTAAGATTTTATTATTCTCTTCTGTCTAATTAAATTTTTCTTATAGCTTTAAGAGATCATCATTAGTTAATTTAGCCAGATTTTTATTCTTCTGATCCTGCAATTAAGCTAACTTCTCTTCTTACTATTTAATCTATGATTAAGTTTGATTATTTTGGTCTTGTAATTCTTTATTTTCTTGAGATAGTTTTTATTATATTTCTTTATTTTAATTAATTTCTTCTTGCAATTATTAAATTTAAGTTTTCTAGTTTTTATTATCATTATCCAATAGACCATGCTACTTCTATAAATCCTTCAAGTTTTACTACAAAGCTGAGATATTCAACTTCTTAATCTCATTCTCAATATCTTCTTTTTAAGCTTGCTTGTCGACTAATTTCTATTACAATTCTACAATCAAGTCTTCCAATTATTAATTTTCTAGAACCAAATCATCTACATTGTTTCTATTTTAACTAGTATTTACTTTATCAACTTAATCCTCTTGTTTATTTAAATTTTGTTATGGTTATAATTATTATTAGTTGTCATTAATAGTATTAATTTATTTTTGAACTTGATCTAACTCATTTTATTTTGATAGCAACGACTTTTAAAGTTCTTTGATTTTGTCATTGACATCTAAATTTTGTTTAACTAATTCATCCACACTCTTTGGTAGTTGATCTTTTGATTAGGACCATTATTTTTCCAACTCCACATTTTGAGTTCCCACTTCCAATAATTTTGCTTATAATTCTTTCTTCCTATTGTCTTATGACATCAACTTTCTCTCCAAGTCATTTATCATGTCATCCATCGAAGCTGTTTGCTTTGCTAAGTCCAAGGCTTGATCTGATCGAATGGGAGATATGTCTCTTTTTTTAATTTCAGAAATGGAGTCATTTGCTTTTTGCTGTTAGAGTTAAAGACGAGATTTCAAATTTTAAATTTCGATATCTTTCTCCTCTATCAGAAATTGCATTCTTCTATATTCTTGGATGATTCTTTCAATCACATCTTGCAAAGCTTCTGGATATTATTGCAATTCATTCAGTACACTCAATGTTTCATTTCCTTGTTGAGTTACTCCTACTTTATTTCGTTTCGATTAGATATTCGATTAAAGTTGCCCAATCAACTAATCCAAAGTGCTTTCCTGAGTTTTTAGTTAACCGATGACAGCATCTTTATTCAAAATTTAATTCTGAAGATCCCCTATAATATTTTGTAGCTGTAAGTTTTATTGAATTAATTGTTGCTATGCAGCGAGTATTTCAGGTGATGCTGCTTATACTGGCTTAGATGTTAATTAAGCAATCATTGCATCTTTCTCTTGAATTTAACTCCTCAAAAACTCAATTTACGTCTTGAGTTGAACATTGATGTTCTACAAATGAAGCACTTATTCGTTTTGAAAATCCAAACTTTCCAATTGCTTCAATCTTCTACGAAGTTCTTCTATCTCCCTGGCTTATTACCAAATAATATGCTCTTAATTCATCAACAGTTCTTCGATCTCTAGTTTATTTCTTAACTTTTATTACCTTGGATAGTGGCTGTGGCCCCTTTCAAATGTCCTTAAAGTTTAGATACGCACTGCTCACGATTAATATTACTCATTTTTAATTATATTTCTAAATATAACAATTTATCAAACACTTATATACAATATTAATGATTTAATCAAACCCTCCTTATTTGTAAACACTCAATAGATATTGAAATATCAATTATCTAAAATTAGTCCAATTATATTAAAATAAATGAATCACACAATAATTATTGAAATTTAGATTAAAATGTCATTAAGATTCAAAATTAAGGTATAAGATCCAAAAATATATTAATACACACAGTATTTTGTATTTATATCCAAATTCAAATCAGGTTTCATTTCAATTATTCAAAATAATGTACTACAAGGATAAATACTGAAATAAAAATCGTTTAAGAATATTCTCATTTAAAGAAGACTTTATGATTTATTATAATTAGCGATTTAACAAAGTTTATGTAACATATAGACTTAAAATTGTTAATTAACTAATTCTATTTAAATAATTGGACCTTATGAAAAGTAAAATTCTATTTCTAAAAAAATTTTATCCTTTTTAAAGATCAAAATAAAGAAATAGTCCTTAAAAATGAATTATTTTCATAAATTTAATCTAAAAGAATCTATTATCCTCTTATAAAGATCTATGCAGTAAAATTAAATTCTTAATCATTTTAAATATTGGAAATCAAAAATGGATTACTTTTGTAATGATTTAACGGATTTACTATTGAAACATGGTGATTTATTTATGTAGAGAACACTTTTATAGAGTCAATTATTTTATTATGTTAATTTCGATTAGAATTAAGTATTATTACATTATTCTTATTGCATATAAGAATGGTTAATTTAGTTATTTGACCAATATTTGACATGATTAAATTTGATTTCAACATTAATAACTATAATAATTCAATCATATATTTGATTATTCAAAGACATATGAATAACTTTTATTGAAATATAATAACTTAGTGTGATAATATACATATTTGTATAATATATATTAATTTTATTAACTGTCATGAACTAACTTCAAATTGAAGAACTTTAAAGAAAATTATAGCAATTATAACTTGAACGTATGAATGAGGATTCATCAGATGAAGAGCCAACTTTTTAATCTGTTTAAGGAAAACAAAATGATAAATAGTTATTCTAAAATCTCTCGATTGATAGTTTTGAGGTTTACACAACATTAGGTACTGGCACTTTCGGACGTGTAAAGTAGGTTCGAATAAAGCGTGATGCTAGTCGATAAGTTTATGCACTAAAAATTATGAAGAAACACGATATCATAAAATTAAAATAAGTGGATCACATCAAATCAGAAAAGAATATTTTGAATGAGATTTAACATCCTTTTTTAGTATAATTAAAGGGCTCATTTCAAGACTAAAAATGTATATACATGCTGTTTGAATTTGTCTCAGGAGGTGAATTATTTTCGAGATTAAGAAAGGATGGTAGATTTAGTTAAGACATCACATTGTTTTATGTGTCTGAAATATTGCTCGCAATTTAACATTTGCATAGAAAAGATATAGTGTATAGAGACTTAAAGCCAGAAAATTTATTAATAGATCGTGAAGGACACATCAAAATAGCTGATTTTGGATTTGCCAAAAAAATTACTAATAATCATACTTAAACTTTGTGTGGAACACCAGAATACTTGGCACCTGAGCTAATTTAAGGAGCTAAAACTGGATACGGAAAATCAATAGATTGGTGGGCTTTGGGAGTACTAATATTTGAAATGTTGGCAGGGTATAATATAATCAGATAGTTTTAGTCATCCTCCATTTTATGATATTGAACCAACTAATATATACAAGAAAATATTAAATGGAGTAATAGAATTCCCCAAATTTTTGCATGTAAGAGCAAAGGATGTAATAAGAAAATTATTAAATTCTGATATTAATAAAAGATTAGGAGTGGAAGATGTAATGTCACTATTTAAAATAGGAAGGGGCAGCATTAATGAACCATAAATTCTTTCGAGGAGTTCCTTGGTAAAAGGTATTTGAAAAAAAGATTTCACCTCCATGGATTCCATATCTGAGAAATGAAACTGATTCACAATGGTTTGATAAATATCCAGAAGAAAGAGATGATATACCACCTGTGGATGATGAAAAATAGCATATGTTTGATGACTTTTGATTAGTTAAATAAATTGAATTAAATAGAAACTAATGATTAATATTTAATGAATTAGTAATATGTCAAATATTAAATCTTAACCTGAAATCGTTAATAAATAATATAGTGAGTCAGTATAACCTATTATTATTGAATTAAAATGTCTATTTCAAAATAAAATGAAAAAGAACCTTGAGATCTACTTTTTATCAAATTATAATTTTAAAATACATTAATTCATATTTATAAAATCCTGATTATATTATTGGTTCCTTCAGCAATGGATCCATCAGTAGAATAAGTGTGAATATAAAATAATTGTCTAATAGATTAATGGATTTTTTAATTTTACTACAACCATTGAGATCATCTAAAACTCTACATCTGTGCATGAACACTAGAAGATAAGCTTTAGAGTAACGAGTTATCTTGGTTAAAATGACAGCAGTGATTATTGTATACAACATCTAATGAGATTGTAAAATTATTCTTAAAATAAAGAACTTAGGTTAGAAAGATATAGGATTCCTATAATAGTACAATGTTAAACTGCATTTTTTTCCCGCTAATTTCAGAAATAAAATTAAAAAATGCAAACCGAAGTTCCTCCCTGCTCAGAAGGTAAAATCTTGAATTGAATGTAGATCAAAATTAAAAGGATACTCCTGTAAAGATAGATAAATAAACAAATGATGAAGCCAATTAGAACCAAACTGAAGCTATGGATATTGAGGATAATAATTCCAATTAATAAAATTAGAGTAAGAATTACAAATATCTATTCTAGGAAAAAGAAAACAAAATAACATTCAAACATAACCAGCAATAATTCTTACTCAAAAGAGACAGAGAAAACCACCTTAATAAGCATACGTTTATCGAGATCCATCTCCTTAAAAAATTGTCGAAAAAAAAAAACCTAAAAAATACAAAATAAGCTAAGAAATGGAGGATATCTGTACAAAAATAGCAAAATGGGAGTAGTTTTAGATTAGCTTAAATTCATTAGGGTATCCAAGCTTGGTTTTGGATGAATAAAAGATTTTTGATCAATTAAAGGATTATGATTAAAAGGATGAAGCAGGTAAGGAATATTATCTGAAAATGCTTGTGAGACTTATTGGAGAGGCTATGTGTTGCAAAAATAGAAATGAGATTAATCTATAGATTAAAAATAAAATTGAAGAATTAATTTAATAAAAGAACATTATTATAAATTGGACTTCAGAAAAATGGGATGAATAGATTAAATCTTTCTTAGAAATTAAAGCTGAATTAAATGAATAAATCCAGCATGCCTCACAATTTGATTTTTAAGCCTTGCAAACTCTAATCGGCAATAATCTGCCTAATTATATTGAAGAATCCAAATTGAATGTCACATTAGTAGTATTGAAAACGAAACAAATTGATGACTTAAAAAAAGTATGCGATTTAAATGAGTTAAAAAATGTAAGATTAATAAGAGAGTATTTGGCTACTTTAAATAACAAGGTAGATCAACTAAGGAAACTTAAAGAGAAAATAAATGTTATTAAAAAAAAAGAGGATGAGGATGATATTATAAAATAATACAATTCTTAAGATTCAAAAATTTTAGAATTTAAAAATACACCTATTAAATTTTTGTAGAAAACAGAAATTAAGGTGAAAACTCCAGCAACGCAATAAAAATAAAAGTAAAAACCATAAAATCTGGAATAAATTGAAAATAATTAAAGTAATGAAAATGACTAAATTAATTAATAAGTAAACTATTAAGCAGAATCAAATGAAGCAACAGAAAAAAAAGTGAGTGAAAATAAATCAAATAAAAAGAAAGAGAAAGAATAATAAAAATAAGAGAAGGTTATCAAAGGAACACTTGACAAATTTAAATTCAAGAAACCAGAAATGCCAGATATTACAAATTAAGCTATAAAACCAGAAATATCAACTTAATTTGAAACTCTCACTGCTCCAAAAGATAACAATTAATAAGGAGTAGAAAGAGATTCTTAATAATAATAAGATTCAATTGAACTTTAATAAATTCGTTAATCTTCGCAATAGTAATAATAATAATAACCTTAAACAATAGCAAAAAATCTTAAACATTTCTTTCCAGAGAAAAAATAACAATTAGTCCAAAAATAAGATGAATATTAACCAAAATAATTAACACCTTACAAAATGGAGTAATTTGAAGCTTTGATCGAAAAAATGGGCAATATGTAGTTAAAAGAAGAAAAAATATCGGTATCTTTAAATGATTATAATACTGATGAGATTGAAATATAAGAGAATAAACCTTTGCAATAGGTTAAAATTAGAAAAATACATATTTTTATTGCAGATTCAGATAAAGAATTCAATGGACATTAATTTGTTTAATTAAGTCAATTTATAAGACCAAGGGCTCCTTTCTTATTAGGTATGTTTAAATAAAGAATATTTAGATGATTAAATCGATTATGACAAGGACTCTTTAGATGAAGTTGAGGAAATCTTAGCAGAAAACCTTTCAGATATGAATGACTCTGATGAAGACCAAAGTGAGGAGAGTGAATAGAAGGATAGTTTTCTAGTAGATGACAATCATCTATCATAAGATGAGGTTGAGGATCCTGAGGAATTGTTAAATAATAAGTGTATTGCAAATAACACTTAGGTTCAAAATGGAATAGTCTACATTAAATACTCTTCAGTTGACCCACTATTCTTCGAAAACTACAAAGCCTAATATATTCCTTAATTTTTTAATGTTTAACAATTAAAAGATTAGAATCATGGAACAATTTTACAGACTCTTGCAACCTAACAAGTAAATAACACAAAAACTGTGTAAATTCCAAAAGCTAAAATGAATTTTAGCAATAATGCTTAAGAAAAATAAAACAAACCAAAAAAGCCAAAAGCGACCCCTTCTATCGATTTATTCGCTTTGAAATCCCAATAAAATAATAAATAACCCTTGGAATAAATAACAACAAAATAAAAGGATCAATAAAAAACTGTTTTCAAAGATTGATAATAAAATTGATGAAGAGAAGATAAATCCAGATATTGAATAGAATTATAAAATTGAAGAAATACAAAATGGGTTAGAAAATGAGCAGGATCAAAAATTATTATAAAACTATAGTAATGAAAACTTATAATGATTATTCTATGAACATTTATATTGTATAACAATTTCAATTATGTGAAATGTAGCTTAAATAAATATTCCAAAAGAATCCTACGAAATTGACCCATAAGACTTGGTAATGTCTGGGGATCAACCAAAAATTAATAATCTAAGCAGCAGGCCAAATTTACCAATTGGTTATCATGGCCTTTACAAAATTATTCTTGATTGCATCAACTCCTTTCTACACAGAACCGCTCTCTAATACATTAATTATCATCAAGTAATGGCACAATATGTAGCATGCCCACACTGATTAATCAATAAGAACAGATCCCACTGCTGCTCTAAATGGCGTTGAAGTATCAAAAGGCAATCTACATTATAGAAAATCCATATGTAATACCTTTTCACTAACCATGGCAAAGCATAAGTGAAATTATAGTGAAATAGAGGCATCATGAATACATTTCCCATAAGCCAAGCTATCCCCAACCTTCTGAAGTCATATTAATGGGCCTATTAATTCTTCTTAGCAATTTATGCTTCCATAGCCTAGACGACTGCATCTCCTGCAAAAAACATAAAGCCTATGGTATTTGATTGATATGACATACCTCCGGTCACTGATTTTGTCAAGAGAGGGGATTACTGTAGAAGAGTGTTGTATTTTGCAAGGAATTACATTATTTATTAAAATAATTAACTGCTAAAATGAATTATATCAGAATGTTCTTTTGACCATAATGTTATAGAAGTCCTCTCTTGAGATATCTCTTCCATTTGAGGCTGCTCTCTCTAACATTTCTCCCAGTTCTTCAGCTGTCATGGTTTCTCCCAATTCTTTGGCTACCTAATTTTGTATTAATTTAAAATGATACTCTTTTCAAGTTATTCAAATTAATTGAGTTACTACCATCGTCATCGAACAAATCAAATATTTTATTGATACCATCTCTAGATTCTCTATTTCCTAATTTTGAAGTAATAGCATCCAAAAATTAATCAAAATCGATATCAGTTCCTTCATTTTCTAATTCAGCAATCATATTGAAGATAGTTGGATTCTTCTGATCGAATCCCAAGCTCTACATGGCAGCTTTTAACTCTCTGGGATCAACTCTTCCTGTGCCTTCTGTATCAAACAAGTTGAAGGCTTCTTTTATTTCCTCAATTTCGTCTTCTGTCAATCCTGGTCTATCAATAGCTAATGAAGTATACCTGTCTTATGGCTTTCTATTGACTTGCTATTATTTGCCAACTGGTTTCTATGCTACTGGGGCTTATTGTTTTTTGCTCATTAAATTTTGAAATTTGAAAAATAATTAATATATAAAAGCGTCCAAGAATATCATTTATATAATAGGCAAGTCCCCGTATACCCTATTAATAAACATTCGATATTTATAGGAACAAAGAAAAATGTGATTTTTTTTAAATCACACTTTCTATATCATAATGAATGCAAGATCAAAAATCTAATTATTCCCATATTGAATGGGTTAATCAAGGTATAATTGTAAATCATTGACTTTCACTTATAAAATGAATTTATTCTAATTGAAAATACTTAAATGAATTATCATTTGATTTATTTATCTAGAATGTAGAGGATTGTATTTTGCAATTGACAAATAACTTTTATTAACAAAGAGGAGATAGTATAATTTACTTTATTAAATTTTGAAATGGATTTTATGGAAAATTAATTAATAGTTAAGAATTATAAATAAAAGTATGAAATATAGAATTATATATTCTCTTAGGAAAGAATTATCTACAAAATAGATTATATTAATCGTTTTTTTTAAAATTTATATAATCATGCTGCTTTTCCTAGTTTTAGTATTCTTTGGAAATGCACGAGAGTATTCAATCGAACTCAAAAGTCAATAGACTTAATAGCATTTGATAGAGCTAGTTAATTTATTGCAACATTCACATGCATAATTGCTAGAATTGTAACACTATGAGCGTATTGGATAAGATTTATAGGGATTGTTGAAATTTGAAACTGTGTTTTTAGAAAAGTAAATTAAAAAGAAGCAATTGAAACATCAGAAACACCATAATAAGAAGGAAGGGAAACAGAAAAAAAGACAACCTAAGTACATGGTAGTGAATGAGGCATTAATGGATGTCATTCCATTAACTCATGAAGAGATGGATGTCTTTCAAAATTCAGGTACTCTAACTCCTATTGATTTTGCGATTGAATAATAAATGGAGCATCAAGGTCAGAAATTAGTATCCACTGAAAGAATATAAGGTGGTGCTTATGTAGCTGATGTACCATTAACAAATATTGCTAATACTATGTTTATTGGTGAATTATAAGTAGGAAGTGCAAAAGGTAAGAATACGTTTGATGTAATTTTTGATACTGGATCAGCTCTCACTTGCATTGCTTCAGAATAGTGTAAAGATATTGGATGCTAGAAAAGCAAAAGATATAATAGAGCTGAAAGTAAATCATTTAATGAGATTGGAAAACAAGTGGAAATTGTCTTTGGAAGTGGTACTTTAAAGGGATTAATTAATAGAGAGTAAATTAGTGTAGATGGATTAAATTTGAAAGATGCATTATTTATTGAGGTAACATAATAAATTGGTGATGCATTTCATGAAGGCGAGTTTGATGGCATAGTTGGATTGGGGTATCCACATATGACAGGAGTCCCAACTTTATTTGATTATATGATGAAATAACATAAACTTCATTAGAACGTTTTTACATTTCATTTAAATAGAGCAACAGGAAATTCGGGATCATAACTCGTTTTTGGAGGAAGTGATGATTCTTAGATCAAAGGGTAATGGATCTATCATAATGTTCATGATTAATTCTATTGGTCTATTATGGCAGAAGAAATCAGAGTTGGCAACAAAAACACTGGCATTTGTTCTCATTAGCACAAATGCAAAATGGTTGTAGATACAGGAACTACCTTATTGACAGGTCCAACAAAAGATGTCAGAACATTATTATCAATGATTAGAGTGGAACCCAAATGTTAGAATTTCCCTAATATGCCAGATATAACGTTTGTTATTGATGGAAAGAACTATGTTTTATAACCCAAAGAATATATATTGACAATTACTTGTAAGTGACTTATTCAATAATATAGAGGCTGGAGTTGAATCTCCATATCAACACTCTTCAATGGATTAGATTGTTGGATGTGCAGGCACTATCTTCCCATTAGATTTACCTCCCAAATAGTATTTGATTATTTTATCGTTTATAGAGGTCCTTTATGGATATTAGGGGATGTATTTATTACAAAATATTCTGCTAAATTTGATAGAGAAAAGAACAGGGTTGGGCTAGCATTAAATAAAAATGTATGAAAATGATATTCAAATATTTAATATAACAATATCTAAAAATTCATTTATATATATAATAATTCATTTTTAAATGATTCTGCATATATCTATTTGGAAGTATCTTTACTAAATTCAGTAGCCATTTAATTTCTCTTTCATTTTTATAACTATGGATCAGATTTTATTTTAAGTTTGAATAACTAAATGTAAAATTAGAGTATCATAAAATAAAGCTAGTTAGAATTTCTATTAATTTATAAATTTAATATTTATGGAAATTACAATATAATCTTATTAAGCATGAAATACATACCATCTATTTATTTAAAAAATAGATGAATTAATATACAATATAATAATATATCAAAATAATATTTTTTATTCACAATTTGATCTTCCAATAATTTTAATTATACTTTAGATACTTGTACTGATCAATATTTAGAACACATAATTTTATTAGAGTTTAAGATATTTTGAAATAATATTTCAACAATTCTTTTGTATTAATCATCGATTCTCAATTATTTCAATAATTGTTTAATTTTACTGTCTGAAATATAGATGTGTCAATTTGGATCATACTATTATAAATATATCTGACCTAAACTCATGCTCAGTTTTTAGAATAGATTTTTAACAAGATTAGCTTTTTCTTATACATTATGAAAAATACTATAATGTGAATTTATAATTCATAAATCTTATTATTTATAAATATAGAACATACATAATGCGAACTCAATGTATAAATAGTAATTAAATATCAAAACCATTACTTCAGGTACTCATACATCATATAGACTAAACCAGAATGCATCGTAACTTTAGCAATTCTTGGTTGATATCCCTTAAATAATCCTTTAAAACCTTCTTCCTTATAGATGTTCTACAAAATCTCCATTGAAGCCAACTCTCGACTGGATCCAAAATCACTTCTTGTACTAACTTGTTTTCTTGTCTTTACTACATCTAAAGGAAGAGTCATTGTAGCTGTTACACTACTGGCTAGCATTGCTGAAAGGAGATTCACAGCATTAGGCTAATCTATTAAAACCTTTCCTATTTCTATTTTTAAATTTTCTAGAAGACTCCAATAGATGCATGAAAATAAAATATCTCTTTAAATGGTTATGAGATAAGCTGAGTGAAGTTGAGTCCCTAATTGAATGTTCTTCAATTTTGAATACCCCACCGTCGATGACTATAATACCTTCCAATACTCCAATGGAAATGTTACTAAAAATATATTCGAAATATCTTACTTGTCGTTGTTAATGCTCTACTAAACGAACTGGCCAATAGAGGAACGACCAATCGGCTTGAAGGCAATTCCAATTATTGTAAGAATTTTCTTGTTCTCTCATAAAACATGAAGTAGCATATATTTGATGCTCCTGCTTATAAAACTGCATATCTCCATCCATTGAAGAATGTGGAGGCTCCTTCATGTGTATAGATGTGTTAAAAGGCCTAAACCAGAGAGTTTGTAGTAATGCAAGTACAATTCTAATAAATTTTAATTAAGGGGTTTGTGGCCTAAGATTTTCCGATAACATTAATCATTCTATGTGGTTTCCATAATTTCAATGATTTCGAGAGCATCCCATAATGATTTAATTGAGATCTTGTAGGTTGTCCTGTTAATGCTATTTCATGAATATATTTAAATTTTGGTTTGCTTCTTTGGGGATTACGGTGGTGTTGATGCTCATGGCAATGCATCTTGTCTACTTGCAATCTTATTTTTAAGACTTCAAAAGGATTACTAATGATTGTGCTAATCACGCTAGCCAATCCTGAAGAAAAAATAATTGTAGTGGAACTTAAATGATCCCCCTATTTCATTAAATAAATAATATTGATTATTATGTCATATTATTAATCATATTTAAATTAGATTCATTATAAAATTATAAAGATACTTTCATTTAATTATATTAATTATTTGATGATTTCGAATACACAATTAAAAATTTATATTTTTATTGTCAAAATTACCTCATCAAAAATAGCTTTTAGTAAATGATTAAAAATATGATACATATACATAATTACCCTTTTTGATTCTCTTATCAAATAATCTAAACCAGATCCCTTCTTGGCTACATCATTATTCATAATATCCAAATAGAGCGATAATCATAAACAGGAAAATACTTGTTTCTTAGAGTATGCATGAATTGATATCTCAGTTCCCATAAACAAAGGGAATCATGATTAAATCTATGGAATATTTAACTTCACATCTTAGTTTTCAAAATACTATGTTTTGATTCTCAAATATTAATGCTTTCTTAAATAGTTCAAATAAAAGTATAAGTAGCAATCCCAGACATCTGGTAGCATTACCATATTTTCAATAGCAACTATAAGATTTTACTTTAAACCCATTACATTCTTTTATTCTATTTAATTTGATATCACTAATTTATCTTTTTTTATTATTAATTATATATCTTTAATCCATTCTACATTTACAAATGTTATTTATTGAATACTTTTAATTTATTTTCTTATAGATTAGTAATTTATTACACAACATTATAATTAATTCAATTATTATATATATAATTATTAATATAAAGGAATAGTATAGCTTATTTTCTTTTAAAGTAAATATTAAAGATTCTCTATGATTTTATTCTTTAATTTTAAAATAATTTTTGACTAAAGATAGCTTTATAATATAATTAACATTAACAATAATGGTGAGAATAATTTCAAATAATTTGATTGTATAGTCCTTTTATATAATAATTGATTTTAGGATGTCGTTTTTGATTGATAATTACTCTATTCTAAAGGATATTCTTTTTTGACTATTTTAAGTCTTTAAAAGCATATTATTTTCAAAATTATTATTAGATAATTATGTGTTTTTTTAATGACTCATTTCTTAGAATCTCTTTAAATATTGATTTTCTTTTATTCTAAAATATTTTTTTATGTTTTAGCTTATACTATCTAAATATAATCTTTTCTTCTGAAATTCAGGTGTAACTCTACTATAAGTCAGTTCATTTTGAATTTCTTGCATATTTGATGAGATTTTCATCACTGATTCAATTGTAACAAGGTGTTGGCCTATCCTTAGAACATCTGTTTCTGAATATAAATTTCTCATCCAAAATCAGCAAGCAAAAATGAAAACTGCCATCTTCTATTCCTTCAACAAGTATACTTGTTCCTGGAAGTAGAAAGTTCTAAAATTTAAAGTGTAATTTTTACTTACATCAAATTTTTATATATAAATTTTAAACATCCTAAGTATAATTAATTTAATCAGATTCAAATGTCACAATACGGTAAAGCAGAATATTGGGAAGAACGATACACCAGGTTATAAGTTGGTTACTATGAAATAGAGATCCTGAGCCTTTTGATTGGTATTAAAGATTTGCAGGGATCAAGGATCTAGTCTAAGGCTGTTTTACTCCCGAAAGCAAAATTCTCAATATAGGGGCAGGGAATTCAAGTATAGAATTGTTTTAGAGTGATTTTAGGATTGAGTGAGGAAATGTTCGATGAAGGATATTAGAACATTACAAATATTGATATTTCACATGTTGTTACAAAAGCAATGTAGGAGAAGTACAAGGATAAAGGTCCAAATTTCAAATGTATTGATTGTTTAAATGTAGATCTTCATATGGATGCCAGAGCTATGGAATTTGAGGATGGATCATTCGATGGAGCAATTGATAAAGGAACCCTCGATGCCATATTAGTAAGACATAAAATATACTTAAGTGTGGAGAGTCATCATCATCCAATGCTTAAAAAGTGATTCAAGAAGTTCACAGAGTACTAGGGCCAAAAGGAGTGTATTTAGCAATTTCTTATGGTCTACCGGAACATCGACTTTAATATTTTGAAAAGCCTGAATACGATTGGTATATAAGATGACTATTTTGATTTTTTAGGAATGTTATAGTTAAATAGGTTCACAAACCAACAATTTCAACCTCCATCGCAATAACAAACGAAGATAAGGATGCACCCAATGCCCATTACATTTACATATGCACTAAAGTAGACTTAAATTGCTATAATTTTAGGGATAACAGAAAGCAGCTAAATAATGAATTTGAATTATATTTAATCAATTAGGAATAATCATTTATTATTCTAAATTATAAAATAAATTAAAATTCTAGGAATTATTCAAATTTTTCATAATATTTTAGTAATTCTTACACATCTTAAAGGAATTAGAATTTTTTTGAGTATTGAACTTCCTATAGCCTACAGATCTATACATTAAAGGCTATGAAAAAGAAATATATTTGAAAGCGATTTAGGAGTGATTCAAAACTTCTTTTTGAATCTTCACAGCGTCCGAATATGAAGAAATCATACAAAAGAAGGTTTCCAAAACTCTAATCAAGAATTAATGAAATAACAAACATTATAATTGAAACTTTCTTTAATAAAAAGATTCTTATATCTTAACTAATCTAGATCATTAAATTAGATTTAATATGTGACTTATATAATATCATAATGAATTTGATTCTAACGAGTTTGTAAACTATTCTCCAAACTTAAACTAATCTTATTATTTATTCCATTCTTCAATTTTTCTTTAATCACTCATCTCAATATTTTTTATTTAACTTTAGACTTCTTCTTATGTAGAATAGTCAACATAGTCAATATCTTTGGAAATTCTCAGAGATTGCTGATCTTCAGGATTTTATGCCTATCAATTAACAATGATGTTACTTTTCTATATTTGAATGATCTAAATATATCTTTGCATAAAGACTTCAAAAATGTGATTGAACATACACTGATAAGTCCGAATATGAAGATAAATAGAATGGCATTAAACAATGGCCATTCATATTGATTTGGGTTGTCAGGATAGTACATATGAGTAGCAGCTTGAAACACTCCGATTTTCCTTGTATTATTGCCTGGAGCATTTTCAAATACAATATAATGATTTTTCATGAAGGGTTCACCCAATATCACATATTCAGATTGTGAAAACTTGATATTGAAAAGGCAATCCCAGATCCTGTTATCTTCACTAGAAGAGTTGCATTCTCTGTATAGATGATTAGAATTGTTAATGGAAATTTAGTTGTTGCCAAAAGTGAAGGTTAAGATATAATCAGCTTAGATTGACTTGGGGAGATTCTTACAATATAGTATATACATCTAAAGGTATATTGATGAAATACATCTGAATCTACTAAATCACAGGCTGTATTAGAGTGGAACTACTATAAGTTTTGAGTCAAGACTTTCATCATATCATAAGGCAACTCTATAAACTAGGAATTCAAAGTGAAGAAGGCTTTCTTAATAGGTAATTCTGTATTAATGATATCTCTTCCTTCTGAGTTCTATGATTTAAAAAACAAGAATGTACTTTTAATTCAATTTTATTAATTTCAACCATCCAATAATAACCTGATTTCTCTAAACGATCGATCCAAGTTCCATTGGATTTTTATTTACGAATATACTTTTCATCTATTCCACCAACTTGCACAACCATTTCAGAAAAGTTCACCGCACTCTCATAAGTGTATAAGGCAAACAATTATTTAGTTAGGTTGAGTTTTGTCTTTTCTTGAACTAGTTTTTCAACGAAATCTGCATCACTTTTTGTTTTTTCATCATCAGTCTCTGTATATCCAAATCCAAATCCAATGACTCCATCTGCAAGAATAGGCAATTCATTATTAATGTATTGAACCTAAAGCATTTGTAATCCTGTTATGCTCACAAGTGATGGAGGAGTTGAATTTCCCCATTCATAAGCAATATATTGGGAGATTGTCATTTTTGAGGATGAGTTGTATGCTAACATTTAAATAGTATCTGTTTGAAAGGTTCCTTGAATTAATGAATTTTAGGAGTATATTTAGCCATGCACTTTAATGTCATTCCATTTAGCAGCATTAAATGATTTATTAAATTATTCATTAAAACAATTATTATTCTTGCTATTACGTTTGCATTCATCATCAATTTCATATTCTAAAGGATTAATTTTTTTGCAACTAATACAGTCTTTTTATTTGTACCAAGTCCATGGAGATGTTAGATCTAGCTAAAATTATTTTTTCAAAATACAGCTAATTAAAATGTATTGTTCCTCGTAACATTATCGCCCAAGATAACCTCTACGTTATAAAAAACATTTTTGTTAAAACAAATTTGGCTGACATACGTGTCACTGTGTGTGTAATTAAGGAGATCCGATGGACATTTTTTAGGTGCAATGGCAGTCACCTTTTCGTTGATTTTGAATTGTTGATACTGGTAGACATTTCTAGTAAGTTTTTGCTCGAAATAGGCATTGGTGATTGGAAAAAGTAGCAATAGCGGGATTATCATTAATTTAATATTTGATAGTGAGTTTATGTATTAACAGGACTTTGAAAACAAATTTTTAAATTAAGATTTTTATTTTAATGGCTGAATAAGAGCAATAATAAGCACCAGCAGCAGAATAAGAATAAGCCGCCCCAGTTGAGAAGAAAGGTTTCGGAAGAGGAGGAAGAGGACAAAGAGAAAGAAGAGAAGGAGGAGCCCCAAGATAAAATAGAGGTCCAAGAAGATTCGGAGGTGAATAAGAATGGGTACCCTTAACCAAGTTGGGCAGATTAGTAAAGGCAGGCAAAATCAAGAGTCTTGAGACAATCTTCCAATTCTCAATTCCCATCAAGGGTAATTCTAGATTATTTACAAAAATTAGAATATCAAATCGTTGATCACTTCCTTAAGAACTTGAAGGAAGAACCACTTGCCATTGGTCCAGTCTAGAAGCAAACATGTGCAGGTTAAAGAACAAGATTCAAGGCATACGTCGTAGTTGGAGATTCCCACTAACACATTGGTTTGGGATGGAAATCAGCAAAGGAAGTGTAAGGAGCCATCAAAGGTGCAGTCATCAATGCTAAACTCAATTTGATCCCAGTTAGAAAGGGATATTGGGGAAATAAGATTGCCTAACCACACACAGTCCCATGCAAAGTGACAGGAAAGGAAGGATCAGTCAGAGTTAGATTGGTTCCAGCTCCCAGAGGTACTGGTATTGTTGCTGCCATCACATCAAAGAAAGTGTTATAAATGGCAGGAATTTAAGATTGCTACACTTAATCAAAGGGAAGTACAAGAACAAGATCAAACTTCTTGAAGGCGACCTTCCATGCCCTTAAAGAAACCTACAATTTCCTCACACCAGATCTTTGGGGACACACAAAATTAGAATCAACTCCATTCTAAGAGCACAGCGAATACTTGGCTGCCTTAAAATGAGATCAATTTATCATAAGTATATTAAAAATATAAAATAAATGCTCAACAAATTATTGACTGTTTTGTTGACTTCCTTATTCTTCACGGTGGAAGCTGAAAATCAATTGACTATAGCATTTGGATCATGCTTCAAATTTTACAGAACTCATGATACAGATGTGTTCAAAAGAATTTAGTCATTTAATCCTAAATATTTTTTATGGCTGGGAGATGCAGCTTATCTTGATTATATGCCAATTTTAGGTATATGGAGAGCTGAGTAGAATGAGACCAGAGTAAAGGAGAAATTTGATATCACCAATGATGATAAATATTATGCTCAATTCAAGAAGAGTGTAATCATCAAAGGAGTCTATGATGATCACGATAGCAATGAAAATAACGGAGGAAAATTCAATCCCCTCAAAGAAAGTGCCAAATAATTGTATTTGGATTTTATTGGCGAACCCAAAGATTCTCCCCTCAGAAAACAAGATGGCATATACTAATCTTTTTATGCTGATTAACATAATAAGATTCTGGTTGTTATGACTGATGCAAGATATAATTCAGATAAATTCACAGGCGATTCCCTGGGAGAAAATCAATGGAAATGGCTAGAACAATAATTTCAAACTGAAAGCTAATTGATCATCATGACTTCTGGAGTCTAAGTTTTGCATGACGATAGAGATGGACCAGAAACCTGGTTTGGATGGTCCAAACAAAAATTATATGCTTTAATCAAAAAGTATAATAAGCCTATCATTTTCTTATCTGGAGATGTTCATTTTTCTGAAATTCTGAAGCATCCATGTCCTCATCGATTAGGTTAGAATCTCTACGAGTTCTCCTCAAGTGGAATGACATTTGCTAATTATGATCATATTCCCTTTGTAGATATTATTTTCTAATTCCTATTTCCAACTACCTTTAGTACTTATTAAGATCACTATTACAAATCTAATTTTGGAATCTTAAAGATAATAACCAATGATCAACATTCACCTATAAGGATCGAATACGAGACTCATTCAAGTCAAGATTCAAGTGTAGTGTTATCGAAAACCATCTTGATTGAAGAACTTCAAAAATCAAAATTTGATGAAACTTAGTCCTGCATATTAGATGTACCAACAACAGAGAGACAATGGTAGAATTATAGGTTGAGATTTTATGATAACATTGTAATAGTGATTGTCTCACTATTTTTAGGATTGTTATCTATTATCTTTTTAATTTATAATTTTATATCATATGTTTCCAAATTTTTAGAATTATACAAATAGATATAAAAGAATAAATAAAAACTTAAATATGAGTGATATTAATAGATATGAGATGTTTAGAAACAATATATATATTATTTACAGAATCTTCATATCAAAAGAAATTGAGGATATTATAATTATATGCTGTATAATCTGTAGATGTACATATCTACTCTCTTGCAGACATAATTCTTATTTAAAATATATTCTGTTACACATTTGCATGAAGATCACTTGATTACACTTTTTAGTTATAGAATAAAATTTAATTAATATTTCATATTTCATTTGATTCTTGGAAATTACAATTTTTATTGTTTAGTATCAGGCTCAATTCTTAATCTTGACAAAGCTGAATTCTAATATGTTGGTGCACTGGTTCTGCTTTGATTTGTTTTTGAATATTTTGGATTTGTCGTTGTTTTAGTCAATCTTTCAATGATTTTGCCCATCTTTTACTAATTTTATTAAGAGAATTTAGAAATTCTATTTTTGAGTTCCAAAGTTCTTAAATATATTGGGATAGTTACTTCTTATAGTCCTTGAATAGAGTTTCCTTATTTCTAAACGAAGATGGAGTTCTTTATAACCGCTACATTAATTTTTCATTTTCTCCTACGATTTTTTTTGCCTCTTGTTTTCTATAAGACAAATTAAGAGATTTGATAGAGTTGGCTGAACTTTGACGAGTGACAGATCTTTTTGGCATCGAAGAATATGTTTTTTAATTTCCAATATCCACAATGCGATTGAGAATCTTTGCATTCTCCTTATAGAGTCGCTGTTCTTTCTAAAGATCTACCTAAAGTTTTGTATAAAATTTATTCGCCCTTATTTACTAATACTTATCATTATCTGATAACACATGCTAAATTATGGGGACGATTTACTTTTTTAGAGAGATGTGGATCTGATTTGGTATTCAACAGTTTGAATTTGTGTTATTGGAACTATTCAGCATAGCATACTTTTTTTATGATATCCTATTCTACGTATTTTGGACCTCTCATATATATATTATTTTATAATATAATTAAATGCTTATAGGGAGAAGCAATAAAATGGTTAATTTTGAAATGCTGAGTGCTGAGCTACTGTTGATTATAGATACAATCTCATAGATTCCATAATTTAGGATTCTATATTACTGAAGTCATAAAAGAATTTGGTCGAATAATTTGGCATTATAATAATAAATTACAGAAATAGAATTTGTATCTACATTCTAGCCAATTTTGTTATTGTCAAAGAAATTTTGATGAGAGTATCCTTTTGAAAATTTATTTAAATTAAATGTTTGAGAAGGAAATAGTGATTGATGGAAAGGGTCATTTATTGGGTAGATTAGCATCATATATTGTAAAACAATTATAAAGAAGATAAAGAATAGTTGTCTTAAGAACAGAGTTGATTTAATAATTAGGTAATATGATCCCATGATTTTAGGTTCTCTATTTATAAACAGAGCTATCTTGAAGTATATTTGAATTAAAAAATGGCATTCAATCCAAGAAGAGGATAAAAACATTACAGAGTTACAGGAATATTAATGTAGATTTAGAAAATTGGGTTATTGATATAATATAATATGATTATATATAATTAAAAAAAAAAGTTTGAATCAATCACAAAACCTATTTTCTACTTTAGATATGCAAGAAATAGACCTTCATATTTTAGAGTGATGATTATTCATCCTATCCAGAAAATACTTATTCTTTATTTAATAAAATTACTTTTAGCTGAAGTAATTAGAAATAATTAGTTTATCCTAGTAAATTAATATTAAAAATGTGAGTAATAAGATCATTTTTATTGTCAATATAATCTGAGAGTTCTTATTCTTCTTATCATTGTAGAAGAAACTCTCTTTATTCTAATGTTTTCTTCTTAGTAAGGAGCAATAGAAATGAGTGGAGGAAGTTGATTAGTATCTTTGATACTTGCACATCCAATTTTAGAGAGATCAAGTGTTTGATCACACAACTTAGATGTCCCTAGTCTTTTTATTCTTGAGTCATGGCATCGAAATTCCTTAATGATCACTGATTTTGAACACAATTCTCTTTTCTATTTCTCACTCTCATACATTGCTTTAATGTAATCTCCAAAACCATTGAGTTAATTTTTTCCATCTCCCTGAGTTCTACTTCTGAATTTCCTTTTTGGTGGACTTTAAGGATAATTGAGACTTTTAAGACTGTTTCTTTTGGGAGGAATATGAGGACATGACGCAGTCTTAGATATTAATTATTCCTTCTGAAGTTTACTGTAATAGAGGATAACTTGTACTCCCAAAATCAGTCGTTTCCACATCATCTTACATGAATTGAATCTCGTTTGGGAAGGACAATGATATGGCAATAGTAAAAATATTTGAGTGGCTTTTTTAGTATTTTGTCCTTCAATTGAACTTTAGGAACTCTTAGCTCTGGTATAATATTTAAGCCTAGATACTCTTATTAATATAACTACTTTATGTGATTATATTTTTATTCATTCCACTCTGACAATTGTTTCAACTTCTCATTTATTTGATATCTAGGTTACTTTTATTTCCATAATTGCACTCTAGTAGTCTGACTAGATTTCAAACTTAAACTTAAGAAGGATCTTTAAAATTTCCGAATGAAACTATTTTCTAAGTCATTTCGATAAACCTTTGATAATTATTTGGGATTCATAAATAATATAAATTATATTTTTAAAGTGATATTTAGATTACTCAACACAGAATACTATGTAAAATTAATAATAATTTATAAATAACACTTATTTTATTTATCATTTTAATAAATTATTTTTCTTATTCATTTTTATTTCGTTAATTATTTTATTGATAGTTGATGCATCCATATCTTGAGGTTGATATTATGTAAGATTATTAATTCAATCAATTGGTTTATTTTAATATTAAATTATAAGGTATTAACAAACTTATGAACTTGATTTAGATTGCTATTTTTATTTAAAAGTTAAATTAAATATAAAATTATTGATGCAACAAATTGATCAATAAGAATAGAAATCAATGATGATTATTCTAATTTTCATGAGGATGATTATTCTTAGGACTTTCTTCCTCTTCCTCTTCTTCTGCTCCACTATCTAATTCCAAGTTTGTTAGTTTACTCTTCTTAGCCATTTTCTTCATTTCTTGTTTTTCTCTTCTTTCTCTAACACTCTCCTCATACATTTGCATTTCTTCTTCTAGTTATTTCTCCATGGCATGCTTATTCTTCTTTAATTTCTTAGCAGTTAATATATCCTATTTCCTTTCTAGATAATTATAAATTAAGAATGGTTTAATGTAATTCTCATCGATGTTCTTAAACCATTTTTACTTATTTTAAGTAGCACTCTCATAGGCTTTAATATCTTCTCGAATGAAGGTTTGTTTTAAATTGCTTTTGATTCCAGAGTTGTCTGATGATTCCGTTAGATGTTGTTAGTCCATTCGACTATATGCCCACTCTGTTACATATTTCAAAGATCCTCCAATAAATAAAGTAGTTCCAAATATTAAATACAAGGTTGCGAAATTGATGTACGGATAATAGTGGGTACTTTTAACAAATTCACTGTCCACTTCACAGATCAAAGCATATGCAATGACTCCTTTTATTAATCCTGAATAGCATAATATTAAGAATTCATATAAGTTGATTTTCAAGGCATGCTTTTAATCTTTTTAAATTCTCGGTATAATCATGAAATAAATACAGTATTGCCAACATTTGTGATAATAACATGGATAAAAATCTTGCCATTGGTTAAATGACGAAGAATTAAAGTAGAACAAAAGGGTAGACTGTGAATCCTTTCAAGTAATCCTAATTATTAATTTCAGTTGCTGTCACAGCAAAACCGATATAAAAATAAATAAAGGTTTCACTTGCATATGCAAGAGCTTTGACAGTAATTCTAAATAATCTATTGATTTTGTACTTCGATGAATTTGCAGACAACTTCGGTAAATTATATGTTTAATAATGGGACATCATAATTCCACAAATGAGGACTGCCATAACTCCACAAAAATCAAATGCTTCACAAAAACTAAAAGCAAAATATGCGCAATATATAGTAAATATTGTTAAAACAGAGGAGTGCTCGGATATACATCTAGCTGTTTTTGTAATCCAAGTTGAAACAACACCTAAAAATCAATATAGTTGAATTACCAGTCAGCAAACCAACAATTAATCCAACAAGCAATTAAGCCAATGTCAATGCAATGAAAATCAAAAAATTATACCAATTATCTCTTTCAAAGCGAACATTTTCATTATTATATCTTTGGGTCGTGGAGGACAGCGCAAATACTATCACATCATTTATGATTTATTCCCCGAATATAATGCTGTGGAGTTTGGGAGCATGTTCGAATTCAAGGACACTGAGGCTGACAGCACTATCCTTTGAAGTAATACATGCTGAGAAGAACATCGTAGCAAAGAAGGAATAGTCGTCCTACTTTTAATCTTCTGGAGGAGACCAAAAAATACCTAAATTTATTATTAAGATACTTGAACTAACTAATGATTACGTCAAACCAAATGAGATGAGAAATTGGACAATTGTGCCGAATATACCGTAGATCAATACATAAAAGTAGTTTTTCATAAAATGCTATTTATTTAAGCAATAGCCCTCTTTAAAAACAATAATCGGCAACAAAGCAAAAGAGAATATTCTCGAATCAAAATATATTCCTTAAGAAAAATATCCCAAAATTGTTATTAAACCAAAAAATAGTCCAAAAAGGATTGGCACAGACGCTTCCCTCATTACAGATATATGATGATGTTCACAATATGTTTGTAATATGGCTATTGTACCAAATATTAATGCAAAGACCATAACGATTCCCCCAGTAACAAGGGCTTCTTCATTTATCTCTTGAAAATTCACTGGAGATCCAAAAACCATGTAATCTTATAATCTTGATGATGTAATTATAATATTAAATTATGTTCATTAAAATACAATGATTTATTAGGTGATTCATGAGTCTACATCATGCTTTAGTTAAGAATTATCACTCAAGAACACGATGTGCAAATTCTTATCTCAAATAAGTAATTTTTTTTATAATTCCCCAACTTCTCATATTATAGAATGAAAAATCAATTTTCAAATAAAAATATAATTATTAATTTTTTTTATTTTAGGAGTATTTAATATTTTATTGCTATTATTGTTAATCTGAATAAAATATTCATAAAGATGAGGTATTTTATTTATTTATTTAACAAATACTAAAATCTTATTATCTGAGAGAAAGTCTACATAAGGAGTGTTAATCAGCCAGTGGCAACAATAAAAATTTGAAAAATATAAATTATAATCCCATTATTAAAACTTTTTCTATAGGAAGGAAAAATATAGAAGTATAAGGAAGTCAGTACATTATCACTTAAATTGTAAGTTGATGGCCATATAGGTAAGAAATAACTATATTTAAAATGATTTTTTATTAAAATAAATAATAAGATATACTGCAAAGAACAGAAACTGGGATGCTATCTTAGAACTTAAAGATAGCTTTCATTAGTTCTTGTTCAAAGTTGTGTTATTAAAAACTTAAAAATAGCAGAAGAATATTGAGATAAATGTTTTTCATAAAACTATTTGAATTTATTAAATTCATGATATTTTCGGTTCTTTGTATTGGATTGTTATACATCATGGCTTATCAATCCCAAGTTTTATTGATTTTATAAGAAAATAATTTATTATAATATAAAGATATTTTGAATCTCAATATTTATGAGTACGACAACCTTTCTAATGGCCACCTAATTTATAATGAGTTTCAAATATCAGCTTACATAAGCCACATACATATCTTTTTCTGTTTCCAATCATCAAGATTATGTTATTTCTTTTGGTTATTCTCTTTCTCTATCTGATCTATATTGGTTGTTAATCTAACAAATTTTATACCTACCCTTATTCAAATAAGATCATATTGTCTCGATTAAATTCAATTTTGTTTAGAAGCTACTCAAATCGAAAGATCAATCTTTCAGAAAATTCTAAATAGGCTTGCTTGTGATCATTCACATAAGAGTTTTCATAATTTTATTCAACTTAATTTTATTATTCCATTAATATTATTATATAGGATTATTAATTTAAATAAATCTTATATAAGTATATATATTAGTAATATATATATTTTAAATTAAAATTTTCTTGATTAAATTAGGCTGTTAAAAATCAATAAAATTCAATCTGATGGCACTTTAAAGAATACCAATAATCATGAGTGTTGATACATGCAGAAAAAAGTCAACAAATTCTTAGCATGATGCCATTTTTCTTCTTTTTAAACAATTTCCTTATAATGTGAACAATCTCTTTCATTTTTCCATAATTTTAAGAACTGATTACAATGAGAGTTCAAATTTGATTTCTTATATATAATAATCATTGACAATTAATAGATCACAATCTCATCTTCTTTATATTTCTCTAGAACTAATCGAGACAATCTTTCGGTAATATATTGTGTTTCTTATTCTTAATTTCTAAATATCAATTCAAGATCGAGGGTATATCGACCTATTACTAGTTTTACCTACTTATATAAGTATATAATTACTCTCTTGTATTCCTTTATCTACTAATTCATCTGTAGATTTATTTTTCCTTTTTTCTTTAAAATTTTTTTCCAGAGGCAATGAACCTTTCATAAGATACTTAAATCAGTTCCCGAATGTTGTAAACCATAGAACTAATCTATAGTTCTATTTAATAATAAATAAAATAATGATTTTTTTAGAACTTAGATATTAAGTTAGTCTTTAAGAACCCCAATACAACAATCTAGTATAATTCAGATGAGGAATAACCCTAGATATAAACCGATACTAGTTTCACTCCTCAAACTTTAGATAAACTAAATATAAACAAGATTTTTTAGAATACATTAAAAACAACATATATATATATTATATGAATGGTATCAATAGAATCACTTAGTTCCACTTTCAAGATATTATTACTTTTCAATTTTTTGACTAAAATTTCTGCTATGTTTAGATGATGAACTTGAGGATTAATCAGTAGTAGATGAAATCTTATTCTAATTTTGATTTGCATTAAATTCATAACTCTAAAATAAATCTTAATGTTTTATAAGATGATACCTTGAGTGGCTGGATCTTTTAATACCAGCAGGTTTTGTTAAATGAGTTCATTATTTTCTTCATCTTCTATGAGAATTTACTTTTAATCAAAATTATCTTCAGTCCTCTAATTTAATGATTACTGCTTACATTTGGTTAAAAGGGTGGAACAAGCTCAAAGTTCTTAAGCTTCTGCCATGGAAAATTTAAAAACCAAGGATGTTGACGGATCTCTTGACTCTCATTAAACCCTAATCGTTATTAAGGCTTTCTTTATAAGAGCTGAATAGGATATGAAATGAAAATACTCTATTGATAAAATCGGCACCTTCGATTGACCAATTATTAGGGATTTCAGATTTTTTTATTTGAACTTATTTAGCCAAAATTTAATCTCTGATTTCTTGTCTCGACCTCCCTACATAGGGTCTCTAATAATTGAGTTTATTAATACCCTGCCTAACATAAATTCATATGCAATCACTCCTAGGGCATAGTAATCTGCAGCAAATGTATGATTTTGTCTACACATCACTTCTGGAGCTATATGTTTTTAAATATCAGATACCCATGTAACCAGGTGTGCCACTAGTATCACTTGAGTTTTCGGTTTTCATAACTCTCGCAATGCCAAAATCAGTTAAATGAACATAGCCTTTATTATCCAAAACCAAATTTTCAGGTTTAATATCTCTATGAATTATGTTGCATTCATGAACATATTCTAAACTTAAAAATATGCAGGCTACAAAGAACCCTCAAAAAATATAGATAATATTTCTTACTAGTTTATTCTTCATTAAATCTTCTCATTCTTCCAATATGATATCTAAGGTCACCTCCAGACATATAATCCATAATTAAATACAGGGTTTCTCTGTCCTGATAGGCAAAATTCATGTTAACCAAAAAAGGATGCTTCAATTAACTTAGCAATACTCTTTCATTCATAACTGAATTCACACTTTTTTTTGTTATAATTCTATATAAAGATGAATAACCATACAGAGCCTTCGACATTTCTTTCATTGCATACACTTAAGCTGTTTTTTTATGTTCTACTTTCCAAACCTTTCCAAATCCACCAATTCCAACAACAAAATGAAAATAAAAAGTGTTTCTACAATATATATCATTATCAAATAGTTCCTTCAATTGGTTAATAGATTATGTTTGAATTGATTGAACTTATTATTTTACAATCTAAGGTTTTTATTTATTCGAAGTTATTTCTCTAGCTTTTGCAAACAATGCTTATAATTATTATTGACTTGAATTCTAGCTATTTTATGTATCAAATGCTTCAATAGTAGGAGACTTATTGTGTTTAATTAATTTTGTTAAATTAGTTACATCCACTTATGATCCTTTATGTGAATGCAATGTTTTAAGCAGATTTTGTTCAGAATTTTAAGGTGATACTTGTGAACTATTTGGAACATTTATAGGAGCTTTGCAATTAAATAATAATGAGGACATGATTGGCTTTTTAATAGAACTCGGACTATTCACTTGGCTTGGTTTTCTCAAACCTTATACATTCAAGCTCATTTAATTATAATAAAAAAAATTATAATCAAATTATAGGACATAATTAGATCATTTCTTAAATTGATCATGAAACTTCATAAAATGATGCTACTCAATTTAGTTATCAAGGTTAAATAAATAAATTCAAATCATTTTATCACCCTAGTCAAATAAGCAGATGCATTTTTCTATTGAATTTAAAAAATAAAGTGTTGTCACTTTCATATCAACAGGGAACAGGCCTTGTTTACGGTAAGTATATGATTATAAATCTATTATCTTCAAAACATATTGAATTAAGACTTTGTTCTAATTAGATGAGCATCTAGTTATGCTACCTCAATTAACTAAAAATTCTATTAAGTTTCAGGCCATTCTCAAAAAATTTTTATACAATATCTGAAAATTGATCAAGCTAACTTAACTCATTTCTCATTATATTTCCTTTTCTATGGGATATGGTCTTTCTTTATACCTATATGGACTTTACTCTCTAGCATGATTAATAAGATAGAAGTTAACTTGAATCTACTATTTTATTCTTTATTTTATATTTTTAATTAAATAGATCTAAGAAGTTTCTTTTCAATACTAATATTATTATGTTTTTGATACTAAAAAATTTATTAATATACTTTAATATTGATATAATTTAATCTTATATTTTATAATCAATAATCTGATTTAATAGGAAGATTGACATCTTTAAAATTTAAGGGAATATTTGTGAGTCTTAACAATATTACCTAAAGTGAATACTTGATAGACTAATCTTGTTTAAAGCAGAAGTTAGATAAAGTGTTGAAATGACTAATATATGCTTAGAATTTTATAAAGGATAAATAAATTTGACTGATTAATATCAATTTAATTTAACATAATGATATACCTTCTAACACAAATAAAAATGAATTAATATGTATATATGCTGGATGTTGATTAGACTTGTAATACTAATTATGCTTTTAATATCTGAAAATCTATTAGGAACAAGGTTTAAATGAACTGCTTTACTAGTTCCTAAATAATGGTAGTAAGGTTTTCTTTAAAAATCAGAAATTATAATTTTCAGTTGAACAAATATCAAAATTAATTTAGAATATGTAATTAAATTATGTTTAAACTCACACCCTACAGTGATTTATAAAAAAGAAAGAAAATGGTCATTGGAATGCATCTGGTTGATCCCTCAGATAGATACCATTATTTTAACTTGGTTGGAGGAAATAATTAATTGATGTAGAAAACAAGTTCCATCACATAATTAAACAAATAAGAGCATCTAACTCAGAGATAAATGCTGACACTACCAGTTACGCCAAATAACAAATAACCTTCCTTTTTAGAATAAACCTAATCATTGGTCTCAAAATAAGTTAGCATAACCCCAAGACTAAAATTAGTAAAATAACAAACAAAACCATTACTGAAGTAATTATAAGGACAATTAATCGATAAAAAAAGAAACGAATCATTCAAAGGCAAAGCAACAATCCCAAATCTAAGTCAAAAAAAGATAATTGGTTTGAAAAAACAAATCCTATTCGAATTAGTTTAACCTTCAGAGTTTGATGATTTTGTTGATTATGTATGTAATAAGAAATTAATATGAATACTTATTTTTGATTAAATATGAGTAAGAATAAATATGACATTTTTGACACAAGTGAGTATTATAATTTTAGTAATTATATAAATTAATAAAACCTAATTCAAAAAATTAAGGAGTAAACAATGGTATGTAAGGCTTCTGGCTAAAGATTTAAAATGGTTCTTTATATATTCTGGGGCGGTACTTTCATAATTTTAGATGCAAGGGCTTAATTTTCATCATTCAAAAGCATCATAAATAATCGAAAATCAGAGACTCCCCAGACTCTATCTATGTAATATTATTTAAATCTTATGAAATCATTCCAGAATAATCTATTTTGTCTATCATATTCCAATCCTTATTTTAGAAATCTTAGTAGACATCTTGTTAAAGTTGGGTTCAATTACTACAATTTGATATTCATAGATTTAAGGATTTTATAATCAAAAAACAGTTATTTAAGAAGTACTTCTAATCTCTTACTCTCTTCAATTTTTTGTATTGAAACTTGAAGCAATTTGTTTTTGGTAAACAAAATAGTCATTTCACATAACAATAGGAATTATGAAAATAAGTCTCTATCCAATTGAATATCCTTAATTCCGAAAATTAACTGAAATTGCATAAGCCCCTACTCACAAACTTGAGGTATTTCATTCTACTATTTTTAAGGTTTAATCTTTTCGGTTTACATAATTTTTTTAATCATCAATTAATCCTTGTTTTTTGTTTCTTGTTTTAACTTATTTTATTCTTTCAGGTATTGCTTAATTTCTTTGTTTCTTTTATTGGATGCCAATTATTAATACTTGTCCTCAGTGTCTAAAATTTCTGATTGTTCCTTTGATGTTTGATTAACACTTTGATGAGAAAATGTTCTTACTCTGGTTATTTTTTATGGTTAGAAGTATTCAATTATTTATAAATCTATTCTTATGTCACTCAAAAACAATATATTTTTAAATTTACTTTTGTGTATCATATTAAAGTCAACTCCAAAAGCATAGTTAAATTACTTTTCTTTATTAATTCTATCAGCAAATTCAAACAAAACTTCATAAGTCTCTCTACTTGATGTATTCAATAAATCGATTTTTTTTTATTATTATGAAAATGTACAATAATGATAAGTATATGCCTTACTCTATGATTAAATCAACTATTCCTGTAAATATACAATAAATTATTTGATTTGCATCTCATTTAAAAATTCCTTATATTTGAGAAACTAAAGGTATCGAGGATTTTGAATAAACTCAGCAACAAAATCTTCATTATTCAAAATCAATATGATTAATATCCCTCTTCCTTCACCCAGCGGAGACACGTCAGCGTGAATTGAGTTTCTCTCCGTTGGTTTTCTAACATTGAATGAATTCGATCTCTCCTTTTATAAAAAGGGCAGCATTAATAATAATAATTAATAAGTAAATTAAACAATTTATATTCAAAGTTTAACACTCTTAGGAAATACATAATAATAAGCTAACATAAAGGTTAACCAATTTGTTAATAAACTATTAAGGTAGCCATGCATTTAAGTGTTATTTTATAATAATATTATTTGGAGAATAGATTATATAATTATATTAGATTTTATATAGTAATGGATTGAAAAAAAATCTGAAGTTATAATCAATGGGATATGAAAGAATTCGATCTACTAAATCTGTTAATTTCGTCTGCTGCCTCAAATTACAAATGAATAATTGCTATTTGGATAGCATTTAATCCATCATTCTATTTTTTAAACAATATCTTACATTTTTAATAGTAATCTCTGCACCTTTGCGAAGTAAGTACTGAATTATTTCAAAGGCTCCTGTCCGTGCTGCTTGTATCAAAAAAGTATTCCCATTGTAATCTTGAGTATTTAAGTTGATATTCTAATCATGATTTATTAGGTCTTTAAGATCTTGTAACCGATGATCTTCTATTAAGGAGAAAGCTCTATCAATGTTAGATTTATCATTTTGTTGGCTCTCATGTAATAGCATACTTCTGAATAGCAAAGACGAGGGATCCATTGATTGTTGAGTGATCAAATTGGACTTGATTGAAATATGTTGTTGAGAACTTTTGGATTTGGTTTATTATTCTGACTCTTTTTAAAAGGTTCGAACTTGATGAGAACTCTAAAATTATTAGATGTTATGATTTGAATTTGTGTTTGCATGCAACAAGGCTTACAAATTACGAGAACTTTTGTAGATAATATTTTGAGAAGAAGCAAATTTCTGAGTAGCCAATAAATTCTTTGATTTCTAATTCTTTTTTAACATCATTCCTTTGGCTAATAATGGATTGATCTCTTTTCTAGTCAATTTTGATTCGTTCTGATATAAAAAATATATGATACAGATCCTATTGGAGAAGCAAGTCTGCTTCTTGAATTTTAGGGTATGTTTAAATTAGTAAATTATCTATCAGTGATTTTTGCTGAATCTAGATCAATTTGAGTTTTACAATATTCAACATAAATCTTTTCCATTTGAGTCACTTAATGATGTAGAAAATCTTCAAATTACCCTGTTAAGATGTAATTGTATTTAATGGAAAATTAGGTTTGCAAAATAGTTAAATCTGTTGTTAATAATTCTGTCTCTAAATCATTAAGAATTTATAACTCTCTATTTAATTATAAATAAAATACAATTATTTTCTGGGTCATTTTTTATTTTTTTTTCCAAAGTCTTGATTATTTGTGGGAATCTCAAGAGATCCTAATGTAGAAGTTAATTTTTGGTTTCATCATCGATTGTGTTAACAATAACTCTCAATTTCTGTTGTTTTATATCATTTGGAGATATTAAATTTAACATGTAATAGATGTAATTGATTTTGAATTGCGTTTGCATTTCTATATCACTGGTGTCTAATTGAGAAACATTTGGACTTAGGATACTATTATCACTTAGATGTCCTTCCTAATGCTACCCAATAGTATAAAATAAGGTCTAGACTTCACATTATGATTTATATTAATCTTTCTTAAATTGTACAAATAGTTACATGCTATTAAGTGATTTACAACATATTTTTGCTTTGGATCTCTTGCATTGTTTCAGAATAATAATTTTTATTCAAGAAACTCTATTTTTGACAAGTTGAAATCTCCTCATTCTCTTACTGAGGCTCATATTTAATTTCTAAGCACTTTTAAATATGGTTCTGTAAGTAATATCTCGTAAATTAAGAAGCTTTGAATGAGTTAAAATTTTCAATGGCATCATTATCCTTTTAGGTTTTTATGACTTTGTCTCCGAATTTCTTCACTAATCTCAAAGCAAATTTGCTACATATATCTTAAGATATTTACTTCTATAACATAGATTTGCTGACCAATGAATAGATATTTGATTGTTTATTATCCTTTATTTCTGTTGATTAAATTTAACTCTACTGAAAATCACCAATATAATCAGGCATTTAAAATTCAATTTCCTTTTCATTTTCTTCAAAAGCAACTGTTACTTTGATGTTTTTTTTTTAAATTTGTTAGATAATCTATACTTTCTCTTATTTTTCATCCTTCTTTTCTTTCAAAGCATCAATAATGGTTTTTATTGGAAGCATTGATTCGTTATCATAAATACTGTAATTGGGATGAATTCTGGTTTGCTTCTTGGTAATTGTGCTTAATTTGAAATTGAATTTAGATTCAATGGCTTTGGGTGTTTTTTCATCTGGCATATTACTTAGTGTTTTTGAAAATTATCTATCAATCAAAGATTCCTTCTTCTTTTTGATTTCTAACTCCAATAACTTTTCCTTCTCTCTATGAGTGTGTAACAATTATCTTAATTTCCTCATTAGATGACAACTTTTTTCATTTAAGGATTCAATTTCTGTAATTTACTAATTAATCTCTGTTCTTTTTATTTTAGAGCTTATTTTTGGAATCTTTGTGAATTCATATGTCTCTCCCAATACTTATACGGGATTAACTTTTGGTAATGCTTATTTAGTGATTATTTCACTTCTGGTTGATGTCAAAGCTGATTAAAGAATCTCAACAGCATGGGCTATTTATGTTGGAATTGTGGCTGTATGTTAAATATTTTGTTATACATATAGTTACTCTACTTCTTCAAAGTTTTCTTTAGGAGAGTCCAATTTAGAGATATTAATGTTATTAGAAAGGGTGAGAGTCTCAGTTTTATTTCTTTAATGTTAATGTATAATGCGAAAGTCTCCTGAATTTCCACTTGCCTTCCTCATTTTAATGGTTGCAGTTTTCGGAGTTTCCTGAGTTTCTGTCTTCATAACAGTTGTTAAAACAGGGAGCTTTTTGGTTGACTCTAAATGGAGACGAGATGTACGTTTGGAGTAAACTAAATATTTATTTCCATTGGAAATTGTGGAGCTTGCATTTTTATTGTGTTTACTGGGGGCAGTTGTTGTTGGAGTACCCACATTAGAAATTAATTGGCATCCTGCTAAATTTGTGAAAAATTTGTTAACTTAGGATTATTTCATTAATTTTAAAATTAATTGCTAAAAGCAATAATTAGACAAAATAAAAATGGCTTTACTTCTAAATCCCCACTAATAACACTCCTAGATTAAATTGAGTACTCATAAATCATGATATTGATTATTTAGAAATCTAGGTTCAAACAGTGAATTTTTAAATTATGAAGTGCACACAACTCAAATTTTAAGCATCTCCAATAATAAATACCTATAATAAGTATTATTTATATTGATTTTATAATATAATACGTATTTTTTCAATATTATAATGTGTCAACTCGGATTCCATAAAAGAGTAATTAAATAATCGAAGAATTCACTAGAAATATGGGAAATATTGAAATGAAAGAAGAAGCTATCACTACTTTACAGGAATGTTATCATTGTAAAGGGGCTGGGTATGTTGTACCCAAATTCTCAAGAAAATATTTAGATCAAGATTTATCGCCTACCCAAAAAAGAGAAAGAGATTAATGTTTGGATTGTCTAGGAAAAGGACACGTCACACTAGAACACTATGAGGAGAAAAACTTTACTTTATGATCGTATCTATGATTATTTATATAATATATAAAACCATTAATAAACTAAAGATTTCGAAGATTTAATAATATAATAAATCATTTTTTATTCGTAATAAAAAGTAATGACTTATATAAATGTCAATCTAATATAGTATAAACCTACTGCCTAAATTCAAGCACTAGAAGGCGCAATATAATATTGCCAATTACTTTCTTTAAATTTTGTAAAGTAAAGAATTGTTCCTCAATGAAAGATTTTGATGATGATGTAATAATATTATAATAATGATTTTTATAATCATATTTATTTTAAATATTCTACAGGTCATCTAGAACCATAATTAACTTAAAGAATCTATTGAGATTGAGTGATGTGAGATAAAATAATATCATAATAACATTGGATTAGCGAGGAACTATTTACTGAAATTTTGATTTCATATTAAATTCATATATACAATTATTTGAGCTTAGTAACTGGTAAATCATCTAAGGAAATTCGTTTAAAGTAGAGGTTGATTAATTGTATTATAATAAAAGCCTAGATTATCAATTTTGGGTCTTATTTTGTAAATCATACTCTATTTCAAAACAAAGGAGGATACTATTACATTCTTCTTTAAGTCTAATTTTAAGAAACTTAATTTGTTGGAACATATAACATTAATTTTATGAAATATTCCAATCTCTAAATGAGTTCTATTTTAAATGTATATAAATAATTAAAATAGATTAATATAATATTATTTTTAAATAATCAAATCAAAAAGTTACTCCTGCTACTTAGGAAATCTCTAATTTGTATTGTAAACCTTAAATCACTTGGCTAAACAATTAATATAGTGAAATTACTTCATTATTGATAAATTCAACTTCAGAGTCGCAATCTATTGTAAGTGCCTTCATTCCTCCTATTACTAAACCTTAAACAAAGCTTGCCCAGAGTGATAAATACTCATCTTATAAACTAAAAATTGAATGACATATTACATTTTATCATTTAATCTGATTCTCCTAGTCATCTAAAAACCAAGCTTTGTAATTGTGTTATTTCCTTTCTTCTATTCTTCATACCTATCTTCAATATCATAATGTGAGCCAGCTTTATTAATTTAAACTTTAGAAACTGGTTATCCAAACATATATGACCAAAAGTCTTTGCCAAAGAATTTAACATAATCTGTATATTTTCCTTAATCTGGATTAAGCCTGATTTTTTCAAATTGAGTTGATGCTAATGATTCCATTACATTCTACCCTAATTTCTTGCCCATTTCAACCAATCTAATCTATTTCTCATTTTTGTCTATATTAATAATTGATAATACTAAGTTTTTTATTCTGCTAAACTGTTAACATATATGTGCTTAATAAATGATAGACGATTGGATATTCAATTGTGGATTGACGCTTATATTGATTTGACTTTGGTAATTGAATTTTTTGATTTTGGGATTAATCCATGTATGTAGTTATATAAATATAATAAATAAATTGAAATCATTATTGCTTTTTTCTTGATAAAATATCAGACAAATTGAATGGTTTGCTTTCAGAAATGTTGCGAAACAATAACTCATTATTTCGATTTGAGTTTTGAATACCAAGTCCAATGCCTTGGTTCATTTCATTAATCATCTCAACCACAGAAACTGAAGACAAAGACAGATTATTTTATTAAGCTTATGATGTATCCAATATTTGTTCTATATTCCGAAGTGTAGATGCTAATACAGGAAGCTATCCTTTTAATTTTTGAAATTATTAATCTACCATGTACAATCTTTTAATTTCGAGATTATCACAATATCTAGGTTTATCTTATTATTGGTATTTATCAAGTTCTTCTTATTGCTTTTGAATTATCTATTCTAATTCTTAATGTTTTTAATCCATTTAATAAATCACTTGATCTTTCTCTGCAATAATAGATTGTAATTGTTCGATGTATTAGTTTGTTTATTCGTCAGAGTGCATCCTGTCGATCTTCCTATTCTTCTCCATATCCTCAAGTTCATTTTCTAATTATTGAATGCGTTGGCATAAGCTCTGTTATAAGTCCTCATATTTCGATTTCCAGTCTTCATGATATTGAACAGAAGCATTTCTGGATTTCTGATTTTTGGCGAATCTACCCATACTTCTCTTATGACTACTATCATTAACTTTCATTAATTTCTGATCCTAAAAAGGTAACATTAATTGAGTTACTGATTTAAATTCGGTAATGCTGATTCCCTCTTTGGGATTGAGATTCTCTTTCAGATACTTTTAGCTGCAAAGGAGTTGTTTGACCAATACAGGACTGTTATCTGAGATGCTATTTGTAATGATTTATCTTGGAGATAAAGATGCAGAGGATCTCTAAACACTTTTAGGAGCAAAATAAGTTATCTACTTCATCTCATCTTTTTTATTAAAGTACTTGCATAATCCATTTAAGGATTGAATCAAATTTTGGGGTTTGTTTACTTGTAGAGGTGTATATGTTATGAGAGGCTTTGATTTGATAACATGGCATGATTATTATGAGGAGCGAGGTTCTGTGAGGAAATTATCTGAAACATTAGATATGATTTGTTTCATTTTCAATTTGGAAACTGTTATAAATAAAATAATATTTGAATTTTGTAATTGGGCATAAAGATAGATAAAGTTAGAATAACATATCATTTATTTTAATGTTTATCAAATAATCGTCAATAAAAACTAATTCTAATGGTCTAATTTTGGATAACAACTAATATAATATGATTAGATTTCAATTAACTAATAGATTTTTGTTGGCATCCTTAGATTCACCTTTGATTAAACCTAAGAGTCCCTGGCCGTGATTCTTACGTTAAATTTAAGATAATGATCTATAAGATATTTTCTCATAATCTACTTATCAAATCTAAGTAAAAAATTATGGATGATTAAATAAAGGATGATGGTATGTATGAGAATTTTGATCAAAATTCAATTTCTATAGTTAAAGGCCACTTCTTTATGAACTTGGAATGCAGAGAAGATAAGGATTTATTTCTGTTATGAAAAATAGAATATTATTTAATACATAAATTCCTTCTCCAAATCATTCACATAGTAAAAGGTGATATGGAAAACTGAACTTAAATAAATTGAAAAAAATTCAAAATATTTGAGATACTAAAACACAATAAGTTTATCATATAGGTGAGGCCAATAAGATACAAATTATTTGTAAAAGTGTGCTGTTCTTTAGACCCTCTAAGGAAATTTAATTAAATGTATTCTGGGAATGAAAATAATTTTACCAAAATTATAAATTAGAAAAGGACAAAAAACAATTGTAAAAGTGAAAATTATCATTCCTATTCTATTGATGATCAAAATGATAAGCCATTTTTAAGTATAAATTTAAATTATCATTAAATTATTAATGAAATAACAATTTAAAGATTCAAAGAAAAGCTTAGTAAAGTTTGATTTAGTACCTTGGAATGTAAACCTAAATATAATGATAAAACAGTTTTGAAGGCTGATAATGCAGGTCAAGCAATAATAGATGAAATCTTTTAAAAGATGTGAAAGACAACTTAAAGTTTGAAATAAAATTGAAGATCTGACAGAACTATTGAATAAACAATTGGTTATATTGAAAAAAATAGGAACATTCAATAGAGACTTAATTTAATCAATATCAATAACTATGTTATCGATCTTTGTTGTAAATGAAGGGCAGGGACTTAAATCGAATCTGGAACTTTTATAAGTCGTAATTAAATTTTATTAATTATTTCATAGATAGTGAAAAACAATATCTTCGTTGGCTTATTTTGAGAGGGAGGGATTAAAAACCTAGTATAATCAATAGATCGTACCATCACAATACAATAAAGTTGAGACGAATGACGAAACGATCACTAATATAGATATAGGTTGTGAATCCATATCTCTTATTCTGGAAATGGGAAGTTCATAAATCAATCACTTCTTTTGAATAATCATTAATCCGTGATTTTGATTGAATATGGAAACTTGGGAAAGAAGCAGCTCAAAAGTATAACAAGTGATTTATATATCTATATTATAATTAAAATGAATTAGAAATAAGAGAAGAAAATAGACGATATCACTCTATAATGTAATTATTATTCTGATTTTAGAACTCAGAAGTATGGCGGAAAATGGTGCTGGAGAATCACTTGCAGCTAGTCTGAATTTAGATTAAGAAGATCTTATTAGTAAAAATGTGATTGAGTTGTAGTTTGGCCTTTGGAGCAGGTGCAAAGAAACTTCAAGGAATTTATGAGATCGACTTCATAACTAGAAATTGAGGCGGACAATGCTAAGGAAAGAATAGACTTTCCAGCTGACATGGAGTGGCCAACTGAGGATGATTTGGAGTAGATGTTTCAAAAGTCGATGAGCAAGTAATCTTCATTGTACTATTTATGCAGAATCCAAGGTCGTCAGAACAAAAAGAAATGGAAAGATAATGAGAAATAATTTTTAACATGGATTATTATTAGATATTGTCTATGGAAAAACAAAGTTTGTAAGGAGCTTGTAAGTCTTCAACTTAAATATAGAATGACTAAGATTGGAGATACATTGCTTAATTGATAGTAGGCAGAAATGCAACCTAATGTAAGTATAAATGGTTGGCTCGATCTAAATTTAAACTAGTCTAAGTCCCATGGAGCAAAGAAGAGGATGAGGCATTGGCTCAAATTTACATGGAGTATCAAAAGCAAGGTAAACACAGTAAGTGGAGTGAAATTGCCAAAGAAATTGCTTTGAGATGCAAAACCCAAATTGTTAGATAAGGCAAGCAATGTAGAGAAAGATGGATCAATAAATTAGATCCACAAATATCAAAGTAATATTTTACTTATACTTTTTTAGAGGACCATGGACTAAGGAGGAGGAGTTAACTTTATTGTAATTGATTTTAAAAAAAGGAAAGAAGTGGTCAGAAATATCAAAAATTATGAAAAATACAAGAACTGAGAATTCCTTAAAAAATAGATATCACACTATTATGAAAAAAGAAAGAAATAAATAACCAGAAGTCAAAGAAGAAATCCAATAAGAAATTGTAGATTTATTATAATAGCATAATCATATCTATTAAGCTGATAACTTAGTTCATTTGTATGAAGATATAGATCCTAAGGAATTAAAGATAATACTTTAGGTTATTGATAGATTAAGTGAGAGTACTGGGAAATAAATTAGAGTAAGCACATTAATTACTGATTAATAAATGCAACAAGAATAATTATATGAAAAACAATAAAAAGTCAAGTAGGAAAGTTAAATTGATTAAATTCAATAAAAAAACGAAGAGGCTAACAATAAATAAAGATTTCTTGATACTATGGAGAAAATCAAAATTGATTTGGATCAATAAATAAAGAAATTAGTGAATAAGTAGGATTTGGATTAGAATTGCACCATAAATCTCCTCAAATAAATTTTAAAGCCATAAGGTAACATTCATAATTTATCCATTAGAAAACGAAACAAATTAATTGTAATTTGATTAGTATTACGATTCAATGATTCTCAATTTCCAAGCAAATTAAGTAGAATTTGAAGTTGAAGCCATTACAAATCTAACAGCCTAAGATGTCGAAGATTGTTAATTTGGCATTGTAGATTTTGAGCAATCCAACATTTTTATGATTCCTTAGTAGTATTTGTAAGAAGTAATAAATAAAGTTCATGGGTCTTCAACCTAAGCTTAAGTTCAATAGCAATAATAAATGTTGTAACATTAATAACATCAATAACAATAATAGTAATAATAGTAGTAATAGCAATAATAATAATAAGCACAATAGGCTTAATAAGTATAACAATCATAAATGTAATAATAGTAATAATAACAACAAAGATTAAACATTTCATCATCGCTTAGATAATCAATACCTTAATCATAATAGGCTTAACCACTTTAAACATCTTAACTATTTTTAGGTGATTAGTTTAATCTTGTCAATAGTCAATATGATTTCGAAAATCAATAGTAATACTAATAATAAATTCCTGTTTAAATTCTCTATCCCTAGATTATATATTAACCTATAGGTTAATCTATAAATCTATCCCAAGGTCTATAGTAAAACTATTGGATGTAACAATCTTATTATCAACCTTAATATTACGTGAAGGCATAGGAATAGTAATTCAACAAATCCAATCAAGAAGAACCTAAATGAAATTTAATTAATTTTTATATCTATATATATATTCAAGTAGAATTAAGATAAATAAAAATTGTCTAAATATTACTAAAGTTGCAGCAAGAATCCCCTTTTCATAAGGAAATTCTATTTGAAAAAAGAGTATTTCAGGAGAAGTAATTGAATATTATTATTTTATAGGATTGATTCTACTCTGCAAATTTGCGATCAGTAATGTAATAGAGCATCCTTACTGTCTGGTTTGTTAAATCCACGACTATTCAAAAAACCCCAATAGCTCAAATTATGGTGTAGTTCGTGTATAATCCTGAATCTAATAATAGAATAATCATAAACTTAATGAATCTCATTATTAAAATTATAGTTAATAAAGTTCTGAATTGTGATATGTATGTTGTATCTAATTATATAATTTTTATGCTTTTCCAACATATTTAATACTAGTATTATTTTTTTGATAAGATCAATTGATTTGTAATATTATTTTTGTATTAGCTTAGTGTAATTGATTGCTTTTATACTCAAGAAATATTTTTAAATAACAGTTAATGAGCAATAAATAACAATAAGCTAAAGATTATCTCACTGCCTGTTTTCAATGTAAAGGATTTGAACCGTTCTTTATTGTGACAAAAACATCTCTTTTACGTATTTTAGATAATATGGCCTAACAATAATTTGATAGAGAATTGGCAGATGAATTATTTCAACATTGCCCAACCAATTTCAAAGGACTGGTTAAGATTGAAGATTTCATTGAAATTGTTATATAAGCAGACATAGTATTGAATGAAAAAATCAACAAAGCAAATCAATTTATTGTGAATCAAACAGAAGAGTTGGCAAAATTAACAAATAAGAATCGATCTCAAATTTTATAGATCCGTGTAATTGGAGCTAAGAATCTACATTAGGGATTGATTAATGCCACAAACAAACCTTATGTTGTTGTGCATTTCAATTAAGAGAAAAAGAGTTCTCGTTTAGCACACAATGACATTCTTAATCCAATTTGGGATGAGACCTTTGTATTGTAAGAATCCTGTATATATTTAAAGTCCCATTAAGACTGGAAATGAACAAACCTATATATCAATATTAACATTGGATAGTACAAATAATAAAAGCAATTTAATAGGAGAGGTTCATTTTGGATTAAGAGAATTGGAAGATCAAATGAAACATAATCAATGGTTCAATATTTATGATCGCCATGGTTCGATGGGTAGTGGTAGTTTGCAATTGGAACTACAATTATTACTTGATGAAGTATTATCTTAAGGACTATTATTAGTCAATGTTCTATGAGTAAGCACAATAAGTAATGCAGCAATAAATACTGAATCAACAGGAAGAGAAGAATCAATATGAAAGTGATTTGAAGATCCTTTATTCTCCTTTTTAGAATGGAATATTGCAACCAAAAAGACTAATCGTTCCTGATGCACCTTAATTGATGTTTGTTCATGAATTCTCTAAGCCAATAATCTATCAGGGAGATAAGAAGGTAGATTTGACAGTTTACAAAACTCCATAATTGAGTGATAGTAGGGTCTTACAAATATTGAATCAGGCACCTGAAAGTGTAACTACAGTACATCCAGAGATTGATTATCCAGCAAGACACGATCTCAAGTAAAAAGCTAATTATGGTTACGATCATGTTACCAAGGATATGAAATTAACAGCCATCTTTATTCTCTTATATGTGCTTAGTAGTATTTATCTATGTTGGGTGAAAACTGACTTTGTTAATATTACTATTGCATTATGCACTTCTTTGATTGTGTTTCTGAATTATTTTGAGAAGAACCATTTAAATATATTTGCAATTCTCATAATTTTGACATTGTTATATGATGTGTCTTGGTTGGCTGCCTATTCAGGAGTATTATTTATAGTTAATTAATAGGTTTGGTGGAATCAAAATAAATCAGAAAATCCATAATCAGAATCTGAGTTAATAACATCTTAGAGAATAACAATTCTGGTTAGCTACTTTGTGATTTTTCTGAAGATTGCATTGTCATGTTAATTGTGGAATTTAAAGAAAAACATAGAACCATTAAATAATCATAAATAATTTGGAATAGGAACTCATTTGTATTAAGCAAATGGTGGACACATAAATCCATTTATTTAATGAAATAAATATTTTTGTTATTATCAATAGCCATCGTTTCTTGTAATTACATTTGAATCTAAGTAAGGATAAACAGTTCTTATCGCATTTAAAGAAATTTTATGATCACATTGTCCATACAACCAAGAGTATCCATATATTTCTATACTTTATCCAATAAATGAATGTTTGATTCTACCACCTCCTAAACATTTGAATTTGAATTTATGTCCATCCAATTACAATTTAATTTTTCCTTCCTCTAAATCAAAATTGAAATCTGACCATTTCAAGTTATTTTTTACTTCATTGCAAAAGTGTTCAAAGTTTTAAGCATGATATCCATATTTTTTTAAACCTCTAACAAAATAAAATTCTTGATTATTATTCCCTGTCAATAAAATTAATATGTATTTAAATGTGCCTTCATCATCAAGGCCCACCTAGCTAACATTTTTTGTGATTTTAATAAACGCCTCTTATTCGGACTATCGAGTTTCTTCAGATTATTGAATCTCTTCAGACTAATTAATCTCTTTAGATTAATTAATTTCTTCAGATTAATTAATCTATTCAGACTAATTAATTTCTTCAGATTAATGAGTTTCTTCAGACTATTGAGTTATATTCATATATTAAATTATTAATCATATATATTTCTGTACCATTTGAAGCTTCAATAATTTCTTTTATTAATTTTCTTTTATAAGTTGATAATTATTTGAGATGATAGAATATATATAATAAAGAAATTTACATCAATCTATTAATTAATATTTTAGCACACTTGGAAATTTTCAAATTATCAAATAGACCTGGGATAAGCTTTGATAATATTAGAAGATTGATCAAAAATGTCAAATAATTCTTTTTTAATTAGATGTTATTTATTAGTAAATACTCAATAGATTGATATTTGTTGTTGATAAATGCAAGAAAATGCGAGATATAATTATCAAATTTAATAACTTTAAAATAAATCTTTGATTTGTAGATGCTAAAGTTTATCTCCATTTCTTAAATATCTGATTAAATTACAAGATATTAGTATTATAAATGTATTTTAATATCAAAATATTTCACATTTGGCACAACATCCTTTGTCATTATTCACAGGATCCAAACGCTAAATAGGAATATTATCTGGATTATTTTCTTCGTTTAGTTTATTTCCAGTAGAGTTAAACTATTACTAATCACTAGGCGACAATTTATCTTATTCATTGTCATTTCCTTATTATTGCTAATTTTTTTATCTTTCAGTTAAAATCACTTACTCAGTGCTTTCTTTGATTTCATAATTCTAAGGGATATTTTATTTTTTTTCCTCTTCCTGATTGAATACTTGTTGCTATAATTCAGGTTATTCAGGCTCATCTAAAATAGGTTTTTGATTATTAGATTAAGCTTAATTATGCGGTTATTTAGAGTCTATTTATGGATTATCTTCTGATTAATCCTATCTTGGATTTTCAGGTTTATCTTCGATTTGAATTGATTACTATGGCTTATTAGAAATGGAATAATAAATCTGTTGTTACTATTTCATAAAATCATTGAGATTAAAGTCGACTTAATCATATGGATCATTTTCTTCTTCTTCTTCTATCTTCATATTTGAAATTTTCATATTCTATTTTTAATTAGTTTTGTTATCCTTCTTTGTATATCCATCAGGTAAATCCAAATTGTAAGGTGGCCTTAATTAAAATAGAGGAATACCAAAATTTTGTTAAATTAGGGTGAGTGCCTCCGAATTTTTCTTCTAATTAATTTGGTTCAATAAATTCTTTTAATTATTTAATTTCTTTAGATGGGAGGAAACTAATTTTATTAATAGTTTCTTCGTCCAAAAAGGCTTTAATTTATTGCCATAAAAAGTTGATTCCACTTGAAGGATTTAAAACAAACATTCTTTCAAGGTAACCTGAAAAATTAGTGCTCAAATTATCGATCAATACTTCCAAGACTTTTTATTACAAACCCTGACCTCCCAGGTTATTAGTCTCTAATAGAAAGACCCAGGTTTCCACCTTGCCTGGAACAAACATATTTTTTTTTACTATTCCTAAGAGACATGACAAAGCTTAAAAGATCTATTCCTTATCATGCTAATCATATAGAGGTGGAATTATATACTTTTTTTTAATCAATTTAATGGGCATTCAATACGACAATAGGTCTGTATTATTTATCTCTACCCAAAAGATAACAGATTCCTTCCTTTAAAAATGATTCTGAATGAGAGTTGATTTCGTGATAAATCTTATTACATCTCCAAGCTATATGTTATTGAAGTTTCTTGTTTATAAACAACAGTATACTTTAATCACTGTCTTTTTATCAAATCTTCCAGCATAGCTTATTCTTAAATAATCGCTTTCTTTCCAACTAATCTAATATAAAGATATTTCTACTCAGAAGAGAGTATTATTTTCTATTTCTTAATCTCCTCCTTAAGTTCCTTCACCTTCTCCATTTCAAACTAATCATAAACAACTGTTTCGTAGATTTTCCTAACTCCCTTCTCCTACTCTTGATGCTTCACATAATGGTCTAAAAATTAAGGTCTGATTCTATACTAGAGTGAACAATATCATTAGCCTCTTTTGGCGGAGCTAGGTACGAATAATCAATCATTTGTTTAAATTAATAATCAAAAATAAACTCTTTGATAAAAAATTTAGAGGTAATCAATCAGACATATAAAAAATAGTAGAATTCAAAAAAAGTTAAAGCTTTTCGTTGTCTAAATCTTTTTGATATTGATGATGTATTCCTTATTTTCCACTCTGGCGATTGGCACATTTTTTAAACCAGCTATTAATACTTTTGGATTCAATTCATCATTTTACAATTACTTTAAGAATTCTTGTAATACCTGATAATAGTTCTTTAATATTCGAATCAATTAATACTTTTAATGCATTGTTGATAAGATTTCTTATTGGAATCTCTGAATTCTTGATTACTGATTTGATCATGCCTGAATTTAAGAATTGTTAGGCTAAATATTCCACAATTTTATTCGGATCAATAAGTGCTGTTATCAAATTCTTATCCAAATATTTCTTTAGGAAATTCACATCCTAATATTGTCTTAAGATATTATCTTCCAAATAAAAAGACGAACAATCGATCTAGACCTATGTACAATTCAATTAGTTTTAACCAGCCTTGATGAAGATAGAAACAGACAAGCTTAAATATTCATGCGCAAATACTCTTGCATTTTTATAGGGATCATGAGTTTATTCTCCGCCACCACTAGATCAATTTTAGTTGAAGTTGCGTATATTTTTAGAACCTCACGATTTACATCCTAATCCACCTTATTATAATACTCATTTATTTACATTTAATCCAGTAATATTGCTAAATCTTATTTTTGTTCCAAATAAATCCCATATCTGGCTCATACCTAAATAATCCAAACCCTCAATTGAAATCCCTGTATATTAATTTGTGAACTCCTGCATTAAATTCAATAAAAACTTCCTACCAATCTCAATTTGGCTTTTAACCGAAGTTAAAGAGATTGCAAACAATAGTAAGAGAGATACTAAAATTAGAAACCTAATCATCTCATTTTGGATTTCACAAATTAGTAAGAGTGATACTGAAATTAGAACTGCAATAGAAATAGGTTTCATTTAAATTATTTATTTGAGTACTTTTTTTCGTTCTTTTGATAAGGGAGGACTAATAGAATTTTAATCGAAATATATCAAATTACAGCTAATAGAAATATGCTTCATTTTAGGAGTCGAATATATTCTAATAAGTTCCCATTTATTACAGACAATATCAGAACAAATAATTAATTTAAAACTTAAACAACGACATAGGCTGCTAACTCCAATTTTTATATTTTTCGTATATTAAATTAAATAACAACCCTCACTTGTTCAATCATTTCCAAGTGTTAAAGAAAAATAGATATAATTAGGGTTTTATGATGTAATAATTAGATAATAGAATAAAAAACTCCTAAAATTATTGTTGATTGCAATTATTTTCCTTAAATTATTATGGATTCTCTCTAATATAGATGGACTGAAACTAAGCCATAACTAAATTTGAATAGGAATTAATTTTCTATTATTTTAAAAATTTATTTAAATGTAAATATAAATTAAAATAATAACTGTGAAAAATTTGAGATTGAATTTATATATTAATGATGAAACCAATAATATTAATATTGCTCTTTAAAATTGGAGAAATTCCAATCAACTAGATACTTTATATTAGTGATAAAATAAATTATAAATATAGGATCTCATTTGAACTTAAACTTCACTTGAATTCTTCTGAATTGTTTGACTTCTCTATTAGAGATAAATCACTTAAGATGACTTATTTTATGCGGATGTTCATACAAAAAATAATAATCATTTAAATCATTTTGTATAAAGTTAATTAAAATTCTACTAAAAATAATTAATTAAAAATACAATTATTTTAACAATAAATTGTAGATTTATAATTAGGATTCATTTTATTATTTTTATTTTATGAATATCTCAATTTTAGAATAACTTTTATACATTTAAAAATAATTCTTTGGTTGTTTCGATATTGTCTAAGTGATGTTCAACTTAGGATTCAATAATTCCAGCTAATGTTGGTTCATATTCTTTAAGGTTAACTTGTCCCTCTTCTAAAACTAAGTTTGGTTGAATTTCTAATCTTCTTGGGAACTTATTTTAGATTACAATATTTCTATAATTTAAGAATTTGTCGCTGACAGCAGCCAAATTACTGAAGAACTCAACACCTTAATTGCCAGCTCCGATGGACTTAAAGACTTACAAATGTAATATTAAATTAGAAATGGCTTTCTTACCTGTTGTGTATAATTTGGATTAATCAAATTTGAAGTGGATATATGGTTTACCATTTAATTGAGTTTCTGTGATTTTGATAATGTCTGGATCTTCTCTAATGAGAGATTGCAAGATAACATTTCTAGCTAAGACGTGTGCTTAACCCCATTTCTTTTATTCTGGATTATAGAATTCCAATCCTTAGACAGCCCGATGAACAACAAATAGCCAGCCTGCAAAGACAGTGTTTCTCCTTTCTTCCTCTGATTGATTTGGTAATAGCAATTTAACCACATCATCATATGTAGATAAATACAAAGCAGTAGCATCAGCTTTACATTCTTCCATGGCACCAGAGAATTCACCAAATTTGGAATGCCATTATTCACCATGATTATAGTAAGAATCAACCTTTTGATTAGTTAATGGATTAATGGTGTTTTCAAGATTGAAGTTCAAGTTGCCATCCTTGTCTTTCATGAACACTTTACCAGCACCATGACCTATCAATTCATGAAGTGCAACAACCAAAAAAACAGCTTCAGATTAATATTTATAAAATATCTCTTGATCTGCTTCATCTAAGAATTTAATAGCATCTTTTGATAATTTTCCAATTGTATTGCCTAAATTAACATTCTTAAATCCTTCAGTTTGTCTTATATCATCATAATTAGGAATGTTGATACCTAATGGTGTACCTGAACTTGCAAATGCCAAAACTTCTAGTGATGTAAAGTCAGGTCTCTTATATACATCAACTTCAAATTCTTTTGGCCAAGGCAAATACTTAATGATATCTTCAGCTTTATTGACCAATTCATTTAAGAGAGCACTTTCTTCTTTATTAACTACAGCTACAAAGCCTTCCCATTCAGCACGAACTTTAAGTGGGTCCAAGTAGGTTTCAATAAATCCAATGTTTGTTTCAATAACAGGTCCCTTATCCTTGATCCAATGTCTCTATGAAGATTTGTGCAATTCCACGTCTCCAGTCTAGAAATGCTCAATGTAAGCTTATATCATATTCTTTTGATTATCATTTGCAGCATATTGTAATGCTTATGTCAGATGAGTCACAACACTGTTAAGGAAAGGAGAGAAATCTCCATAAACCAGTTTAACCTTGTGGTTATGTACTTCTCCTAGCTCCTTCTCGCCTTTGTTCACTGAAGCCACTAACACATGAATTTCCTCTTCAACTTTAACAACTCTTGTATTCAATTCAGAAACACCTTGAGCAATCAAGAATTTATCCACAGCCTCCAACAATTCTCCTTTCAAATTATTGCTATAATAGGAATTTGAACCATTCTTTTCCTATAAATCAATCAAACCATAAGGTTTATCATAATTATAGATATATTTACGAACATTCTCCCAAACTTGATCAACTTAATATCCTGGTGATGTTGTAATGAATTGTTCAAACTTATCCTAGCTAATTTCAGGTATGAATTTCGAATCTCCAAAGCTTTTGAAGTTGCCACAATTTTGGAACACAGCTGCAATGTATGCAAATAACTATTGAACTTCTTCTTCACTCCATCCGCTCTATGATAAACGCTATTTCACAGCTTATGGTTTTTCAGTCGAAAAGATCTTATGGAAAATGTAAAACAAGCCTGGTGACTCGTAGGATCTCTGGAAATAGCAGATTCTTGCTCCTTCCCAAGAGGCTCTAGCGAAATGATAGGCGTATTGTTTTTCGTTTTAATTTAATACCTAATGTAATCACTTTACATTCTTACTTTGAAACCTGGACTGGAAAAGGATGTGACTGGGGAGTTTACTTAAATAACTGGCGCTTGATTCATAATTTAATTTTTTTATTTAGGATTCACTAGTAATGATATAAATAAATACAACAAAATTTGAATATATAAAAGTCAGAAGAATGAACATTTTGATTTTACTTTTAATAGTTTTTTACCCACTGCAGATAATTTGATGACATACATTACATACTCTACGATATTTGACTTAATCTCCTTCCCTTTTGATTGTATTGACTATTGAGCAATAATTGTAATAGAGTGATCAATATTAGTACTATTAAATTTTTGGATCTTGACTTTTTTTGATGCAGGATTGTTATACACATTGCATTATTTCAAAGGAAAACACAGTTAGATAGAGAAGGAGTAGAATGAGTTCACTAAAGATGAGTCCGACAAGTCTTAATAATTAGAAGAGGTCTCAGGAAAATGAAAAGTTGTTTAAAGGATTTATAAAAACAAAATTAAAAAAATATAATAAAGCAGTAGAAAATAGAAATCATTTCAATAATGAAAATGACTTTGCTGTTGTAAATACAATTATAATAAAATCAATTAGGATGTACAATTTTTTCAATGATTTATGATTCTTCTATCTTAAAACAGTCGACTTCTTCTTCTATTGTAGTTTCACTTTCATTTGAGTTGTCCCTATAAGCTTTATAAAGATTGGTACTTCTCATCTAAATTATCTAATTCAGGCATTAATCTATTTTTCTTGCATTTTAATTCGTCAGGAACACTTCCTGTATGAAGCACAGTGACATTAAAAGTTCTATTAGCAATTAGTTGATCATATGATTAAACATCATAGATTTCATCATAAAATTAGTTTGCTTCCAAAACAGTTGGTTGAACCAAGAATATGTGGTCTGTTATATTTTGGGAATTCAAATACGAGAGCAGACCTTGAGACTTGTCCTTATAGGCAACATAGGTTTTGTTGATAGATAAGCCATTGAGTAAGGTCTTCTCAATGAAGTTTTAAAACTGCTTAAAAGCTGGATGTAATTCCTCATTGTTTAATAAGAAGTAGTCTTCGAATTTGACTACAGTGTAGTTAAGGGATAGGAATGGTTCTAATTGAAATAGTTCAACATCGGAGACATAAAGCAATCCAGCAGAGTCTTAATGATGAATCAGGATGTAAGGTATTTCAAAGTAAGAATACGAGTTGGTTTTTGGTTTATAGATATTTGAGATCTTGGTGTTGTTCTTGGATGTACAAAATTAGCCATTTGATTCTTTGCATTCCTCAATACAAATTCCTTAAAGTGAAAGATGATGAGTTGGCTCACAAACTACACAAGATGATGCTTGTTCAACACTTAAATTGCACCCAATGGGATTGAGTTCGCATCCTTTTTTGGTCCAATGATGTTGTCTATTACAACCAAATGTGGTTTTGGTAGCGAATTCTGTTTGGAGGGTAATAGGTTATTCGTATGTAAAGTAGAAGTACAACAGGCCTGCAAAGAAACAAATGACTGCAAATTATAGAGACCTTTTTTTTGGCTAATCTTTTTGTTTACGATTTTGTAATCCTGTTGTTTCTATGCCTGGTCTCATGTAGTTGTCATCATCATCTAAGTCATCTAAATTTATGGAATGAATACCTGGTCCCTCCACTTCCAATGGACCACGAAATTAAATAGATTCTGTCATTAATTTATTTAATGTCAAATCAATGGCAACTGAAGGAAGAGTTACAGTTGTGTCGGTCTCAATTAAGCAAATTAAGTGTCGAGAGAGATTAGGTATTGATCATATTGTCTAAATAGACAGTATTTGAACTAAATAAAGTAATTAGATTAGTGGAGAGATTGCAGATTCAAATAACTGAGAAGGATGCTGAGATACTGATGCTTCATACATAATTGAACGAGTAAGAACAATATCATTAACAACAATTGGAATAAGTCAAGTAAGTAATCTGTAAGATGAAATACAAGATCACATTATGAGTATCTGAAGGAAAGCGCTATTGCTCGGCTCAAGTCTGAAATGAGTTTCGATGCTGACAGCATGATCAAGGAACTTCGAGAGACTAAGCAGATGTATCAAGAGATCTTGGAAATGGAAGCTAAAAGGAAATCCTCATACTCTCAAGACGACACCCGTTCTCAATCCATCAATGATTACTAGAAACTCTATACAGAAAAACAGGAACTCCAATAATTGGTCGACAAGTTGCAAAAGATGAAAGCTAGTTAGAAAAGCGATCAATCAGAAGAACTCGTGTAAGAGATACAATATTTACGTGATCAACTCTAAAAATTGTACAAATTTATCGTTTTTATCTAGAACTGGCGAATTAGAAACTGCCAAACAGACCATAAATGTACTCCAAGTTCAAGTTCTTAAACAGTAAGATTTGTTGAAAGATTACTGCACTAACGACTTTCAGGGGTGATTCATCTGAAATAATTTTCCCATTTCTATAATAAATTTTCATTTGAGATTATGAGTCATAATAGATCTCTATATAGGGATGTGGTCCATTGATAACCGAAGAATTGAAATCCACGAAAAGGTTAAACATCATATTTAATCTTTTTACTTCGAATTCAATTCCAATCTTAAAATCCTTTTCTTTAATTTCAAAGAAAATTGAAGTATTATTTATTTGAAAACTATATTTCTAATTATGAGAATTAAGTTTTCTTCCATAAGGCAGACTAGATTAAAACTTAAATGTTTATGCACATAATTAAGTAATATTCTTCACTATACTCGATTTGTTGATATCATTCTTAAAGATATTAGAAGAAAAGGTTATTGAAAACAAATTGCTGTTAAGAATATAAGAGAAATTAAATGATAACAGCAAACATTATTAAATGCTCTAAAATGTAAAATATATCAGTAATCAATGTTTCCATTACAGCAATTCTCTATAATTTACAACAATTTTTGGCTATTTTTCATCGCTAATAACTTGTCTTTGGCAACACTTTAAAATTGAAGATGCCTTATATATTATTAAATTTAAAAATTATACTTCTATGTTTAAGATTTATCATAAAATTTATTAGTTTATAAATGTTGAATATGATAAAATTCTCAATAAGGCTGAATATGACAAAGAATAATTTAAAGCAAAACAATATAAAGAAAAATCGGTAATTCTTCATTATATCAAAGAAGAATAAATAAATTATAAATTAAAAAAGAATCAAAATTTGTTTCAGAAATAAAAAAATCTGAAAGTTTGTATAATAAATTATTATTCAGATTTCTTAAATAATTTTATTTATATGTGATCAATTATAAATATCATCAATTGCTTTGATTTCCTCCTATGATTTCTTTTGGAATTACAAAATTAAGAAATTATTTCTTTTGTGATCTGTGTACTCAACTATCCTTAGAGTTGTAAATTCTTTATTATTTTATGCTCATTTGATTTTGTCTAAATCTCTGTTAAATAACGTTTTTAAGGTTAAAATCTGTTCTATACATTCCTGTATGATGCTTGAATTACCTGCTATATCTCTCTGGCTTTCCTAGTCGGATTCTCAGCTTTGTATGCTTGTTAATACATCAAAGATAAGACCAAATTATCTTTTGGAACACGAGGCAATTTGCTTATGGATTCTAAAACAGAGTTTAAAGACTAGGGTTCATGTCTAACAAAATGCAAGGATGGATGTAGAGAGGGAAGTGATATCTTCTACTAACTCTCTCTTTTTATAAAGACTGATGATCTATTGGAGCTTAACTTAAGATCAATACTATTTTCATTTAAAGGGTTTCTTGTGGAATTATCATCATGGTTAATACTTAAGTTAGTAAGTTATTTGTTTTGATTTTAGTTTCTTATGCATGATGCATCAGAATCACAAAATGCTAGTTAAGGTTTCTTCAATAACTTAGCTTAGTATTGTTACAGAGTATTGCTATACACTCTTTACAGAAGATACTGATTATCACTACTAAATTGTTTCAAATCCTTTATCTTTTAATCAGCCAAATTCTAAAACACTTTAATTTAACTTAGCTTTTAACCTTAGGACTCTATGACCTTCTTATTCAAAATAGAACTGGCCAATAAGTTTGGTCTATTTTTATTGTCATTCTAAGCGGCTTCATAAACCTATTGTATATTTGGTTTTTTGTACCTCATCTCTTGGATTAATCTATTTTTACACACTATTGCAGATCAATTACCAATGCTTATAAATAACAGATGAGTGTTTTTTCATGTTTTCGTAAGTTCCAAAACTGCCTAAATTATCAAAAAACCTTCTCTTTCTGATTTTATAACAATTAACTCTTGGGGAAATCACTTTTGCTTTCGTATATCTATTTATTTTCATCATTATTTCAACCTCACCAAAACATTGAAATTCCCCATATGATGACAAAATTATAGATTTGCTTCCCACTTTTTTTAACAATTCGATTTCCCCATTCATTATAAAATATAAGTATTTAGTTTTCTCTCCTTCCTCATAAAATAGATCTCCTGCTTTCATTGTGATCATTTTACTTTCCAAAACTATACCCATATAGTCTTCTGTACTGATATTTTGAAAGAGTGGAGTTGATCCAAAGTATTTCATTTTTTTATCCAAAGCAATACTTAAATATGGATTAATATATTCGAGATAAGCTGTTTCATTCAAATAGATTAAGTGAGTGTCCTCCAAAGTAAAAACAGTTGATGATCTGGTGGTATCTAATTTAATGGCTGCCTCTCCAAAAGAGCTAAAAATAGAATTAAGATACACTTACTCTCCTGGAAATAAAATTTTTAGTATAATGTAATCAGGAAACAGAATTTTTAATCCAAATGGATCATCTTCAGTTTTGCCTTGATTTTTTTACTTCAAGTTATCATCAAATTCTATTTTACTGGAACCCACCATCTTTAACTTTGGTTTCATCACTACTACCTTCCCTTCTAGCACAATATAAAATCTTTTATTCTAATCTCCCTAGCGATACACAGGATTTAAGGCAGACACAAATTCATATCTTAATTAATTTTATGTTAAATTACCTAAATTCAGAGTAAATTCTACCCATTAATTCTGGAGGCACTTCGCTTCGTATCTCTTTTATTTTATTCAAATTGCCTAATTGATCCATTAAAACTGGAGAAGTTGGCATTATAAGATCATTCAGAGAACGGACACTTTTTATTTTTGAAATTGATTTCTTTTAAAACGAACTTAATTGCTTTTCGACATTGGGTCTGCTTTTCAATTCCTCTTTAACCAACTCTATATCAATCAATTTCTTAAATTTTTTGTGTTCCTTCTAATGATCATGAACTTATTATAATTTCTATTTCTATCTTTCATTATCTGAGTCACTATCTACTTAATTCAATAAAAACTCATAATTCGGCTTTTCAGATATTGTAAATGTTGATTATAAAAAAGTAGTCATATGCTAGACCTGTTATAATTATTTTTAGTATAATATTATTTATAGATTAAAATGAACTATTGCTCTGTTAAATAACCTAGGAAAATACGTATTTTTAATCAAAATGTCATAATTCTTAAGAGATATTATCTGTCATTTAAATTGATGTGGCTAATTATTTTCTCTAATTTTACTCATTATTTATTAATAAATAAAAAAAATTTTTAAAAAATATAAAAAAGGGTTGTCAACACGAGGACTTCCCAAGCGGTCCCCCACCTTAGTACTAACCTCGCCTTAAGCCGCTTAACTTCGGAGTTCGAATGGGATCCGGTGCTTTAGGCTTAGTATGGCCGACAACGATATTTACTATATGCCTTTCCTTTTAAACCCAAGGTTTCTCTTTATAAAAGAATAAAATATTTATAAATTAACAATTTATTTTTATTCAATTATTAGATGTAACCAAAGTTTAAAGAATTGTTTCTTCTATTCCTTGTTTTTATCCAAGAATTCCAATATACAATCCTTAAATATTCTATTCTATCTATAATTTTTTATTATCTTAAAGCTCTTCTAAATTTTCTTCTTATCTTAGGATTTGTTATAAGACCTTTAATATGCATTCTAAATTATGCATTTTCATTATTAATTGATTTACATCATCTGTATTTTCAAGCTATTGATTTGCTATCTAAATTTTATAAAAAATTCTAGACTTTTTGGAGGATTGAGGATTATAAATATTCAAATTTGGTTTAGAGTTCAACATTTTGGTAATAGTATGTTTGCATAGTTTTACACGACTTCACATCCTAATAAGTTCTTTTTTGGCATATTATATAAACAATTAATTTCTTAAATAAACAACTAGAATAAAGTGAATTCAAATGGAAAATAGAATTAATATCAAAACTAAAAGATTTTTGCTAGCTGAAGCAATTGATTGTTATATGTTAAGGAATTCATCTATATTGAGAATGATTAAGAAAAGTGCAATATTAAATAAAATTTGAATTTAAAATATAAGAGCAAAATGTCAATTCAAAAAAAAGTGACAAAATTTACAAGACAAAAAAGCGAATAAGGAAAATTTTTAAATTTGTATTATGAAGTTCAATTGCCGTATTTCAATCCTTAATGTAACTCCTAATTTGCAACAGCTTTATTGAATAATGATTCATTATTGAATATATATCAGCAGACAATGAACAGTTATTTGCAAGGATATTACAAATAAGCAATATTTTTTGCAGAAAAATTGTTATGTTTGAATTAAGATTCAGTTGCATAGCCATACTTCGTATTTTTGCTTGGAATGGTACATGATTGATAAATATAACATTAGTGTCATTTTGGAAATTAGGAATATTCAGGAGTGTATAATCTGTTTTTAAAGCATAAATTGACATAGGGAGATTTTGCAGTATTGGGAGCTAGAGCTTTGTATTCAAATCGGCAATATGAAATGGGGATTGAAATGCTTCAAGAGGAGAGTAGTTCTTAGAGTGATTGGGTAAGAGGATAATGTTATGAAGCCTTAGAGAACAAATCATCAGCAGTTTCTAACTATTTTGAATGCTTATAGAAAACTCCAACGAATGTTAGAGTGTTTTAGTAATTAGTTGATTCGTATCTGATTTCTTCAGATGAAAAGGAGAACTTGGTTTAGCTAATCTAATTAAATGCAGAGGAAGCCTGGTTGAAGGATTATTACATAAGCAAAACTATAAATTATGAGATTGCGAATTCAAAATTAGCTGATCAATTGTAGGAAGAAAAGAGGAAAATAGCTCAATAGTTGTAAATTATAGATAAGGCCGAAACTTAATAGCTGAAGCCCTCTCCTGTACGTAGTCCATATATACGTAAAGAGGAGATTCCAATTCAAAATGATTTAATTTATGTAGCTCTGGAAAGGAAGAATAATATTGATATACTGAATGTCAAGGCAAAGAAGGCATATTATAATTATGACATTGCATCTGCCTATGATTGGTCATTGAAGGCAATCAAATTGGATCCCTTGTATTTCGAAGTGATTCCAACTTACGTTTCGTGCTTATTGGAATTAGAATAGATTGCCGAACTCTATTATTGTGCTCACAATTTAATTGAGAATTACGCTCAAAATGCCCTCAGTTGGTTTGTGGTTGGAGTGTATTATTTTTCAACAAAGAAGTACGAAGTAGCAAGAAAACAATTCTAGAAATCCATTTAATTAGATTCACATTTAATCTACAGTTGGATTGGATTAGCCCACTCTTATGCTATATAGGATGAGTCTGATTAAGCCATGTCGATATATAGATCAATAACAAGATAATTTCCAGGTTGCTATTAGGCTCATGTCTATATTGGCATGGAATACTTGAGAACAAACAATTTACAAACTGCTATTTTATCATTATAGCAAGCCAAAGATATTAATCCAACAGACCCTATGATTTAGAATGAATTGGGAGTTATAGCCTATAAATAAAGGAAGTATAATGAAGCTAAAGATGTAAGTGATAAAATGTAATATGATAGTATTTCTTAAATGCATTAGTCTTTTGTTAAAATTCAAATCATAAAATCAGGGAATCTGCATTATAGAATCTTGGACATACTTTTAGAAAGTAAAAAGATTACAAAAATGCAATTCAGATATTTGAAAAGTGCCTACAAGTAAAGATAATTTGTATCGATAGTTGAATTCAGTTTCTCCATAAATATTTTTTGCTTTGGCCTTCTCCTATCACTTAAGTGAATTGCCAAACAGTTTAAGCAAAGCAATTCATCATTATCATAAGTCACTCTCATTAAAATCTGATTAAACTTTTGTTCAGGATATGTTAAGTAAAGCTTTATAGGAGGCAGCTGAAATTGGATTATCAGAATATATAAATTGAATATCTATATTTATTTAATATATACAATACAATCTAAATCAAGAGTTATAAGGATGAAAAATAAATCATTAAAACAATCGTTGAAACTAAAACTAAGTTTAGCATTTGTTAAAAAATTTTAGTAAATAAACAAAATCCATTATGGACTCATAGACAACAATTCTTAAATTAAATGGGTATTATATTTATTTGAATATATATTGCAGCTCAATGAGTAGCTGATTAATTGTTTGGAGCTGTAAATGGTCTTCTCTATTCTAAGAAATCATCAAATTCACCATCTGCACGTCTTATACATTAATGATGTTAATTACCTATTGTTAAGATTTGGTCTTTATTAGGCAGCTCTTAATTATCTCATAACATTCATAACAATTTCTGCAGTTCTTTCAATGCTCAATTATTTGCCTGCACCCAACTTAGCTTTCTCATCCTTCACCAATTCACTTGAATTTAAATTCATTTTCATACCTGATGTGATCAATAACTTGATCTTCAATAGCTTAACCACCATTCTTTCTTTATTCATAAGCTTCTTACTGATTTGCCAAATATTAATTCCAAATTGTGTAGGTGAACAATTAATAAGGATGCGAATTGTAGGATACTAATTCAAAGTCTCTATCAATTTAATCGACCATTCTTCTTTCACCACCATGTTTGATTTAAGTGACTTGACATTCAGCAATGTGAGGTACTATGAAAAATGTTCTCAAACCCATCTAAAATAATTCTTCCAACTCTTTGTTGCCAAAGAAATATTACTTGCAATGTCTTGATATCTTTCTGTATGAATGATAAGCTATTCAATAGACATTAAATTTCTAACCTCTCAAGAATGAATTATGATCGTAACGACATCTAATACCAATTGTGAATTCTGAACTTGATGGTCGTGGAGCATTGAAATTTTTAGGATGCCAGTTATTCTTCCAGCCAGCTCTTGTCCAGAAAAATGACTTATTTCTGATTTTGTATACCATAAATTAATATCTTTTATTATTCACAAATCAATCTCATTAAACACTTTCATTGTGAAACTCAGATTTCTATTCATGGTTTCTATGAACCCATCAATGTATATAACACTGTAATTATATTGGGAGATTATGGTTTTAGATTTTCCAATAAATAATTAACAAAATTTGGCAAAAGGGATAAACTTTTCCTAATTTCCTCTCTTCAATAGAGATATTTTTATAAGAAATAGTGTTTATATTATAAATAAGTAAAGACTTGCTCTATAGCCTATTTAATTTAATTATACTTATAATAACTCTCTGTTCATCCTCTAAAATTATATGAAATCAAAAGGAAGTTTCTCAATTTCCTAATTCAACACATTTTGATTAGTAAACACAATTTATAAATTTAGATTAAATTAGAAGATCTATCAAAATTTTTTGTAATTTTTTAATACTTAAATGAGGGCGATATTTTAATATTGTGTTACTATAAGCTATGAAGTATTAAATATATTTATCAAAAATAAGGAATCCAAGTTTTATCTTCAAGCCAAACTGATCATTATAATAAAATTATCAAAATATGAAGGAGTTTAAGATAATTCTTAAGAAAATCTATTAATTTCGAAAAATATTAAAATAGTTTATTTTACAATAATAAATTTATTATAATAAATGCAAGCCTAAACTTAAATTACATAAGCTGAATTAGAACTAGCTGAATTATATTTTTAATAGGCATAAGTAAAATATAAAAACGATTATATTAAGGATTTTCAATCTAAAAATTATCTTCAAGAAGCACTTTAAGAGATCAATAAAAGTTTGAGATTGTAATAGAACAATGTTAATGCTTATCTTTTAAGAGGTAGAACTTGTTTTTAATAATTTTAGGCGAAATATTGTCTGAGTTGGAAAACAATGAAATGGCCCTTTAGGATTGTAATATAGTATTAAAAATTGATTCAAAATCAGCAAACGCATATTATCTTAGATGTAAGAGCATGCTTGATTATTAAGCAACAATTTAGTGGAAAAATAAATGTTTATATTCAGCTTTAGACGATATTAATTAAGCAATTTCACTCAATCCAAATTTTGAAATAGCCTATAGCCGTAAAGGTATATTTTGTTAAGCAGTGTATCAAAGGAACAATTCTTTGGGAGCTAGGACTTAGTTTAGAAGCATTTACTTGTTTTCTAAAGGCGACTCAAGTAGTAAATTCAGTTAATAATCATTTTGCTTCATAAAGATGTACCTTTTATACGTAATATTAAAGCAATTTCAAAATAATAAGATGAAGAGCTTTATTAAATTAATAAAGCTATTGAGGTAAATCCTAATGATTCTTAAGCTTATTTAAATAGAGGTATTATAATGTATCAATTAAATAGCCAAGATTTTTCTTCTTTAGAATAAAGTGAATGAAGCCCTTGCAGATTATGCTGTAGTAACAAATATAAACCCATATTTTATCCAACCTTATATAAAAAGAGGTTTGTAGTTGAATTATAATATTTAGCTAAAATTCTTATAGACTAAAACTAAATTGAAGATGCACTTAAAGAAATCAGAAAGGCTTAAAATCATGAAAAAAATAATGCTGAAATTTACTATATTGAGGGTGATTATTATAATTATTTTAGGAAACTGTTATTAAAAGATTGGTAAGTTAGATATGGCTCTTCATGCTTATAATCGCGCTATAACATTTTGCCCTAAAGATGAATAGTACTTAAATCAAAGAAGTAATATGTATGAAAAATGTATGAGGCGAGCTTTACTTCAGATTGGAAAGGTTTGAGGAAGCTATAAAAGATCTTAATAAGGCTATTAATATCAATTCTAATTCTTAATTTTCATACTACAATAGAGGTTTCATTTAATAGTATCTTACAAGCCCAATCCTATTTAAAGATTGGATAGAAAGATTAAGCCATGAAGGATTTAGAAAAACATGTTGAGATAAATCCAAATCATTCGGATGCCTATTATCAATTAGGTTGTTATTAAAATTTGTTTTAGGAGTTATATTAACAATGCTTGGTAATATTAATTAAGCATTTTTCTATTATTGTAAAGCTATCTAACTTAATCCTAAATTTTAAAAGGCATATGCAAATAGAGGTATTGACTAAATTTTAAAAGTAGCTTCCCTTGCTACTAGTTTGGGATTAAAATAATAGGCATTTGATGATTTAAATAAGGCCATAGAACTCGATCCAAACTGTTCAAATTCATATTATAATAGAGGTTTTAGTTTTTCTATTTTAGGAACGTTATTTGTTAATTTAGGAAATTTTGAATTAGCCCTTAAGGATCTAAATTAAGCTATTTAAATTGATCCTAATTATTAAGATGCACTTAATAATAGAGGTAACTGAATTTTCAAAATGTAGGCCTGGTTTATAATCATTTAGGTTAGAAAAAAGAAGCTCTAAAAGACTTTAATCAGATTATTTTATTAAATCCAACTAATGGAGCTGTTTTAAATAATATAGGTAATATAAGAATAAATTTTAAGGAACTTTGTAATTTTATTAAGGCTTGAGACAAGATTCCTTATAATCATTTCTAAAGGCTAATTAATATTGCTAGAATCCAGTCATTTTAGTTAATATAGGAAATATATATTTTGAAGAGCGAATGTATTAATAAGCTAGAAATTACTTACTTTAGGCAAAATAATTAATGGAAAGTCAAGGCAATAATTCAAAAAATTGTTGGAATCTTAGTCCTGCCAATATTTCTGCTTTAAATGAAAAAGTTTCTTTATTATTAAGAATAGAGGAATAAATGGGTTCTCTTAGATCCTAAATTATGCAAAAATAATAAATTCTTAATGAATAGCAACCACAATTACCATCAGTTGATGAATTAGAAATGTAGATATTCAAAGATTCAAAAGGATAATCAATAATATAACCAATAACGAGTAATTAAGATACATGCTAAGTTCAGAGGGAACTATCATTACTTAAACAAAAAACTTAGTATTTATAGGGAGTTTTTGAAAAAATAAAATTATCAGACACCTTCAAGATAGAGAGGGGGATTGAAATTTTGAATTTACCAGAAAATTCTCATAAACTCTTATATTTTAGATCATTAGTTTGGCATTTATATAATTATTTGAATTCAATGCAGCAAATCTCAACAGGATTCTATGAAATTAAAGAGAGTGCTTATAAATAGAACAGATTTGAATAATTCATATATTATCTTAAAGAAACGATAAAATATATTCCTAGTGTTATGAAATATTTATCTCTGCCTTCTACAGTTTTTGATTGTATAAACTAGGCATTAGGAATAGGAATGAAGAAAACTCTTGAGATTACTTTTAAAAATCGAATTATAAAAATAACAAATATTTTAAAAAGATCCACTATAGGTTCATTGAGTATTGAACAATAAATTTAATTGGCTGCTCTAGAATTAAGTTCAGAGATAAAACCACAACAACAACAACAAAGATAATAATCCAAATTTTAAAAATTTGTTGATATGATAGCTAATTTATCTAGGTAATAGGAAGAGTTTAGCTAAGATATTTTTTGGAAAAAAGGGATAGATGATTCATTAACCATACTATCTTATATGAACAACTAAATAAATCCTATTGAAAATAACAATTAGACTTTGAGTTAGATTATTATAGATGCTTTTAGAAATAATCAGCCATAGTAATTATAATCTAGTTGAAACTATTACATAATTATTATTATTTTATTTTGTATCTTGCATTTACCAATATCTTATTATTATTAATGCCTTAGTTTTATATATTTGAAACATTAGAGTGAATCGAAAATAAAAATAGGGTTACAACTATCAAAGTTAAATTTATTAAATTATTCTATTTAAAGTAATCATTCAATATATATATTTGCAATACAATAATCGAAGACTTATAGCCAATGAAATCACCAAAGTAGTTGTTGAGGTTCGATGACTTAAATTATCCTTATATTACTAATACTAGTAGTAAATTTTTAATTTAGAACACGCTCAAGTTGTAAAACTAAATCATCATAGACTTCTTCAAACCCTTAATTATATTTCAGCTAAAAATAAATCAAATTTCTCAAGCTACAACAAATGCCATTAAATTTTGCTGTTTTTTGGACCTATGATTTCCTTCCTTGAGATTCAGTTTTACTTGAAAGTAATATGCACTTATTAAGAATTTTATATCATATATGTGATATTTGAGACAAGTATGTTATTAATAATAGCTTTCCTGTAAATAATAATTGAATATCAAAGTGAAAAAGGAATACTATTTAAATATATAAGTATTATTATTTTTTTTGAATTTTCTCCTACAATTCAAGCAAATTGTTCTTCGTAGTTGGGAAATCAGTGCTTTTGAAGGTTCATGTTTGTTTTATAAATTTTGTAGAGTTGATTAAATTATTATAATTGATAGATGTATTAAGATGACGCTTAATAAATAAACATAAACAATATTTAAAATTAAATATATATATCATTAATTAAATGATCCGGATTATCAAAAACTGATGCACAGGATGTAGAATTTAAATTTAAGAAATTTCAATCTTTATAAAAACATATGATTATATTTAAATTAATGAGTTAAGATTCTTGGTATTATGACTCAAGTGCCCCTTGTTTTGATTTCCTTCTAAAATAGGAATTTAATATTGAGACTAGGGTTTCAGATGGTGAGGTAATAGTCGATGGGGAGGCTAAAATTTAAAACGAAACAAAAAACATTCCCAAAAATATAGGGGTGTTGTTGAAGAATTATTTAAGTAGATAATAGTATTTATTTTTAGAAAAAAATCATCAAAAAGAATTGTAGTATAATTTGGCAATAAAAAAGTTCATTTAAAAAGGGAATTCGAGGAAAAACTATACGCGTAAGGATTTCAAGACTTTATTGCAAAATTCAGAAGCCAAGAAGATCTGCTCTGAATATTTTTGCAGTTTCCAAATAATTGATGATTTGCTGAAGTCGAAAAAGATCGGGAATATGGAGATTGTGTTGAAATATATAAAGAAGCTGTTTTTGGCCACGCATGATCCAGAAATATTGTCTACACTGAAGTATCCAAAACATTGAGAATTAATTACTTTCTAAAATTTAGAATTTGGATCTATTATAATGAATGTTTATTGTATTATTTTTGATATAAAAAATATTATATGTAATAAAAGTTAGAAACAATAAAGGGTTGGGATATTGACACATCATTTGAATCTCAAGGAATTTTGAAACCCAAGAATAATTCGGTCATAGCAGAGGAACCTTGCTAAACGAAAACACTCTCATCTGAAAGAAAACCATCTCCTAAGAAAATAAATAAGACACCGAAAACTCGAACTCCAATCAATTCAGTCCACTGCGAATAAGGAAGCCTTAGCTCGAATTCTCTAGGCAAGTTGTATGTTAAAAAGTAATTCAAACAGCCTCTCCCTCCTCCTCAGCTCTTAACAGTGTCTAAATTAAAATTAAGATTGACTGCTCTCCCACAATAACCTACAATCCCTCAAAAAGCTTACTCAAGTGCTCAATTAAATACTATTTTGCAATTGAAAAGAAAGAATATGTATTTACAGTCTATCTTGAAAAAAGTAAAAATAAATTTGTCTAAAAATACTTAAGGTTAATAATAATGAGAGTGATGAACGCTACAATAAATCATAATCCGATCAATTGATGGTTACTCATAACAGAGCTTCACAATCGATGTGGATGGAGAGCACTATGGCCATGCGCAGTTTCTTTAACACTCGAATAGGACATTTTAAAGCAAACGGAACCAAGCATAAGTTTGCAGTGTGATCGAATTACTTTTAAAAAATATTTTTAAAGATTTTTAATTTATGGGAAAGAAGGAAAAAGGAAAGCCTAATCCATTGGGCGAAGTAAGCAGAGATTACACCATCAATCTCCATAAGGCAGTTCACAAAGAAACATTTAAAAGAAAGGCACCTAGAGCAGTCAGTCACATTGTCAGATTTGGTATTAAATCATGCACTATCTAGCCTAAAAGAACATGTTAACTGAGGATGTCAGAATTGATCCACAATTAAATGAAGCAGTTTGGGCAAGAGGAATTCGTAATTTGCCAAGAAGAATAAGAGTAAGATTACAAAGAAAGAAGAAGGAGGAAGATGATGGAAAGGGTAAGTACTATACACTTGCTCAATATGTCCCAGTCGATTCCTTTGATAACCTTAAGACTGAAATTACAAAATAATAATGATATATTATATGTACAATATATATAGATAGACAAATAATTAGCTCATTTGAAACTTAATTACCACAAGGCATCGCCTAAATTATGTAGCAATTGAATTGCATGGCCTTTTGGATCTGCTTTAATTTGATCAGAACTTGCATTCATAATGCCTATTCCAATAGCATTCTCTTTGCCTTCTCCATATATGGCTATGACCTATCCTTTTTATGCCTAAGTTTAAAGTGGTATCATACTTGATTTAGTTGCCCTCCTTAAGACATCAATCCTGGAGCTAAAACATCGGAACCGCTTAAAATATGCTTAATTGCTCCTGCATCAACTTATTATTTGATTAAGAGATCTGGAAATTTGTGGACTAATCTCAAATGTGGAATGACTAGATTTTCTTTAGTGAAGCAAGCATAATCTTTATCAACTTAGACTATTTCAACTTTGTATTCGCTCCTCAGCTTAAATGATTGGATATTGGCTTTTTTAGGAAAAATCTCATCCTCGACTTCCTTGAAAAAAGGGTATTGATCAGTTAATGATTGCTTTAATTCCTTCACTCCAGTTTTGGATAGCAATGTTGGTTTGGAAAGATCCTCTAGTTTCTTGAACATAATTTAATTAAATATTCAAATAAATAAATATCATAATATGTAATCCTGGTAAACTTGTGCTCTATCTGGAGAGTTAATAGAGACTCCGGTAATATCCAAAGTGAGTGGACACATATACGAAAAGAGATTAATTGAAAAACACATAGAGAGTACAGGCACATGTCCAATAACAGGAAGACCATTGAATATAGAGGATCTGATCGAAGTATAGAAATCTATGACGATTATAGGTGAAAGTGTCAAGAGTGTAGAAACCAAGACCAGTAACAGCTACATCTATACCATCCTTATTGTCATTGTTATAAAATGAATGGGATGCATTATTATTGGAATAATTTTAATTAAAATAGCATTTAGAATAAGTTAGACATGAATTGACTCATGCTTTGTATTAGCATGATGCTGCTTGTCGTGTGATTGCTAAATTAATTAAAGAAAGAGATCAAGCTAGAATAGAATTGGCATAATTATAGCACAAATTAAATCATAAAATTGAAGTAGAAGCAAATAATGCTCCTGAGAAGTTATCATCCAATTATGTTGCTGAAATTGAAGAAAATGCGCTTAAATTAACCAATTAAAGAAAGGTTCAAAGAAAGTAGCAGTCATATTTCGATTAATTCCCAGGCCCTGAAGTATAAGATCCATATTATCTAGATTCTCTCAACTTATGATGTAAAACAATAGTACTAATAAACTTAAGGAGGCACTACATTGGATACATAAGGAAATTATGTAGTAGTAGGTGGATTGGCAGGATAGGTCTAGTTGTATTCTCAAGAAAAATTGGTTTATTAAGTTTCAGAACACACTTAAAATATTACTTCAGTGAATTTCTTTACTTATGATGAGCATATAAGATTTGTTTCAGCTTCATTAGATGGAAACCTCAAAATTTACTAATTCAACTCTCAGACTCAGGAAGGTTAAGTTGCTCAGACAATTAACATTGGTTCAAGTATTACTGGAGTTGCAATCCATCCAATTGGATATATTGCTATTATAGTTACCAACAATGGATTATTGGCATATTATAATTTGAAAAGTGGATAACAATTGAGTAGAGTAACTGATTTTGAGGGGTAATGTCAATTCACTTGTGTAACTGTTCATCCTGATGGTTTGTTATTGGCTATTGGATAAGCGGATTCCTAAATTAAGGTTTGGAATATAGTAAAAAGCCAATAGTTAGCCCAATTTGAAGGACAAAATGTAATATTTAGTAGTAACATTTTAGGGAGCTGTCACAAATCTATCATTCTCTGAGAGTGGAGCTAATTTAGCCTCGAGTAGTAGCACTGAAGTTAATGAATGGGATTTAAGAAAACCAGGCTAATTCTAAAAGATTCATCAAGATCAAAAGATAGGTTTGATTATTAAATTGAAATTTAGGTGCAATTTCATATGATCCATCAGGATAGTTTTTAGCTATTGGCAGTAACAAGACTATTCACTTCTTCGATGTCAAGAAAAAATAAGAATTCTTCAATATTGAGAGTCATAGGGATGTTGTCACTAGTATTAGGTATGTAATTGCATGAATTTTTAGATTTGGACAATTAAGCAAATATATCTATAGCTGCAGTGTTGATAAAATAGTAAATATCTATGGTAACTGAGTAGATTTTAATTATATAAATAATCAGTTAATTAAATATGTATTAAAGGATATCGATCTCTCATTGCCAACTGTGTAAGATGTAAGCCATGAAGCCTATCTCCTTAATTTGCTCTCATACACTTTGTTTCAAATGCGCATAAAATATCTCCATTCAAGAAAATACAAGGTAAGAGAAAATTTGAATTTGTATTTTAGTTAAATACAGAATAAGTTTAGAATTTAATGTCCTTTATGTCGCAAAGTCACTCATACCTATGATATCAATAATCTCCTCATGGAAAACAACGAGTTGAATCTGATTACAGACTCGAGTGAAATGGATAAAGAGATTCTAAATGAGGTATCTGCTCATCTACATATAGAGTTAATTATAAAATGATTCGAAAAATGGCAGAAGGTATTCTAATTTTGATATTCCAAACAAAGTTCAAAGCACGGCTCAATAAAAAATGTCAGAATTATTGACTTAAACCAACAATGCGATGAAAATGATGAACGAAAAGCCTAAACAAAGTAATACTACTATTGGTCATATTCACAAATAATCAGCCACCGTTGCTGTGATCTTTGATGACAGTATTTTCATATTTGAAATTATTAGATCGTTCCAAAGTTCAATTGAATTAGCAACCTTATGGATCTTAATTCTAATCTTAGATCTAAAAAACATTAATCTAATATTAATAGTAATAATAGGAACTTAATTAACAAACTTAAACAATTAATAAAGACATCTTAAAACCCAATAATAATACTCCTAATGCCAGTCCTTATTCTACACCCCTTGCATCCCAATTTCATATAAATTTCTAAAATACTGATAATAAAAAATAACCCCAGAATCCACTTCAATTTTAACCTCTAAAAGATAAGCCATTTTATTTAGACGATAAAAAATACACTCAAGAAGTTAAAGAAAACTTATTTCAAAAGGAAATACAAAAAGAAATCACTGAACCATCTCGACACAAAAGAAGTGCAACTGGAGTACCTAATAAATAGTTAACTACTAATAATACATCTATTATTAATAATGTCAATCAAAATAGTAGTATCAATAATGAAAGTTCAGAATAAATTATTGCATAATATTTCTAAATTATACAAAAGAGTTTATAAAAATTAGAAAAAGATACTTTAATGGTCATTAAAAATAAAAATGTTTAGCCACAAGCACTATATTAAAAAATGAAATAGTTAAATTAAACAAAGGATTAAGATGGAGAATTAATTTAATCAATCAAAATGGTGATTAAATTACAAACTGAATTAAATGGATTGTCAACTCCATCTTGTCATAGAAAAACCAGTTCTCATGCTAGTCATAGATATTCTAACAATACTACGAATACAAAGAGCGATCATAGTTCTACATCTATTTTGCAGTAAGAATTTAAAAACTTAAAGAAATTGTTCTGATATTTATATGTCTATTTTTTAATTAAATTATATCAAACGATTATAAAATAATATTCTATTTGAAGGTTTTCAACATCTTCTAAATTTGGTTCAAATTCTTTTTATTCTGAAAGACATTAGCTACTTTTAAACTCTCATGAAATCCATTCATTATTCAATCATAAAAAACATATTTTGAAAAAGGGAAATTTTTTATTGTGTTTGTAAATCTCTTAAAATTGTTTCATCTAAGGTTTACTTATAAAAAAATATGACTATATCTAGTTTAATTCTATTAACAAAAATTGAAAAATTCTAATAAGTAAATTTTGCGATATTGTTATTACATTATTTTAAAATTCTTTGTATCTCTGTAATGTGTATTATCTATAAATTATAAGTTCTCCTTCATTTAGAGGTGGTAAATTTAAAATTTGGAGATCATATAATTAAGATAATAAACATGTGATTATTTAGATTCTATAATTTTAATAATAAAAAATACAAAATTTTAATCATATACATGATGAAGAAACAATCTAATTAAAATTAGATGCATTAATATAAAAAGAATGCTCATTTTTATAAGTTTCATTACCGTTTGCTAAATTATTTCTTCTATTTGCTAATATAATTAAATAGAAAACAAAGTTATTTAGAAGAATTCAATATTCAGAATTATAATCTCTAATTAAATTTCATCTAGAATTTTTAACTTAAAAAATGCTTAAAATTCTATTAACAAAGTTGAACAAAACTAAGTCATTAATTAAGTTCGAAAAGTTTTTCAGCATCAACTAGAAAATATATATTATATTTGAAATTGATCTTATATGTATATGTTATACAAATAATTGTTTAATCATTGTTGAGTATTAAATTAAGAGAGAGAAAATTATTGATTATTGAATGTCATTAAGGATTCAGGAGATTCCATAATAAATTCCCTAATGAATAGATTTAATGAAATACTTATCAAATAAGTGTTTTTCTGAATCCGAAGAGATGCTACTCTTAATATCAGAACTACTCTCAAATAAATAATGTTCATTTTAAATTTCTATTACTGTATAATTAAATATTACTTTCACATTCTTTTATTGCTTTAGCAAAAATAATTGTTCGAAGGCTATCATAGCCAAATGAGGAATGAAGAGACATTTTTTTATGTTCAAATTGTTAGGGATTTATTTATTGTATTTTTTTTTTAAAATCTATAAAAATACAAAATTAATGCGAAGCAAAATTACGTAAGTGATAAAATAATTGCTCAAAAGAATTTATTTTATTATATATAAGCTTGATGATTCTAGTAATGATTTCTCAAGTTCATTTGTCATCTGACATAGCTCAACTGTAGTAATAAGAGAAATTCTGAAAATAAACTAAAAGCTATTCTTTATTACAATGATATTTTGGAGAAAATATTAATTAATTCAAAAAATTATTAATCATCATTGAATCTAAAAATGCAATTAAATGAACTTATGATTAAACTTCACTTATTTTTAATGGATAAAGATTTTAGATTTAACTTCAATAGAATACTAAAACAATGAATAAATTAAAAATAAATTAGATGATATTTTTAACAGTATGCATTTTCTTTTAATATTTAATATCCAACATAACCTTCTTATCACATGCTTTTTAACAAGCAAAATCTCTCTAACTTCAGAAACAGTTTAAAATTCTTGCAGCCTTCTTATATTTTCATAAGTTTCCTTAATCTATGCTGATAACCCAAATTAGTTCCATAAAAATCAATAAATCGCTCCGCTTAAGGCTACAACCCAGAATTAGAATTTGGAAATAACGTCGATTTCTCTGCCATATTTAAAATGCCTAATGTTTTCAAAGCTTATATAATGATTGAGGTACGATGTCTAACAATGTCTTTAACCTTTTCTTAAACCATTTTACAAACCGAAAATGTAAATTACTTCAAGAATTGCAAATATTATTACCTACTTTATTAATTGATCCTACGAATGATTTTAAATATAACTTTTGATCCTTAAACAGTGACTTCCATTCGAAATAAAGATTTAATTTAAGAGTTTTAAATTTCAAATCTTGATTAACTTCTAAGTTACAAAACTATTAAGATATTAAGAAAAATTCCCCACTAAAGCTTAGGATTAAAAGTTATATTTTATTTGAATTTAAATACATCATCTCATTCACTCTGATAATCCATATTTTGGTAATTTCTTAGAAACTATTTAGAATGATACAAAATTTGTACCTTTTCAATTTTAACTCTCTTTAAAAATTTTCTCAGATACAATAATTTTCTTAACTCTATTTATTCTACTTCTCTCAATTCATCAAATTTGTTGAAAGTCCTAGCTCTTTAATTTGGTTGAAAGAACAGCAATTAAGATGTTAGATTTTTATGATATCACTGGGTTTTCTATCTTTTTTGAATTCAGCTATTTGATTATTGGAGAATAAATTAAAGAATTTTGAATCAATTTTTATCTATTGAATCCTGTCTTTGATTAAGGAGAATAACAAAATTGTACGATCAGTGAATTTCTTAAAACGTTCTAAATAATTATTTAAATAATATTATATAATTGTCATAAAATAAATTAGAGAAAATCATATGAGGAATAATATATATGATTATGAAAATTATAATAACAGTTTAAATAAACTAACTATGGTACAAGGTTTAAAGAAAATAAATTGAATTCTACTAAGATTTAACTATTCATACTAAAATAAAATGTAACTTCTATATTGCTTTGATCTAACTAATTTTAAATATCAAATATTTTGGTGTGATTAGAAATAAATGGTTCAATAGAAAATGAGAATTCTGCAGAATGCTAAACAATATAAGTTTAACTGTACTTTGTCAAGAATTAAAACTGCCAAAGTTATGATAAAGATAGAATTAAATATGGAAGTCTTTCACGATTAAATTTATATCAAATTCGGCAACGATCTTGGTATTGTGACACTATTTCTACGTCTATAATTGAGTTGACTCTCAGTCTTCCATCTATGGATGTATTTCATGGCTGATTGAGTTATGATTTCGATAGGATTTACATGAGCAGGTTTAGAAAATATATCAGGTACTTCGAGATTAAAAAAACCATCTATATCATTGGGATAAAGATTTAAATGGCTTCTTTAAGAATCTTCAATTTCTTCTATCATACTTAGAGTGGATTTGAAATTTGGGAATCCAGCATCAAAGATATGTAATTCACTTTTAATTCTATGGAAGTGATCTTTGAATTATTATTGCTGTTTGTATTGATGCAAGTCTTAAAATTACTCTAGAATTTCATAAGTACAAAAATAGATGATGTTTTTATCTAAATTTATTAAGCAAGGAGTTAATCTTTAGATGTTTTATTCTTATTCAATATTTCCAATGGTATATTAAAATGTTGACTTTTCATTTTAATTCTATTAAATATCGTCTGATTTTTAATGATTGATTTTATTTTAGGTTTCTGAATTTCTCCACTTTAACTTAGCCAAAACAGCGTCTATCACTTATTTTTGTAGATCTGTGATGTCAGGGCCATTGCAGCCTGACAATAACTCATCCAAGTTATTGGTTGATCCATTTTAAGTTTATCTAATTATAAAATATCAAAGCCTTACAGAAAAGGCAAATCTTTTTCTCTTTTTATTAAACTATTGAACCTATTTTTTAAATTATTCTCGCTTCTTCTTCCATCCATAACTTTAGAAATTTCTGCCCATCTTCTACCCAATTCTTTGACTGTCATTAATAATTGGATATCTTCTTCATCTGTCCATGGTTCCCTATAATAAGTGTTAAATTAATGATACTTCAAAATTTTAGGGTTGAGATTATTTAACCATCTTTCACGACACTATTTGCTAGAGCGATAAACAGTTGAATTCTAATTTAATTCTTGTGAAATTTGACTCCACTTTTACCCCTAATCGATAGATTAATAGCGCATAATTATTTCATATAACTTTTTATCTTCTTCAGGTCTAAAAGGTTGTTATTGCAATGCGATCTTTTACATTTAAGACCATTTTTATTTGCATGATTCCTTATCTCTACGACAAATCATTTTTGAAACTTCCTCAAAAAGTTCAGCAGATAAATCTCTCAAATCTTCATTTCTAAATTGACTAAGTTTCCCGATGAGCCATATGAGTACTTTCTTTTCATTTAGGGTCCAGTTTTTCTTTAGATTAGAATTCCATCCACTAGTTGTTAGGATCTCTAGTTATATTTAATTGATTTCCTCATCAGTCGGAAATTCGGTGAGACCTAGATGAAAAAACTCTTTCATGTATTCAAACTTCGTAAAAGTGTTGTTCTAAGCTTGGGAATAGAAAATTTGGAATTCAGAATAGAAATTATTCTCTTAGGAGTCAGAATTTTTTCTTTACGATATTGCTGTCTTTAATTTGCCTTTGGATTTCTTTCTATCCGTAAGACTGTTATTTCTTTTACTCATATAATAAATATTAATGAAAATAACAAACTATAAACATTTCATTTACTCTTCGACTTTAGTCTACTTAATTTCTTGCTCCCATTTTTATCAAATACATATAAACTGATGGCAATAATAAAATTAAAACAACTGACTCCAACAAAGAAATAGGATTGATAGACATACCTAAAAGATAGAGATTGCATAGTATTACCCTTGAAATGGATCGACTTGGCCTTCTTCATTAATTAAATGACTATTATATAAACTTCCAGTAATGAGTGGAAACAAGGCCAATGCTGTATTCTACATCACTCCCAACAAGCCAAATGCCGTTCCTAATAATGTTAATTTGAGGAATACCTATCATTTGTGCTTTGACTACTAAGGGGATGGATGGAATCAAAATGGCCGAGTAAAAAGAATAGCAAATTCCTAATGATAACAATGGTAAGGCTGACACTCCACAGGCAGACTATGGAATAGTATGATTGAGTTACATCACAATAAATGAGGAGAAGACACAAATGGGTGATGATAAAAATGACTGTGGTGAGAACAATCAATAAGGAACGTTATCGGATTTTGTCACTATAGATACCTACAAAGGGAGTCACACAGGCTGCAAATACATAGGGGATTGTAAGCAAAACACCAGCTGATTGTTAACTAAATCCGAATTTGACTTGAAAGAAGGCATTTCCATTATCCAAAAAGGGAACAAAGAGTGCTTCACTCAACATTATAATGCATGACAATATCCAATAGGAACCGTCCAAATGCTTCAAATCTGATAGCTTAATCTCCTCTTTAGCCTCATGAGCTGCTTCTTCTTCTTTTTCATCGTCATCATTGTCGTCGTCCTCATCTTCTAACAACGATACTGATCGCTCACTTTCAGAGGTTTCGCTTTTTCTCATCTATAGACTCATCTCTTAAGCAGAAGGTTATGCTTCCTTATGTTCATTATTCTCTTCTTCTGGATTGAGCTCTCTCCATTTTTCCATCAATACTTCATTTTTTTTGTCTAAATAGATTAAGACCAATCCGCATCCCCAAGAAAATATGACGATAAAAAGGCCAACCAAAAAAGTGAACCCTAATTCTCCATGACTCGCCTGAATCTGAGGACTGACCAAACTGTTCAATGCACTTCCCAATTTGGGTATTGATAAACACAAACCCAAGGCCAAACTAACTTGCCCTCCTTAAAACCATTATGACATTATGGCTGCTTATGCTGCATTCAGACTTTCAGAGCCAATACCAAAAATGCATCTGCCAGCCAACATTGTTCCATAGGATAATGTGTATCCACCTATAACTACAATACTCTAGCCCAAAATAAGTATAGACGAGAATATCAATATACTTACTCTCACTCCTATTTTGTCTATAAGGATGCCTCCAAAAAACGGCAATATAATATTGGGAGCAGAATATATTGAATAAAGCATATTGAATTAAACATTGTTGAGGTTCATCTCAGTTTGGATAGTAGATTACAAAGCCATTGGATTATCAAAAGCATAAGCATCTCCAAATAAAAGAAAGCAAGCTAGAGCAAGTGCCACCCATAACATCCATGTCTTTTGTAACGGTAACTAGTATAGAAAAGATTGTTTGCTATCTTTTTCTAATTACATAATTAATAATCTTTATAATTCATTTATTAAAATTCGTACCGCTCTTCCATTAAGTCTAAGATCGACTGTCACTTGCATCGTCTAATTAAAATGGATCAGCCACAATGTGATGTGCATTTGTCTTATTCTTACCATTATAGTCATTGCCCAGTTCAGGACTTGAGTTATCATCCTACAAATTGATATCTTCTAATTCCTCCTCTTATTCTTCTTCTTCATCTTCCTCCTCTTCTTGTTCTTCAGATTAATAACTTTGCTCATCCAATTCTTTATTGATGTTCTCAGGTACCACTTGAGCATTGTACTTCCTCTATGCATTACTCTTTATTTTGATTTAATCTACTTCCTTCTTCCCATAGAATTCCATGAACTTTTGAATGAAATCTTCCACAAATCTTTGCTCCCCATAAAACATTTCTCTATCCACTAGATATAATTGTATAACAGATTTTGTAGTGATATCATAACTTACTTAAAAGACTGAGACATAAAAGAACCCAATTAAGAATACAAATAAAGTAGGTATCAGGGGACTTTCAATGTCTGCTACTTTCACCCCCAGAAGAGTGGTATCACTTACTGAAAGGTAGATGTAAATGGGTAAACTGATAACAAGACTGTTTGACAATTTTAATAGAAAGAGTATAAACTCAATGAGGAAATCTAAATCATGAATCTTCTCTTTGTGTCTATCCTATAAAAAATATGCCTTCCTAGATGATAAACTGTAGCCTTCAGACCATATGGCCACTTGAACTAAAGCGTGTTTGCTCAAATATCTTAAACAATTTTGGTAACATGCTAAACAACAAAGGCAACATCCCTGAATGAATCTGACAATCATAGAGTCTTGTGGCAAACTGCTGAGAAAATAATAGATGGTGTAGAAGATCCATTTAGGTATAAAGAAGAATATCTCCATAAACACTGCATACACACAAGATCCAAGATGATGTAGCAGCAATTCTCTTAACACAACCAATAGTGGAATCTGAACCACATCCTTTCTTTTGGTGAAGAACCACACACTCAAAGCATAGGTATTAAACATTTCATTGACACTCATCACAAAGAGCAAAAAGAACAATATCATAAAGGCCTAAAATGGTAATGACAATTAATAGATTTGAGTGGTTGTGAATATTTTGACAGCGTCTCCATTAATATTGAGAGCTTGAACTGTAGATCGTTCTCCAATAGTCATACCATAAAATATGACTATGCAGGAATATCCTAATTGAACAAAACCAATGAAAGCAACAAAGATTGCAAAGAAACGCAATTATTTCAGAACAAGCACAATCTGAGATGAAGTCTTAATTAAACTGATTCCCAAATTGATCTTGTTGAACAGTTTCATGATGTTGAATAAGAAGAGCAATCCAATTCCAGCAGTTCCGATCCATGCTAAATAAAATAATGTGGCTCTGTCTCCTCCACATTGATGCTTATCGATTTTATACAGACATCTAGTGTCTATCACTCTCTCGTATTCTCTGTAAAATAGGTAGGAGAGTATCCCAAAACAAATTATACTCAACCAGATTTGTCCCCAAACCTAGAATTTCACTATGGATGGGAAACTCAACAGGTAAGTTAAAAAGTAGGCTGAGGCACCCAGTAAGATGATGGAGACTATTATCAGATCAAGACTCAACAGAATATCAGACATAGTACGCTTGATATAAGGTTCAGTTTGACTCAAAAAATCATCTACTATTTTTCTGCTCACAGGTTCTTTGGGGATGCAATATCTGGCCATCTTGGTCGAACTCATTTGAACATAGCAGAAGTTGGTGGTTGTGAAATGGTCGATCGAATACAGACATGTGTATTTACCTGTTGACGAAGGACACTCATCCACACACATGGCCACGTTCATATCCACTGAAGGCTGCAGGTAATACAGATAGGGCTGATTAATCAAACCATTTATGCCACAGATCTCGTCTCGAAAATCATAACCATTCGATATTCTATTTATGTTCCCATAACTAATTAGTACTATTCCGTGGAACACTGTCGCACAAAAGAATAATAACAAGAAAAGCAAACACAATCTATCAGTCATCGATCTCTCCTCTTAATTTAGTTAATCACAGTACTTTTGGGTCCATTAAAACCCTCATAAGGTCGCATTCCTTGATTCAAAGGGTTATTCTGATCAAGTCTCTTATACAGTTCTATTCGTGACAATTAGTCAGCACTGTCAAATTCAGGTTTCACCTTTTTCATTATTTGCTTCTTATTCCTTTTCACCTAGATTTTCTTTTTCATCTCTTTTTTTAATTTCAATAATATATACAATTTAGAACTCAATACATAAATCATGCATCAATAATCTAATTTATCAAAAATCATAAGATATCATTTAGTCTGAACAGAATATCGGAAAAACATTGTAAAGTACTTTCTCATCAAAATACAATTTCCAGTTTCAGAAATGACAATAATAAAATTAACAGAAGCGAACTAAGTAGTTATAAAAATGTTTCAAGTTGTAAGATTGAAAAATAAGCATATAGATTTGGATAGATGAAAAAGTGATAATCCATTTATTATTAAAGTATATCTTAAATTAGATGTAAGTTAAATTACTTTGTAAAGAAGTGGTTCATAGAGTTTGGGATATCAAAGATCACTGAAGGCTTGATGATCTTTAATCGTTAATTCAAAATAGAGTTATGTGAATTAAAGTGGGGAATGAAAGGTAGATGAGAAAAGTTAAGAAATTTAGAAGTTCCTATTTGTTGTGAAGGGAGTTAGTGTGAGGCAAATTGATGTTTGGAGTAAGGAGAGTGATGGAAAGTTGAAGGTGTTATTTAAGAAATAGGAGATATTTGATATTTGATTAATAAAATAATAAAAATTAAATGTCTGAGGGGCAATAAGAATTTGAAGGTTAAGAAGGGCAAGAAGGCATGCAAGAGGGATAATAAGAACAATAATAGCAATAATAACAATAATAATAATAATAATAAAATCAGACATAGCAAAAACAAAAGCCTGTTGTTCCAAAAAGCGATCCTCCTCCAGAAGGCGCAATTATATTTGATTTTGAAGTCTGTGTGGATTGCTCTTCTCATGCTTGGTGTACTCATCATGACGAAAGCAAATATACATAATTGTATTTGGATTGCAAAGCAGGTATTCAATACCACTTTTACTCTTAGAGATTGAAGCCTAAATTCCAAGAGCCTATTGCACTTATAATGCTAAGAAAAAACCCTCGACTGGAGCGTTTGAAATTTCTCACAAAGGTCAACAGTTATATATATTAATAGGAACCATTATCTTTTCTAAAAGAAACTCCTAAGTTTTCCCACAACCTAAGCTTTTACCTGAAAGAATCAGACAATTCTTAGATGACGTGGAAAATAAAAGAGATTTGGCTAAGTGGGCTACAAAAAAAGAAGTAAAATAAGAACAACCCAGACAAATCAAGGAAAGACCAACCTTCTAAACCTATATGAAGCAAAGAGAAGAATAGGAGAGATTAGCCAAAGAACAGAAACTAAAATAATAGGAAGAGGAAAGATTGAAATAGGAATAGGAGGAGAGAGACAGAAAGGAAAAAGAAAGGTAAGAGGAGGAACAAAGGAAAATAGAAGAAGAAAAAAGAAAACAAGAAGAATAAAGATTGGCTGAAGAAAAGGCTGCTGCTGAAGAAAAGGAGAGATAAGAATAAGAATAAAAGATTCTTGAGTAATAATAAGAAGAAGCAAACAAAGAACAATAGGAATAAGAATAATAATAAGAGGGAGAGAAATAACCAGAATGAAAATATTCAAATTAAGTAGAATGAGATTATAACATTAAAAAAACTTATTAGTTATTGTTATTAATATTAAGGTAGAATTCTATATACAAATGATATTTTATTTGAAGAAGCTAGGTAAAGATAACTCTCTTGAATCTGATTATTAGTTTATAATATAAATGATGGAAACATCAATTATGGTTTTAACTAATTGATTTGAAAATAATCATCAGTCTTGTTTAATATCAAAGTATATATTTATTAAGGAATTATTCCTCAAATTTATGAATATCTCTGTAAATTATCTGTACATATTTCTATTTTTAACTATCAAGGCGTTATTCATAGATAAGTAACTCTAGGGTGTCCACAGTAAAGGAGGTTTGGAACCTTAATATTCGATTGATAGGTGAAAATCTTTTGTGTATTGTTGAAACTGTATGGTTTTACAGAGAATTTAAAATGAAGAATATTAAATCCTTTCATAAGTATAGAGTATTGGACATAGTGTAATAAATATCAACTTAAATTTATGTGCAAGTTTGATATGTAAATTAGAAATTTATATGCTGTTTTAGTTGATTAGAAGAATGAAATAATAAAGACAATAGATAATTAAATATGTTTATCTTCAAGAATATGAAAGAATATATGTTTTTTAAGAAGAATGGTTAAGAAAGTGGCAAACTTAACTTTATAATCCAAGTAAATAATATAGAAAATGTGTTTTTTTCAGTTATCAGCCTTTCGGAAAAATTACTAATCAATTATTATTCAATATCAATAGAAATACGTAATTAAATAAATAACTTAGAATTTTAAATGATCGCTTCATTCTAGTGTATCTTATAAGAAATCGATAGTGGAGGCAAGATATTAAATTTATGACGAGGCCACTATTTAAATTAATCCTCTTCAACAGCAAGAGAAGCCGTTTTAATTATTATCGAATGTTCTCTATTAGATAGAGGAGTTTAGAATCTTGTATCATAGTTGTATCTAAACTACAAACTATAAATTTTGGATTGACATATATTTGTGTGAATCTTAAGTGGATTATTCATTGATTTAAATAATTTAAAATATTTCAAAACAGCTTCTTTATCAGATATAAGATTAAATTTTTATATAAAGCCTAATTTAACATTTTTGGTTTGTAAATTACCTCAAAAGAATATTGAAAAGTAAACTTCTTTAAAAAGTTTCTATAAGTTTGTTTTAATTTCTATATTAATAATTTTCAATGTGAAGTCTTAATTTATTCAGTTATTTAAAAAATATTATTATAATAGTTATAATGTAATTTTTCGTATGTTTGGAAACTGTATTACTTTACTTCAATTATTTTATGTATTAAATGTGCTATCTATAAATGATATCATGGGTTGGTTGTCATAATTTATATATATGATGCGTAATCATTATTATTATTAAATCAAATAATTTAAGATAACAGCAAAGAAAATGGGAAATTGTTGTAATGGTGGAGGATCTGTTTTGGAAAAAAATGTGCAGGTAGATTTAGGGTAACATATGTCGGAGAAGTCTGCAAATTCAGATATTCTTAATAAAAAGGCTATAATAATATAAGGTATTTCTATATCTGAAAAGTAAGCTCATTGTAGAGGTCATATTGCTAGAAAGAAAGTGAAAACAATATAGGAATAAGATAAAAGTGGTAAGAGGGAATCGTAAAATGATTCAAGTTAGCAGAAGAAATAGAATTAATAAGCGAATCCTTAGAATAAAAAAGGGGCTTAAGAACCTAAGGAGGAAAGCTATTAAAATAGAGTCGAATCCAGTAAGGCTCATGCTCCAAGTGAAAAATATAAAAAACTAGATAGGATGCCTGATTATTTGACTGCTAAAACTAAATAAGTATTTAAAAGTATTTAGGTTAGGTTTTAAGTCAAATCGAAGCCTTTGTTTATGATTAGGAAAAGGATGAATTTAAAGAATTGCCATTTTTGGAACCATATGAGTTGGATGGAGGAAGTGTTTATAAAGGATAATGGAAAAATGGGTAAGTTCTTAATTTATTTTAGACTCCGACATGGAAGGGGAACATAAATTTGGCAGGATGGCTCAATATATGAAGGATATTGGTACTAGAATGTTGCTTGTGGAAAGGGAAGGCTGATTCATGCTGATGGAGACAAGTATGAGGGAGAGTGGAGAAATGACAAAGCTCATGGATATGTAAGAATGCATATCAATATCATAGGGAAAATATGTGCATATGGATGGAGCATAATATGTGGGCTATTGGGAGGATGATAAATAAAATGGAAATGGGAAAGAAATATGGCCAGACGGGGCTTGTTATGAAGGGTAGTATAAAAATGGGAAGAAACACGGGAAAGGAACATTCAAATGGGCTGATGGATCTATATATATAGGAGAATTTGATTAGAATAATATTCAAGGTTAAGGAGAGTATCAATGGGAAGATGGCAGAAAATATGTTGGGGAGTGGAAGAATAATAAAATGGATGGGAAAGGAGTAAGCATTTAGATTATAATATAGGTTTTTACTTGGTTGGATGGTAGAAAATATGAAGGGGAGTACAAGGATGACAAGAAGCATGGTTTTGGAGATTTTAAATGGCCGGATGGAAGAGTAATAGAATTTCTTATTAAGTTTAGATGTATAAAGGTTAATGGGCTAATGGGAAACAACATGGAATTGGAATTTATATTGGTTCTTCAAAAATTGAAAAGGAAGGAGAATGGTAAGAAGGGAAGAGAATACGTTGGCTAAAGAAAGGAGGCTAACAGACTAGGGAAGATGGAAATTGAAATTCAAAAGTTTATTATCATTTTTTATTGTTCTATCAACTTATATAAATGTAAATTTACAAATGCATGATTTATTATTCAATATTATATTTTGAAAAAGAAATTAACTAAAAAAATGTTAGTAATAAATAAATTTTAATGAAATCTTTTTACCCCCATTTTACATTCTTCTTTTCAATTTCATGAACTAATCTCTTTTGTGTAAATTATTTAATAATACAATATGAAAACAAATGAAAAAGATGAAATACTGTTGTGTAAATTTTAAAATGATATTGTTCATAACGAAAAGTTGATTCAATAAAATCAAGTACCAATCGTCATTAATCATAGGAAAATTATGTTATTGCAAGCATCTACCTAAGTGAACAACAAACACAAATCCCTTCAATTTAAGCATCTCAAAATGGCTTCCCAATCACATGTATGAAATTGTAGATATATTCTATAGTAAGTTAATAAGAAAAAATTGATCCTTAATTAGGAAATAATAAGAAGTTCTAAGAACAATCTTTGGTGAATATTGATGATCTATTATCAAAATCTAATTAGGTAAAATGCAATATAAAATTGCATGAATCATCGTCATTCTCTCAAATATTTCCTTTAATGGATGATAATTTGACTTGCACGTCTCAAAACTCGTCTTTGTATATGAATATAATAATTTTCAGTATATCATTAGAAAAACAAAAATGGTCAATTCAAACAAGTAAAAAAATCAAGAAGCAAAAGAACAGTAATATTAGAGGTGCTAAAACTTAGGTCAGTAAAAAATAGATTACTGAAAAATGCAAAACTCAAAGAAGAACAGAAAAAGTAGTAACTTAGCAAATATCTATTTAAAATGATCAACAAGAATTAGTTTAGGTTCCATCAACGGGAGCTATCATTCACCAAGAAGCTATTTTGAATGAAGCTAGTAAATATTAATTATATTAACTTTCTAGCACTCTAATTATAAAATTAATATTATATGCATAACTTAATTGGATATTTGAAGGGAACAATGAAAGATCCTTTTATGGCATAAATGTACTTAAACCATTTCTCTTAATTATTTGACAATCTGCAAAAATCAAAATTAATTGTATGCCCAGCAGAATGTACTTTGTCCGGCTAAATTTAACCTTAAAAAAGTATCAAAGTGTAATTAAATCAAGAAATTTAGAAGACTTTGATTATCGATTTAGATGAAACTCTAGTTCATTGTAATGAGTTTAGTTGTTTGAAGAGTGATTTTTTCATTCCAGTAATATTTAATGAGCAAATCTATCAAGTATGGATAATTTGTAATTTAGGTTGGAATAAGTATAAGGCCTTATGCATAATAATTCTTAAGGAATATGGCTAAGGATTACGAAATTATGGTTTTCACAGCTTCAAATCCAGATTATGCGAACAAGATTATTGACTATTTAGATCCACAACATAAACTTGTATCCTATAGATTGTTTCGTGATGATTGCATTCAAATATCAAATAATTGCCACATCAAAGACTTAAGAATTCTTAACAGAAATATGAAAGATATTGTTTTGGTGGATAACTCAGCTTACTCATTTGCTTTTTAAGTCGAAAATGGGATACCAATCATTCCCTACTTAGATGATAAGAATGACAAAGTATAAATTTGCTTTATTATTCAATAGGAATTACTACATTTGTAACATTATCTACAATGTTTAAATCAATTTGATGATGTTCGTAGTTAAAACAATAAGATATTTAATTTGAAAACAGTTCAAAATTGTGTTTCAATTGTCGAGGCTATAAAAGAGTTATCAGCCTCATTCTCTTAGTGACCGATTTTGTGAATAATAGCTATTATAATTAATTAGTATTAAATATGCAAATGGAGGGATTCTTTAATATAAATATCAATAAAATGAAAAAAAATCAAATATTTTCTAAAAGTATCAACATCATAAGAGATCATCAATAAGAATATAAGCCATCTTATTAGTCAGCATCAAAATCAAAATAGGAATCAGATGAGGAGAATGGAAATATGTACGCCCCCAAAATAATGAAGAAGGACATAAGGAAACAAATAATCAAGATTAAGAACCATTCTCACTAAGGGAATATGTAAATTCATCAATAATAGCCTAAAAAGCATGGGATTTTGAATATCACAAAAGGAGGTAAATGCAAATCTTCATTCTATCTTAGAATCAAAAAAACAAAATTAATAGAAGCCTACTGGATCATTCCCAATATTTATTAGGAATATAAAGGATGGATCAACGTCTAACGAATTGAAATAGTTAATAAATGATGATTCCAACATATTAGGAGTATAAGTAAGAGATGGTCCTAATTTAGATTAATAACAAATAAGGCACTATTACATTTTCAAATTAATAATCTGCTGATTAAGCAATTGGTTTTGAATTATATATATTTTATTAGAACTTATTAACAACTACAAAGAAAATGGGTATTAAATGAGTGCTGTTCCAAATTATCAACAATCCAGCAAGGTCATCGTATTGGGTTAATTTCAATCAGGCAGAGGATTCAAAGAGGGCGGGAGACTGAGAATGGATGCAAAAGAATCGATTTTTGATAGAATACAAACCAAAAAATAATGATGCAATCAGTCTAGTTTAATTTATTTCTATTATTAATGTTATTATATGATGAGACCTAGTTATTCTATTGCAACTAGGTCAAACTCTAATTTTAGAATAATGAGTATCATATACATCTAAATATAAACAATACTATTTTACAAATATTTACATATATTTTAATTATGATATAATAGTAAAGATAGGTGTTGAATGATAATGATTTGCATACACTAATATACAAAGGCGAAATTGGTATCAATCAATTACTCATTTCTAGATTGTCAGGTATGCATTTATTGGATGTACTCACTATTGCCAATTTCTACACTCCTGATGCCTCGATTAAGGAACATTTGTTTAAAACGGCCAAATAAAATTACAAATCAGATTAAGAATTCCCAAAATTAATTTAGAGATATGAATTAACATTAGCTATAATAGAAAGCGAATCGCTTAATGAAAAAGTAATTTTCATCACAAATTAATTTTTAGTAATATATTTCCCTGTATGCAACCATCATGAAAACTAAGATTAAGGAATTCTTCACTAATCAAAAGAACCAACTATTTTGTAATGTCTATGTACCTCCTCAATACACCAAAACTTTAACGATATTTTGTTATAGTCCCAATTTAACAGGATATTTAGCCTTAGTTACAACAGATCAAATGAATAAATTAATCGCCATGGAAGAGATGATACCATAAATGGACAATGAAGAATAAGTGAAATCATACGCATTTGATTAGATATTCTAGGATGTAAATATACATATAACCCATAGAATCTTGTACTACCTTAAATAAATACTACTCCAGAAAAGGATTAGTAGAAATTGGTAAGAAGACACAAGAAATCATTATCAGAACACTAAATTTTTGATTTTTAGTGGGAATAAAAAGAATAATAAATGATCACATAAATGTAGTCTCTCCCACAAGATAGAGCATGTAATTATTTTGATTTAATTTAGTATTTTTTTCATAAACAAAATAGTAGGCTTTTATTTAGGATGATTATCAATTTCCATCTTTAGATTAGATTAATACATTTAAACCATTTTCTTCAATTTAGGAAGAAAAGAAAAAAACTGAACCATCTTCATAATAATAATAATCTGCATTTAGATATGAGGAGGGAATCCCAAATATTGATGATTTAGAATTCTTTCCTCCTTTGGAATTAGTATCAACAACTAGTTGTCCTCCATTGAATAACAAATTACAGATGACTGATTAAAAGAAACAATTATCTAATCCAATTTATACTGGAAGACTTAAATTTTTTGATGAGTAAAAGAATTATGGATTTATTGTTATGGACGATGATAAATCAGATATATTTGTTCATTTAGATGATTTATAAAAGGCGGGTGTAACTAAAGAGGTTTTGAAGACTTCAAAGCAAGGATCATTGTTAAGGTATTATAATGATAACAAAGTAGGTTTTAATTTAATTGTATGGTGTATGTTGGGAAATATAAAAAGTCAAGGAAGGCTGTTGAATTGAAATTACTAGCGAACTAATAAGTGAATAACTTTAAGGGGATTGCCTGATTGAATAATCAAAAATATAGGCATAACAATAAAATTATTTATTTTTTAGTATCTATTCATAGTTCTACATATATTAATATTAATAATCATCACTCCAGAATTCGTTCTCTGGATAATCTTTAAATATTCGATTGACTTCAATATCAAAGTTAGATAGAGCCAGTATGAAACTCATTCAGAAGATGACATTACTTTGGATAATGATAATTTATGGATTGATTTAAGAAAATTGAAAAAAAATCTAATGCAATTTAATCTATTCTAAATGTACATATGTATTTTATTATAATACTGTAATTATCTCATTTAGCATTCTTCTTGGCTTCTTATTACTTTTTGAGCTAATTAGCATCAACAAAGACTATAGTCTTGCATCTCTTAATAACTTTCAACCACTTTAATTTACACTTGACGCATTCAAGCCTATTCTCCAAAAATATCTATACTTTAAAGCCACTTTTTTAGTTGTCTTTGCCTTCTTTCTGAAAATTGGCTTTGTTTATCCACCATACCCAGCCTGTTTCATGTCGTACCTTCTTCTGCCTTAAGCAAATGGACTTTCCTTGCTCTTTTTGTATTGAGACACTTTGCAACTTTAATGGCTTCCACATTTTCTGCAATATGTTTTCCTGTTTTTAGGTACGTTCACCATTTAATATTTTTTAAATAAAATTTAATCATTTTTTAAATTACTTTAGATTAATTAGTTAATGCTAAGGCAATACTCAATAATAAGGTGCTGTTTCTATAATTATTATGAATAAACATTGTTAAGTTCATCAATTAATATCCTTCAATAAATTGTGTATTTCTTCAGCCGAATAATCTGGATGTTATTGTTTCAGAAATGGCTAAGAATTGGATCTCCTCATAATGGGAATCTGCTACTTATTTTTCAGATCATCAGATGATTTATTTCTAAAAAGCTAAAACATATAAAAACACATGTTCTTCGTAATTAATTGATCCAAAAATTGTAGAAATCAATGGTTAATTTGTATATTTTTTTTCATATAATGAATCAGTCAATATAAAAATATTGTGTTCTTAACACTGCCTTTTAATCATTCTCTTTGGATTATGCTCCTTCTTCTTTACATTTCTATCTTCTAATTTTATCATCAAATAAAAGGCAAAACAAATTATACACACTAAGAAAACTCCAATCTACTGTTATTTCGATAACAAAATCTCGAAGTAGTTTTGAAACTAAGAGAGCTGCTCTATTAAACTCCTCTCATTATCGCTCTAGTCAGTATTTTGTTATTTAAATTCATTCCTTTATTCATCTTATTGAACATCAGTTTATTATTAAGGTGCTTATTCTACATCACTTGACTTAATTTCTTAAGTAATGACTGGTTCATCCTATTTTGTTCCAAGTAAGATTTGCTTCTTGGGAATAGCTATTACAGTTGAAAATAAAAGTAAAGCACAAACGACTAATCTCATACAAAACAGAATATATAATTTAATATTATAAAAATTTTGAGTTCTCTCTCCATATGAAAGTTTAAGTTAATCTATTCGATTTGGATTACTAATGTTATTCTTATAATTGTTGAGAAATTTTATGAAAAGATAATTCTAATTTAATAATTGAAAATGTTAATATTAGCATTATTCCTCATCTCGGTTGAACTAGCATTAGGAAAACTGAAAGTTATCGGTCCAGAAGAATTGAAATAGGAATTTGCCAAAAATAATGCTGAAATAGTATTTAGCATAGCAAACTTTGGGTAAACATTGAATTTATGGACCAATATAGAAATGTTCCTTGGGGTCGTAGATTAAGTGGGACTCTTGATATGTCAGATCCATTCGAAGCTTGCACGGATATTAATTAAACTGCGAAAAGCAACTTTGTACTAATTAAAAGAGGAGGCTGTTCCTTTGTGACTAAAGTTAGACATGCATAGAAAGCAGGATATCAATTGGCGATAATAGAAGATGATAAGGCTGAGATAATAGACAACATAACAATGTCTGATGACGGGACAGGATATGGAGTATTTGATATAATATCACGTAGTTATAAATCCCTAGCATTTTTATATCCAAATCAGATGGGGAGGTTTTGACAAAATACTTGAAGAGTCCAAAAGTCAAATCAGAAGCAGATCAAATTCAATTGCTTATCAAATTTGATGTTCGCTAATAGAAAAATGTAGATGCCCTATTTGCCTTCTCAATTTAATCAGGAGCAACATATAAATTTCTAAGAGAATTTCAACCTTATTATGAAAAATTGAAAAAAGAATAATGTACATGTTCTCACCCATATTTTTAGTTAACTTTACCATCTTGTATCAATTATATCAAATTATTGATACTCCAGATAGACCGGTAGATTATAAGAATTGTCTAAGTTATGGTAAATATTGTTCCCCTGATCCTGATGGCAGAGGTGTTGGAACTGGAAGAATGGTTGTCCAAGAGACACTTAGATAGTTATGTATCTTTAATCAAAGCAAAGACTAATGGTTCGAATATATGGTAAAAGATTATTCAAAACTTAGCAATCATTCAGAGATAATTGTACTTCAGCTTAAGAGTTTGAAGGTTGTTCTCCAAAGGTGCAATTGGAAGTTGGCATTGACAATTAGAAAGTCGAAAAGTGTATAAGTGATCAGCAATCAATACGTATTTTTGAAGTTCAGAGTGAGATCTTTAATTACAAGGAAAACAAGATTCTAGATGATTAATTGAGACTATGGAATACTGCTGGTATACAGGAATTGCCAGGAATCATAATAAATCATTAAGATTACTTAGGATAAATCACTGGAGCAAATGTTTTCCTTGATATTTGTTATAGTTTTGAAACTCCACCAGAATCTTGTGGCACATATGTTGATGGGTATATATTTTAAACGGATAAATCAACCAATCTTTATTTGACTATAGCAATCATAATAATCGTTATGGTCATCTTTTTTGTGTTGCTATTTTGTGTTTATACAAAATTGATTAGAAAAGAATTCAAGGAAAGTAGCTAGTCATAAGTCAATGAAATGGTTACTCAGTATATCCAACTCTATGAATCAAAAGACAAGAAAAGCAGAGAAGCTATATGAACATTGATTTGTTTCTTTATAATAAAATCATTATTGCTTATACAATTCTTGCCACCAAATTGATTATAGCACTTTTGTAAATCTGCTTCTTCATATTGGTCATCAATAATAATTGAATAATAGGAATTTTATTATCATTAAAAATAGAATTAGTTTGTAAATAATTTATAAATAATATTAATGATGAAAGTAATAAGTAGAATGTCTTCATTGATTCTAAAGAAATCAGATGATATGATTCTTTTTGCTCATGATAATCCAGTTAAATTAGGCGAGACATTAAAGTTTGGAAATTCATTTGGAGTAGTCATGTCCATTTTTGAAAGGAATCAATTAGCATTATTATTACAACCATCAGAAGTATTAGAACCTATTCAACATGTCGATTCATTAAAGGCTTATCCCTAAAATGATATTTGTACGATAGCAGACATAAAGGAATCAAATGAAAATACAACAGATGGCAAAAAATTACCAAAAAGAGTCCTTCCATAGAATTAAATTTTAACACATAATGTGTATATCGATCTCTTTCATCCGATTACGTATGGGCAAATGCTTATCATTAAAGATAAAGAGCTTCTAAAAAAGTTGAACTCTTTCGATTAGATTATCTATTATGGGAAATCTCCAATCCAGACAACCACTTGGTTTAAACATGCAGAAAATTAAGGATCTAATTATTTTTTACCAAAATACGCATTATAATATGCCAAATAAGTTGCAAAGTCTAATAAAACGTTATTAGTTATGGATCAAATTTATGATCATTTTGTTGCACACTAAAAATTATAAGAGACAATTCAGTCTTATGTTTACGAGAGAACCACCAAAACTGTGTACTTGTCAAATCTTTTAAAAGAACTTTCGGACTCATGTGGCTATAGACCTGGACATAGTAATCTTACTGTCGCTGTTTTACAAAAAGATTCTTGTGAAGACTTGTTAAATGATGAATTAGAGAAAGAAGTATGATTTTAAATGTAATTCAACTTTTAGTTAGAATCATTGCAATCACATACTCCTTCAGCAACTTTAGCCAAACCAAGTCCATTCAGTTTGTAAATTCAAAGTCCTTTGTATTATCATCTCGCATAAGAATTGTATGAGATTCTAGCATAACACAATGAAAAAAAGGCTGAATACTTATAAAAGCAATAGTTAAAGATTCATATTGATCCTTGGGACTTTTATTAATATTTTGATTGCAAACCAATTGTGTAAATGATCAACTTATTCAACCAGTAGAATAGTCAAGAACATGAGTTAACAATCTTAGTAGATTTCTCAGTTAAAGCATTCAAAGATGAGTTAATCTGTCAACTCAAAGGTATACATCAATCATATATATTTAAGGTTCTCCCAAGGAAATTTTGAATGACCTTCTTGCCTTTTCTTCTACAATCAAGGAGTTTGATGGAAAGACTTTTGCAGAATTTTATTACGAAAAAAAAAATGAATTAGATAGTAATTAATTTAAGAATGCAATTATTGAATGCTTAGGAAGGTTTTATGAATTATACATGATTCATTTAAGAATGACAGATTAATTGTTATAATACAAAAAGGATTACATTTGATTGAGTATTGGCATGTATTTTATAAAGATGTAAAAATAATTTAAGTTCATTTTTGAATATTAATAATATCTATAATTTTAGAAGCTACTCTATAGGTAATTAGAATAAAGGTAAAAATAGAAGTCTAAGGATTAAAATTGATATGTAATAGTGATACTAAATTATTATTATTATCTTGCATAATTAGCTATTCAAATTTTTCTCAATTCTTGACATGAGTGAAGTGATGAAATGTTTTAACAAACTAATCTGTTTTATGAAATGGCCTAACTTCATTGACTGGTTTAGATTGATAGATGATTCCCTAGCCTTGCTTTTCAGAATGAAATGTAATAGGTTTTGCTGTTAGATATGATTCTTGTGGTAAAACTGATGCCAATTATTAATCAGTTGACAGTTGAGGTCTATCATAGGGTAGGTTAGTAGTGATACTTTTAATAAAATCCCATGTCACTCAACAAATCAACATCTTTTTTGTCTCCATCTATTGCAGTTCCATTTTGTGTTCTCATCACTCTTCTTCCAATAGTATTATTTTCTATTGGTTTCTAAAAAAGTAAATAGTGATTCTTACCTAAGTGAATTCTTATTTGCATGTTGTTTCAAAATATCTCTATTATGTTTAACTGAAACTGTCTGCTTCTCGAGAGTCTAATTCTGCCTGAATTTATTACAGGTATTATTATTCAATTAATTAGGCTTTCTTTCCAACTTTGGGTACTAAATCAGCCCTGTTTACAGTACCTCCAACACTATGAATATATCAATCTATTACTTTTGTGAGGCTGGTTTTGGAATGTCAGGTTATATTTTACCAAATAGCCTAGTTGTTGTATCAATTTGGTTTATGGGTTCCTTGTAAAGAGGAATTTCTTCAGGAGGTTTTAGCATCAAATCTGTATGCTTCTTTTTTATATGTTAAGGAACAGGAGCTCTTCCAAATCCAGTGTCTTCCTTTAATTGAGCTTCTTCATGCCAATTGGACATCAGAGTTCCAGAGACAAAAGTGTTTACTCCTTTTGCTCCAGAACTTGCAGCTTGTGTTTTGTTGTAGCAATCCAATTTTGTTTAATTCATATTCATTATTTTGTAATAATAATTAATTAAATAAATTTCATTATCTTCTTAAACTTAAATATTCTTAATTCAATATTTCAGATTATTATGTCTTTTCACTTATTTCATTATCCCTTAGAATATTATTTATAAGAAGTTACTAGTATTTCCTTTATAATTGGAAGAATAATAATATAATTTAATATAGATATTACTTTATGATCATATAAATGAATGTTTAATATAAGATAACTCTGATTAATAGAAAAATAAATAAACAACATAATAGTTATATTGCTTATTTGTTAAAAATGCATATGCATTATTTAATAATATTTTTTAATTTGAGAATTTGTACTATGTAAGTATCCAACATTAGATCTAAAAGTACTCCAATTGTAAGCTATTTTATTATTCCTCATTTCGTCTTACTCTATATGAATATCATAACATTCAGATTGTATATTTTCACAATTTTTTTCAGCACACATTCCTTAATGAAATTAGTTGTCTCATCCAATGATTATTGCCTTGATGTAATCATATTTATTGATTTTCCTTATTGATTATGATTTGATGATGGTCATTCTAAAATTTTACTCTAAGTCTAAAAAATCAAAATAAAGGTCTTTCTTATAATATAAATGCTTAAAATATAAGGTAGACAATAATGGTTCTAAATGTTTCTCAGAAGATGACCTCTATATTCAAATCTGATATAATAAATATTAAAAATCTTTAATAATCAATTGTAATATCAAATTTTACAATAACTTTAGCAATCAATAGAAATTCATAAAGATTATTGATACTTACTGGACCTGAGATGGAGGCAATACTAATTATACTAGCATAAACAACTTTTGATTCTTCAAATGAATGTGGAATGATAAAAGCATTTAAGATGGAGGGAAAAAGGAGAAAAACTCAATTTTATTTAACCCATATTTTATTCTTCAATTTCGCTTGATTATTTTATGATTAAACTAAAATAGTTTATTTATTTAATGCAAAATCCCTTAATAACAAGCACTTTATATTTTCCTAGACAATCATATTTTAGCAAGTATAAAGGGTTGCTTGAATTACAACAAAAGTAATAGCTGAGCCCAGAGGAAAGGAGAATTAAGGAGAAGAAATAAAAAAACAACTAAACATCTGATTTTGAGGAAACCATATTAATTACTAATTCAGCAAAATTAATAGTACCGTAAAGGAGGATTACTTTTGAAAATTAAACTAATGCTATGGAGGATCCTTATTTCTAAAAAAATGAAAGTTCTATCTCTTAGAGATACTTAGCAAATTTTAACATGTTAAAATCGTAAAAATAAATTTTGCCTTCCTTGCCTTCCCAAAACAATCTGAATTCAATTAAACTGTAAACACGATAGTTATTTGCTAAACCACTGATTAAAAAATAAAAAAGCCTTGACCACGTTGTTTAAATATGTTATTAAAATAAACAATTTTCTCAACTATAAGAAGGAGCAAGCTTAAAATGTTTGTTCAAATCTTCAGAATTAAAAGAGGAAGATTATGATAAAATTTTAATTATTTAATTTGAAAGTAATTATTAATCTTTATGATAAGATGTTATACTAAAAAGATCATGTTCATTTTGGGAGAACTCCAATGAGGTCACTAGTTGTAGTATTAGTTTAAGTTCAAAAAATTAAGAATAATGCGAAAATGCTTTTTGCGTTTGTAATTTAAGAAGAGAATTTAAAAATACACTGAAAATGTACATCAATTATTTTAACAAAGATTGTCAAAGGCTTATATAATAATCTTCTTAGTTTAAAATGCTAGTTTTGTGTTAAAATGGCACAAATATCTTTAGGAATAAAATTATTAATATGATGCAATATATAAAACTAGAATCACAAAAAACGTTCGGATTGGTGGCATTTAAATGAGTAGAGTATTTAATGATTTCTAGAAGTTTAACTTATCTAAAATCATATACTTTGATTCCATCGATATTTCGAACGCATCCAAATTACATCCAGAAGATTTATAGTACAAAATACCAATAGCAAATTGCAATATTGAAACTACAATCTTTCTATTTAAGAAAAATATGCAGACAAAGTAATTTGATTCACAATTGCTGCACAACATATCAATGGCCTTTTATTCAGGAAAGGAACATGTAATAAGCAAGAAACAAATTTATTTTGAGAATATTGATTTGCACTTTGTTTTTTAATATTATACTTCCTAAAACTAAATTAAGAAACTCAATTAATTAAGAAAACTTAATGAATTAAAATAGTCTTTTTAGAAGATATTAGAAAGTTTAAATGAATCTTAAACTGTTTAATAAGAGAAGGATGAGTATTTGATATAGTGGATATCAGCAACAAGAAACGATTTTATAAATGATTTTAAAATGAAAAAGAGTGAAAGAGTCCCTCAATTCTATTTCACAATTGGAGATATTATTGTTAGGAACCAAAAATTAAAATGGTAGCATTTTAACTATAAAAGTGAAAAAATGTAGAGTAGATATGAACATATCTGTAAATTGATATCTAAGATACATTAAGATCATCAATCTTTTGAAAGACACTAACATTCAATTAAAATTAATTGTATACTTTGTATTGAATGATATTTCTATATACTTTACCTATTTCAATTTTATTCAATAATAGATGTATATCTAAAAGAGCAATAATGCTTTTTCTAGTTAATGTGTTCATTATCACTAATTATTCCTTTTGATATCAGTTATTATAATTTTTTTCAAGAATTTAATTTATGTATGAGACTTCACATTCCTATTTTTTGATTACTAGTTTTTTATTATGGAGAAACATAAAATATTAAATTATTTGGCATATATTTTAATTAGGGTTTGATTAAATAAAATTTGAAAATTTAATAAAGGATTGATGTTATTAAGAATGATAATTTTTAAATAAGGTACATAGTTTTAAATTAATGGCAATCTTGTGCTCAATTTGTTTCTTTATCAATGTAGCTTGTCTTAATGGTCGTGTTCTTTACTTATCTAAGGCGATCTAGAAGGGTTAGGTTTGTTTTAGTTCTTTTCGATTCTCTCATATCAAATTCTTGTTTTTACTCATTTAATTTTTCATAGTAAATAGTAATTCTTTAAATGACAACATCAAGATTGAAATCAGGGAAATAGATTTTTGATGATTTTGCAACATCCATTTCCATTTCATAATGTACTCTGACGATATCTTAAATCCTCTTTTATATTCCATCTACAGAGTTTCCAACTTGGAGACTGTTACTTTCCACTTAGTTTTCTTATTTATTATTGGATTCAACCAAAGCTAAATTGCTAGGCGCCCCAGCTGTGTAAATACTCGAACTATATATTTCATTATTGAGAAGACTCCTCTCAGCTTTCTTATTATCAATTTCTTATCCTTATAAGAATTATAATAATTGTGTGGTTTTTCTTCTTTTTTTCCTACGAGCTAAATCCACACTTTAAAATTAAAAATAAATTCTACCTGCTGGTCTTTTTGGAGTTAAGACTGTTCTCTCTTGCTTCCATTCTTTGTTTGATCTCTAATTCCTATGAATAAGAGGGAGGCGATTGGTCGAAATTAGAATCACTTCCCTTGCTACCCTTACTGATTTGTTTGATTAAATGGATTGGTTTATTATCTAATTTATTAAAATATGAAATGAACCTAGAAACTGATTTGTGCCCCCATCAAATTCTAGCCAAGAAACTTTTCGAATTCCAACCGCATTTGGATTTGTGTTGAATTTGCTTTTGCCTACTTTCAATTTTTTAAGTGTAAAATTTTGTGATCCATCATTCGCATTATGTATTTTTACTTCCTCTTGAACCATTGACTCATCCAATATATCAACTGCCCCATTCAAATTTGAGTGAAGCTTCCCTTTCGTAGATTAGAGAGTCCTACCTCTATCTCTGACTTGCAATTTAATTCGATTAAGACTTCTTTTATATTGACTCCCTTAATCCCAATCTATCACACTTTCCTAAAAATATTGTTCGTTATATAATCGTACATTTGTAACACTAGGTCTTTAACCATCCTTAATAAAAATTGCAGTTTGATTTTAAGACTTTTGGTCAGCAGGTATAACACTCTAGATTGAAGGTTATGGAATAGGTTGTTATAGATTATTTTCGAATTAAGACATAACCTTTTAATCTTTGAAGACGGAATTCTTTTTAGGTTAACCTTACTTCTGCTGGTCCTCATCTTTCTCACTCATCTCAAAGCCTAAATTAATCAGGTAAGCGTCATTTATTTCTCTTGAATATTGAAATAAATAACTTTTCAGGTACGATACTGTTTAAGACTATGTAGCCCAAGGCTGCTTCTTAGACATCAGGTAGAGTGTTTTTCCAATGTTATTTGTTTAAGGTTCTATATGGAAAGGTCAGTCTTCTATTAGTTTTGTTTGAGGTGAAGGAACTCACAATTTTATTTTTGTTTGGTTGCAAAAATACAAATGGACATCTTGCAATATAAAAGATATTCTTACTGAATGAATCGATGAGTCCAACCACATATTTCACAAATTTAGCTAAAAGCTTTGTAGTTGCTATTAAAAAGTAGATTATCTTTAACCAAGCTATACTTCTCGAATTCCTCACTATTCTCTTATATAATCAAATAGAATTATTAGAAACTAATTTATAATGAATCAAATAACTTACTCTACTACTAATAACTAAGTAAATTTAGTTGCCCTGGCATTATATTCATATGGTGTTTGTGAAATGAACTCTCGCTCTCCTATAACAGCCCTATAAGTACAGTTAATATTAGGATTTACCCTTGCGTTAGTTTCTTCAAGAAGGTTTCAGTATAGAAATGTTCATCGTCAACTATAATAAAGTAGTGTATATTTTACTTTAATGGTCAGCCACATATTCAACTGCTCCAGACAATACAAACCAGAGTGCCTTAGGAGAATCATTTCTTTGGAATAATAATTATTCTGGATATAGCTTTGTTTCTTTAACTACTTGACACAATCTGTGAATAGTTTAATCGCTAAAATTCTCTCTTAAGAAACGCGATTAGTTTAACGTTTTACTGTAAATATCCACAAGAACTTCTTCCTTCAGATGTTTAGTCAATTGTTCAATAAACTATTCAGCATGTTAATCTTCCTCTTACTTAATTTTAAAGAAATACTCGAAATACTTTTTAACCTAAATTGCATCAACCTAAATACCTTTAATTGTAATTTGTAGCTCAAGCCTCTTTTTCTTATATGAGAATTGATTTCCCTTATCTTCTATTTATAAATACTCTTTTTATCAGATATTTACTTAAATATATTTCCTATATTGGAGAGACAATAACCAAAAACACCACAAATTAGTAAAGTAACAACTATTACAAATATTCTCTCAACTGTCGTTACTGGGACTATGTCACCATATCCAACTGTAATTGTAGTGATAACACTCCAATATAAAGAAATTATGTATCTATCAAACCAATAGTAATCCATTGCATTAGAGTCATATCTGGTCAACCAAGTTAATTCCTCACCATAATTTTCATATTCTATCACTGCTACCCAATGCCATGCACAACCACAAAAGTGACCTGTTAGCAAGAGAAAGAAGATTAATTTTAGCAAATCCAAAAATACTTGCATATTATCCTTATTCATAACCTTAATATTATTACTTCTAAATTCAGAACCTCCTCTATGCTAGCCATCAATGAGGATAATCTGGTTAGTCTCAACAATAGTGCATATCTAACGTATGGTACATCCATGTTTAACAAAAGATACGGAATTATTACTATTAAATCCCAAAAGAAATTCCCCTTGATGTAATGTTTTATTATCTATTTGCGATCCTCGTGCATCAATCCTTTATCATAATAAGCAGTGTTGAAGTTTAACAACATTTCTGCAATAAATATCCATGAGGGCAACAAGTTAAAGACCCACTCAAATGCTCCTGATGATCTCACATCAAAACTTATATATATGGGTATGTAAAATATATTCACCACAATAAATAGCAATAATATAATATCCCAAACTATTTTGAATAAACTATCAGGTTTTATTACCTTCACATATTTTCCAAACAATGCATAAATTATTTCTATAGAATTCAAAACTTTGGATGCTTTATTTTAAATTTAATCAAAGATTATTAAACTAATACTGGGCTTCTACTTAATTAATCTATTTATCAACATGTATTCAAAATTTGCACTATTGTCGCAAATTACTTCGAAAATTCTCTAAGTAATTAATCGGAATTTGATTCTCTCTGTCTTGGTTTTTAATTATTAAATAAAACGGGTAACTAATCTAATTATTATGAACCCCTTTTAAGTCCAAACTTCATTTAAACTAAAACTTAAATCAAATCTATACCCAGTCTTTATTTCTTTGCTTTTTCCTCTCTAAATCAAGGATGCCTATTTTACGGTATCTCTTCTAATTTGGGCTAGTTTGGTTCTTTCGTTTTGTTCTTATTTTTCTTCTAACTATTGTACAAATGTCTAATATTTGACTACTTTGGCATCTGATTTCGATCCCACGTTTTTAGTTCCATTATTCCGAACTGGAGATGCAATAATAAAGTCATCTTGATCCGATTTTTTTTAAATTTAAATTGATTTGTTAGATTTATTTTATTTAGAGTTTAATGTTAAAGGCTTTTGTATTTTTAAATTATAACTTATTGAACTTATAGAACCTTATGGTTCACTTCTTTTACCACTTTCATATCATAATTCAATACCTTAAGTTACTCATTAAACAATCCTCTTCATTTACATCAGCCTTATGGCCTTGGTTTATGGCTTACTTATGAGTGTTATCAAAAATATCTCTCTTCAATTTTAGAGCTTCCAGTTATTATAATTAAGAAAGTTCAAGTTTTTGATCTAATTTATTACCAACATTAGGACTTGACTAATCGATATCGAACAACTGCACTGATGAGATGTTATTGCTCAGAATTCCGCTTTCCAGATCTTAGAATCCAGCGTCTCGATTAATCATTTTTTTATATTATTAAAAATAAGTAATAATTTAGAATAATACTCTTTTTCATAGATCCTAATTTTTAATCTCAAGGTAGGATTTCACCAAATTTGTTTAGATTAAGTTATATTCAATTAAATTTTTAATTTTCCCTCGAAATTCATTATCAATAAAGTATCTTTCCATTAAAACCTCTATATCCTCACCAACTGATAATATTTATTCGTCCTTTACAACATTCGAATTTTCTAACAAATGCAACTAATAACATCATATTAACATTTACAAGTGATGTAATGATATTTCTATTCACCCTTCCTTGGTTATCTGAATTTACCAGCATCAAAGCATATGTAAGACAACCTGCAGATATCAAACTTTGAGTGTATTTACACTATAGTCCATAATCAAAACAGCACACTTTCAAAGTAAAATAGGATATCTCAATGATATCATCCCTTTTATCTTTGATTTTACTTAAATAGAGTCTCAGCAACAATGTTAAAAACAAAAAACTATTAGAAAAATTAAGTTAATGATCCAAGCATTCAAAAATTTCTAGTTCTTTCTTAAAAATCTTATTTCGATCGAATTTATCATGAGAGATGTAAATTACTTAATCAATTCTTAATGGTATTACGTCATTAAATTTTGATGCCAAATACATACAACAAAGACCAGTAAGGCATAGGCTATCTCTTGTTATTCTATTGCTATTATAAACAATCATACTTTTGAGTTTTTTTTTAAAATTCATCCAAAACCGAGCAAATTATGAAAAATGTAGAATAATTCATTTTATATGAATTCGTGATCTCAATTGACCAATTTAAAAATCTCATTCTCTCTTCATTATCATAACCCTTGTTATCTTTGTTTAAGAATTGGGTTGGCTTTTATTATTTTTCCAAATAATTTTAAAGAACTAAATTATAAAATTCCTCAGTTTTCACATTTGTCGAAGGAATCACACTTAAATCTAGTTTGAACTCTAAGGGAGAAAACAATTCCTCTGGATTTTCAATTTCCTTTGAATTCTCTTCCTCTTATGACATTTATTCTATTGCAGAAGCTAGTTCTTCTAATCTTGTGACTTTAGCCACCTATCCAGGTCTGTTTGATACTCCAGGGGAAAAATCAGATATTGATCCACTAGTATCGACGGAGGATGATTGTTTTGATTTCATTTATTTAATTTTTTAAAGGCATTCAACCGCTTAATAATATAAATTTTATAAACCAATTATTAATTTCTAAGTAACTATTTTTACTGCAAAAATAATCAAACTCTATCTTCACTCAAAGTTGATGCTTTGATGTGATATGATAAGGCATGATCCTTCTGAATTCTACATCATCGAATTAGGATGATTATGAGTTTATGGTCACTTTTGATATTAAATATTGACTACTCCAATATTTATATTACAACAATTAATTTTTACACAGAACATCATCTTACATATAATTCTTGTTATTTAATAATAAGTTGTGATTTAGTTATTTATATTTTTAGATGAATTAAAAAAATAAAATATCTCTTTCAAATAGGATAGAATAAGCAACTAGAGATTATCTTGCATATATTTAATTTTTAATGTTGAGAGAAAACTTCGATGTCACTTTAAAGAGCATTTTATGGTTTCGATTTCTTTTTATAATTAATACTCTCCAAGCTGTGTAATTAATTAATGGTTCAGATCTGTAAATACTCATATTAACGATAGCTTCATTTAAGAGATGCTAAGCAAATATAGAATAAATTTGTTAATCTATTTTGGGAACAGTAACTATTTGATTTTTGCTTACATCATTATTTTAAGCATTTTTTTTCATATAGCTATTACTTAAATTGCAATCAAAATGAAAATTTCGATTCATTAATTTATTGGTTCCTTTTTTGTTTAAACCATTTATTATGTGTAGTCTATGCCAATTATTTTAAACTCCCTATATGCTATTTTATATCAGGATCAATATGTTCATTTAATTTTGTTCATCCTAACAGTTTTATTGAATATCATGTATATTAAGTTCAGCTGTTAAACAAGTTTTTTGTAGATAGATGGAAGTTTTTCAAGATAGATAGATGAAATTGTCATTTATATTTTTCGATTTGCTTTATGCCTTTTAAAGGTCAAATTGCCAATAGTTGAATTACAATTCTCAATATTGCTCATAGAATCATTTTTGTTAATACTAATTCAGATTAACAATACTCAATTGAATAGTCATTTTATTTTTCAGTTAAGAATATTTCTTTTTGTGATTGGAATAGCAGGCATATGTAAATTACAATGGATTGAAATATTTTTAATTTATATGTTTACTATAGGTGTTATGCAATCTTGGAGAAATAGACTTTAAATAAATAAGTTGACTGATGCCAAAAATTAGTTTTAATTAAAATTTTTGATTTCTTAAATTGTTAAAAATTATTCAAATGATGAAACTATATAAGTTTTATTAATTTAAAGATGCATAAAATCAAATTTAAAATATTTATAAAAAAATAATAACTCAAATATCATTAAGATCTAGGATAGAGTAATGATAGAAAGATATTTTGAATAAAATCTATACAAACTTTACTTTTTATTGTTGCAATAAAACTAATCTAAATTGTCATTTTTTGACTTTATTTTCGTAAAAGCTAATATTTATTTAATTTAATAAGAATGTTTTTTAAAATCGAAAAAACAATTATAAGATAACTCATAAATAGTTCGAATTTTTGAAGAATAAGAATCTAACTTTTTACTTTTAGAATAAGCCAATATTACAAAATAAAATTTTTATTAAGCTTTAATTAAACTCACTATTAATGAATAATAATACTCTAAGATTATTAGAACTTAGTGCAAGAAATTTTGTAAAAGAATGTAACAATTAAAAAACGATTTCTAAACTAGCATTAATATAAAAGCATAAACTCTTTAAAATTCGAATATCACTGATCTCAACACAATATAAACTATTTAAAAATACTATTTCGTCTTTTATGGTGACTATTAAAAAGTATATGAAAAATCTTATTGTAGGCATTTCAAATTGGGTAGAAAGCTAAAGAATTACCAAGTTGGGATCGAAATCTCAACCTAAAGTTGCTTAAAAGTAATAAGATATGTATTCTAAATAGATTAAATCTTTCTGATTAAAGTTAGTTATTTATAAAAGAAATGGACTATTTTGAATTCAAAAATGAAATACTTAGCAGATTTTTTTCAAGATTAATATTTAGACAACATTTTGGATTTGTTTCCGTAATTCTTAAGAGGATATTATCAATAATAATTGAATAGATATGTAGAAAATGAATTTGTAGACAAATCTTAATTAAGGACATATTTATTGAAAAATAATTATATTATTTCATGTAGAATTACATTTCATCATGAAATCTTAGATAATGATTTAATAATTAATAATATAATAGAGATTGAAGATAAAAATAATGTTCTATTGTTTGATTAATATGGCAAGATTTTAGGAATTTCAGAATTACTCTATAATGAATTATAAAATCTTGATGAATACTATACCTCAGATATATTTATCTTAACTTTTTTAGAAAAAGCAATGATATAATTTTATGTTCCTGAGATTGAATATTAGGTTCTTTAACTTACTTCATCTCAATAATATAATTAAGTCGAATTTTAATCGACATTTCCAAAAAATATAAACCATAACGATTGTTTGCAATAGAAAATAAATTTTAATATCGAATCTCTTACCTAAATTAAATTTAATACATCTTCTAATTGTCATGAAAATTAATAGAACAAAACAATAAAAATGTTAAACCCTAAATTTTCGATGCAGTTTGAATAAATTCAATAATAACTGGGTTAAGAATAAAATATATCATCTCATAAATTTGAATTAGAATATGTTGAATTGGATACTCCGTGTTGCAATTATTTTCAACTACATTTTTCAGATTTAGAATATCATTTTGAAAGTTAGGATAGGAGTCTGAAATTTGAAGCCAAAACAATAAAAATACACAGTGCCTAAGATAATAAAATCAATATGTCTCTAATTGAATAAATAGTAGAAAAAAAGGAGATATCAAGGAATTTAAAGTTATAATTAATACTGATGATTTTTCTCACTATTTATGTGGCTGGAACTATTTTTGTCAACAAATAATCTGGATTAAATGAAATCAAATCATATTAATCTTCAATAAATTTTTTGATTAATCCTTAGGCTTTAACATTCTCATATGCAGGGTCTTTTCTTTTATAGTGGAATAGATATTGTGTAGAGAGTGGTTTATACAATCTCTCATCGTATATAGAGTTCTAAAGGCAATAGAAATTAAATTATGCATTTACTTTATGGAAAGGTATCCATGTTAATTACACATTAAATTTGAGCCAGAGGAGCAGGGATTTAGGGATGGAAATGGTAGATGTTATCGAATATGACAAAAATAATAATAAAATTGTAACTAAAATGGACTTTTATTCATTTTATTCTATAACTAGAGAGAAGATGGTAAGAGTGTAAAAAAATACTAATTATACAAATGTCTCAACTCATGATTATTCTATATTCAAAGCTAATGGATTTATTAGATAGAATATTATGACTATTTTTAAATTCCATGATGTAGTTATAAATGATGAAATTGAATATCTTAAACAAAAAGTGGAGTTCTCTCAAACTAATTTCTACTTGATTGAGATTATTTAGATGTGTTGTGCAAATACATTCACAGTAGCGCTAATTTATTCTATACATAGACAAGTCAAATTAAAAAATCAAATATTCACTTTATTATCCTTAATAGAAATCAATTCTATTAAAACTCAAATACAATAAACAAAAATATTTCATTCATTCACAAATTATTCATAAAAATCAATTACAAATTTCATTAATAATGATTCAATATTGAATGAAACTTCTCAATAAAATAAAAATAATCACACAATCCTAAGATTATCAAATATTAAATTTACATCTAAATTTCGTTTATTGATACCAATTATTTTTATAATTTGCTATGGCGCTTAGATGATTGGAGCATACTATTATAGAGCCTTATACTATGACAATTATAAGCATTCCTTATTGATGACTATGAATTATATAAAATTCAAGAAGCTATTTGATAGTTCAATCTTATTGGGAGAATTAATTAAAACAGAACATTTAATTCCATCGAATCCCTATTAATTAATAAATTAAACTGAAACCATAGAATAATATTTGATGTATGCTGACAATTCAACTAATTTATTTAACACAATTCTTGATGATTTGGTTGTATCAGATTATTTTAACGACACTATGAAGAGCCTGATATTGAATGCTTTTAGAAAGGATTTGTGTTTGAGTTTTTAAAGGTTTCTAGTTTTCTGTAATACAACTTAGATAAAATAGCCATACAAACTTAGTGACTCTTATCTTACTATCACTTAAGATGGAATAGGAGGAGTAGTATAAAACTACAAAAAAATGGTTTAACAAGAATTTAACACAGAAAGGCAGACTTTGAAATACTCAAAGAATAATGTCCAATTTATAAATTCATAGATCCATTAGAATTTCTTTGTTTAATATGCCCAAGATATTTAATCATGTTTTTTTACATGTTTTAGCTACTTTATAAACGAAAGTATTTACTTAAGTGATCTTTTTATTGAGGCTATGGCAGAGTATTTTAATTTAACTGGAATTATGTAACTATTTATTAAATTTTAGCCTTTTACTATTATATTTTATCTTCTCAGTTTTTTGGGTCATTTATCAATATTTATAAATTCATTAGATAAAATTTGTCTTAATCTTACTAGATCCAAAAGTTGTGTAGAAAAAAGGGATTCATCAAATTTTAATGAAAATTATGAATTATTTATGATTAAATATTGATATCAATAAAATTATGTTTCTAATTTGCGACATTGCAAAATTCAAAAAATTAGTTATTATAAATTAGTTTTCTTAAGATTTCATTAATTACTTAATGATAATTTATTATTTAAATGATTGATATATGTGTTATTAGATATATAATTATAAATATAATACAAAAAGTCATTTAAAAAAGTAAGAAGTCATTATTCTTTCTAATTCTTATTTAGGAACTGGTTTGACAATGTAATCATCCATATATTGTAAGCATTCTTTTTTTTCTTTTTCTTCGGCATATCCACTGCAGCCAACAATTGTAACTGTGGCATTCATTGCTCTATAGTAATTCTTGATGTTTTTGGATGTCACAATTCCATTTTAGATTGGCAACTCTACATCCATAAAGATAAGTTTATAAGGATGACAAATGTGCTATTATTTTAAAAATCTTTATTGCACTTTTTATTCAGCCAATTATCCAGTGATTGTGTAATCTATTTTGACTAGGGATTTAAAGGTTCTATGAAATTTTAGTAAAAACGAATCTACATTAAATTGGTTATCTTCGACCAACAAAATTTAAGGACAAGCACAATAGTTTTTTTGAAGTATAAATTTCTTTTCATTTTACGATTATCTTCTAAAATCATTCAACTTTGTCTCTAAATCAAAGTCAATATCTTTTCTCGAATCTTCATAATTTTCTATTTCATCTATATAGGTTGACTTATTGTTAGTAACCAAAAAGCAAAATGTGGTACCTTCTTAATAGGCCGATCTAAATCCTAAACCTCTTTACTCAGAATTCAATTAAGTAGCAATCGAATTACTTATCAATAACCCTAATCCAACACCTTAAGCATTCATTTGACTAGCCTCCTTATTTTCAATTTTAGCAAATGCTTTGAATAGTTTTGGTTAGTCCTCTTCCCTCATACCCACTCCTGTGTCTTTGACTTCAATGCAAATTTCGTTGACTCCATCTTGATAGGCTCTCAGAGTAATGGAACCCTCCAGAGTGAATTTTAATGCATTTCCAATTAAATTGACTGTAATTTGTCTTATTCTATTTAAATCACTCCAGATTTCTGTAGGCAAGGACATATCATAGTAGTAGTTCAATTAAATATTCTTTTTCATAGCTTGTATTTCGAACATTTTAAGACATTCTTTAAGGAGAGATCTCAAATCGAAAATAGCATTTCGAATCTTAAATTTACCAGCCCTGATTTATGCCAAATCTAATAAATCATTTGAGAGATTGAGTATGTATTTAGAGTTATCTAGAGCTGATTGTATAAGTTATTAATCACTCAAATTCAAGTTGTTTCTATTTTCAATAACCTCTTCAAGCATTTGTATAATGCATGTTAAGGGAGTTCTAAATTCATGACTGACAAATGAAAGAGTCTTAGATTTTTATGAATTGTAGTCCTTCAATACTTTAATATAATCCTTATGATTAACATCTCTGAGGATGATAACCAACAATGGTTTATTGTAATGGATTGCACTATAGACTTTAAGATCCAAGCATTGTTTTTTCTGGTACTTTGTAATGTTGGTTACAAAGGGATTGCTTTCGTGGATATAATAGAGAGGTTAATTTTAGTAATTCAATATTTTCTCCTTAACTAGAGTATGCAATTAAACCCAAATTTAGGTTAGAAGAAAATGGAAAGAATCTATCTCGTCTAAAGATTTTTTATGTTGAGTGGCATAATGAATTGAAGGAGAATTGGGATGATTGATATTTTCTGTTTTAGTTTGAGCACCTGGAAATATGATTTGGACTGGGGGGAATTGAAATTCCTATTTCTGTGAGCTTGATTGATTCTCTAGGATTAATTATTAAGATATTTTGAAGGCTGATTTAATATGTGATTATTATTTTGGGATTATTTTAAAACTATTTCTTTTCACACTTTGCTAAGATTAAATGCTGAATGAATATTTATAGAGATGTTCTTCACTCTTCTACTTTGGAGATACACTCCTAAGATCCAGAAGTTCAGACAACATTTGATCGTGATCATCAGCATCTACTAGATATTTGGCTGCTGAGTTTGAATATTTGATTGTGAAATCCTCCTTCCCATTCTTCTCGAGTATTATTATCCCTTCAGGTACTACATCGAAAGTCTTAAAAAGCTTTGAAGCATCCTAGGGTTCACATTCCACGTTGCCAACTCTTGGATCCGATGGTTCCAATTCTTAATTGTTTAATTTTTGTATTTCCTTCAATGATACATCATGTTCCTATCTGAAGTGATACAGCAATAATTTCAATAGGAATGATTGGCATAGTGCTTTTATTAAATCAGTAAAATATAAATTATGAAATCCCACTCTAAGGAATACATATGTATTGATAACTATTGCACCGAAAAATAATATATTTTACACTATTTTGTTTTTTTCATTTCTATTGAAAAACACAGTGTCGAATATTGATAATTATTAGAAAATTAAAAAGTAAGTGTCAATTTACAATTCGACCGAAAACAGTGTAAGCATAAAATATTACGAGTATATTATAAGCTATATCCTCATTGCTCTAAAATAAAACGATAATGCTTGATAAATTAGCATTACCAACACAAAAATCAAACAAGTCATTATAAATGGTCCTCTGCTAATTATTAGATTTTCTATAATTTATGCAAAGATTATCGAACTATTAAAAAATATCAGCAAATTTTTAACATTAGTGTTGTCCAAACATCTAAATTTTTCTGCTCTTCCCATCAATAAATTATAAATAATTATTTTATTATTATGACTGATATGTACTTATTATTAAATTGTAATTTTGAAATTCATTTTAGTATATTGTCTAATCAATCTAATTCTTTTAACAATCTAATATTGGATGAATTTATATTTCACACATTACAAATGGAAAATATTACTATTATTAATATCGAAATGAAGAAAATTATTTTAAAATTATAGCTCATTTTGTGTAATACTTATTATTAGTGTCAAATTTTTATATCAAAATTATTGATTTCGGTCATTGGCATCTAGTGCTGTAAGTAGGGTTTCTTTATTAATTTAAATGATTCCTTATTCGAAATAGGACTATTTTCTCGACTGCATAAAGTAGAATACAATTAGTGGTCAAATATGGTATTGGTGTTCTAGTTGGAATAGCCATTGTGATTATTGCTATTAGTAAATCTCATTACTCCTTTTTTATTCGACTCTTAAGTAGGTGTCTTCTAATTCATTCTTTCTGTTTGGGCTACTCTTTTCATAAAGGCTGCTTCATTAGCAGAGGCACACACACTTCTTAATTACAATTATTATTCATAGTATTATAGTTCTTCTTGTCTCTATAACACTGATTCCTTGACATTTTCGATACTTTTCGTTTTCTCTCTAAAGAGTTATTCTATCGATTGCATTAATGATTAATGATCATTAGAATTCTTCAGAAATTAATTAATGTGATCCACCCTTTTCATAGTGTCTTACTCTTGTTAATTTAAGTCTTATAGATTAGCAAATAATTGCGATTCCTTTTATTCCAAAAACTTAACTGATGATTCTAAATTGCTCTTTAGATTATTTAAATCATCTATTAACGCATTCTAATTCTTGGTTTAAATATTCAAATTGCTTTCCTATTATTGTAATTGAGACTCCCTTTCTGTTAGTTATTTATTCAAGACTTTTAAAGATTAACTCAGAGAATCATTTTATTAATTTTAACATTACAATTATTATTCCAGTTCTGCTAATTAAGTCTCCTTTTTCTTCAGCTCCTTCTCCTTTTTTGTGATAGCATTCATTATTTCCTCTATTTCCTTATATGTGTCTGCTATTTTTTTCCTTTCCTTCACATAAAGTGATTTATATTTATCCAATTCTTTTTGAAGAAGTTAGAGTTAATGTTACATTTGTATTCCATTCCATTTAATCATCATACAATCTTTTCTTTCACATTCTGCATCATATTGTAAATTCATCCTGTTACTTGCAGGCTAAGTTTGAGAACCATTTAATCTATTAGTATTATTCTTTGGTGATTTGCTTATGGCACTAATTTAGGAAAGTCCATAGAGTTGCTTTACTTTTGGCATACAGAAGTTATTAATAAAAATAATAATAAAATTTAACGTATAAAACCAATCAAATTTTAAAAAGCCATTTTTTATATCCCTATTGCATTATTCTAAATTTAAGGCATTGAAATACAAATACAAATGCTTAATAAAGCAATTTTAAGAGGTGACAAGATAATTAAATATTATACCTTAAATGGGATAAATATTTATATTAAATGAAATATGAAATTAAAGAAAGCGTATATGAAAAAAACTATATTTCGCTTGAATTTATCATTAATACTACATCAAATGGGCATTTAGAAATATAAGTCAAAACTGTCATCAAGAAAAGAATTAGCTTAAATTTACATTAAAATCTTTGATAGAATAAAGAGGGCTAGTCTGTTCTTTACGAACTGTAAATGAAAGAACTTGGTAATACAATCACAAATCATAAAGTTGATAAAGATATTAAGAAGCAATATAAAGACATAATGGAATGATTTGATTATAATAGTTGAAATTATTTTTGTTCTAGAGATCTCCAAAAGAGCTTTATAACATTCTTATATCCTTAGATTGACCATTAAGTAATCATGCATGATAAAAATTGATTAATCCTTTATAATATTAATATAATTTATAAATAAATTCTAAAAGCAATAAATATTTTATTTTATCAATATTAAATAGATTTTTTTACCATAAACATGATACATAATATGACGAAATATTCCCTCTAATTGTATTCAATCATATAAGTCTATATAATAGAAAAGAGCGTGAATTTGTTTTTGAATTTTTAAATGATCCTGTACATTAGAGATAGTTAGACATTTAACTTAATTCCTTCAATAAATGTAGTTGTCTTGATTTAATCTTAATACTTCCTACCTATTTCTTAGACCATCATTGCATAGGTTGAATTTTGTGATGATTTAGAACTTAATTTAAGTAGTAAAAACATTGTAACATAATTTATATTCCAATATGTAAACCTCCAATTAAGAAACTCTACCATCCAAGTTATTGCATGCTTAATCAAATGTTTTAAAGTAAATTGACCTGGATTGCTTCTGCCTTTAATATATAGAAATTTTTCTCAAACTATACTTCGAATTATTTGGATGTAAAAGAAAAGTATGATTATTTTTAGAATCCCTAATATATACTAAAGTTAATAAATTGTGAATGCCACCCAATCAAGGTCTATATTAAATCATTAATTACAAATAACCTATTTCCAAATATCTTTGTTAATTTTGAGAGAGTTAAATTTATATCGATAATATAATTGAAAAAGACTTATGTTTAAGTTCTAAGCGTTAGTGAAATTAAAAAATATAAAATTTTGTATTTTCTGAGAAGGCGGGAATATGATTTTTTGATTATTACTTGCATGGATTAAAATCAATGCATATCAATTAATCAAGGGATTACTAGTGAAATTGTAATAATTTATAATTAGAAAAGTTCAATGGAATTTTAATTCAACTATTTTTTAATTGATTGAAGTTGAAAAAACAATGAATCTGAAAAATAATTTTTAAGGAGGATTTGCAATTAATTAATTTGATACATTAAGTTTATATAAATAAGGCATGACTTAATTGATTTATTATCCAAATATATAATTAAAATATATTATTGATGCAATCCCCTTCTTTGTAAAAATAATCGGAAAGCTCATAAAAAAGTGATTAATTGATTCAGGGATGGCTTCCAGTTAAGAGTGAGGTTGAATAATCGATAATCACATATTTAGATTCTCTTGGGATTAATCAACTAATTCTTGTTGATAAATTTTAAAATCAGCAACGAAATTCATTGCTATCAATAGAAAATGTTGGAACTCCTCAATCGTAAAAGATTCTATCTCTCAATCTTGATTCTGAACTCTGTTAAAGAAGAAGCTTCAGACTATCTTCAGATTAGATTTGAAGAAAAATACTAAAATAAGTTTTTTATTTATATTATTTTCAAATATTCATAAGAAATATTATTTATACATCAATTTCATTTATTAAAGATCTTATTGTTAAGATATTCAAATATAAAATATTAAATTTATATATGAAGTTATTTATAAATATATTCATAAATTATAAAATAATATGTTCATATAGTAACTTAAATAAATTAATAGAACCATCATTATTTTTTTTGCTTATTTTGAGTTAAAAGGGTTTCAAAATAACCACCTTAGCTTGTTCTCAAAAAATATGTATCATTTACAATTGATGGCAATCTTTCATGAGGCTTTTATGAATTATCAATTAAAGGTATCCTACTATGACTACATTAATGCTTATTTGAAATCGATTTTAATGAAGGCAAAGAAGGCACAATCGTAAATAATTTTGGAAGGCTGAGTTTTGTCTGCCGAATTTTTATTTTGCATTTAGAATTTAAGTAAGAAGGAATTTCATACTATTTTTATTCTGAAGTTATGAGAGATTTATATTTAACCTATAGTTATATAGAAAATTAGATACACATATAATGGATTGGTCTAACTTTGCTTTTAATGATTTTTAAGAGAGCATCTTCAGTTTATAAAATATTATGAAAATAATCAATCAATCAATTACTAAAAGTATTGGAACAAAAGTTTGAATTAAAGTATTCATTAATAAAACTAGTTTTGAGGTAGATCAGCTAAAGTCAATTGTATAATAAATATAACTAGAATAACAAACTAAAAGATAATATTTGATAATATAAAGAATAAATATCATTCATTTTAAGAACTTATTTTATATTTGAATGGCTTGTTGGATAAAAACGATTGATGAGAAGATTTGTTTCCGATGTATTGAATATTTATTTTATCATATTAATTTTTACACTTCTTTTACTATTTTATAGACAGTAATTATAAGGGTAAAATTAACTAGGCCAAATAAGAATAGATATTCAAAAATTTATGTATCCTTCCTCTAATTTTTGGAATTGCTTTAAGGTTTTCAATTTATTTTCATTTGAGACACACTTTCTTGGTTTTATTTAAACTAAGGATTATGATTGTGGATGATTGACAATAGTATTAAGTTTGAGCATAATTTTCTATTTATAACTAAAATAAATAATAATTAAATTAAAAATAATAATGTATGAGTTGAATGTTCATAAGTGTGCTAAATTCAGAACTTTCGAAAATAAGGTAGATACAAGACGGGCTTTAGTCTTCTTAAAATTGTTGGATAACGTATCATTAACTTAATATTAGAGTTGTCCAAGGGAGGAAGCATTAAAATTTTGTAAAAAAAGAATCTGTCGGTTTGATACTACCAAAAAATTGGAAGGACCTCCAAAATTTAGATTGATAAGAAATGCTACAACCAGCAGAGGATGGATTTTTCCTGAGGAGATTAAGTATGATCTAGGTAAAAATTATGAGAGACCAAAAACTGAAGAGGACAAAGCATTTTAGAGATTCTTTTAATCTAATAAATTAAAAATAGTGTAAGAGCAATAACAGTAAGTTGAAGTCGTTAATAAATTTATGAAAGAAATTGATGGATAACTTAATATGAAATATAGTAATTTGAATGAATTAAGGAGAAAGATATAAGATGTAAGAATTAAATAAGATGAGTATAGAAATACACCTGTAAATTATTTGAAATTTGAAGGACAACGATTTGTATAATTATATGAAGTGTAATTTTGTGAATATATTAAAGATTCAAAAAACATTACGACAATGATTTATTGGGTTTTGAAAAACAGTTCCCTGTAACAGTTTAAGAGAAAACAAAAAGAAACGAAGACTTTTTTGTAAAGGCAAATAAAAAGCCTGAAACCAATAATCTATAAAAGAAATTTATCAAATTATAAAATGAAGGAGAAATAATTGCAAAGATGACTTAATCTGAAGGGAATAAGGATTAAGGCATTTCAATAAAATCATTATAACATATAAATGATGTTAAGAACCTGGCCATGGAATTCAATAAGACTCAATATGTATTTGACGATGAGAAAATGAAGAAAATAAAGAGAAACTCCTTACACTTTCTTAGATTGAATAATAAACATCTAAAAAGCACTCAAAGAGATATCAAAATCGAAGAATTTGAAGAAAAATTAGAAAGATTGATAACAAGTAGAATAGATTCAATTACTCGAATTGGAGACCAAAACAATGTGGATTATGATCAAATTAATTCTTTAAAATAAGTAATGAAGTTACATATCATAAGAAAACTGAAACTGCTAGGAATAAAGAATATACAAAGATAAGATCTCATTTCACTCCTAGAATAGCCAAATAAAATGATAGGGTATATACTACTTAATAGTCAACAAGAAAATAATTTTTGTTAAGAAGCAATCGATCATAGAATTAATTGTAAAAAAGTAATTGAATTATTTTTTTTTATTTCAATTTAATTAACATTAAGATATTTTATAAAATTGTTAATCACATTAAAGCTACTTGATTTTGAAATAGAAATCATAATTAGAACAATCAAAATGTTTATGTTATCTAATAAATATCCAATATTCTTATTTTTATCATTATAGAATACAAAGAGATATCGCAAACTGTGGATTATAACTATCTATCCTTTTAATAGTGTGAATATCTTAATAATAAAATCCTTCACTCTTGCATAAAGAAATTTTTATTTATTAATAAGTACTTTAATATTATATTAATAATTAATTTTTCTATAAAATAAACATACTCTAATAATTAATGTGAAGATAAATCTTAAAAGTTCATCTTTAAGGTTAAAGTTCATAATAAACATACTAACATGAGAATTGACATTTTAGTTTAAGAAGCAATAATTCTAAAAGTACTTGAGAGCCATTACATAACTGCAAAAAATAGAATTTGAATTTTGACTTCAGAATTGTTATCAATTAACAATGAAGAATATAAATATGTTGTAAAAAGTAACTAGAGTAAAAGAGCATTATTTATGGATAATAATACCAATAGAAAAAGAGTTGTATCAGGGAACTAATTTTCTAATTACCAAATCATTTTTGAATATGTTACTCTTTGTAGAATTGAGTACTCATTGATGTAGAATCAATTAATAAGTTGAGATTAATTTGATTAATTGAGATATCAAAAGTGCATATTTTACATGATCAATGATAATTTTCAAAAATAAATAAGTTGTTCATTTAGTAGATTATGGAAATTGTGTGAGTCAATGAAGTTGTCATATTTATATTATTTGAACTATAATTAAATTTGATATATATATTAGAACTTTCAGTTGATTACAAAATAGAAAAAGATGTAGAAAGTGAAGTCTAAAATAATATATTTAATGAAATTTCTTTTATCTATTACAAATTTTAAACCTAATTTAATTATATAATAAATATATTGAAAATAATGAAAAATAGACTGATGCTTCCGTTTGCATTTGAAGCAAAATTGCTGTCAGAATAAAATGAATCGAATATTCCCAGTAGTAAAATTCAAAGTAGCAAATTAATGTAGTGTCGATCATCTCCTTTCTAAGCTGATTATTGGTGTTTGCCAACTAATGACAGGAAATAATTAAATTATGAAAAGAAAAATGTGTTTACAAGAAAGTTTATGGATAACATGCTTGATCATATTAGAAAAGTAAAGAGATTAACAAACTTTCATCTATCATTGATCGGTGATCAGGGGGCTTCTGAAGATGTACTTACAAAGAGAAAATCTTCTACACTACACCACTTAAATTAATAATAATTAAGGTTTTTTTAGGATATTAAAAAATCCATAATAATTAAACTGGAAAAGTTACCTCTTATTCACCCTGGCTAGTACATGAAGGTGGTATGGGATATAGTAGCTGTTACTGCTCGTCTCTACTTTTTATACATAATACCTATTGATTTGGCATGGGTGAACCAATAATTCATTTTTCATGATATGTGGTACATTTCAATAATGTTCTTACTTATCTTAGTTTTTGATTTGCTACTAAGTCTAAACACAATATACTTTCAAAATGGAGAGGCTGTGTAATCTAGAGTTCATATCATCAAAAACAGTTTATATAATACATATGGGTTGCAATGGCTGTCAGTTTTATAATTACTTATCTATTTCATAGTTTCAGCATTTACTGACATATCGTTGGACATTTCCAACAATATAATTAATATGGGTTTGCTAATATTTTTAGTGCATCATAAGACAATTATCAATTACGTCACCAATTATGAAGAAGGTTTGAATTTATCAAAGTAAACCTCATCCATCTTGGCTTTGCTGAAGCTGATTGCATTCTTATTCTATGTTATACACCTATTCTCATGTTTCTGGTTTTGGGTAATCCTATTCAATAACAATTTTAGATTGGTAAATATAGTATAGATAATTATGAAGGCAGGAGTTGGCTAGTCTCTACCAGCATGTTGGAATAATCATGGAATACTTAATACCTGCAGGCTTTCTATTACACAGCTGTCACCATATTTACGGTTGGCTATGGAGATGTAACACCCTAGTCAAATATCGAAAAGATAGTCTCAGTTATCCTAATCATGATATCCAGCATCCAATTACCTTATAGTGTTAACACAGTAGGTACAATCATCACTGAGATTTCTGCATTTACAGAAGAGAAGAAAAGAAAATTAAGAATTATTAACTCATATATGAATAAGACTTCACTCTCATCTGGTCTATAAGTTTAAGTGAGGAAATATTTATCCTATTACTGGGAAAATAAAGTGGTCTCCCAATCCGAAGAGGAGAAAGAAATTATCGATTCTTTATCAGAATTCTTAAGACAATCTTTGATAAGTGAAGCCCACCAGAAGATTTTCGACTAGTGTACTTTATTTAGGATACCTTTCACTGAATAATTCAAAAAGTAATTAATCAAGGAAGTTTAAGAGGTTCTTCTCTCTCCAGAATAAGATTTGAAATAGCCCAACGATATTTTATTGTATTATATAGAGGATGGATCCATTTAGATCTGTTTGCAATAAGGGAGAAAAATCAATCTTGGAATTGTCAACAAAGGAGCTTCTATTGGAGTGAAGAATTTCATTTTGGGAACTGAATCTCTCGAAACTTTTAAGAGTGTTGGATTCACTAAAGCAATGATACTCAAAAGGAAGAGCTTTTTAAAAATCTTACAAGAGCACCCTGAAGATTATGAATTGTTTTGCTCTATTAGAGATAAATTAATATTCTAAGGGGACGATCAGTATTTTAATGTTAAATGCTTTTCTTGTGGAAAAGATACACATAAACTTATTGAATGTCCTTTGATTAAGTTTGTCCCTGATAAAGAATTCTTAATTAAGAAATACTTATATCCTAAACTGTAAGAGAGGGTGGAATTTAAAAGGACCAGACAGAAAGTTTAAAGTTTAAAGTAAAACCGAAAAAAATTAGAATAGTATGCTCTATTAATCTAGAAGGACGAGCCTCAACTATTTTAATTATATAAATTCGATAACATACTGAACATTGATGAAGAACAATTGAAGTTTTATATAAAGAGATCCAATACCACACAACTTATAAATCATCATATTCCAAAAATTAAGAAAAAGATGATCTCTATTTTCGAATTGAATCAAGATCCTATACGGAAGAGATTTCGATAATTAGTAAATAAATTAATATCTATAAATAAAATATACCCTTATTTCTTAATTTAAACCTATGTCCAGTTTGAAAAGATGATTGAGTAGAGGTCTATTTAATTAACTTTGTAGATTTTAGAATAAAGATTAAAAAATATCCATTAATTAGATAACAAGCGATTCAATCAATATCTTAGTGATATTAACTTTATCATATAGAAACTATCAAATAAAACATACATCGATGATTAAGAATTCGAGAGTCCTTAGACTTATAAATATTATTTTAGAAAAGATAATTTTTCAATCGTCAAATAGAAGAACTATTTCTAAAATCTAAGCATTTTAAAAAGGTTTATCCAATATGTTCAATATCCAGGAGATCTAATCTAACAATTCAAACTAACTTAAATAGGAATGTTTATAGTTGCAAATAAGAGAAGGTAAAACTTTTGTGTCTCTGCAGATTAGGTAATTAAATGAAATAATTTTTCATTCATAATTCAAACATCATATTATTTTCTTCTTCCCAAAATTTCAGGCTTCTTTAAATATGTATTATTTAAATGGTACGATAATTATTCCTATGTCAAATTAACACTCTGAGATTTTATTTTTTCCCTTTATTTTTAGGTATGAAGTCTTCCCTGAATTTCCAAAAGTGGTAACTTATCAAGTGGAAATTCTGAATGATACCTTATGTATTATTTTTATAATCTATAATCAAGGATTTCTCCTTTTCTATTAATTAGTCTGCCTCTGTTTAAAGTCTTGATTACTTATTTACTTTGAAAATAACATGATAAATATTTATCCAATAAAGGATTATATTCTGAAGGTTTTTAATTCTAATTAACAGCAAATTATTATTTATTTTTCATTCTTATAAACTTGAATAAATTATTAATATATTTAAATTTATTTGAGTTTGCTAAAGAAATGTATATACTATTCTAATTTAGCAGAACATAGAGAATTCTCTTTTTATTATAAAATATCCTAAGTTTTTATTCATCTAAGTATGCTCTATGGAAAATAATTAATTTATTGTAGTTATTAATTGATTAATTTATAATCACTATTATAATGTAATAATTAAGTAAAGAGCTGAATGCTCTGATTAGTAAGGCCATTCAATTCAACACTAAATTAGATCCTTTTACAACAAATGAACTCTTTCTAAAGTGGAGAAGCATTAGCAATGGTGAGATTGATAACATCAACTAATTTATAAATATCGGAATCGACATAGTGAAATTGTAGAATAGATACTCCAGGAACATAAAAAAATCTTATTCCTTACTAAATGAATACATATAAAAGTACTCAAAGGACCTTCAGAATCAAACGTGTGGGAATTACTTAAGTTTGGCAAGGTCAACTCATCTTAATGATCAATTGAGTCTCTAACTCATTTATAATCAAATAAAGGTTGATTCAGGAGTAGAATTCTCTGTTTTAAAATATTGTGCTGATTTGCAATGTAATGACATGGAGCTTGTATCCTAATTAATTGATAATTTGCATTACAAAGTAGATGCTTAGTTATTGAATCAATATTTGTATTGTTTGTTTGTGTTATTCCCTCATGATCAAAGTTCATTATTAATCAATTTGATTAAGGACAAGAATGTGTCAGAAATAACTCCATCAAATTTCTTGTTGATGTCTGAGTTATATCAAAATAAGAATATTCCCATCCCTGAGAGTTGGAAGATAGGAGGTTAAGATTCCATATTATAGAAGAATAAGCAATCACATTTGCAGAAGGAAGTATAGTTGTTGTTGAATGTGGTTAATTTGTCTTATGAACAGGAGAAATTGATTGATGACCTCTATTAAATAGACTTTTTCTTGCCCCAATATAATCAGATCTTAGAAGTAAATGGACCTCAGCATTACGTATTCGATATAGAATAAAACAATTGTAATAAAGATAAATATGCTATTAGCTAAGATATTTACTGGAAAACACTATTACAAATAAATGTGTCTGTCAGCCTTGGGATATGATGTGAGAAATTTGTGTTTCTTAGATTTTTACAAGGCGAGGGGAGTGACAGCCAAATTAATATACTTGAAGTCTATCTTAGAGTGAGTTTTATTGATGTTTATATTTATAACTGATACAATATAGAATTGAGATATAAATAACAATAAATTAGTTTGATAAAAAGTATTAAATTTGATCATTGCTTTCTTTTTACACTTAATAAGGTACCTTGTTAATATTCATTTTATAGAGAGAGATCAAATTAATTTCTGTAAATTGGCAATTATTCTTAATCTTAGAGATCTTGACTTTGTAGAGTAGTTTGATGTTTTGTTTATGTGATATATTCTGTTGGATCAATGATTCGTTGGCTCAAACTGTCCTTCTTTTTGACTTTCATTTTATGATTCTTTTTGAAACTGGCATTTCTGACACTATTCTTTTTTAAGCTTTTTGGACTGCTTCTGATGCTTTAACTATAATGCATTTGATTGACTGTGTTGTTAAACACTTAGGATAACTATTTACTCTATTGATTTTGAGTCATATTATCAGAATCAGACATGTCATCTTCATAATTGTAAATGTTGAAACTAGAATAATAAGATGGAATTTACTTTTATTTACTGACTTTATCAATCTAAATACTGATATCATCACAATCTGAAAAGTTGCCATCTTTGGCAATCTTAAGGAAAACTAATTTTGAGTATGATTCCCAAGTTTTAAATAGAATCAAAACAGTCAAATAGTCATGTAAGATGTTGAAATTAGCTTTTAACTATTTAGTGGGACCAATATTGGTTCTCTCCAATAATCTGTTTTTTCTATAGTACATCAATCTCAACTGCATTTCTTTGTTGAATTATTTGATTTTTACTATCGAAGATTCAGTACCCTCTCTGAAAACTTCGTTGATGAAACATCTCCTAAAGAGTTCATACATCAATTGATTATACTGGATATAGCCATAATGATCACTAATAATGGAGATAACATATAATACCATTTCAATTTGAATGACGAGGCCAATTTCGCTACATCCCAAAGATTCTCTTCTTTGCTTCCCCCAAGAGGTTTGCCTATATCTAAGAGGAACTTGCATAAAAACTTATAATTCATGGCCTATCCTTGAGTTTCTGAAGAGTACTTACACCATACAGTTTTGATCTTATCCACGTTTTCAACATATGTTTAGATGAGTGAATTTTATAATTAAAAGAATTGTTCAAATTGTTCAATAAGTCCAAGTACAAATAGATTGAGCAACACATAATTCGACAACAGCATGAATAAAAAGAAAAAATATTAACTATTAACACTTCCACAATACTTTGGATCTTCTAAACACAAAGGATTATGTTACATCGTATCAGTCATTATTGTTCTCCAATCATCTCCAGATGCACATTTAAATAAGGCAAGCAGAGCCTAAGCTACATTTTGAAAATTGATTTGATCATCCATTACAGCTCCACTATCAATTTCACCATACAATTAACATCCTATCAAAGCAAAAATAAGCATTGCAATCATTAAAATTGTAAATATCTTGCCCAAAAATGGCAAAGCAAACACCATCACTCTCATCAATCTTTGTAAATTGATGAGTCCTTGGAATATCAGAATCACTCTCAAACTCCGCAAACTAAAAAACAATCTCAACAATTGATAACCACTATCATGAGGGGTCGATTTGTAATAAACCATAATCCAATCAACTGAATAATCTGCAATAAAGTCTATTATCGATACTATAATCAGGAAAAAATAGAATCGCCTCCAATAATTATCGAAAAACCTACCTACTCCCAATGCCAAAAACAACAAAACCACCCAAATTACGTACAATACAGTAAAAGTATTATGGATATTGTTTACAGTTCTGAAATACTCTTCACTCATATCTGATTCAAATAATAATAAGATGCACAAATCCAATATCAAAAATAAGTACATGCATGTTAACATATATGTATTATTAGTTATATCTGATGCCAATTTTCTCATACCCTTTGTGGGAGGAGAACTGAAAACGGGAAAGTCCTTAATTATAATGGATGAAATCTCTTAGAATTCTTTCTAAGACTGACTTTCATCTGTCATTTCTATTTTTTATTGATTTTCTTTCAAATTTGAATACAATACTCCTGTAAACAAACTCAAAAAGAACATTGAACCTATAAAGACAAAAATAATAAAGAAGAAATAAGTGTACACATAACTATTGAATGCTTATGGACCAATATCAGCAGATTGGCTATTTTCAGCAACTTAATATATTTCACCCCATCCGTCTAATGTTGATGTCACAAACAACGATGGTATTGCGACTGTTATATTATCAAAATTGTGTTTGTAATTAATCCAATTTCTGTTCTCTTATATACATTATTCATAATTAACATTGAAATTCATTTTGTCTTCACAAAATCCAAATTGTCCTTCATACAATATAATCGCATACACTCCAAACATGATCCACACTGCCAACATTGTGATCAATACATTTGTTATATCTACCAAAGAATATCCCAAGGCTATTCTTAATTGAGTCAGCCAACTTATTCTAAATAACAATTTCATTGGTCTCAAATACCCTAAATACAAACAAAGATCGAAAATCTTGGCATAATGATCAGTAGGATTATTAAATGTTATGAAATGTGATATGATATATATTACGTCTAAAATTTACCAAACTGATACAAAGTAAGATCCTTTATCTAAAAATAAACCCTTCGCTATGATATTTATCAATATGTCTAAAAACATTTGAATGTTGATAATCAGTTAAATTTAGTCACAAATAGTATTGTTAGTATCTTCATAGTCATAATATGTATTCATTATAAAAGTAATTAAGGAAGCATACAAAATTAAATCCATAAAGTATATATAAGATTTGGAGATGGCTAATTTAGTGCACATTATTCTGAAGCAGTTATCCTTTTCAAAAATGTAAAGGGAAGTTTGGCACTCGATTCCGATAAAGAGTTTTGGTGATTTGTTCAGTAATTCTTTATTCAAAGCTCCTATAATGATTTAATAAATATATGTACTTATGGATTTAAGAAGGTTTGTAATGAGGCCTACCTTTGATTTTCCTTGTATTTATGTTTGCTCCAACATTATATTAGTTTGGGATATTTGAGGACTGAAAATTGTTTATTAAATTTGCTACTCTAATTCCTCATTTGAGTTTAAAGTCAATTGAGCATGATCTTCGGACTAAAATATGGGAGTATTATCAATTGATTAATTTAGATACTTACCAAAACCATCAAGGAGAATAGCCATAAACAAACCATAAGTTAGATAATTCAATATTATAACCATCGAATATGAATAGATTAAGGCGAATGAGTAATTTAAATCACTACCCATCACATAGACTCCATACCAATCATCGTTAGTCATTATATTAAATATGGTCATAAAAGCCTTAAATATGTTATCGTATGAATGTAATTATCCTAATGAATCCGTCTAAGAGAATTCACTAGCATACATTTCCATTCCAACTAAAGCGTACATAAAAATGACTAAGAACATTAAAAAAGTCAAATAAATATATTGTTTAAAAGTCATAGATGCTATATGCCCTATTTTGACAGCCATAGCATTATATTTGAGACATCGATAAAATAACAAGCATTTAGTACCTCTAATTAATCTCAAGTTCTATTCTCCCAAACCAATTAATAAATCCTTTATAGTTAATTCAATGATATTCAAAATTACAATTGCTGCTTAAAACAAGAAATTCGGATTACTTGTAAACTGTTTGGTTGGAATTGATATCAATCTCAGAATTAATTCAATTGATAGTATTATAGTTGAAACATTCTCAACTGAATGTATAGTATTAGAATTAACAATGTTCCAAAGTGCTAAAAAGGTAAAATTTATAAAAATTATTAAGTCAAAAAAGGTTTAACTAGTTGAGCTAGTAATTATTCTATATGTATGTTTCTTAAAATTTAACAGCATTCCTTTGAGACCCTTCATCCAAATGATAATATCTTAATGGTTAAGTTAAAGGAATATATGACTAAACATTTATAGTTTCTTAGCATTTATAATTAAGACATCCTTACCAGACCAATTGCTGGAAGTAATCAGCTTTCCATTTTAAATTTCTTTCTCTCTTATTTTCCTATATTTAAATTGATTGCTGGTTTAATTATTTTTGATTGTTGGTATCTTGGTATTTATTTTAACACTTATTTCTTAATAAGTAAGATAATACCCTTGAACATAAACCATATTTTAACCGTTTATTTATTTTGCGAATTTTTTTGATTTTTTTTTGATTGTTACATTTTTATCAAAACAGAAATTAAATTTCTTTTCAGAAGATCTTTCAAAAGCATCAACTGAATTTTTACTTGTTTCTTATTCTTTATCATCTTCAAGCTTTATCATAGTTTTCCATTTATTCTGTTTTTTATATTTACAAGGGAACTTATTGCTCTTAATTTCTATAGACCTTAAAGCCTACTTCTTTATCTTTTGTACTTGACTTTGCCAATCAGGATATTAGTGTTTAAATTTAATCTTTCTTAATTTTTCTGGGTTGAATTTCTTTTCTTCTTATAATGCTAAATCAATCTCACTAAATTTAAATTATAATATACATCAACTTTAACAATATGTCATGCTAACTTGCAAATTAATATTCGATCTAAGAATTCACTTAGGATTATAAACAAGAATATGATAAATTCTACAGCTTTTATAAAATTTCTAATTCGATTGGATCATCTGAATACTTTTTAATATTTATTTTTTTCTACTATAATTTTAATAAACGAAATTTAGTTAATAATAGATTCTTCAATGTAAGTTCCTTCATCCTATTATATAGACTTTGATTTTCTACATTCTATGAAATATTATTTATTTTTTACATATTAGTTACTCAACTTTTTCTATGCTGCTGATAAGGTTCTGGCTTCAGTGACAGTTTTATTCATTTAAGCCTCACTTTCTAGATTCCAACTTATAATAGATCTTCTTTGAAAGGATTCTCGATATTTTTGAATGGTTGCAAAAAATCCAATATATCTCAAAAAGGCTACATCAAAGACATTTACTAATTCTCTCTCGGGATACTCTTAATTATCCTTAATCAATTTATCAATCCTGAGTTTTTCTTATTGCTTTTCACTTTCCTCTGCAGTTTCGGCATAATGAGTCTTTAACACAGCTATAACCAAATTGAAACCAAAAAAACCACATAGAAATATAATCCCTAAATAATAAATCCATATTTAAGGATGGTATATTCTCATAGTGAAGAACATTACCCAACTCCAATCATCCATTGTGATTGTTCTCAAAATTTATCCATATGAGTAAATCACATTATTAAATGATGTTGGCATTTTAGGAGTTTATTCAGTATACTTACATGTCATACCATCTTCGTAACATTAATTTTAATTGCATTGAACCCAACCATCTGTTTCATCACCATTATCATACTCGCATCTGAAGTTGAATAATCCTTAGAATAGAAACACTCCACAAATTGCAAAGAATAAAGAAAAGAGTCCAACTATCATCAGAGCTTCCAGTAAGAATTTAATTGACTATTTGAGAGCTAAAAGCATAACACCCAGTCCAACAAATATGTCACCTAAATAGAAAAGCAGTGTAATCATTCTCAAAGGTGAAATATCTATTATGAAAATGTCTGGATAATAAAGATTGATTGTAGTTGCAAATATCAAAGTGAAATCATAAATATCCTATATGTTTCTAAAGAAGGCATTTTTGGTAAAGAAAAATCCAGAAACAAATATTCTAACCAAAATTTCAATTATAAATAATATTGTTATTACCTGCTCTATTTAGAAAGTATCTTCTCGATGTTGTGTTTTAACGATGATAAATAGAGCAACATTAAATAATATCAGGATGGTCATCAAAATTTTATAGAGTCTACTCTGCATCATCTCCTTGGCTAAGATGGGAAACAATAGGGATATAAAAACTAAAGTTTTGCGAATTTACAAAAATTTAGCATTATCTTAATATTTCTCAATGTTATAATTACATTTTTACCTTTAATTCATAAATTAACCTACTCACACCAGTTAATGGTACTAGTTAGATGTAGTAAGGATCTTGAAAAGGGTTTCGCACATATAGTTTATCATATCTTTTGACAATTTTCTTGTATGCAATTTCATTTTCCTATGATTCTTCTTAGTCCAATTAAAATAGATTAGCGAATTTCAATAGTTGACCTTCGTCTTTGACTTCCTTTATCACTTGATCAAATTGGGAATTTATATTCTGACTTTTTTCATTGAGTGTCTCAATAAACTTTTTTGATGTTCTTCTTGATTCATATGAAACATATTAAATGGTTAGTATGGTTTCTTCTGAATAATCTGATGAATTTAGATCATACTCTTCTATTTCATCTGGCTCTTTATCTTTTTATTTTCTACTTTTAAAAGAAAATAAAAAACATTATTTATTTTTCGAAAGATGAAGGAGAAATTAAGGATGCATCTCTAGATTCCTTTCTATTCTATTTTTCTTGTTTTATCGATTTGGATGAAGAATCTTACTTTATTAGTTGAGTGCCAGCTAATCAAAATTGAAACAAAGAATACATTAAAATTACTAAATTATGCTTTACTTTCTTTATGCCAATTCTTTTGAAATTGTTTATCGTTTTTTGTTATTCCTGAGTTGGTGCTATTAATCCATGAAGAACAATAAATAATAATTTAATAGTAAATACAAGTTTATATTTTCAAAAATAAGAAATCAACAATTGCGAATATAGTATTAGCCGATTATACTCTCGTAACTTTTGTTAAATCAATTGATCCTATAATTTTTTTATAACTTAGATAAAAACTAATAAGATCTTTTCAAATTTACTGACCACATAATTTTAATCAATTCATTTATTTGTATGTATATTATGCAGATAATAATGAATTTGTGATAATTTATATTTTAATTTTATATCACTTGTATTCTTAATTAAGTTATTAAAGGGCCTATCTGCTTGCGTTTTCTAATAATCTAATGTTTTCTTTAAACTTCTCGTTAGTCTCTTCTAGCATCTATTTTTTCATCTAATTAAAATAGACCAATTAAATACCTAAATTATTTATTTTTCCTCCTCCCTTTTTTTCAACTACTATTAAAATTGTTTCTTGATCATATCCATCTCATTCTTGGACTCATCCAAATATTTCTTTTGGTCCTGCAAATACTTCTTAACATCATCGATCTATTTATCATCCAACACTCTATTGAATCGATTCAAATTAAAGTTTAACTCATCGATTTTCTTGAGGTTTTAACTCTTATTGATTATTTGACTAATCATCTTATCCTATGCGTCGAAAATATAATTATAATTCTTAAATAATTCTGTCAAGTTCTTACAAGCCTTAATCTTTCCCCCTTCTCCTTCAATTTCAATATCTTCTTCATTCATTTGCAACTCATACTATTAATCGAATTTCTTCATCAATTCCTTAAAAGTCTATAGATTTTCTGTTAGCATTTGGACAGCTTGTTTACCATTTGTTTCGAGGGGAGCCTTGTACAAATCAGTCTTAAACTGATGCATATTTTATAAAGGATTGTCCAATTCCTAAGGGATATTTTCATCTCCAAAATCTATTTTCCTTCTCTTTATATAAACCTCCCTTCTGATTTAAAGGATTTCGCCTAATTCATTATGAATTTTAATGAGGTTCTCTCTCAATTATTCATTTTCCCTTAACAATTTGTTATTCACTTCCTCCCATTTTTTCATTACAACCTAACTAAACTCATATTCTCCATTGGCAGCAAATAAACTAGGTCCTCCCTATTCTATTGGCTATGTAATTTCTAAGCTATTTTTATAAGTTTTGGATGACTATTGTTTTTTGATGTGCTCCTTAATCTTTTAAATCTCAAGATCACGCTACTTTAACTCATGTTCAAATTAAGTGGAACGACTTTATAATTTTGATAATTATTTTTAATAGTCTTCCTTTTCTGCCATTAATTTATTGCTACGTTAAGAATGATATATGTACACTTATTCCTTCTAGACCTTCTCTGCACTCTTGATTTTCGCCTATAAATTAGTATTTTCTTATTCAAGTATTTTTCGACTGTTGCTAACTCTTTCCAAATTCTATGATAATTGTTATTTCTCTGCCTCAATCTTACTCATTTTCTCATGATATGAGTTCTTGAAATCCATATCCTCCCTTCTTTGTTTGATAAATGAGACCAATCTATTAAATAATAATCATCTAATACAATTTAACAGTGAGATCCACTTCTGTGTTATTATTACTATACAAATCTCCTAAGGGTGGAAAACCCATCATGATGAGTTTCTCTTTCACATTTTTGATTTGGTTTTAGAGAAAATCCCTTTTATACTCATCATCAAAGTTTGATTCAATCTATTGTTCTTCTTAGCTTTCTTAAGCTTAAAAGGAATAGGTGTTGCGAGGTTAAGGTTCCTGAAATTTCTCATCAAAGAGGTATTTCTTATAATTATCCATTTTTGAATTTAAAATAAATAATTCAAACAGTCATTAAACTCAATATTATTTACACCCTAAATTCATTTTATCAATGATCTACTCTTATTCCCTAGGAAGTAATAAAATGAACAACCAGAATTCATCCAAATAAAGAAATATTTATAATAATTAATATTTATCATTAGATTTCAAAAGAAAAGCAGTCCAATGTACTTAAATTAAGTAAACATATTGTTCCACTTTCTGAAAATGAAGGGATACTAATGATCCTTAGATTATTTGACAATCTCTTTGTTCCAAAACTTTTCATATTTCCAACAAAGTAGACATTAGGCAATTAATTAATAATGAAAGGATCATTAGTAAATTGTTGTTATTGACTAAATATTATAATATTATTACATTAAAGTATCTTATAACGTAGGAGCTAAGTGCCCATAGAATAAATTCATCTCAATCAAATCTATGTCTGGCTAATCTTTTATAGTTTAATATTTTTTAATGTCTTAAATATTTTATCCACTTGTGCCAACAAAAAGAATGTTCCCCAAACTGAATTCTGCTGGATTTGTTAAAAAAGAAACTTAGGAATTGTTTTCAAAGCTCTCTCCAAAATGAGCTTTTTGTAGAGATGTTTGAGGAAGTATTTATGATACTGGTTCATTTTACCCAGGCATTATAGCGACTGGAATGATGCCAGCTAATTCATTAACCAATTCATCTATTCCCTTAATATTTTCTTGTAATTAACCATAAAGTTGCTTGAAATCTTATGACTATTTTATTGATCCTGTCAAGCACCTTTTTGCATCTCTCTATCTTCCATATATATTACCTGCTATGATTATTTATGACAACCTTTATGAGACCTAAAATATCAATTATACATACATCATCACCAGAACCACAATACAAATTCCCTTATAAATATTGGATTAAGTGTCTCAATTTCGTTGTGTTATTTTCCACATCATAATTTATTCCAGACATCAAACAAACATATGCCGTTTAATTTAAAGGCTTGTAAATAGGAGGATCAATAAAGTCCGGTAAATTGATGCTTTATACATTTACAATATTGTTCCCAACAATTTCTCCTTCTATCAGAACCACTATCCCTGTTATTAAGTCTTCCGCATTTATTGTTTTTGAAGTATTATTTGGTAGATTAAGTTTACAATTTGTAAATTCTAATTTAATTCTGCCTGATCTATCCTCTAAATAACATGTTTCTTCATTTTATACAGATTCTAAATATACTTTGTTAAATACCCGCTATTTTTATTTCAGTATATTATTAAAAATAATAAGGTTTCAATCTCATAATTTTAAAGATAGTTCCGATTACCTTAACTTTTCCAGTTAGGTTCTATATATTTTAAATGGCATCTACAAAATGTTTAACCTTTAGATGTTCAATTTTAAACCTCTTAGACATACTCAGAAATCTAATACAATAAATAGAGGAATTTTATGTTTTGGCATTTTAATTGCTAGGAGGCTAAGAAAAACGATTGCTTTGTTTGATATCCAATTCTAATTTTTGGCCTTATAAAACCGGCTACTAATTCTATTTTAACTTTTTTAAAATAAAAGATGTTTATGCCATATTTTCCAATTCCATAACAAAAAATAAAATGAATTATTATATATATTGATAACGATTAATCAAATTAATAAAATAGAACTTTCTGATAAATGTATATCAATTACAACAGCCAAGTTCTTTTAAAATATTATTATATAAAATAAATATTTCATTTTTTACATTTTAAACTTAAAATCACCAGTTTTAAGTTGTTTTTTAATCCATATTATTAAGTTATTAAAAGAATGTTCAAAGTATATTAATAGAATGAAGATAATAAATCTCAAATTTGTTTCAACCTACTTTTAGAATACATGTCTAGGTTTTCTCAAAATAACTCTATCACCCGATTCATAAATGTTAGCTATATTTCTATTAGGACCAGTCTCAAAGTTTATTCCATGTTACCACTTTTGAAGATAGATTGAGTGAATTACCCCCATCAACCAATGTTAGATAATTTACTAAAACACTTACTGAAACTGAATTAGAGCTAATTTGAATTTCTCTTTAATTAGATTCTAAAGCGATCTGTTAACCTTCTTCATTTTCTCTACTACCTTTCGATTCTTATTAACGATCTTATGCTTCAACAATGGATCTTCATTTTATCAACAATGAATTTTACTCTTCTTAAACTAAACTAGAAAGATCAACTAAATTTATTCTTTCTATCCTACATTAAAGAACTTCTGATTTGCATTTTATAAAACAACTCTTTAAATTCACATTGTGCATTCTAATAATTTATAACCACTAATAAAGTGTTTTTCCAATCTACTCTGGTTACTTAAATTCTAGAGAAATAACTATGCCCTAATTATGAGGTATTTTCCACTATTTTAGGTAAGCTTGTACTTAATCTTATGTCGTTTTATAAGAATAATGATGTTATTCCCTCCTCCAGTAATTCTTTTGCATCCTATCTAATAGCTAGCATTATAATAATAATTTCTAGGGACTTCTTTACTACCTCACCTTTTTGGAAATTTGTTCTTTCAATCAAAAATGTTTTTAGAACAAAGTCATCCTAAGAAACTAATTAATTTGAGTTTTCAAGTTTCTCAAAAGAGTTTCCCTTTTGCATCTTTTCTTGCCAAAGATAAATTTTCTTTAATGAAGCGATCATTATAAAATTAGTCTAAATTAATTGTAACTTGGCATTTCTAGAACTTTTGTTAGATTTTGCCATATTTCACCTAACTGTGCTTCAGTGGTGTAATAATGGACCATAATTCTTTGTCATTTCATGGATGTGTCGGATATACCTTTTTTTGTAATCGCGCTATCTTTTAATATCATTTTTTTTTCATTCTTAAATTACAGATTTTAATGGAGGTAGGTAAGGAAAATGCAAAGACTTATGAGTTAGTTTTGGAAACCAAACCATTCTAATCCTTAGTTGAGAGTTTCATTAAGGATAAATTTTGATAATAATTCTTTTAAATGAAAAATAAATAAAGATTATTTTAGCTTTGGAAAGTTTACGGCAGGCCTAGAGATCAGGAGTGTCTTATTTGTTTCTTTAAAGCGCTAATTTCAGACTGCTTTTCATTTTATTATAAATTGGTATCGGATATGGTATAATGAAATTACTGATTATTATTATTATAATTATTTTATCTTGATTTTAAATTTGAATATAAAATCTTGATACAATATTTTAATAGTAAGGCAAACTAGCATATCAATGGCTTCTGATTTAGAATGGATAGTTAATTTATAGAGATTAAATTGTTTAATATTAAATTTAAAAGCATTCAACTGGCCTTCTAAGGGCAAATTGAGTCAAAGTACCCATATGTTAGTCTTTCAACTTTGACATAAATGTAATGAAATTAATAATTTTTCAGCTTTCTTAAGTATTTTACCTGCTTGCTATAAATATAAATAGAGTATTAAATCTGTTCGTCTATGATTGTACTGTTTGAAACAAATAAATAAATAAAGGATAAAAACTGATAGAATGTTAACTTCTGCCTTAACTCATAAATAAATAAATTCGAAATTTTTAAACTATATAGCAAATAATATACTATTATTATACAAATTTTGCTTTATCAATACAATTTATTGTTACTTAAAAACATATTATATATTATTATAAGACAAAAATGAACATTTTATATTGATATTGAAGTGGTATTTGATGAATCATTAATTTCTTTAAATCAATCAATTTTTCCGACTTATTCAACGCAATAATAGTACAATAAAATAAATTTCATGAATATTGTCCATAAATACTTTAAAATTATAAATAAAGCGTAATAATTTTCTCATTTTATTCTCCTTCATGTATTAATGATCCTTTCAAATGCGATTCTGTGGATATTTTATTAAATATCAGCAAAAGGTTGACTTTTATTGCAAGAATAACATTTTTGTAAAAAAACATCTCTATATTTAAAGTTTTAATATATCCAAATCAAGAATTAGGTGATTTATGAGAAAAACTTTTGCAAAAAACTAATTTTAATTTTAGAATCATATTATTTAGAAAAAAAATTTCATTTAAAAAGAAATACTTGCAAAAATTAAAAGAGTTCAAACATCTCTTTGATGATCTCCAATGAAGGAAACAATCAATTAAAATCAATAATTTATACCTATATTGTTTTTTAAGTTAGTTTAATCTTAATATTAGAATGAATTACTTACTATTATTGTTATTTTTGAAAATAGCCTCTACATATATATACTACGACACCGGATTAATGAATGACTTTGACTATACTTCATTTTCAAGTTTTAATTGCTAAAATGGCTACTCTTAAACAGCAACTAAAACCTTCTCATCATAATTTTAGAATATTCCTTAAGTATTTTTTACTCATGAATATTTTGATTAAGAGATTGCTGAATTGGGATTTAAATTAGCAATAACAGCTATAACTTAAACATGTATTTAATACATCAATTATATTAATAGCATTTACAGTAGAAATTAGTTGTAATTCGCACAGAGCATTTTCACTAAAATTAAGATGGTTTGCCATAGATGACTATCGTATTGAAGTTCTAAGTAACTTCAATATGGAAAATCCAGATGATAAATAATTTTCAATTAAAAATCCAAATGCTTAAACTGGATTTATAGCCATCACAAGTATGCGTTATACAGGACCAATTGATTTTCTATTATCGGTAACAGTTAATAATATTACATAGATAAGTGAAATAAAAACTAATTCAGTGACTGTAAGTATAACGAAAGATGCAGTAAAGTTTGCTAACCTAAAATAGATTGGGTATTTTGTAGTTGTAGGAATTGAAGAAGCATTCATTAATTTAGGATTAAAGGTAGCTACTGGTGCATTCAGCAGTGGAACTATTCCAATTTAATCAAATAGATGGTTTGCTATTGCATTACAAGGGGTGAACTATCCAAATTCTAAAAATTTTAGGATAAGAGCGATATTCAGTAACACAGCAACAACGATATCATATACTTGGTAGACCTGTAATTATTTATAATTAATAGAATATAAAAGGGTATGAATCCTAGACTCCCAATAGTCATTCTTAGATTTGGATTGCATATTAATTTACAAAGATATTTAAACCTTTGGAATGTTTTACTATAAGAACAAGTAGGAAAGAAGTTAAGGATTTAATAACATTACCTACATTCAATTTAGCATTAGTTTAATCAAATTAAATTTACACAACAAATGGAAACTATGAATATTCTGTTGATAAATCAAATGCACCATTTAAGATGGGTATATAAATTAAATGTGAAAATGGAAAGAAAATCTAAGCCGATTTTAATAAATGCAATGCTTGTAGTACTAAAAAGACTCACTCTTTTTCATACAATTGCTTTAATTAAATGAATTATGTTGGTTTTTTCCCTGTGTTTTAATAAGCATTTCCGTAATATAATCATTTAAAAATAAAAATGCAATCATCATTACTAGAAATTATAAATGTTGTTTACGATTAAACTATTACAGAATCCACTATAGTGAAAATTTAAATATTAGATTAATGAATAAATTTTATCATGATTATAATCTCATAATTTTTTATATTATTTTTATATCTGATAGGCAAACTCTCAGCTAATATCTTTATCTATGAATATTTCAAATTACTAATAGATTTTATATTGGTTGATTCCGTGATATATTATGTCTGACAATGATGCTCCTTTAATTAACCAAGTTCAATATCAAAAATGAATATAATTCTTTTTAATTTGATATCAATTCTTTCATATTCTCTTTGCAATCTTAACACAAAAAGATAGGCTTTATTGAATGAAGGCAAAATCATATGGTTTTTTCACTATGTGAAATTATTTATTTAACTACCATTATACTGATTTGACCGTTAATATTATAAAATATTATAAATCCTATTCGAATTAATCAAATATAAATATATAATTTACACTAGTCAAAAAAATGTGTCAATATACCTAAGAAAATAAATATGATTAGCTAAATATATAATTTTAATATGTGTTTATTGGAAAATCATGCACTATAATTTATTTAAATCTTATAAAACAAATTATTAAAGTTATTTATGCAAGAAAATAATACGCATTATATATGACTAATATATCATGATTCAAGATGAATAGGTATTTTGCTATTAATCATCAAAATAATTAATTTAATAAAAGGAAAAGAAATAACAGCGTGGCTAGGATAATTTAAGGTTGTTATTGAGTAAAAGGACTTCCATCGATGTTATTTCATATGAAACTCCTTCTGTATATCTAGACATGAGTAGATTAATATAATATTTAAATTAGATTGTTCATAAGGCATTAAAAAATACAAATTTTTCATCGGAATTTTGAAACCAGGATAAAAATGGATAGGGTTGATCGCTATTAATAGGAATAAACTCTCCATTGCAGGCATTTTTGGGGATAAAATAATCCAAAAAGTGACTCTCTGATTAACTAATTCAAGTCCTTTTTATTACTTAACTATATATCTATAACATTTTATGTCTCATCATCTAAAAAACTAGGTGAATTATACAATATAGAAAAATAATGATATTTCTTAAATTCAAATTGTCTTTAGTCTCATTTTGATTTGGTGAAACAATGGTTAAAATTAAGGAGGGGTTCATTTCTACTGTGGAAATCATTAGAAATAAACGAATAATCAGGAAATAAGTAATTTATAGATTAATTTTATATGCTATTTAATATATTTAAAAATTGTAAATATATATATAATTAAATCCTTGATTTCAAATTTTGAGGATAGCCTTAATGAGGGAAAGAACAATCTTATCCTAAAATTTAAAAGTAGGCAGGAAAGTAAGAGACAACATAACTCTCCTAACTTTTTACTTCAGTAAATTCATTTCCAAAGCTGCCAATAGAATTGTCAAAAACATAATTGGAATACCTATGCCAATGAATAAGTTCTAAATTAATTATTTGGTTGACTCCTTTTCATCATTCAAGAAAGTTTCCAATAACAATACTAATCGATCAAATGTCTTAAAAATTAATTCCTGCCCATACATCACTAAAAACCTATAATCTTAAGAGTTGTAATAAGCATTAATTTAAGATGTATTATTCTATTAGTCTGAATATTGTATTTAATGATACTCATTTAAAAATGTTTAATAACTGAATTCCATCTTCTATAAAACGTCTAATGCTCCCATCAATCCAGTGTTGAAGTAGTCAAATTATTATTACTACTGGCAGAGGGTCTCTTCAGAATAATAACATAGATTGTCCTTTAGTAAATGATTGATTTCACTCAGTACACTTAACTATTAAATATATGGTATTCTTGATTGATAATTCTCAGAAGTAATTAAAATCTTTGATGAATTAGAATCATATCCATAATCCAAATTTACTTGTTCTAAAAACTTTTACATGTCAGTAATAAACGATTTGATGTTGTTAGTATCAGAGGATATTGTTTATAGGAAGTATGAAAGCTACTAGTTTTGTTAGAAATTCAATAAGGTGAACTGTGATGGAATACTGGCAGATTCTAAATTTAAATACCTTTAAGGAGTGATGGATAATTTCGAAATTAAGCTGGCAGTATAAACACTAGTACTAACAGTTTCATCAAAATTGTCGATAAAAGGAGTAAATGTATTTATTTATGTTTGAATAATAACAATAGAAAAAATTAAATAGCCAATGGAAATCGCTGATATCATTATGTATAATCCCATGTCCTTCCAAATACTTAAAGTAGTATCACTTAATTTAGAATAAAAGTATGAGCTTTCCTTTCCTTTTGCTTTGACATTCCCATTCTTAGTGTATTTCTCATTTAAATCAATTTCCTTGCTTTTATTATAAAAGATGAGTTTAATTTGGTTTTATGTGACCCATGAATCATCTTAAGTTTCAAGTAAATGCTAAGAAAGAGTTAATTTTTTAATTTCATCTTCAGCCTCTTCTTATGTTATCCTGCTTACAATGCAGAGTACACGGAAATAGATATTGTTAATTTATCTGATGAAGGGAACAATCAACAGGATTACAACCAAGTGTAAACCACCAAAGCTGGCCATCAGATATGTTACAATTAGAGCTTTACTAAGAACATCATTATTCTTGCTCGATCTTAATTGCTAACTCATATTATTGATCTGAGATTAAGTGAATACTAGTCTATTCAATAAATAATCTATAGAATTATTATACAATTATTTAAATGTAGCATCACTCCTATTGTAGGTGTTGATCAATTCGATAGAATCAATTTCAATTTTCTATTGAGTTAAAAATTCTTAAAGAGAAACAATGTAATAATCATCTGGAATTTGAAGTACATCTAATTATGGCAATGGAAAAGAAACCTCATTTTATATTGAGTTGATAACATCAAAGTAGGATTGACTAATGTTTAAACTAAGATTATAGCAATAAGAGATAATCTCATTCATTAAGGTGATGTTAGGGATTTGATCGAAAGTAATAATGGACTATTGATCAATTTAGTTTGAGGATTAAAGTATTATAGCTGAATAACGATATTGATTATTAATCCTCAAACTAAGATTATCCACACTCAAATTGTTAAAGTAATTTTAGGTTGTTAACAACAAACTAATTATGCATGAAATGTTTAAGATGATTAATATAATCTTGAATATTTGGAGTGATTTGGCTTATCTTGGCATATATTTAAGACATCTCAATGATATCTGAGTAGCCATTGAAATTGCTGAAATGGATTTAATAGATTAATGATTAGAAGCTTAACTCATGACTTCAAAAATATTGACAAGTTCATCCTCATTGTTTAATTCTTCATCATCTTCTTTCTAATCTCCTTGGCTTGTGATATTATTACTAGACATTGAATTAGTTCCTGAAGGAGTACTATGTCCACTTCTTTTCATATCTCCCTTTTCAGAATTTTCAGACTGTTCTCTGAAACCTTGATCCTAAGCTTCAAATTGATCGTTTTTAATCTCAATGTTTGATACTCTTCTGAGATTCAATCTTCCAAACAATTTAGCGAACAGCCCAGTGGGATTTAAAAATGAGCTCTTTTTTTCTTCTGGCACAGAAAGTGATGAAGGTTATTTTTCTTGTTATTATTATTGTTAAGGTTATAAAAAGGTTGGGGCAATCGGGGTTGTAGGAGTTTCAGCTGGGGGATCTTTAGGAACAAGAGCCTTTTCCATTTTCTTTAAAAATGATAACTTGAGTTTTTTTTTAGGAGGTTCTTCTTTTTTTTCTGAAAGACTACTGGATTACTCTTTTAAATACTCTTTACTCTGATTTTAGATTTATTTCATTTTTTCAATTGAGTTTTACCTCATTAATTATGGGACATTTAAATTCAAAGATTGAGTCATAGAATGATTGCCACCAGTGGGAATAAAGCTCTCTTTCATGGAATTCTCAATATCAAAGGAAGAGTCATTTAACTTTTAATTTTGAGCTTCAAATTTGACCTTCATATTTGGCCCATCATCTCTATCAAGGGAAGATAAGTAGGTTCTGCTATCTGGAATGGCCAAAGTGACTATAATAGGTTCATTAATTTCTCCTTTATATTTAATTTATTATTAAGGAGGACCGAAACTCTCCTGTTATTGAAAAGGTAATGATTTTCTGGGTTTCTCTTTATCGAATGAATCGAGAGAGGAGGCCTATTAAATCAAGCTTCTCCTTAACTCTTCACCTCCATCAAACTATTGATTTTTTTCTTTCTTCAAATGGATTTTCAAGACATCCTTCCTTTTGGCTGTTTATAGATTCAATGAGGATAGTTTGCACACAAAATATAAGAATTGATCTTTGTCACTAACCCCTCCAACACCCACATCAATTGATGAAACACACTTGTACCTTACCTATTGAAGTAGTTTGGCATCATGAGACTCTAAGGCTTCTTTTAATAAGGCTTTAGAATAATATTTTCTTACTTTGTTATCAATAAAATCTTAGAATTCAGCATCAAATAAATGATAACAGTTTTATTGCTATTTAATGTATGAGTATTTATTCTGCATTTGTTGTCTACGTATAGATTTAGTTTCCATATCATTTTTACTTTCCATAAATCTTTCACCTGCATCATTGAAATATTCAATTAATTCATTATAATTTCTAGGAACATAAAGAACCAGTCTTTCATCCTATAATAAGGATACGTTCTTTTTCATCAATCCCTTATCATCAATAAAATTATTAATGATGAAGTTTCGATATTGATCCTTATCCAACATGGCACTTGACAATCCTCCTTAATTTAAGCTCTATTATCTATCGATAAATTGACTAATCTGTCTTTAGAATATGTTGCTGGCTTACTTTTCGAATAACTTATTATTATTTTATTATTAGATATCTTAAGCTTTGTCAGTTAATTTATTAAATTATTCTTGGGATTCCCTCTGCAACTTTTTAAAGATGTCTCTAGCCAACAAATCTGTAATAGATTTTCCGACCTATGGTAAAAAGTGTTGAATGCTTCCAAATTACAATAAAATATCAGATGGTTTTTGATATGTTCTTTTCAGTTGACTTTTTGTAGTACTTTATTTTTAATGCATAGTAATAGTTTTTTTAAACAATTTGGCATTATCATCTCTGGCGATCTTATGGAGTAAGGCATTTTTAAGATTTCCAAGTTTTTAAAATTTTGCATTGACAGATTTATATTGTACCATTCCAAATTCATCTAAAGCTCCTTTCAATATCAACTTATCAAAGGTATGCATGGATACACCTAAAATACGACCCCATTCATCAAATATCAGATATTCGTCGTCATCTTTAATTTTCAAAATAGATCCTAAGAGTGTAAAATCAGTTAGGTTTTAAAAGTTAAAAGATAAATTAATGTTGACTGGAAATACAAACCCTTAGGCATCACAAGCATAAGAATTGATTGGTTTATCATAATAATAAGTGTAACCTCTATGGATGAATCTGGTAATGAAATAGTTGTGAGAAGCAGTCAAATAAGGAGGCATAATACTAGAAATTTGCAATTTATCTGAATTTTAATTTTAGTGAGACGACTGCAAACCTCTAATGCGTAGATTTTGTATCATGTCTTCGTAATTAGAATATCCTAACATATCAACTAATCTATTTGAAACTCCTTTAATGATTTAACCACTCTACACTCCAGCACTCACTTCCAAAGTTACCAGATCTCCAGAAAGCCATTGGAAATTACCAATCTATCCTTACTTTTAAGCAGCTCTACTCAACTACCATGAATCTTCCACTTTCCTTTAGAATATGACTGCTTATTTATAATCCGAATCAAAAAAGAGAGATCTAAAACATTGATATTTCAGATAATAACTGTAGTTTCTTTGAACTTAATTGGTGAAGTCACTCAATATCATATCAACCGTGCTTCTACTTTCTTCTATTTAAAGTGAGATCTTTATAATGTCCTCCAAAAATCGATTCATATTTTAGATATCACCAGAACACAGATTCTCCCATAATGTTATCTTTTTCCTCAAAACAGAAACAATACTCTTAACAATGTCATCTTTGACCATTTCTAATCGCCAAATTTCAGTCACATTCATTTTGACAACATCATCATATGAGTTCTTGTCTTCGAAATGTTTCAATTTAAGAGCATCAATAAACTAAGACTCAGTTACTTTAGTGACATTTCGAAAGAAGTATGAAAATGAAACTGTTCTGCTTTATATTTGTTTAAGTTTTGTAAGTGATGAGAGACTGTTCTGTTTGAAGGAGAACATAAAAGAAATGTACTTCAATGATAAATATTCAACTTCATCTAAATGCAAAGAAAATGACAATTATTAAATAGTCTAATGAAACTACCTTTTCACATATTATGATATGAGATCTTCGTTGATTGTATTATTCTAGACAAACTTCATTGGTTAAAATATGACAGTCTTTGGTCTTATGTTTTATTATTCATATTGTGGTTGAACACCTCCAGCAAAGGAATCATTTTTCCGACTTCCATCTTTGATTGTTTTCTGAAATTAACTGACATCCAAATTTTGAGAAATGTTTTAATTGTTACTATTCTTATCTGCATTACTCAACAGAGCTGTTCTAGATTGGAATGATGATCTATGTGTCATACTTTCTCCATTTTGAGTGTTGGATTTGGATAAATCTTCTTTGCATTCGCAATTTGGATCGTTACAGTTTTCGGTGTGATACTTTAACACAAAAAGGGAAAGCATGAATACATAGGAATCCACCCTGGCCTACTCTATGTAGTATACGAGTGCTTCCAAAGAAGAACACAATTTCTTTATGTCCATTTACTTGGTTGAACCTGTTCGCATGTACAAGATCAAATCCTGCCACTTCCGACTTTAGAACTATCTAAATAAATAAAGGAAGATTGGAAATGCTAAGAGGAAGGTCTCGAAGATGTTGTCCCCGCTTATGGAAGATGTAATTTGAGACAGAGAACCCAATAGGGATACTATGAATAATCCGGTGCATCCAAACATATATACTTGATTTTCAAATGTCATCTTGTAGGGCAAAAACAAGATTATGTCAATCAATTTGAAAATGCTAAGCAACCAAAAAATGTATGGCTGGATCTTCAATTCTGAATTCCAATCTATGGCTACTATAAATATCACAATCAAATAGTAACAATAGGAGGCCAGATTGAATGTTCTATACAATCCCAATTGATTGAATTGGTAACTGCGATAGAAGTAGAAGTAACTTAACACAATGACGGAGTGCAGAAATATGTTTACGATGGGCATTGCACTCCAGGCACTACTTTGCTTATTGAACAACCCCAAGTTGATAGATAACTAGAATTTAATCAAGTGTCTACAATTGGACAACTGAGCCACACTGCACTTTCAATTCCCATCGACAACCCCATGTGCAATCTCTTGAATTTATTCTTCGACATCGTTGTCTTGTTCTGACTCCGAAATCGCAAGTACGACATCAACAGTAGACAGCCATACAAAACCAAGTACAGTATCAAAACCAAGATGCAGATCGGTATGAACAATAAATCCGGAGGCCGTGTGAAGACACTTAAAAACTACAATAACCTCTACTTTTACATCGGTAAAATAAGCATATCCTTGGTTTTTTTCAAATTTCAAACTAAAGCTCATCAATGATACGAAGTGTACGAGTACGAGAGTCAAAGCTTTTGTTCCAAACATATTCTTGTAATCTCCGATCTTCGCAATCTCGATCGACAACACTTGACCAAAACCTAATTCCTCATGTTGTTACATTTTTTCTTAATTAATTTATAATATTCAATGGACACACATTTTACCCATCATAATACCTTACTCTAATAAGATTTAACCAAATCTAACTACTCCAGCTCTTAACTCTATCACATCGCCCTTCAAATGCTTGATAATCCGCACTCCTTATCAAATGCACTCTTTATTTTCAATGTATTACTTTGCACTTAATAAAAAGCAAATTGCTTAAGAAGAATACACTATATATCCACTCCTGCAAAATTAATTCATTCATTTATTACAGCATCCTGATACTTAACATTTAGCTTTTACTTTGATTTCACAGCTATTCAACAAGAATTGCGACCTTTCAACTTTAAAAACCCAAGTTATTGAATCCCTTCTTGCCCTTATCCGATGGGATTTCACACTCAAAAATCCTCAATAGGGATTTGAATCAACTTCTACTCTTTTAAATGCCCCATTTCCTGATCTTCACAATTTAATAAGGATTGTTGAACCAACCTCTCTTATTAAATATTACTTCATCAACAAATAAGGCATTGATATAAATGGTCTCCTACAGACTATGGAATTATTCTTAACTAATCGTAATTTCATATTTGACCATGCTGTCGAATTCATTGAAATAACCCAAAGAGTTGCTCGACATTAAAATGAGTAAGTCAGATCTTATGCATTGAAGTTTATACATCGCTTAGCTGACTTATAAGATAATTAAACTTTTAGAGAACTGATTCATGCGACTCTATTAGCCGGTCTTATGGATGAATCATTAGAAATTAGAGTTCAAGCATTGAATGAGTTGAAGATTCTCATTCCTAAAGAAAAAGATCAACTCTTGATCCTGTTGTACAAGAATTCCCATTGCGATGACCTTAGAAAAGTTTCAGAATCTGTTGCTCAATAATTATTTCCTCATTTCTCTGGTAATATTTAAACAGAATTGATGAACATTATCAATGAAAAAAGATTAAATGAATGCGTAATTCTATGCTGCTATTCAACGATTAGTAGAAATTGGAGGATAAGAAGATCTGGCTTAAAGACATTGTAATCAATTGTGCAATACTATCCTAACTAAGAATTACCGATAGAAGAAATTTTAAAAGTTTCTTAAAATTGTTCTTTGTTTGAGTCCCATTTTGATGTGAGATATAATGGATTTCTGTTGATGTATCATATAGTTAGGATGTATGAAAATAAAATAACATAATTTACTGATTAAATAATTTAGAATTGTTTATTTCATTTTAGTGATGATCACATAGAATGCTAAGAGTTGTGTACTCAGATACTAATAATTTTAATTGATCGTTAAAGTTTAATTTAAGAGTTATATAAATAATAAAGGTTAATTGTAAATAATGATTTGGCTTTGGAAGATTTAAAGGTCAAAATTATGAAAATCGAAGAAGTTTAAAAATAGTATGAATGTTAGGTACCATAGGAAGACATTCACGATGAGTAAATAAGGAAATATCAATCAAGAATAATGTTAGGAATTATTGCATGTTTTGTACAGATGATTAAATTGAGATTTGATCAGAGCAGTGTTGAATAAGTCAGTTTAATGATATGTTAAGGTCTTTAGATTGTCAATTCTTATAGGGATATGATGTATAAATATTTAATAAGCGGGTTGAAAAAAGTTTATATGTAATAAAAGGAATTAGTCAAATAAATGATCAATTAGTTAAATCTTACAGAGATGTTGAGATCAGATGGGGATGTGGAATTGATAGGTGTTATTGAGGATATAGTGGGTACATCTATTTTGTAAGAATGACAAATAAATATATTATTATATTATGTTTTAATAATTTTTAAACTGTTTCAAAAATAAATCAGCAAAGGATGGTTCAAAAGAGTATGAGAAGGACATACTCTCATCGGTGATTGATATTTTGCCGAATTACCAAAGTAAATTAGAATTTAAGTTTTAGACAAAAAAGGAGAAGTGACAGCTGCAGAGATTAGGAAATAGACAAATTAGACAGATAATCCGAAAGAATCGAATGACAATCTGATAAAATATGATGATGATGATAATCCATATTGCAGGTTTTCTTTGGATTATTTTGCTTTAAACAACAGGTTTCGGGTTTTTTGTATTTAAATCAGTTAATCCAAACTATTCTAATGGGTTCATTCTCTTTTAGTAATTATCCGAATAACTTTAGTCGGTTATAGTAGTCTGTGTACTGATTGTTAAGCCCTATAATAATGAGAATAGTGGGTTAAATATCTCGATATCGAATGCAGTGATCAATGGAATAATAATTTCATGCGATGTAATTTTTAGCATTTAAGTTGTGATATCAATTATATCATACGGGTAATGAGTTACGATTAAAATTTAGAATTTGGAATTGCAACTATGGATATTACAAGGACCCTTATGCCTTCATAAATAGTATATGTTTGTTATTCGCCCTGATCTTACGGCAATCCTACTTATACATATTCAGAGCATTGTTTTTGGTGGACTTCATCGTGCAGACCAAATATTTCTAAATTGTAAAGAAATTGAGTAATACAGTTAAACATGCATTGATGATGACCGCCTATGTGGTGATAATAATTACATTATTGACCTACATTTATGCTACCATGGGAGTCCAAATCTGGAGTGATTAATTGCATCATTATTGCGTGAAAGATGGCGACATCGATGCCTATCCAGCGAGATTATGTGGAATGGGTAGGAAGTGTCCAGAAGGGTATGTATGTTAAAGAGGGTATTTTCATCAACCATTCACGTAATACGATTATATTTCCTTTGATGAAATTCCAAATGGTTTGCTTACTTTATTTATTTGTCATTTTATTGAGGGTTGGGTTGAAGTGGAATAGAATTTGGCTGATACCTTTAATAAGTACATAAGTTCAATCTTTCTATGGTCTTACATTATTATTGGGACATTCTTTTTGTAAAACCTATTGGTGGCTATTCTCTTAAATTAATATCAAATGGATTAGTAAGTTGAAGAACTACCGAAAATCAAAGTCAAGAGTCAAACAAAAATTCAAATCAGCAATGAGAGACGTAGGACGTATTTCTTGACTCCAGGGCATTTGAGTAAGAGCAAACAAAGAGCTCTTTAATTGATACAAAATTAGCATAGGAAATCAAGGTAGAGATCACAATTACAAATCAAACTTAAAGCAATAGTATCATCCAATTTTATCAAATACTTTTATTCGCTTTTATTTATAACAAATTTAATCTTATTTTCATTGAATGACGAATCAGCATACCATAATGATTTCGAGAATAAAATCATAATTATCAATATAGTATTTCTGTTTATATACATCTTGGAAGATTTGGCAAGAATGTATGTCTGGAAATAAAAGGAAAATAAATATATTCTGCTTTTAGAATTTGTCATAGACTTTATTAGTATAATTGTTCAGCTTAATGACATGTCTTATCCATTTGTGCTTAATGCTTTTAAGGGTTTAAGACTTCTATGGTTCTTCAATACGTAGACAAGTTGGTCAAACTATAAAGTGTTATTGTAAGCATTGCAAAAGTCCTTTGTTAATATTCCTAAATTAATTTTGGTGTTCTTAACCTACATGATTGTCATTGGAATATTGGGGAGAGAGTATTTTGCTGGAGAACTGATTTTTGATGAATAAGGTAATTATGATAAGCAAGGTTCAAATATACCAAGAGCAAATTTTGATAGTATTAGAAATACAGTTTCATCTTTATTTATAATAATTTGTTCTGATCAATGGGAGAACATATTTTACACAACTCTTGAGACTAAATCCTGGATTCCTTATCCATTTTTTATTTTTGTGTTGATTTTGTGTAGATTTTTCATCTTGTCCTCATTCTTGACTATCATGCTTGATAATTATGAGGAAGCCAAGAACGAGGCTGACAAATCTAAGGCTCGTGCTTAGAGGGTCATTTCATCTATGCAAAGTAATTTATAATTCATGATAATTTCTATAGAAACTAAAGTGGTTCCAGCAGCTTAATTATAATAAATCCAAAATTCTTCTTAGATTGAAAAGAAAAGATACTTCGGAAGATTATCGAAGATGTCAGATGATAGTGATGATGAGGAGAAGGAATCGAAACATCATGTTCTACAAAGACAAGCGTCGAAATACCCATAAATTACAATAGGCAAGAACAATAATATATAAAAATAATCATCGATACAATAAGTGACAATAGTCAAAAGCAATGATGAGATCAGAATATCCTACAGTTCAAGTTAATCATATAAGCAATATTTTATGAATTCAGCATTATTCGTATTAAATAACAAAAGCATCTTAAGAAAAAGAATACAATAGTTAACATAGAGTAAGTACTTTGAATGGTTGATGAGTTCAATAATAATTTTGAATATCATTCTATTAGGCATGGATCTGCCAATATTTGAATAAAAAGACTTAATATAGAAATTTAATCTTATCTTCACAATCATTTTTATTTTTGAAATCGTATTGAGAATATTAGCCCATGGATTTATTTGGAATCAAATTGAACCTAATAGAGCATTCGTTTACAACAATCAAAACAACTTCGATTTGGCTATATTAATTATAAGTTCCATTAGTGATCTAAATCTATATAACAGTGGATATTTGAAGGCATTTCGAGCATTGCGTACTCTAAGAGTGTTCTCATCTGCTAGAGTAATTATTTACAATTGATATCTAGAGAGGATCTCAAAGTGAAGAATTGAATTTGATATCAAAATCATTGTTTCAGACCATATCCTTGTTATCTTCCATGATATTCGTGACTGGTATCTGCATTTGGATTTTGAGCATCTTTTGTATGACTATTTGGAAAGGCAAATTGTACTTTTGTACAAATGTGTAATCATATGATAACATCTATACAAAGCAAGATTGTTTGGATTAGAAAGGAGAATGGATCAATAATATCACTAATTTTGATACTATTTAGGATTCATTGCTCTGCTTGTTTAGAATAATAATTGGAGAAGGGTGGACAAGTCAAATGTATTACGTTTCAGATATCACTGAAAGGGGGATGCATCCCAAAGTTGACTCATCTGCTAACTATTAGATCTTATATTATATATTGTTGTTCCTCCTGAATATCATGCTATTGAATCTCTTCACTGGGTTGATCATCAACAATTACAGGACAATCAAAGAGAACATCAGTAATTACAAGTCGCTCAATGAACATCAGAGGGAATGGTTGTAAATGATGTACATAATGCAAAAGAAGAATCTAATAAGATTGATTGAGAAACCCAAAAATCAATTCAGATAGATCTGTTACTCCATCGCAACCTATTCGTATTTTGAATTGATTATACTTATTCTCCTCCTATTGAATTTAATATTGTAAGATCCTATCATATTTTAGTTGCTCTGCCAATGGTAACTCAATTAATTAAACCACCAAATCAGCCTTCTATGTCCTGGATATCATTTTTATTACCCTCTTTCACATTGAAGTATTTATCAAATTTTCAGCCTTTTGGTATTACTACCTAAAGGACTCATGGAATAAATTCGACATCCTGCTTCTGATTTCTACAGATGCCTTACTGATACTCAATAGCGAGATTGAGATGCCTAAGATGTTCATGATTCCGTTGATCATTCGTTGTTTGAGGGTTCTAAACACGTATAAGATACTGAAGTTAAATCGTCAACTCAAAGTCCTCATTGATGTCATATAGGAAATACTACCAACCTTATTAAGTGTAGTGGCTTTTATCATTATAATCATTATTGTATATGCATTAATTGGGATTCAAACTTTGTCCGTAGTTAAATCAACGTCTCAAGATGCCCAATACCCTTTTTATTAGGAAATCGGGTAGAGGAATAAGAATTTCCAGAACTTCTGGGATGCTGTCTTAATTTTAATAGAAGTTACAACTGGATAATACTGGCCACTCTATATGTCAGATTACACCATCAATAAGGCTGGTTGTCATTCTTAGACTCCAGAAGACATATTGAAAGAGGGAGTTTAGGGATGCAGTACCTTCTTTGGATACTTTTACTTTATTAGTTTTTTAGTATTGATCAGGATAATAATGATCTCATTGTTTTTAGCCATGATTATAGAATCATATCAGGAATGTTTGCTTGAGAATACTGCAGTCATTAATCCTTATTAGATAGAGGATTTCTTTTTAAAATGGTCTGATTATGATCCCAAAGGAACTGGATGGATAACTCCTGAGGATTTTGCATTTTTGATGTTTGAGATGAATCCTCCTCTTGGATTTAAGGATGAGAATGCTTGTTTGTAGTTGTTTGATTTCAATTAAAGTAATGAGTTGGTTATACTTGATAGATCATAAGAAACAGTCGGCATACATCTACAATCCTAGGACCAAGATGCACCTTAAGAAAATTGATATCTTCAAGAAACTCAGTGATTTCTAAGTGTTAATATATTAGAATGAGATGATCCACATTAAGGATGTTAGTTTGTAGATAGCTTATAATGCAGTGAAAAAGAAGAATGCTTTGCATGGGATTGAATAGATTGAGGACAAAGTAGTATTGAGAAACATACGGAAATCATGGGAGGCTAAGTTCCCTGATTTGGGGGATCAGAAGTTCCTTCATTTCGCAGTGGACATCTTTGCGTATAGTTCGATAAGGAACATATTGAGAGGAGCAATAGAGAGAAGAAAGGTGAAGAAGAGAATCAAGGAAATGCAGAAGCAAAACAATCTTAGGTAGTTGGAAATAAATGAGAATGCCTATTTGACAACAAGAATTGCAGACAGCAATCATCGTCATCGCAGGAAGAGTCAGATCAATAAAAGAGTGTTCCCATTTGCATAATCATCTTATCGGATTAAGGAGCAAAATCGTGATGGGAATGTTTATAATCGCAGAGTTGCTCTTAGGACTGATCTGAAGTAGTCCCAATAACAATAGGCCTCCCATTAAGAATCTGTTTCACTCTCGACACACAACTTTTACATTGATCCTTAGGAAACGAATAACGGATTCCCTATGAAAATAGTATTGGAAACGCAGAAGATAGATTTCCCAAGTGACAACTCCTAGCGTTCTTTCTTCGGGTAGATGAAATTGAGAGGGGACATTTCATAACGAATGTCTGATGAAGAGGATAATATTTGAAAATTAAAAATTGAAATTAAAATATGTCTTAATAATAAAAATCCATGAATGATACTCTTTTCGACACCAAGGTCTTAGACAACTTTGAATAAGAGTTTTAATAAGTTCATGATGACATCAATCCGAAGATCCATTCACGCATTGCACCATTGATCTTTGCCATCAAAGGATTGAAATAAGAAATTAATCAAGTTTTCGCTGATTTCATTCGAGAAACAAATAAAGCCACTGATGTTATGCGGATTAAAGACATGTTCGAAGCAGTCTTGATGGAGTATAATCTTAGAGAAAAGGAAAGCAACAAATTGATGGAAGCCATCCTGCAAAATGATTCCAAATAAATCAGGCAAATCTCTCAATTGCTCAAAGAAATACGTGAACTCCAACATGAAGTCAATCAGTTTCAAAGACAAAGTGAAGTTAAACGCCAAAGACAATGCGGTATCTTTAAAAGCAATCCAACCGATTTCAAGAAACAAAACACTCAAATCATAGATGAAACCAGCATCTACGATTGGGTAGTCGACATTGACTTTATCACTTCCATCAACAATTCAGGTTGGAAAGTGTGGCTATCCCCAAAGATGATCAACTAAGAAATAATCAATATCAAAGCCTTGGAAGGAGCAACAGTGGCAGTAACTGGACTCTATGACAAAGGAAAGACCTTTGTTTTGAACAGTCTCACCATGAGTAATTTGCCCTCTGGAAAGAAGGTTACTACCAGAGGCATTTCATTTAAGCATGTCAATGTTGACAATGGTACTAAATTGATTTTAGTGGACACCGCTGGAACATACAGTCCTGTCAAAATCGAGAATGAATTATCCATTGTAGACAAGGAAGCCACAGAAACATTCATATCTGATTTGGTATTTGATTTAGCAGATTACTTTTTATGCGTAGTCAACGATTTCACAAGTCTTGATCAAAGATATCTCGACAGACTAAGTCGGAATCTATAGCAAAGTCCAAATAAGACATTTCGAGAGATTATAGTAATACACAATCTAAAAGATGTTGAATCTCCTGAAATTTTAGAACATGTTTGGAGTACTTAAGTTACTTAGATATATGCTAATGGAACTCTTTAAAAAACCAAAGTAGCTGCACTCAATCCTATCAATAAATAACTATAGGAGAAACATGTACTTTGGTTCAAGACTCCTTACACTAGACACGTGTGTATTGTGAATGATGATTGCAATCTAGGAAAGGGACTCAATCCTTGGGTATTTTCACTTCTTAGGTATTGGTTAAAAGCCGTTTTCATTCCGGTCAATCGAAGTTTTTCCGTTTTGGATTGTTTGTTAATTTAATCAAGATAAAAACTAGTTAATTTTTTTAGGAAGAACATCAAAATTGATTTGCAGGACACTGATGACCCTCTGATCAAGGTCATCAAAACAGAAAATGAATTCCATGATAAAATACAAATTCCTTAAGGATAGGTTGACATGAGTGGTTTAATTACGGGACAATAGGATTCCTTTTAACCTGCAACAGACATCATCGCTGGGGATCAGTACATCATTTTGATGGATGCCCCGGGATTGACTAATGACGATGTCGATATCCAGAGACAGAATGTTGTCACTTTGGTCAAGGGAAACAAGTAGAGACCGTACATCAATCAAGGGCAATTGGAGAAGAGCGAAAGAAAATATGGGGAATTCACACTTACATTCAAAGTATAATAAATAGGATGATTAATTAGATTCCCGATATTTATGAGAGACAATGGTCTTATTTTGGTGTAGAGAAGGGAGTGATCACAATAAAATACGATAAAGATAAGGATGATATTTGATTATATAAATTATTTTATGAGTGAAAGTCCGCATTCATTGAAAGCCAAAATTCAATTCTTGCATCAGGAGAACCAATAGTTGAGAAACTTTATAGAGGATCTACAGACTGTCATTAAATTGAATAAGTAGTCAATGCGTTCTATGATTGATCAAGATGATACTATTCCTATACCAAATTAAAAAGCGGGTGTTCGAGAGAATGAAAACACAGTCAAGGCACTTAAATTAGTCCTTGAAGAACAACAAAAGGAAATCGGTCATTTGATGTCATCCCTCGAAAAGGTGCAAAAGGAGAGAGATTTTGCTTAAGGCAAAGCCCTTATTTCAGAGGAGATTACCTATGCTGCCGAAAAGAGTGAGAAGAAACTCATTGCTGAACTCGAGTCTACTATTTATGAACTCAAACATACAATCAGTTAATAAGCCTAAAAATTAGGTTAATTTGAAAAGAAGGCAGATTAAGTTGATGATACCACTGGAGTCATGATAAGATATAGGGATGTTATAAACCCCAATTCAGCCACTATTTTACTTCATGAAGAAATGGAAACTTTGCATTAATTGATAGTGAGATTATAATTATAAGTTAATTATTTAAAGAGCATACAACTAAAATTAGTGACCCTTATTAACAAGGTAATCACCAATTTATAGATGAAAAATTAAGTGATAGATTAGGATGAGGATTACGAAAAGGCTTAACATGAATTTTTAGAAATCTTAACTTAAATTTAATGTAAATAGAATATTCGAGTAACTTATTTTAGAGTCTCGATTACCCACTGTAGATTTGCCAGCTAGAATAAATTCGATCTAATCTCCTATGAATACAGATATGATGCATTCTCCAGTGCTCTCTCCTTTCCCTGTCAAAGCACCTCAAGTTTAAAAAAAAAACTATTAAAATTTGAATTAAACCTTTGATGTAGCCATTAATGATTCATATCAATAATGCGCAAAACAAGAAGACCCCAAAAAGAATATTTCTCGAGTGCCTAAGTTGAATCTAGCCAAAGCCTTTCAAATTCAATAAATCAACGCCAAAAGATCAACCCAATAAATCAAATTAACTGAGGATTAATTATAGCATAGAGTTCGTAAACTTGAACAGGAACTAGAGGAAACCAAGAAGAATCTACAAAGAGAAATGATTTTATGCAAACATTATGAAATAGAAAATGAATCTTTAAAAAGGTACATAAAACAAGTAGAGGCAAATAATGATATTTTGGTCAAATCCAATCTAAATCTCAATCAAAAATGGGAGAAAATATAAAAAAGCTTTATGTACTACAAAACATTTTTTGTAGAGCATAAGGATTAATTTGCTCAATTGTAAATATTGGTTTAATCAGAAAAGGAAGTATTAATTTTATTCTAATTTCATAGAAAGCTATATCATAAGAGGATTACAATGAATTTGGCTTCAATTCTGCCCGTGTAAGTCATGCCAGAGTAGATTAGGCTTAAAGGAAGAAGACTTTATTAGATTAGACCATCACTTCCTATGTTCCTTTGTATTAGGGTAATCTATTTATCATAATCATGCTTAGAATCTTTAATGGATATAGAGACTCACTTAGGAAGAGTCAATTAATCTTTAACCTATAATCAGAACAATATAATTAATTCAAGTTATGCCAACGAGAATGATGGTGAATTGGCAACTGTTTACTTAGATAAAAATGAGATTTCTATGGAAAATCCTGATTGGAGAAACAATCTCAAAAAAGAATGGACTAAACTAGCTACCTAAATTCATTCTGCATAACCTAAAAATCTAATACAACAAATAAAGTAATCCTTGCCAATTCAAAAATTGTAAAATATTAAATCATGAAATTCATCATTGTAATTACAAAATACTTGTCTATAATTATATAAGGAGGCTTTCTTATTTAATTTTATGTTACATAAATCTCTATTATAATTAAATCAAGAATAATAAACATCAAGACTTGCTCTTAAGATTTTCCTTATAATTTGGATAATCATTTTTGTTAGTGTTATGAATAGTCTATTTTATTGTCTTTTAATTTAAACTCGCCTTTTAAGTATGGGATCTAAATATTTCTCCAATATCATTATTTTCTTAGACAATTGCGGTTTTCAAGCTTGATCCAATTTTAATATCAATAGGATAGGAAATCCCTTTGATTATTGTATGCAATATAAATCTATATCAATAATTTAGTAAAAGAAGCAATTCATATAACAAAAGGAATAGTGTTGCAAAAGTGATATATAAGTTTTTTCTATTTGCCGACTGCTATGAAAATTATTAATAAACTAATTCTAAACTTGGATCATGGTAACATTAAAAGATTAGGAGGTCATCTGGAACTTTTTAGGAATTTACTACTCTTTGATTCATTCATCGTTTTTAAATTTTCTGTGTTCGTTAACTAATTTTATGAAATAATATAAACTTGATCAATTAGCACAAATAATAAAGAGACTAGAACATATTCTAGATAATGCTCAACCAAGAAATTCTCAACATTCTCTCTTCCGTCTCTTTCCTACGTTCCAGCCTGATGAGCAGACATCATCGGAATAGAGTACCAACTAAATCATTTTTGATGAGTAAGCAACCCAAGATTATACAAAAAATGATTTAAAGAGATTTTCAACAGAATCTGTCTTTATTAAATTGGATTATACTGAGATATCAACGCAATTACGAAGCATCCTACAAAACAGTTTTAGGAGCCTTAATGTAGACTCAGTAAATCACATTTCTGAGATGTTCATAAAAAATACTCAAAAGGATAACCCTTATAGTGCTTTGATTATTAATTAATTAAATCTAGTTCAAAGTGTTATTGAAGCTCACTAAATTTGTCAAAAATATGATACTTCATTATAGAATTTGTGTGATTAATTCAAAAATGGGGATTAGTAAGACCTTATGGCATAAATAATTTCAATAAGATCGAAGTTTTTTTCAGAGATTAATAAGCATAAAATTGATAAGACTTTGGTCCCTTAATATGATTAATTTTAGTTAATAAAAGAATAATAAATAAAAATATAACAAACATAACAAGCCATAGAACAGCTAATTCAAAAGTTTTGTTGATTACCATCATATTTGTTTATTTTTTCATTAATTGGAGTATAACCATATATTATCAAAATATTGTGAGAACAAATAAATTGTCTAATCAAAAGTACATACCATGTAAATTATTATACAAATCATCAAAATCTGAATAATCTAAGAACTATTTTAATTTTAATTATTTTTAATTTAAATCTCTAACATCTTTCACATGTCTGAAATTTAATAAATAATTTTCCAAATGTAATAATTCCTATAAATCAACCAATAAAGTACCTAGTCCTCTTTATTATCATAATAAGCAATAATTGGAACTCCATTCTCGATTTATTTACTAAACGAATATGAAGCATTGTCTACTAACAACACATTCGATAGTTTTCGATTTCCTAAAACTCTAAAAATAAATAAGCTTTACCTTAGATCTTTGATGTAAGCTCCTTCCGTTGTTTATAGACAATTTTCCCTAAATAACCTGTGCGAAATCCACTGTCTCTTTGGATCCAAATAATCAATCACGATATTAGCATAGCTCGAATGTGAAGCTGTAAAAACTATGATTTCAAAATGCTTTGAAAGCGTTTGTAGAATTTATTTAGCATATGGCCGAATATTGATAGAAGCTTAAACAGTTTCATCATTAGGGAATGTGATTGGTAATATGATGTCTCCTGGTATGGAAACATTTGGATTGCAATGGATTAATGTCTCATCCAAATCAAAAACGATTGTTTTTAGATTATTGGATCTTGGCAAGTTGATGACCTTCTCTGGATCAAATTGAATTGTTAATCTGCTTGCATAGATTAATCCCTAAATTAATCAAAACTAAATTCACTTGATATGTTTATGAAAAATGATCTTTAATGAGTTCATCAAGTTATGTAGGCCTCTTATTTTTTATAGCTGAAAGTACAGTTGAAATATAATACAAGAACTAGATAAACTAAAATTATTTACTGGTTCATTTGGTTGTGTTTCAATAAGTTTATTGAAGTAAGAATACTTGGCATCCATTGATTATTATCGTTCTGATTTATTTAAATTAGTGTTTGATTGATGAACATAAGAACCTTTCAATAGTTAAGAATTCTTATTATTAAAGTCTCTCTTTATTTATGTTACAAAGTCTTGCAGTTATGCACTCTTTTTTTCTTAAGTTTATTTCAATAATTAGGAATTGGAAGAGTGACTTTTAAATTCCTTAATTTATGAATAAATATTGAATATTGATTTAATATCTTTGGTCACTTTCCTTTATTCTTAAGTGGTATTCTTTTGTTCCATAAACTTCTTAGGAAAGTATTTCGATATTAATGAATACTGCTTTTATTGCATTCTATCCGATTTTTTGTCGTATTAATTTTCACTTTTATTCACAAACGAATCCTTTAATTAATTAAACTTTTTTTCTAAATATTCCAATTTCTCATTCAATCTCTTGTAAGCCTAATTTTCAACTGGTTTCTGTTTTTTATAATCATTTAATAAAAATTCACTTCCTTTGCTATTTTATTCCTTTGTTGATTTTGTCTAATTGTGACGTAATTTATATCCACCTTATTAGAGCAAATATAGATATGAAATATTCTTCATTTCTTTTATTTGTTATTGATTTCCTTTTTGATTTTAGTATGAATTCTTCTCAACAGCAGATTGAGCTCGATAGAATTGTTAAAGCGATGCTGATTTCTATAATCCGCTATTTGAACGATTTTCATTTTTTTATTGACTTGAACTGCTGCCTTCTCTATTCTAAAGTTATTTCTTTTTTTGCAAGAGAGCATATGAGTTTTCTTTATCGATTGTAATTATTGATCTGCCATTGTCTGAGATGCCTTATTTAGATAGCAAGTCTAATTTGATTTTCAATTTAATACCTGCATATGAATAGTTTTATGTTGTTCTGTACATAATTTTTGATATTTAGAATAAAAAGTCTGTTTATTTTAATATAACAAAATATGCTCATTTTTTAACAGGAGCCTTAAAATTTCCAACTTTTTCTTGATTTTGGAAGAACTCTAAGTTTTTTTTAAAACCCTCATTCTATTGCCTTAGTTATTACTTTTATTTAAAGCGATCAACTTAAGGTTCTTTAGCTTTTGGAGGATCAACCTAATACTTTTATCGAGCAGGTGAAGTGAAAACTTTATTATTTTATTATTCTTGATTTTATTTTTGCTCAACTTTATCCACTCTATCTTATTGATTACTCTATTTATTTTGATTTCCCTAAGCGACCTTTTATTATTCATTAATTTCAATTTAAATGTCCGCCTTTTGTTATTTCTTGTTTGGTTCATTATTCTAAGATTATTTTTCATTATTCTTAGAATAAATGATTGGAGATTCTAAAATTGCTTCCTCAAGCTTTTTACTCTCAATATAGGCAATCGTTGCTTTTCCCAAAGATTTCTGCTTTATAACATCAGGAGACGTTTTAGATTCAATATTAATTTTAGATACATCCTCATTTTGACCTTTTTGATTGAGATCAATATTTTTCTATTGATCCTACTATGGATTCTCTACCTTATCATCATTCTTATCTCTATTGATAAGAGGTTGATTCTCTTGACTATTCTACAATATTGAGTCAACTAAAGCAGTATCCTTCTTTTCTTTAAGATCAGTTTAAATTTCTTATTATTATTTTTGATTCTCTACCAAAGTGTTTTCTTATTAATTTATTTTATACTAATTATTTCCATAGGTTTAATTTTGTGTTGTATATACCTCCTAAAATGAATATAATCCTTCAAATAGAATTGAGTCTAATTTCAACTCGCCTTCCTAATTTTCCTTTACTAATTCAAAAGGTTCGTATACAGCTGCTGGTTATTCTGCTCCAGAATTAAGTGCATACTTCTTTTTCAAGTCCTAAGACACTCCAATATTAAAAAAGCTTATCAATTTGACTGACTTTTTATCCATCTCATTTTTAAATGGATCAAGTAGGATCTCATCATAAAAATTACCACTCCAAAAAAGATTCAATTCATTTCTTTTAAATGCAATTAAAGTGCAAGCCGAAATCATTAAAACTTCTGTAAATATTGATCTATTAATTATATCTAATTAATTTACGTAGGCAGAGGAAATGATATCAGATACTACACAATAACCCAAAGAACTAAGCCTATCAATAATCCTAAAAAACTGACTATTTCATATACAAAGGTTTTTTTTAATCTATCAAATCTATGCACATATGCGAGGAAGAAACCTAATATCGATGAGATTTTAACCTGGAAATAGGATATTGAATATCGAAACCCATGCGCATTTCTTTTTGTATATATATCTAAAGTATGGAATTTATGCAGATAAGGGAGTGTTGAAATATCTTAGAATCAAACTATCCCATTCATATCTAATGGTCATTGCCATATAGATAGAACAAAATAAATCCATCGCCATTATAGGCAGGAAAAACAATAAGCAATCTTTGAGAGAGGTGATCTTGAATAATTTGATAAGTGAGCCAAGAATACAAATTGAAATTAAATTACTTAACTACATTACATAATTTATTTACAATCCAAATTTATTCCGTTGCCAAGTATACTGCAAATAAAGCAACCCCGATAATTAATGCAAAAATATCACAGTATCTAAAATAGTAAATGGTCTGAACAAAAAATGGAACTCTTTTTCTAAAGGCACAAAACAACTCATCAATAAAGTGGATTGCACAGATTACACATAGGATATACACTATGATTTATATTGGTTTCTCAGCCTTCTCTTACAAATATAATGAGATAAACAAAGCTCCAATTAAAAGACTCATATAGAATAATGCCTATGACCATCCCAACAGAAACCCTTGAAATGGAGAACTCTCTTAAGCGATCTTGTCTAATTTCTCCTGAGGTAATTCATGTTTCAACTGTTTCGTTATGAAAACAACCTTGAATGCATAAATCCTTCCGAACATTGAAAGAACTAAAATCATCAAACTTTCAAATATAATCAGGATAATGTTGCTCCAATCAAATCTAACTAAATAAACTAAGTACCTTACAGGATAATAATCTTTGCCGCATATAAATTGGTAATTAAAGACCACGGGATCAAACCCTTCAAATTACAGGGTAACTCGTTTTATGCTCCAATATCTGTCATTGTTTAGGGCTTTCCAACATAAATGTGTTATGTTCAATCCTAGATAATTATTAAAGCCTTAGGCAATTTGAAAGTCTTTTTGATAATTGACTTGGACTTAGATATCCTAATCTGAAAGTTCCTCTGTGATATTTAGCCACTCAATTGATAAAGGTTCCTCTCCAAGATTCTCAATGTAAAAGGGGAGATTAAATCGTTATATATTTGATCCTTGTTTGTTTAGATTCATCACTCGGAATTTCGTAACGTTATTTGGACAACAAGATAAGGATGGGAATGATGCATAATCAAAATTCTAAAGTACTTTTTCATGAACATAAACGATTTGATCTAAATCTTCATCATCTGCGTATGACTGCAGTAATGGACCAATAGATAAGTTCGCATTTGGCAATGCTGCAAGAGTTATTGTTAATAAATAATAAATAAACATAATATATAATATTTCTGTTTATGGGCATTTTTAATGTATCGGCATAAGTTCTTATATATTTGGATTCGTCCCTTATTATGTATCAAAATAATCAATTTAAAGTATAAGTATATGATTTCATCAGTATAATTCACTTTATGTTTGGAGCCATTCCTCAACTCCTGTCAATATTGCAATCAACTTGTTAAGATTCTTCGACATCTTTTATATATCACCAATATCGAACAAAGGTTCAATATCCTCCGCATTCTTATATGATTGAGGGGCTTTATTCAATTCAATGTGCTAATAATTGACTAAGCATCTATTTGGACTAAGATGATTTAGCAAAACAGGATTCTTGAGTTCTCCAAGTTGAATATGTGCATGAGAGAGTCCTTTAATTTTAGTAAGGTCCAAAGTACCTCTTTCAGTCAATAATGACTGAGTTTGCTAAGTTTTTGGAATCCTATAATAAATAGTATTTGTACCTTATAAATGAATTAGCGTTTTTTGATTCTTGTAAGGCTCGCTTTAAGTTGGTCTTATCAAACTATGGTTGTTTTCTTATTTAATAATGGAGAAGCGAGGGTTTTTTCTTTTGGTCATTTCTCATAAGTTCAAAATTGTGCTTTGCTTTTTACAATCCCTCATCATGATCTTAAGCAAAGATTACTTCAAATGGTTCATCATCTGAAGATATATTAAAATCTGCTTCTTCAGTACTGACAGACTGTTTCTCTTTCTTGCTTTTTCCAACTGAACCTTATTCAAATTTAGCCACTGCCAATCTCTTTAATGATGAGTTGGGTTTCTAATATAGATTTAACAATATTACCAAGGTATCTCCGTTGATCATTTTATTATGGAAGAATTAAGCCATTTCGATATTGCCTTCATAATAATAGTATTTTCCCATTTGATCATATCCTTTAAGTTCTTCGTTTGGTTTATCTAATTTCCAACTACACATTAAATATTTGGTTATATAGGTCTTTGCTTGTTTGAGTCTCAATTTAAGGAAACACAAGGACAAGATTTCATAGGCCTTAATTTTATACTTGAGCATAGGTTCTGAGTCTGAGAATCTTTTGGCATTTTTGGCAAGCAGAATGGAGTAATGCAAAAGATTGTAATATTTGGCAATTTTAGAGAGAGCTAAACTAACTAAGATCTTGATATCTATTGAATAGAGTGTGTAAAAATACCAAGATTGCGAATTTTGGAGATTTGATTATTGATTTCCTGAATAATCTCAATGCAAAAGGATCGTTTAGATTTATTCAGAAGAATCCTTCGTAATCTATCAATTAATACGGCTATGTCATCTCTATTGCGAAGTAGCATGTCCTAACTTTAAATATAGATTGAAACACAGTACATATGAATCTATGGATTGGTTTGTCGGATTCTGGATTCTTCTTTAATCTTTTCGATCTCGGATTTGTATGTATTTTTGATGTTGTTAATGAGAATGTTGATTTTGGATTTTTTTTGTTTTGAAAAGGGATTGGATTTTTTGATTAAATAGCCTTCATTAGTTGAGTGTTCAGTGTTAAATTTTTCATGAATATACTTGCTAGATTTATTTGTATGAGCAGTGGTTTATAGAACATCACAAGTCCGTTCTGTGGTTTTTAATACACTCAGACGAGAAAGGGAAGGATTATTCTTAATTAGAAAGTATTGATAAAACATAAAATTAAATAATCATTTATCTTACACAGATTAATTGGTTCTGAATCTCTTTGATTATTATCTAAAATGCATTAATTATTATGATTGGAGTATATTATTAGCCTTAGGTTGTGGCTATTAATAATTATAAAAATTGAAGCTATTTTCCTGAAATCCAACTTGCGGTTTATAATTTTAGGTAGATTCCTATTATAATTCTTAATGTAAATAATTGCGATATAGTATTTAATTGGCTTACAATTTCATATAGACTTTGGCTAGTTATTTTTTATGTTCTTTAATCTTTAAATCACATGATTGGATAATTTCTTGGTTTTTTTTTAAGATTGGTTCTTCAATGGTAGTTGATCTAACAAATTTGCTTAGGTATCTATTTGATGACAGTTTTTATAGGTGGGAATGAGATGATTTAGTTTTTTATTCTTCTGAAGATGATTGATTATATGAGTTGCTCAATTTAGGTAGTCGATAATTCAATTTGATATCTTAGAATGGTTCTAACATAGATGGCAAAGCAGAGTGTTTTGGTCTTAAAAAGTAATGTGAATCCTGATTGATAGAAGAAGGTTGTTGATAAATATTTTTGATTTTTTGCATAATTATAATCAATCTGATAATTGCATTAGTAAAGCAGTGCCTCTTTTAATCCAGAAGTCTTCTTCATTTGAGGCTTGGCCTGGATTAGGTTTGCAAGGTAACATAACATCAAACTGATAAGATGGTCTTTCCATGACACCACAACGTACTTGATAATAATAGGTGGGACACAAATAAAAGTTTTAACCGTAAAAATATATGATGACTTTATACCTTTCTTTGTTTTGCTTTTGCCTTCTTGGCTGACTGGTTTGAATAGGACGATTGGCATTTAATCGTGTAATTTCATGGGTTCAGCATCTACTATATAGTTCTTTTCATCCCATTTTGCTCCTTCAAGGAATAAACCATGAATGTATGCACCATCTTTGGCAGCCTGAGGTTCAGATCCATGTGGAAGGAATGAGAATTCCCATCCGAATTGATCAATTGGAGTATTGACCTTTCTGGCACTCTATTGTAATAAAGCCGTAGTGAATCCAGTAGGGAATGAGAATCCAGAGAATCCAAAAGACACTAGGTTATTATTTGATCCAACTTCTCAATTGTGCTACTCTCTTCTCAAGATCAATGATCCAACTTGACAAGGGTTTTAAGGAGCTATAACAGAATTTCCATTATTGAGGAACTTTGTTATCAAATAGACTGTGCATGATGGTTTCAAGATCTTCTGAAATAAGCACTAGACCGCTGAGACCTTTGTCTAAATTAATGAGTGAAGTTCTGACTGTATTCAATAATTTATTGTATCTGGAAATTTCTTACATCAACACTATTTTCAATGGATTTTGATCTCCAGGTCTGACTTTCTCAATTGCTTCTTGCATATCAATCTCCTCTGGAACTTTGCCTAAGGTTTCTTGGATGAGTTTCTAAACTTTGGTTTCCATGGATTCTTCACCAGCCTTCACAGATTATGGTGATAATGAGATGATAGAATCGATAAGAGCATTTGTATCAGCAATCTATGAGGATATTTCAGCATTAATATGTTAGCCGAACACTTCAGCTCTCTCCACTGGAGGGAAATCTTCAACCTTACTTCTGTAGAACAATACATGATTGCTAATCTTATCATTCTTGCTTTCTTTTGGTTTGAATTCCTCTGGAATATAATAATATTAAGAATTATCAACCAATTTATATTTCTCTTCGAAAATAATCTTATCTTAGAAGAAACTATTAGCATAGACCTTCAACAATCTTTAATCATACTTGTCTGTCACTCTACCTCCATAGATAACATCAGCTATTAGATATCTGATTGCATCCCAAGGAGGACTCTTCTATACTGGTTAATCTTATTATTGTTATCCAAGTTATTATTATTATTGTTGTTAATTGTGTTTGCTATCATGTTATGTCTAATCAACATACATCAAAAGAATATTATCAGCAGTTTCCCAATCTGAATCATTGAAATCATAGATAACATTCCATCCCATAGATTTGAATCTCTTACGTTCAATAATTAAACTATGGAACCAACAAAGTGAATACACTAATTTCATATAATGTAATTGATTGGTCAATTTCTACTATGAAAGAATTTATGGATCAAATTTTGATTATGACATATTGGTGTACAATCTATTCATATTAGCCTTTACTCCTTTAGGTGGTTCTGTTGTCACCTTTAAACACTTTTAAAGTATGCTAATAGGGAATTTTGGATGAGGAGCAGAACTCAACCATAGTCTGAACTTTTCATTTGTGGCATCTGATTACCTCAGAGTTTCCATGCATTTCTCTAATTCTTTCAAGAAACTCAAACTCAAATGACAATTTGCCAAATACACCCATAGACCAGCCTTGCTACCTTCATATAGTTTATCTATAGCCTTTTAAGCTTAGCCTTAACCCAAGGACACTGGTAACAACTAGCAATCCTTCATCTTGGCAAATTGCTCCAATTAATGATAGGGATCAACACCTGGAGACAAGATGAATATCACAGGCTTATTTTTGGTGGTGTCATTGTAAATTGAATCATAAGTAGTTGCAGGTGGCTAGGTATAGAATTGTCCCATGGTTGCATTAACAAATGCTTATGCTGCCAATAGAACTCTGTCAGGTCTGATTATTTTGAGTAAGATCATCTTCTTAAGACTGTCACATTTTTGATCCCATTCTCCTGGCAATGAATCTGATTCTGGGGTTGGACTCAAATACCACTTCTTCCATTCTTTACCATTGTGAGTGAAGGCATTGATGATACCAGTAAAGTTTGGTAATTTATCCAAATCACAAATGGATTACCATTATTGTTCAGTGACCCAATCTGAAATTGGATTGTGAGGTTGATTCTTTCTATCTGCATTTGGATCCCCACCTCTCAAGAAGAAGTTGTACTCCTCTAAATCAATTGTAATCTAACTCTTCAATTCACTTGTGATGTTTACAGCCATTTAAATGGCCAACAAGAGTTTGTCTTTCTCGAATAACCCTCGGCATGCAGTTTTGAATATCTCTTCAGAATGTCTAGCTGCAATATCTGATAATTTCTCTTACAAAGAGTCATTTATGGATGCTCCTCTGCTTTAATATGTATTGATATTTTCACCAAATTACTCAATATAATTGGACAAGGCAAATTGATACATGTGATCAATAAGTGAAAAATCATTTAAAACAAAGAATAATTTGGATGCAATTCTGGCTAATGAACGATAGTTTTCTCTTGCTGCAAAGGTTTTCTTCATTGAAACAGCTGAGGTTTCAATTTGCTTCTTGACCTCTTCTTCAGTTTCCTTAGATTTGTCTAAGGTGACAATAAGATTTTCATCATCAATCAAACTTCCTTTGATTTCCTAGAGCATTTTCAAAATATCATCATCCAATTTACGTAAGGTGATCTCATTTTAAGATTTCTTATTGACCAAATCGTTCTTACTCTTTTCTAATTAGGCTTCCATAATTTGAATGACAACTGAAATCAATTATTCTTCGAGACCTTTTTATTTCACTGTGAAATTGACTAAGGTGACTCTTGTTTAGGTTTCAGCCTTATATTTTGGATTAGCCAATTTAGTAGTCATGTAGAATCTGAAATTAGGATTGTACAATATTTCTTTTTCTCCCATGTACATCATTAACTTATTGTTGACTGTTCTCAATTATTTATTCAAGACTGGTTCCAAAGAAGGATCCAAATCTTCTCCCATGTTTTCTAAGATCACAATCTATCCATTTGCAATAGCTGTTTCAATTATGCTCATCATCTTTTCGTTCTATGGATCTAACTCTTTAATATTATTCTTGTTGATGGCTCTTTCCATATTTTTAATCCAATTATTGGCTTAGACTTGTGGATCAATCATCAATGGCCATCTTCTTCCTTAAGTGACTAGAACACCATTTTCTTTAGAAAATTGGTCATCTGGTAATCCTTATTGACTCCATTATAAAAAATTGAACAGGCTTAACAAGGAAATCAGGGAAATTCCAATCTTTAGAATATGGGATCTTTAAGTATCTGACTTATCCAATTAACTATTCAGCAACAAATTGTTGTCTATATTCAGATGGGAATGGACCTGCATAACTCAAGAATGCAGCTGTCATTAAGGCATCTCCAACCAAGACTTCAAGCTTTCCTTGCAATTCCTTTCTTCTAATAGCCCAACCCTCTTTTGTGCTTGCCAATCCTGATATCAACTTTTCTGCTCTTTCCAATTTATTAACCAACACTGAAGTTTCTCTGGTATACATTTCCATATCATCCTTTGCTCTCTACAAATCTGTCTTCAATTTTTCAATACTCTACTTCAAAATCTAGAAGTTCTCCTGCAATTATTGGAATTCATCTTCACTCTTCTTCAATTTCTCTCTCAAATGCTTGACTTTGGCTCTTTTGGGTTCAATGTCCTTAAATGCTTTGGCATACATTTCCAATGACAAGACCCATCTCCAAAGAGTACCAGAAGCAACTGAAATGGCATCAATCTTGGAAGGAAGCATATCAGGATCGCTTGTGATTTTCTCAATTCTAACTAGAGTCTTATTCATGATGTGATCTTTATCGACTTTCTTCAATTGTTACAAGAAATCAGGAGCAGTCATTTCCTTCTTGGCACTTGCCCAAGTTGCCTCTTTACCCATGATAATCATGACAGCCTACAAGACATTATCAACACCATTAGGAGGTTTACTGTAAGCTCTGACTTCAGCCAATTGTTATTTATCTAATTATTCCAATCCTTATTCAGCTGCTCTCAATGCAGGTTCTGCTTTTTCTAAATCCTTCTATGCTTCTTCTGCCAGAGTCTCTACTTCAGCTTTTTCCTTTTCCACTTGAGCAGATCTGGTTTCCACTTCCACTTATTTCTCATTTGCATCTCTTGATTCACTCTCTATTTTGATCATCAACTCTTCACAATCCTTACTCTTCTTTGCCAATTCAATTTGATAAATGGATAATTGTTTTTACAATTCTTCACTGTTAGCTGCTGCATCATCTAATTTCTACAATCCCAAAGTGAGTTTTCGAACTTCACCACCAATTTCATTTTGTTTCTTCTCCAACAAATCATTATAACCTTTGACCAATTCAATATAATTAGTGGGTGTAACATAGTAGATTCTTTTTAATTCTTGGAACATTCTATTACTCAAAGAGAGTACCTTGGTATGAGCAGTTCCAAAGAACTTAGCAATGTTAGCAGTTAATTCATCGTCCAACTTTAATTGTAACAAGTATCTGTTGGCCACTTCAACCAAAGCCTATTCTGGCCATGGCATAAACCAAATCATAGTGGTATTATTGACCAAACCTGGATACATACGACAATAATTTCTTAGATTCTCTCCGGTCTTACTCATCAAAATCATGAGATGGAAATTATTTTGAATTCTGGTGAAGAAATATTCGATGAGGTCTTCCTCTTAGATTTTAGCATCCTTGTCTAATTTGTTTTCTTCTCTATAATGCTTTCTGACTCTGTCTTTGATCTAAGGATAATCTTCCTTTTGACTGAATAGATTGGGTACCTCCCCCACAGAGAGAATGTTATTGATATCTTCAATGAATCCCTCATTAGCAATTTGATTGTCACTAAAAATGAAGGTTCCAGAGACTCCCTTAAATCCTGCCTCTTCACACCATTTTTTGATGTCTTCTCTGAATTCTTTCATTCTGTAATTCTTACTGACTTCAATCTACCAACTCTTGTATTCTGCAATATGAGTGGCTAATTTTGTGAGTGAGTGTCTACCAGCACCACCTTCTCCAACAAGCATTCCGTGTCCTTTACCCAAATTAATGATACGATTGATCTTACAAATGTAATGGACAGCCTCTTAAAAGAGAACTATGTTCATGGCCTTCGATTTATTATCAGTGTTGAATTATACTAATTTCTCCTCTAAGAATTTCTTCAAATTCTCTCTGTCATTGTATGTCACTTCAATGTATTTACCTCCACTCTCTTCCATGAAATTGGCAAAGACTGTGTCATCTTCATTTTCATTAGTGCATTCTTTGATGGTGGTTTGGAGACATGAGACCAGTTGATCATTGATCAATTATTTGCATAATTATCTGTCCTCAACACTAATGAGTCTATCATGGAATACTCTTAAACATTCATGTGCCCACAATCTAAGTACAGTCATTTTGTTATCACAATACAATCTGTCTAATTAGTAGACTCCTTGAATGACTTTGGAGATGTCTCTCATATTGAAGACATAATGAGATTTGGCAGGAGTAGGCAAAAAGTTATTGGTGACCATCTAGAATAAGTTATAAGTGGCTTAAGCAATGGGTTCAATGAGTAATTTGATTTCATCTTCGAATTCTTAAAATTTATAAGCCAAAATGGATTAATAGATTCTCTTGACTTGGAGATCTGAGAGCACAACAAAATTGATGACATGGAATTTGTTTTGAATTCTGGTTGAGATTTCAGCTCTACCACCACCTGGAGGTCCCATAGCTGATACGAATTGAATATCTAAAATGAATTTGAACAACTCTCTGTTAGTACGATCAAACCATCCTTCATAATCCATCCATTGACGAATAAGTTCAAGAGGAGGTTAACTTCCATAAATGTCCTTTCTGGGCATATTGAGATCATCAATAAAGATGATCATTTTCTTGCCATCAGGAATCATCTTATTTTTAGATCTCTTTACCAATTTACTTTCAATCATATCTTGAGTCTTCTATGAGGAAGTCTGTGCTGAAAACACAATGTTCATAGTAGTGTATTCAAACATCTAAAGGAGTACTCCATTTAATAACACAGTCTTTCCAGTACCTGTCAATCCTACAGCCAACACAGCGTTTTTGTTACTGAGTAATCTGGTGATGATGTTCTTGTTTCTGACTTGATCAGTTGTAGGTACAAGCATTTTGTGATATGGACTATTATTTTCAGGTTTCCATTGACCAGTACCCAACTTTTCATCCCATGAAGCCCATTCATTTTTATCACTGTTTACAAAGAAATCATAGACTGTATTTTGACTGGGGAAGATCAAATCAATATCACGCATCTATTAGTCAATAATACGACGACCATCTTCATCTACAGTGGCTCCTACGCTCCACACCAATCCAAATGTAAACCACTTTTCAAGGAGGGTCCAATAGACATCACTCTTGTTTTGGATGTCCATAGACAATTGCTTTTCACTCTTGAAGAAACAATCCATCAAATTACAGAAAGAGATAATGACATTGGTTTCACTGCATGGAATGATTTCCTTGCACCACTTTCTCTGTTTGAAGAGTTTGGGAATCCATCTCTCTATGAATTCAAAGATGGTTTCTTAAACCAAAGGATCAGTCAATTTCTCAACCCAACTCTCAATATAGGGTCTCCATCCGAGATCATTTATGTCCAAATAAACCATACCTGCTCTTGAGACTGTGGCTGGTGAGGCGACTGCCAGATTCTCCACTTCAAAAATCAATCCCATTTATGGAGGTAATGAGATTCTATCACCATTCAATAGGGTCAATACTTTATTATCATCTAACACTGTATTCATAGATTCAATCCAAAGTGTATCGACTGGTCCATCCAGAATCATCCATTTTTGATCTGGAGTTTCATCTTTGCATAATCGAGCCATCATGGATGATAACACACCATCATTCCACTCCATAGTTGAATTTACATAACCAAACAATTCATTGATGGTAACAGCCTTTGGATTCAACACTTCAATCTTCACCTTAGGATACTTGTTGGGTTCTCTTTCATTCAATGAATTTAAACAATTCTTCAATACCTTCCAACATGTAGTCTTGCCTGCCAAAGATTGACCTACAAGCATATTACCATGACGTGTATTCTTAGAATCATACAATTAGATGATTTTGTTGATGTGTTCTACTCTTGTTTGTAATTTGAGATTTCTCATCTGGGTTTCAATTTCATTGAACAATGTTTCATTTATTTACTCTTACAAATCAACATTTGGAAATAGATCGTTGAAAAGAGCATTAAACAATGGCACATCTTCAGAAACGAATTTTGGAATGTTCATGTCTCTAATGGCCCTCATAAGAATCTATGTCTCTTGATTGGCTTCGTCAATCTCACTTTCTTTCTGATTTTCTCTGGCATTCTCATCTTACTTGACTTTCTGGATTTCATTTGATTTATCTCTTCTGATTTAACCAGCACAATTGAGAACAGACTTGATGGCTCTTAGACCAAAATCATAATGATCTTGTTTAGACAATTGTTGGATCATCAATCTATAAAGTGTAACCATCTTGGTGGAGAGAGCATGTCCAGTCTTGAATCCTTCTGATGTAAGCATGATTTCACAAATGATTTCATTTTCAGGAACCATCATAGAAATTGGTCTGAACAGAGACTTCAAGTTGTCTGGAAGTTCTGATCTACCAGCATAACCAGGATTCATTGTGATGAAAATGGCAAATTGATCATTGATGGGTATAACATCTGAATCCAATTGGAAAGATGACTTCTCCTTATTCTTTTCGTATTCTTTCAATGCATTCATTATTTGACTCACTTGTTATGCAACAACTGATAGCACTTCCACTTCAATACGATTGAATTCATCGAAACAACCCCAACCACCTACTTGCACTAATCCACTGAACATTCTACCGATACTCTTGTAATCCAATCCTTCTGAACAATTGAAAACCAATACAAATTTAGCCATATTCTTACCCAAATCCTTAACAGTTTCTGTTTTACCAGTACCAGCAGGTCCTTAAGGAGCACCTCCTTTTTTCAAATGCATAGCTGTTGTCAAAGTCATGTAACATCTATCTGTCAAAGCAGTTACAACCAATCTACCATTGTTGCCTTAATATTCATAACCATAAGCAAAACTGCTATTAGCCTATTCAACTTTACATTCAAATATATCATTGACGGCTGTACCTGTAAATCTTAATTACTTCAACCATTCAAAAGAATGCGGAGATTGACAATTCTTTGTGAGATGATCAATGATTTCCTTCTGGTGCACCTCAATTGTAATTAAAGCAACCAATTTCAATCTATCGACCTCGTTACTGGGTTTACGAATCAATTTGGTCAATTCCAAGATGAATGATTACTTCTCATCCTTGATAGCCTTCCAGCCTCTATTCTTCTCTGGTCTTTCAGAATTATAGATCTAATTTAACACATTGGCACAATCACCCGACCATGTCAATTGACTGGCAGTAATTAACAATTATCCAGGATGTTCCTTGACCCATTTATCAACCCAACGCATTCCTTCTTTCTTCTTTATACTCTACATTGTGGAGAACAATTCCTTCTTGAGTACATCTCTCATGGTCTTCTCAGCCTAACCAAGCCATTTCTCTAGTTGAGAATCACAAAGGACTTTGGTGGTGAACTTAACAACTTCTCCATCTGGGGCAACCATGGCTTAGACTTCATAGACATCTTATTTGGCTCTTCCAGTCTAGTATTATTGGGTGAGGATATCGAATTTCTTGATACCTTCGAAACACTTCTTGATGTGCTTATTGACTTTGAACACGTCTTTGGAGTTTCCCAATAATTCAAACAAGTCATCGTTGGACAAGAAATAGAATCTGGGGAAATCCTTACGTTATTTCTCCAATAATTAATACAAGATCTTTTGACTCTCATCCAATTTCTAATTCATTGTACATAATTCTTAATAGAAACCTTCATATGACAGTGATCTCTTGACATTCTTATCCTCATAGATACGATTCATGTGACCTGACAATTAGGAATTGATTGCTGCAAACTTATTGATATCTCCCATCAATTGTTTTTCAGACTCCTTCTCTTGAGTGGCAAAGATGGCTTCCAAATAAATCCATTGTCTCTAAACTATGGACAACATTTCCAAAGTCTCTGAGATTTGTTATAAGCAATTCTCCCATCTTTCAATTGTGGGTTTGAATGAATCATAGAAGGCAGTTGTCTTCTGAGCACTCAAAACAGCCATATGATCTTCCAAAATAGTGAAGATCTCTTCAGTCTTCTTGATTTTGTAGGTCTTCTTGAAAGTGTCCATTTCCAATTCAAGTTTAGCCCATCTCTAATCAATTTTATCCAAAGCGTTTTCAATTTTGAATTCTTCCTTAGCTACTTCACACACATCCTTAACAGCTTCACCATAGGATAATAGATTCAATTTGAATATTTCAGCCATGTTGAAGTCTTTGCTATCTGGTTCAATGTTGGTTCCTAGATGTTATCTCATTTTATCCCAATGTCTGTCTCTCATGTATTATTCTCTCAACATGATGATCAGAGGAAGTGTCTATTTGAATTAATCAATAATTTGCTTCATATGATTAACAATTTCCCACTTCTGCTATTCTCTTGGCAAGGCCTTCAATTTCCTCAAATAATCATCACCATTTTCATCCAAATTGTCACAATTGACATCTCTGAAAGCTGTGCTTCCAATATCCTTAATGAATTAATCCCATTCTTCCTTTGTGCGCCAAATGTATGATAATTGTGCAATCTCCTTCTCCATGAATTCCAAATCTGGAGATGGAACATAGTTGAATTTAAACAAATCGAAACCAAATTTCATGGATTCCTCTTTCTTACGATATTGCTTAACTTGTTCAGAATATTCATTCAAATTCAATAATGCCTTTTCATGAGGCATATTGGTTGCTTGATATGGAGCATTACTCTAAAACACAATCTTGTAATCTCCAGTTTCTTTGATGAATTCATCCAAGTTCTTCTGAGTCTCCAAGTACAAATTGTTGTGCACTTTACGATTTCTCTCTTAGATTCTATCCAACATCACATTGAAATTGGCCCAAGTGTTTCTTAAATTGTTCTTTCTTGTAATATCATCATCTTTTAATTGTATTGAATAATCTTCCAACAACTTAAACTTATCTTCCAATGGTCCTAATTTGGCCTCAATGGATGGTCTATCCTCATTCAACTTATTCCAAAGGTCACTGCTCTTCTTCAATTGTTACAAATCTTAAGGTACAATGTCCAAATTGGTTTCTGAGGTCTGGAATAGTGAATATAATTAATTCAAATCTTGCAATGCTTTATCCTAAGTGGCATTCAAGAAGGCATTCTACCAAGAGATCATAATATCAATCAAAGTAGATTTAATTGAAGTGTTATCCAAGATGATGCAATCTTGGGTTTTTGTGGTTTCCAACTGCTGAATTTCTCCTTAATGTAAATCAAAGGTTTCTAATTGAGTTTTGATGTTAGTGATTGGATCATTTCTGTTGATCATTGTCCTTAATAAACTTCTCCTTCTAATTTGCCTATTACCAATACCAATCGTAACGTTTCCATTAGCCGTGAGCATCTACTGAATTCAATGCATCACAAGTCTTGCTCAATTTACTATTGATTTTCTGAATCAAACCATCGCTATCGTTTTTGATCTTGATATTCTATTCGTTATCTAGACTCCTTATTGATATCTGAGTCTCCTACTCCAATTATTACACTTAAGATATTTCACTCATTCTCCTAATATTTTATGCTTGTGGATTCTTGGAGTCCTTAGAGTTTAATAAGATTGCTTCATCCAATTTCTTCTTTCTCTCCTCCTTCATGACTTCATCCATGCTCTTAAAATCTTTCATGATTTCTCTCATATATTCACAAGTTTAAGAGACCATCTGTTTCAAATAGTTTGTAGATGGTCGATACTCTTGTTACTGATTCTCCAATTCCACTGATAATTTGAAGATGGGCACTGGAGTGATCTTACCATCCTCTGAACCAATTACTTTTTACAAATCAATCAATGAATTCTTTACTGCTTTCTCATAACTCTCCTTGATCTTGTAATCTATGGACTTCACCTACTTCAACCAAACAGTTTAGACCTCAACTCTATCAAACAGAAATGGATCATAAGTCTCAGACAATATCTTCCTTATTTCATCAAATATTTATTTCAACTTCTAATACATATCTCTTCTATGTTTCTCTTATTCCTCCTCGAAGGATTTGTGATCATATTGTTTCTTACGATCTATCTTAATCAACAATTTATTGGCAATCTCATTGCATTTACCATCTATCTTGTCCATATTGGTCTTGAACATCTTCAATTTCAAGAACATCTCTTAACAAGCTCTCCGACAATCCCTAACTTAACTATCAATGATTGTCTTTGCACTCCATCTCAAACGAGATGCCAATGGTTATATTACCTTATTGACAGTCTCCAAATGTTGAGCAAACAATTTCTTCTCAGTTTCAGTCATATAGTCAATAATGTTGTTGTATTCTCTGACCACTAACATCACCAACTCTCTGAGCACTCTCAAACTCTCCTTGTGATTCTAAGTAAAATCATTAGCGTAACTTGGAATAACAACACCAACAGCTATCAATTTCTACCAAGATGAAGTCTCATGCAACAATTTTAATAGTTGCCTATCGAAATTGCTTTCTAAATGGCCAATCTTAGGTCTCAAAGACTCCTTCTTATATTAAAAATCTGGATGTTTCTCATCTGTTCTCAATAATACCTGCTTGTCTAATCTAGTAGTCAAAACTATGTCTTCAAGATCTTTGCTGTCTTCCTTCCATTCCTTGAGTCTGGATTCTATGATGAACTGTTTCAGATTCGATGATAACTATTCAAATTTTTCAATTGCTGTCCTCTTAATCGAATCTTCAATGAAGTACATCTAATCAATCCAATATCTCATTCTCATGATTCTATGACTCAATGAATTAACCCAAATTGCCTATCCAGAAAATGAGCCGTGTTGTAAAGGGTAATACTATAGTTTCTTAATATTATCAAATTCATGTTTGGTTGCATCAATTTCCTAGATGAACAATTCTAAGACTACTATAGCCTTATTTTGAACAACTCTCTTGATCGATAGTCTTTTAGCCAATTAATCAAATGCTTCTAACAACTCAACTCCTTATTGAACTGTTGTCATACTCTCAAAGGCATTATTAATAATATTGGTATACATAACATCCAAATCCTTAACTCCATTACGAAATGCGTTGAAGACATCATGCCACTTAGAAGCTTTCACATCTAATATCTTATCCTTGTCAGTTTTACGAATGTCTCTGATGGGTTTCAAATGTTTTGAAAAACTATCCTTTATTTATTCAAGATTATCTTCAATCTCTTGACCCTTGCTGCCCCCAAATTGTGGAATGTGACTGCCTGCTCCTTTTCTGGCAAATTGCAATTATCCTTCACATATTTCCAATAACTCTTTGCAACGAGAGATGAAGGCATCCACTTAAGCAAATATAGAATTGTTGAAATCCCATTTAGGTCCTTTAGTCAATGATGACATCTTCTCAATAGCAACTGACATTCTTTAGTAAATCTTCTTCCATTGTTCCCCACACTCAATTGAATCATTCAAATCTTAAATGCATTATTCCACATCACCATCCAACATGTCATTGATATTGATACTGGACTTGCATCTCTTAATGATCTCATTAGAAATTTTATGTATCAATCCTTATATCCTCTCCGGAGTATTAAAGTATTTAGACTTCTCCCATATGTATCTCACTCTGAACAACAAATTAGGGAGTAATTCTGGGATCTCCCTGGGTGTAGCTGTCTCCAACTATTTGCAAGGTTCATACAGAATCTTTAGATTTTCTAAGTTATCCTCTGCTTAACTGGATCCCAATTTGATATTCTCAGTAACATCCTTGAAACTCTAGACATATTGACTATCACTCAATATTTGGATGATTCTTTTCAACTCTGGCTTCTCCAATTATTCATGAATGTGTGACAAATTATTTTTTCTTTATCTCCAATAAGCTATCTCATCAAGTGGACCTGCATTCTCATTCTCAATAGCCAATTCCTAATTGTTCACAATGTCTTTGATTTGTCTCTACCAATGTAATAAGATTGCCTCCAATCTTTACAACAAGTCTTTGTCATGAGAAGCCTACTCAATATTATTCAAGTCTTCATTTGGGATATACAACTCAGTAATGCCTTCTTGACTGAAGGAAAACTCTGTGAGTGTTGCCATGAATTTGTGTAATTAAGCCAAGAACTCTTTTTTTACATTTTCAGGCCAAGAGGAATCCTAAATAAATTATGGTATGAATTAAGCATTCATTTGTTTCAACAATGTCTTCAAGTAATTGATATTTACAACACCATCACTGACATACTCAGCAACATTTTCCTCACTTATTATCATTTCTTAAGGATGTGGCAGTTTCAAAAAGTACACGAAATCTGGATCAAAAGCATCAGGTTCTAATCTAGGGGGATCTGTCTCACTCATTTGAATTCCCTATTCCGTCATCCAAGCAAACAAATTTGCGTATCCATGCTTACGCATAAAATTAACAGATAAAATATCATGAGGATCATACTTCCACTACAATTGTTCTAAATCATAAATGTCCTAGTGCTCCAAAAATTATTTTCTCACGTAAATGGGACCGTAATCTAAATATTATTTATCTTTTACTATCAACACTAGCAGACTTAAGTTTTAATTGCAGATTGATTTAGCCTCCATTTAGATCTTTTTAATCATCATTAATATCCTACACGTTTTGATTAACATGATCAGGAGATCCCTTATCCAAATCTGGAGAATTTGGTTGTTATTAATCAGACATGTTTATATTAAGATTCTCTTCTACAAAACTTTGTCCTTGAGGAGCTTCATCTTGGGATTTCAGTTCAAGATCATTCTGTGACATTTTTTAATTTAAATAATGTTATTTCTGTAGTAAAAAATTACATGTAAAGGAGGGGTTTAGATTAATACTTATCAATTATTATTTTATTTTTAATTATCTTTCCAAAAATTAAATTTCATCACCATTGACCAATAGCTGTCTAACTTTATCAAATTCTTCAGTATGATTTGCTATTCAATATTTCTTTTGATCTCATTCCTTAGAAACCTAATAGATTTTCAGAGTTCATATAATCAATAATAAACTCAACACAAATATCAATTATTTTTAATTAGGCTCATATACTATGTTTTCCTCCTTGCTTGGAATATCTTAAACAGGATTTTCAACCCTTCCTAATCAATTTATTGTAAACATTAAAATTCATATTCCGTACCATCAATAGACTAACCAAATTTGAATTATAATCTGAAACTGCCTTAGGTAGAACAATTTAAAGTGAAAATTAATTTTTCTTGTTTGTTGTACTAAATTATAGTTTGATGTAACTTTCCAAATTTTTTCTTCCTCTTTAAGAAAAATAGGTAGAATATCATTTTTTAGCAGTTATTATATAAAAATTATTTGAAAAATGTCAATTTTATATCTTCCCAAAATAAGATTAAAAGCTTTAAATAGAAATGCATTTAGGACTCTGAAAAGAAGTGAAATAAGGCAAAAAAATAATTACAAAAAATTGAAATTTGATTCTTCTTTAAGGTCCTTATTCGGCTAATCACATATAAAAGGATTTTCAAATTCTACTCAAATTCACCAAAAATTTAATTGCTTTCAAGTATTAGAAGCTAGATAGAGGAATTTTGTAGTTTAAGTTTAAAGAATATAAAAATTACTTGAAAACCACTCAAAACCATTAATTTAAATCTTTGATTTAGAATTAATTATACGTGATGTTTGATAAATTTTATAATTGTATGATGAATACAAAATTAAGATAATAAAGATAATTTTTATGGATAAATAAAATATATACACTTTCATTAATGTTTTAAAAAATATTGTATATTTTATCTTCTTGCAGATAATTATTAGATAATTCTTAGTATTTAATATGATAATTAAAGGCCTTCGATTAAGCAATTCCCTAAATTTTTACAAATTATGAAAAATTCATATTGTGAAATATTAATACTTTAAGTAGATATAATCTAATAACGTACTGACCTGTTTATATATAAAATTAATACTATTGAGGATAACTCAGCGGTACTATGATACCGATCTCTATTTATTAGTCATCCTTAGCTAATAACATTTTGTAGCAGTCATGAAGATGTTCAGCTTGGCCTTCAAATCTATAATTTAATTAAATATATGATTATAAAGTTTTATCTTCGACCAATAAGGTAGTGTCCTTGTTTTGTTTGTAAATCAAACTTTCCCCTTAACAAAGCTTATACCAAAAAGGAGAGTCATCATTTATTTGAGAATTACCAAAATATTTTAATTAAAACCCCTATTCAAAATTCAATCCAGGGAAATTAGTAAGCAATTCATTTCTTTACAATTTTTGCAATTGAATTTTGATTAATTATATGTTGTATATTCTTTTCTACAATTATAGATAGAATTCCTGAGGACTCAATTCAAATCCAGTCAATAGTTTAGCCCATCGAAAAGTCATATATTTATTATTAATATTAATTTCTTCATCACTCTTCGCATTTACGATTATTGGTTCACCAGGATCTCCTTTAAATAACCCACAAAAGAGTTCCTCTGATGAGATTTGATTATTTCGATCCACTTAAAATACAATCTTATCTAAAGTGGTAAAGTATCTGATACTGAATGAGAAGGGGTAGATATTTTCATAAAAGGATTCCTACTTAACTCCCAAATAATTTAATGCAATTTGATCAAATAGGCCTTGTTCGATAGTTACTTTCAATTCAAATTGGGATAATTTATAGAAGCTGTCTGAGATAGGGTGTGAAATGATTTCTAATTGTAAGAATTTGGTTTGTAATTTTTAATAAATTTAATGTAATGGTTAAGGTAATTATTAAAAGAATTCTTATTGAGATGGAAGTGCTAGATGAGGGATTTCAAATATATTCAAAGTAGGTATAAGATGCGATTATGTTTGTTTCAGTAAGTCTGGCAAAACTTAGAAATATTGTGATTTCTTTTAATCATACTGTGATTGTAGATGCTCGAACTCGCTAGTAATTTCTTCATGTTTTTTCTTCTTTTCTCTTCTTACTTCTAATTCAGTCTCCAATTTATGTAGTATTTCTTTATTGTGATCCAATGGATTCTTACCTTCCAAATCAAGTTATCTTCTAATTTAATTATAATGATGTGTTTGTAAGGCTTTGAATTGCCCTATTTGTTATTGCAATTAGGTGTTAGAATACTTCAAGCATTCAGAATTGATTGTCTATTTGTCTAATTGATCTTTTTCCAATTAATTTACTCTCCTATTTCCTTCTATACTTCTATATAGTTCTCTATGTGTTTTCCTTAAATCAGTAAGCAATTAATAATCAATGCTATCATTTCTTTTACCCGTAGCCTTGCTTACATTCTCTCTCATTTGATCTATCAGTGTTTGGATTTTTTATTGTATTTCCATTTTTATTTTAATTAATAATGGCAAGATTAATAGGAAATAGCAATATTAAGTTGAGGAATCCTCTATTGAAACTATCTTAAGCAAGCTCTTCGTCATCCAAATTGATTGCCTTCAAAGTCGTGTTTATTGATGATGTTTAAAATCATTACACTGTTAACTGCAAGAAGGTGAATTGTTTTTACACTTAAGGAAAATAAATTAAGATAGAGAAATTGATGGAGAAAGAGTTAAATCAATATTCCGATTTGAATCAACTAAAAACTCCAAAATTTTATTTTTATGATTTAAATGGTAATTAGATTACCATGTATGATCAAACCATAGAAACCTATCTCGTCAGCACAAAAGATAACAACCATTGGTTATACGATAAGAAATACGAGAAATTATTATTTCAAATAATCTAAATGGATACTAGTTTTCTAAGCAACAACATTTCAGATGATAAATCAAGGAAACAATCATTATTGAATTCAAATCAACACATTATCCATAACAATCCTTTTGATCATTTGATTCCCCAAAGTAGTTTCCGATCTCGAATACTCTAAAAGGGGATCTAAGATTTAGAAAATGTTTATGATAATTTCAAAATGACAAGTCGCCAAAATTCTGATCCCTTTATTATTACCAATTGTAAATTCAAAACAACTCATCAATCATTCAGCTCTTAAAATAAACTATCAAATTTATCCTATAATAATAAAACCAATATTCCTAATTCAACTCCCAGACATTATTTAACAGAACAAGAGTAGTATTTCATAGATAACATGCAAAAATGTTAGGATGAATTAGACAATTTCATAAATAAACTCAAATCAAATCTTTCAAAGGAAAACGAAGAAGTTGAAAAAATAATTCGCTTTTATGAAAATGTACTCTATCCAACCCCGAAAAGCAGAGCCCTTGAAATGAAATAAATATCTACTTCGAGTTTAATAAGCACAAAATTAACCAAGATATTGGGGAAACAGTTCCCAGCTGACTCTAAAACTCCCAAGGCCTACGTTCCTTAAGAAAAGAAGATGTTACACAAAATACCCCCTTTGTTGCATTTGAACATTCCTTCATTGCAAGCAAAATATAGGTTGAACAGAAGCCAATTATATGCTTTTTTCTCTCTTTATAAAGTCTTGCATCTCATATCAGGATATATGAAAATAAAGAGGAAGTAATTGCAGGTTTAAGGTATTACTTATGAAGTGTACAGGAATGGAATTGAAACCATCCAGGATTAAGCAGAGAACATGGCAAGGGGAATATTTGATATCATAGATAGTCGTTGTTCTGGTTTCTTGGATTGGGGACAATTCTTATATTTAATGAGTTCAGTATAAGCTAAAACGAGGGATCAAAGAATTGATTTGTTTATCAAGATTGCAGATTCTAATAAGGATGGTTAACTTTCATATTAGGAGGTTGTAAAATTGAGTTAATAAACATTGCAGAAGTTCATAAAGAATGGAAATAGAGAATTTTTGGATGAGATGTCATAATTCTTCTCAAAAATCATTTTTGATTCAGTAGGAATAGATTATCAATAAGAAATTCAATTTAATCATCTAAAGGAAGTAATAAATTAAGGACATCCCAATTCAGATTTATTGTGCATGTTTTGTGGTGCAGACTCTTGATTCTTTTTGTTTCATTTTATTCACCAAATTAAAATGAAAGCCCATTATAGAGATTATACCGATACATATACTATTGTTTTATATATATACAAATCACATGAATTCCATTTTACTTAATTCTGCCTAGGACATGACTCTTCTCTTTTTTCTCTCTCTATCCCATCTGGTTTCATTGGCTTAATCCTCTCTTTGTCTGAACTTCTCTCTGTTGATAAACTTCAAGTCTTTCTGATATCTTTCATCCTTTGTGTCTTCAGAGAATGCTTTTTCCAGAGCAAAGGACTTGGATAAGTTATGCAAATTCAAAGTCTTGATCTTAAAGCTCTTCAATCTACCGTATGCTCTTAGGAAACTTACATAAGCTCTAGAAAATGATAATCAATTAAACCTTCTTGATTGCAATTAATAATCCTTATCCTATTTGATTTTTTGTTTGATCATTAAGGCCAGGAATTTGTCAGGCATCTTATCGTGAATCTTTTTTGTTTCAAATAGATAATATTGGAAGGCTTTAAAGTATTCTGCTGATTCAATAAGATTCAGAGGTGCAGCTAAATGAGATTGGGTTTCCTCTATGAATTGTTGTGATTCAAGACTAGGATTAAAAATGAAATGAATACTTTTCAAAGAGCACCATAAGACTGATACCATTTTTATTAATTCTTGCCGTTCTTCCTACTTTATTGACATAATCATCATATGAATCTGGAGGATCAAAAACTAAGATATTTGTCACATCAGGGAAATCAAGACCTCTTGAAGCCACTGAAGTTGAAATTAGAACACATCCTTCTTAATATTTGCTTTTCTTGAAATTGAAGTAAGTCTTAGATCTCTGTTATTATTCAATGTTCCCATGTAATTTATAGACCTCTTGTGTTATGAATGCTTATTTCTTTTCTTCTTCTTCTTCTTCCTCTTCAACATGTTATTGTTAATCTTTTTTGAATGGATTATTAAACTAAACCTATTAGAAAAGAAAGGAATAAAATTCAACTTCATCGCAGGTGGATACAAAGATTATGGTTTTCTTACCAATTTAAGTACGAATGTAGGCAAAAAGAAATGCCAATTTTTGATGTTCTTAAATGAGAGTATAATATTACTTGAGAGTGGATGGGATTTACCATGTTGGATCACCTTCTCCAAGCCAATCACATTATTAATTCTCATCATTTATTTGAATATCCTTGTTTTTGGTTCCTTTAATGAATTCTTTGGAGAATCCAACAAATTTATAATTCTTGGGTGTAATTTCTAATCCTTTGATTTGACAGATATTTTGATTGACATGTGCTGAAACCATAATTTTCTGACAAGATGGAATATCAATTTTGTCACTGAATAATTCAATCAATTATTCAATGTCCTTTTAAAATCCCATATCTAAAATTCTATCGCACTCTTCAAAGACCAAAGTGTGAATGTTTAAGTATTTGAAACTTTGAGTGTTTTGAATATGATATAATATTCTACCAGGAGTCCCAACCACTATGGTGACTCCCTTTCTAAGTCTAGCTTTTTCATGATTTGCATTTTCTCCACCAACCAATGCCCCCACAACTATGTTAGGACATTTTTTTCCTACCTTGAGTGCAGCATCCACACATTACAAAGAGAGTTCTCTAGTTGGACAAACAATCAAAATGTAAGTTCCTTACTCTCTAGTAATTCTAACTTCAGCACTCATCAAATGAGAGATGAGTGGTACCATATAAGCAAGTGTCTTACCTGACCCTGTTTCAGATTTGATGAATGTGTTGGCTTCTAATGAAATAGAGATTAGTAATTACTTGTGTCTACGATAGGAATGGCTAGTTATTGGATTTTGGTCATTTTGATGTATTCACTTGATTTCAATCCCAATTTGACATTGGGGTGAATTTGGAGATCTTCAAAATATTATTCAGTAAAGACTTCGCCCTCTTGTTCAACATTAATTGATGGTAAAGTAACACTTTGTGGTTTCTAATGGATAACCAATTATTTCATGGGCACTCTTGGTTTTCTTTGTGATTGTTTGTGGTCATTTGTTTAGTTGATTTATTGGACTTCGTTGTTTTCGATTTAATGTTGTGGCTATTATTCAGTTTGTCTGTTTGAATGGATTTTGTCAAAATATTTTTATTTCTTCTGTTCTTGTTTGAGTTTCCTTTGTTGATGTTCTAATTTGCGATCTCTTTTTGGGGTTACTGCTTTAGATTTTTCTGGGATAAAAACTTTCACTTATATATCATCCATTAAATTAATTAATGGACTTTGAATTGAATGATTCTCTATAAGCGGATAAGAAAAGACACATCCTGCTAACACTGAATGGATAGGCTGATGCTGAAATCATCAAATTCAGGTTCTTCCAAGTATTTGTCTGATGTCATTCATGAAGGGTCAAATAACAATGCATGATATTAAGAAGAAAATGGAGAAGCATTTTAAAATGAAGATATCATGGTTGAGACTCTACACCTAATAAGGAGTCGAGATATTCTAGGAGGATCTACATTTTATAAAAGAAGGAACATTACTGTATGTTTCCGATAGTACAATTATAAAACAATCTAAATAGGCGGTGAATTCGATGCTTACTCTTAAATCAGTGTGTATTAGATAATGAAAGTGCTTGGAGAGGGAGGGTTCGGCAAGGTTATGTTGGGTAAACACAAAGTTACAGGGGAACAAGTGGCCATCAAATTAATTGATTCTGGAAAATTGTGGAATGCCGAAGATATTGATCTAGTATTCAGAGAGGCAGAAGTGATGAAGAACCTGCGACATAACAACATAGTCAAGATATTGAATTGCTACACTCTTCCCAATATGCAAGTGGTCTTGATAATGGAGTTTCTCTAAGGAGGAGATTTGGTCGAGTATCTACAAGGTAATCCCTTCATTCAGTATTAGAAAAGGGAGGATTGTCAGAACAAGAGGCTAGAATAATCTTTAGACAAATAGCAGAAGCCATTCGATACTGTCATGACAAACGATTAATACATCGTGATTTGAAATTAGAAAACATACTATTGACATCAAAGGTCGAGAAAATCATTAAAATCATTGATTTCGGTATAGCCACCGTATCAACAAATTTCACGATTGATAAAGTCGACCGAGGCTCATTAAGTTATATGCCACCTGAATTGATGAGTGGTTAAGCCATTGAAATCAAACCATCTATCGATATCTGGGCTCTGGGAGTCATCCTATATGCTTTGGTTTGTGGCAACTTGCCCTTTACTACCAAAAGTGATGAGTAAACTATTGACAATATCTTGAAGTGCAATTACTCATTCCCTTCTTCTCTCATCCTAACTAAGGAATATAAAGATCTACTCGCAAATATGCTTAATCCTGATCAGAATGAGAGATACTCCGCATATCAAGTGATCAGACACCCTTGGATGCAAAAAGTGATAACCTAATCTCCATCCAATTTGCTAAGTCCCAAGACCATTAACAACAAGAAGATGATCAAGAAAGAAGTTACAATGGCTGGAGGACCAAACAGAAATTAGCAACTTTAACTCAGAGGTGGTATCACTATGATGAGACCAGCCGTCTAATCTAATCCAAATTCGGCAGTCATACCTGTTATTTATGAATTCTAAACTCGTAATTAATAAGTAAATTTATTACTAATGAGAGGATCCCTCATCTCCAAGATCCTCATTTTTAGAGAATTGCACTAACCGTTCAGTATAGGAACCTCCAGAAAGTTAAAGTCCGGATAAGGCTGTCCCAAAAACCCAACCTATTCGAAAATATTCAGACTTTAACCAAAAACTTATAGATCGTATATTTCGAGAAGACTCTAAAAAAGAAAAATCAAGGAAATGGAAAAGCAACTCACCTAAAATGAAAGGATCTCCAACAAAATAATAAAATTAAGGTTCTCTAATACAATGCACAAGTTGTCATTTCAACTCAGCTCGAACTACAAATACTTCTCCTTAAACCATTTCCAGATCTACTCTACACACTCCCAGTTTGTTTAGTCCAAGGTAGTCATCTGAAAACAAAAAGAGATCAAATGATAAATTGGAAATTCAAACCATAATTAATTTAAGTCAGAGAGTAGAATGGAAATAACTATTCTCTAATTAAGTTACTCCTCAAAACAATATTTAAAGTAGAAGAAGCACTATGTCAGCTTCAAAAGCAGACATGCTTTATAAATTACAAATACAATTCAAATAGAGACAAAAAAATTAAGATATTTAATTGTAAAAGAAAGTATATGAAAATAATAAGGAAATTACAATCTAAAAATTGTGCAATATCATATTTTCATCAAGACTTAGAGTTAATCATAAATGATCAATTTTTGAATAATATTATAAGAAATAAGAAAGTTTCACATTTTTATTATCAAATTATATCAACTAGTTTCAGTGCGATGTTTGATATGCTTATGACATCTGTAATTTTCGATGAAGTGACTACATACTGGCAAATCGTTTTAAACTGTGCTCTGTTTTACAAGTTCTCTTACTAGGTTAGGCTGATTTGTGTTCTGATAATGAAGAAAGATTCTTGTTTTTTATAAATTGTTATATGGGTCTTTTTAAGAAGTTGTCGAAGTTCATTTGAGATAGGGTTTTCTATTTTTACCTGTCAAATTAAGATTAGGGACTATGGATTTCGGATCTGGATTCATTATGCAACTGATGCAACATTTATAAAGCGTCAGTTTAATAAAATTGAGGAAGTGAAATTAATGTGGATTATCCTGATTGTTTCCTAGGTTTTGCAATTGAGACTCTTGGCTTGGAGATTCTCTTAGTATTCTTTTGATGCTATGATCTTATTTTCTTATATTTAAAGTAAGCTAAAACGAGTTAAACTGCTCTCACATATATCTTAAATCGATAGATAATTTATTTATGTCGCCGTTGCTTCACATAGAACAAACCTTAAGAAATTAATCTACGCCATTTGCTTCCATATGAACCATAAATCTTTTCATCACAACTTTGTGATCTATGACTCTTCTGACCATGTAAACATTTATATTTTGGGGTTTGAATTTGGCTCTTCCCCATTAAATCAGGCATGAGCAAAGGTCTCATTTGTATTCTCCAAGTCTTTTCTGTACACTTGCTGTACGTTTCGTTTGTTATAAGAAACTCAGTTGATTTTTTATGAAGCCTTTTATAATATAAGGGTCCTTTTAATCTGGGACTCGAATCTTAAAACGTTAAGAGAGGACATTGAGATCGTATGTGTACATTTATTACATTATCCATTCAATTGTTTATACTTAGAAATAATTATATATATATATTGAAAAATGAGTGATATGTTTTAGGGTAACAAAAGTGGAGTCTCTTACGGAAGCCAATTCGATGCGTAATATCATTGAGCAAATATTGAATTTTAGTTTAGGTGCTAGTTTCGGTAGAATTGCTCCACAAGACAAACAAAGTATAGGATCAAATAATGGAGGAGGCAGTTTTGCATAGGTTAATGTTTCGTTTTTAGTACAACCGGATCAATACAGATCATCGGTTGGTCTCGAGGAAGGAGTAGTCCCTATTCAAATATATGAATATTAAGAACCTTCAAATTAAAAAGGGGCATTTTTTAGAAGTAGTGGGGACTTTGAAATGTAGTTTGAGGAGATAAGAATGGATCGATTAAATATTGATTAGCAATAGAAAGTGGAAGAGGATGCCCTATAACTGCAAAAAAACAGTTAGAGATCATCAAGTGAATTCGAAATGAAAATATGTATTAATCTTAATTTATGCCAAATATAGAATCTGCATAACAAATCAGCAATAATTTTAAGCCAGAGATCAACCAAAATATCATTGAAGAAAACAAGAATCTCTTTAATGTAAATATCTCAAAGAGCATTTATACAAACAAAATAACTTAGCTTGTTGAATAGACCTAATAGAAATTGACCTTATAAACAAGAAATCAACCGCACACTCATCTATCGTAATCATTTAAATTTTATTATTTTAGAAAAAGTCAATAAAAACTATAAAGGAAATCTCCCAATTTATAGAGGGACCATTCAGATTTTTCATCAGATTTTAATCAATAAAATAGTAATGATCCTAATCAAGATCCAGTACAATAAAAATTGGCTAAAAATAGGGAATCAGCAAGAAATTCAAGGGCGAGAAAGAAGATTTATTATGAATTATTGGAAGTGAAAGCTTAAGAATTATAGATAGAAGTGGATTCACTTAAATAATAGATTTAAAATTAATAAAAGTATACAGAAATCTGTAATAAATCTTAAGAAAAAGTATTTTACTCTAAGATTATTAGTTTTAAATGTTCTTAGAATAATAATAATTATTGTTTGATAAATTGGAAACCTATCTAATTAAAAATAAAGACAATATTGAAATAGGAATGATTTTAGATGCCTTAAGATATAGGACTAATTCAAATAGTTAGGAAAGAAATGATGCTGCAAGGAATCATTTTGATTAGATGGTAGAAGTCTGTCTTCCCATTCAAACTAGATACTTGATATATGCATTGGAAAAGAACAAAGACTTTTTTGCATAACAACCAAAGTATTTTTATTCAATTTCAATACCAGTGATTATTCTGATTGGATGGTCGACTCATTCTAAAAGACTGATATCAAGCCAGAACAAATTGTAAAAGTCAAGAGGATGAAAACTAAACTGCAAAGTGTTAGGAACAATATATCTGAGTATCATTAATTACAAATTTAGTTCGATACATAAAATAAAAGAGTAATTGAAGTTAATATAGAGTGAAGCCTTGAAGGTTGATTAGATGTGGGAGTAATTGAAGGAATGTCTAACACCAGTCCAATTGGGATCATGCATTTTGGCTATGAGATAAGTATAATTTTAATTAATAAGAATCAATACAGATAGGAATTATAAACTTCTTCATTGTTTTTGCAACTCAAGAACTCTCAAATGGTATCTATCTTTTATTAATCATATTAGTCAGATGAAGAAGAAGCATATGATTGTCCTGACTAATTTACTGTTCCAAACAATAGAAAACTTATAAAGAAATCATAGAACTGATATATGCATATTGATTATTTACTAATTAAATAAACTTGTTTAATAAATCAAAATTATTATAATTTTAAAGTTGTCATCACACTAAATTAATTGTATTGAAATTCATTTATTATCCTTGCAAATAATAACACTATGATATTTGTTCAATGAAATAAATGGTTATATACTATATCAATAAAAATACGTTTCTGTAAACATTTTAAACTAAGTATATATAGAACAAAATGGTTTCAAAATCATCTCTTCGCCTATCCGAATATGGAGCAACTTTTAGGTTTTAGAATAGATTAGAGTGAATTTGGAGAATATTTTGGAGAAAGAGCAGGAGATTGATTTGGAGAGGATCTTCCATTCTGAGAGAAATAATAGACTTGATTTTAATTGCTGAATCTAAGTTGCTTCATCTTTAATCTTAATCGTGATTCATTATCTCCATTTTCTTTGTTTGTATTTGGAGTTGGACATTAATCCTCTTAATCAGAGTCTGGCAATATCATATCTTCTTGATCCCCCTTTGTTTTAATAATTTTGTGAATCAGAATCACTTGCAATGGTACATTGTTCATAGGTCACTCAAATTTGATATGTTAAATTAATTATTTATTATAGTCAGGTGCAAATATAGCGTTTAATCTTGTATAAGGAATTGAAGTACTACTAACTTAAGAGTAAACCATATGTTTTGGAAAGGATCCAGAGACAGATATATCGTCATTAAATTTAATTTATTTTAATTATTTTCGATGGATGTTTCTATACAAAATTAAGTCTAGCTTAATTAGATACTTGAAAGGATACGAAACTACTTAAGCAAAGCATCTAAACAAGGTTAAAATCCTAGTTATGAGAATATGAACTCAGAGTAGTTAATGCAGGCCTTCTTTGAAATATATTTTTAGAAATAATAGGAACATTAGTAACTAAGGAACAATTTAAAGGGGAATTAAGTGGGCAATCAAATAAATGAGTTAGAGTATAAGATACATTGCTTGTAAGACAATATAAGTAGCATACATAAATAGAGGGATAAACTTAATGAAGACATCATATCGAAAGAAAATGAATTGAATTTAATCGATAAGCAAATGAAGTCTATAAAGATTTCAAGTCCTGTGAATCAGCAATTTTAGGAATTGATAGAAGGTATAACGATGTGTAAGGAGAAGTGTGATTATTTGGAAGAAGAGAATCAGGATTTCAAAAAAATCTTAATATATGAGATGAAGAAAAATAGTGAGTTAAAACAACACTATTAAAACGTAATAAAATAATTATTATAATCAGGTGAGAGAGAGATATGATTAGAATCTGATCAAGTTGCAGACTCTAGAATAGAAGGGATTGGAGATCAATTAGAGGATGATGAAGTAATTGAAAATCATAAATGACTTGCGGTTTTTCATAAAAAGTCAAAGGAATGATGCTTTTTAATAGATAACTCCAAGAAAGAGAACATTTAATGATCAATTTATGAGTGCTTAATATTCACTGGAAGACACACGTATTAAATAATTATTTTAATGAGTTCATTGAGGAATCATTCAATAATTTCGATTCATTGAAGTTGTGTTTATAAATATCAAGTTAATTGGTATAAAAAGAAAACTAATTGATTGAAAATCTGTCATAAGTGATATCCTTAAAGAATAATCTCGCATAAACAAACAATAAAGATTAGAGTGAAAGTGAAAAATCATTTAATCCTGAATAAAAGAGCAGTAATAATTCAAATGACAAATTGTTGGTCTCTAGTACCCTGAGATATAAGACTCACCAGAACTTGGGATCATCCAGATTGAAATAGAGATTAATTTCAAATCCCTCTGAAACTAACAAAGCATTTTCTGAATTGGATGAGGTAGAGGAAGACTTAGATAGTGATCATAAGGCTGCTTTAATTACTGATGGCATGTATGTGGAAGAAGAAAGTAAAGAATACAATTTGATTATGTAGTGTCACAAAGGTAGCCATGGTATTACAGATCAGCGTTGCCGTAGCAATTAAGCAATAAGACTGAATCTAAGAATTGGGAGTTTGGAAGTGAGAAAAAAAGATTTAAAAGCAAACCATCTTTCGCTTCTTTTACATCGAATTCCAGTTGTCTGAAAGGATGCACTATGACTCTGAAAGAAGATTTCTAGAATATTCAACAATCTCAACCAAGTGAACGCGTAGTTGAAGACGATGAATTGAAAGAAAAGGATACTGAAGTCAATAATAGTTATGAAATCGCTTAATTAGTTCAATAGGAGTAGATCATCTCAGATTCTACTATTCTAATAAACAGAAAACACAGATCTGTTATATATGCAAATTCTAATTAGAAAGATAAGTAAATTTGAGTATTAATAATTTAGGAAGAGTAGTGTTATTACATTTATTGGAGTAACTATTTGTTCTATCGGTGTTCTATGTTGGGGGGCTAAGAAATTATATGAAAAGTACTGTTGATTACAATGTTTTATTATTTCGATTAATGAATTTAAGTTATTAATATAATTCTAAAAATGTAAGATGATTATGAGGATGGAGAAGGTAACTTCTAGGATGATTAGAACGACGAAGAATATGATCAATTTAATTAAATCGATTAGATGGATCAGAATTAGTTTGATAGTTGTAATATTAATCATTTAATGGTGTAGCTTCGAGAGACAAAAATCAGTAGGACAAGAATTATGGAAATTATGCTGCTGATCAATAGAAACAAATCGAAGATAAAATTTCAGAGGATCTAGAAGAAAAACTCAAAATGCTTGATGAGTATTCCAAAGACAAAAGTGAAGAACAAATTTTGAATATAAGAATGCATTAATTGGCATTAGCAAAGGTATATTGATATCTTAAATAGATACTTGTATTCACTCATGGTAAAGGACAATTCAAATTAGTTAAAGCACATACCAACATAGGTGAAGCATATCTTAATTATAAGTGTTATGAATAAGCTATTGATCATCTAACATTGGCATTAAAAAAGAATGCCAAATTATTTAATGAAGAATAAGAAAGTAAGAGTTATAATGCAATCATTCTCACCTTACTTGGAAAATGTTATTTAGAAATCAATAGTTATGAAGAATCTCTAGACTTATTAAAAAAAGCTTATGAAACTCAATGTCAAATCTATGGAGATGAAACTGAACACTCAATCCAAACCTTAACTTTGATGTCTAATTGTCACACGTAAACTATCATTTCATTAGCAATTTTAGAAAAATGAAAGACTTCGATGCAAGTGAAGATTGTATTACCAAAGTCTTTGCTATCACTGAAGCCAAATATGGATACAAATCAGAACAAAGTGCAATATCATATATTGAAAAGTCAAAAATCTATGCATGCTAAGAAAATTGGAAAGATGCCATTCAATGTTTGTCAAGTGCTATTGACATGCTCATAGAAATTAACTATCAGAAGACTGAATATGTTGCTGAATTATACCAATAATTATCCACTTATTACGAAAAGATCGAACAAATAGATGAATAAATTGCTTGTCTATCAAAGGTGAAATAAATATACATCGAATTGTACACTACGCAAGATAAAAAGGTTATCAAAATCAAACGACAAATAGCAATAATTTAGTTAAAATAAGAAAAACATCAGGATGCCTTGGCTGAACTCAAAGAAACTGAAGATTTAGAAGTCAAAGTTTATGGTGAAGGAAGTGTGTAAGTTGCTAAAACCCAAAAAATTATTGGTAATTAAAATATTAACAATTTAAAGGAAGCATCCTATTATTACTTCAAGAATTTAGAGATGCCCTGAATTACTTCTAGAAAAGCTTAAAGACATTTGAGGAGAATGGTATGAAGAAAGCAGTGGCTGAAGTTAAGCAAAAGATCAAACGTGCTAAGGAAATGAAGGAGAAAGGCAAAACACAGTTTAATCTTAAAGACAGATAGAATATTATGCAAGAATATTGATAAAATATAATTATTATAACACATTTCTATCCAATTCTATAATATTTAAAATTATTATTTAATTTCATCTTCTTTTCGATTAATTTTATGCTTATCTAAATATTGCTAAAATAGAAAACTAAATGAAACCGTCACTTAATTTCTATTATAAAATAATCAATAATTAAATGAAGTATTCGAAATTCTTTCATAATTTTTATTTAAATGTAAACTTAGATTAAATTCCATTATTAATTAAATGAGAACAGCAATAAGGAAACGAACATCAACAACAACAACAACTAGATTACAAATCAAGAAATCTCTTAATATAGATGTCTTTCTAAAATAAATATATTTGAGAGCTGAGTATTTTACTTAGAGATATATGCTTTGTTTTCCAAACCAAAAGAACCATGCCCCATTAATTAAATCTATTTATAGAGTTCTCTTAATTCCAGATAATTGTATTTAAGGCTTGAGACTATCTGATAAAACATTACTCTATTTAATTGTTCATTTGAAATTTGCTGAAAAGGGAATTCATCCATTATAAGAGCAAGCTTATGAAAAGCTATAAATAATTTTGTAATTTTAATGATGAATTTATAATATATCTTGTATTTAAACTATTATATATAATAACCCGTACTTATTTTTTAATTTTATTATTACCCATTAGTCTATTTTCACATAGTTATTATTATTTTGTAAATGCTTTTAGATAATATTTGAGATAAGGAACTATGATGGATAGGAAGATGAATCCAGAAGAAATAATAATGCTGTGATTTAAGTTTTATGAAGTTACAAATAATGTTAGCAATTTAGGAAAACCAGAATTATATATTATTAATTCAAAATGTTTACACTTTCTATATCTAAAATTTTGAACTAAACACTATCTTGATAGAAAATTATAAAAGCAGATCATAAAAATTTGATATTTAATTATTTTTAAAGATTGCACTATTAATCACAGCTAAATAAATATTTCTGAAAAAGGAATATTTGAAATTTCAACTATACGAATATATTGATACTAAGTCACCAAAATATTTTAATTTTAGAATTTTATGGAATAAAAAGAAGTATGAAAATTTGACATTAATTATCAAATCAAAATTGCAAATTCAATTAACTACTAAGGTGCTACTTGTACTTTTTGTATTTTTTAATTAGGTTTAGGTGTTTTAATCATAACTATATCCATAAAATAAATCTAAGTTATTTAATAAACTTACTTTAGACAGAATTCTTTTTTAACAACAATCTATTTTCTACAATTTATTCATCTTGGGTATCATTATCTTCACTAATATTATTTATATAATCTAAATTCTCTTAAATTGGCTAAGTAGTAGAAATATAAAAGTACTGGAGGTATGTAAGGAGATTGTATCTCTTTATTAAGTAATTTGGTCCAAGGAAAAGTTTATAGCCATGGATGCTATTTCACTTCATGAGGCCCATTAAATCCCAGTCTATTATTAGGTTTGCGTTATATTAATTTATTTATGAAATCAGCAGCATCAATTGACCAATCATCAGGTATTTCGTTTCTTTTCACTTGCACTTATCTTGTTAGAATTTGATCTCTGATCTCCTGTCTTGTTCTTCCATTATATGGTCTTCTTCCCAGCATAAATTCATACGTCATTACTCCTAAAGCAAAGTAATCAACAGCAATAGTATGATTTTACCTGCACATAACTTCTGGAGCTAGAGGTTTAATTGTGAATTGATAATACCCATATATCCAGGTGTACCACTTGTATCTTAGGAATTCTCAGGCTTCCAAATCCTGGCTATTCCTAAATCAGTTAATCTAGCATAGCCATTACAATCAAGTACAATGTTTTCTGGTTTGACATCTCTATGAATAACATTTGAATTGTGTAGGTATTCTAATGCTAAAATAACACAAGCCACAAAGAATTTAGTTTGATGTTCCTTAAATCTCCTCAACCTTCCAATATGATATCTAAGATCGCCTCCAGTTAAAAGATCCATTACTAGATATAAGTTATCTCTGTCTTGAAAGCAGTAGTTCATATTAATCAAAAAGGTGTGTTTAAATTATGCTAACAGGTTTCTTTCATTCATAACAGAATTCACGCTTCTTTTCGATATTATCTTAGCCTTAGACATCTCTTTCATTGCATATTAAGTTCTATTCTTTTTTAATTCAACTTTCCATACTCTTCCAAATCCTCCCTTACCTATCACAAAGTGAAAAGTGAAACTAGACTTAGCCACACAAATCTATGTATCAATCTATAACTCTTCATCCTCTGGCTCTTCCTTATATACCTTTTTGATGGGTGGACGTTACTATGCTTATTATTGAATGGAGTCATATTTCACAAGCAAAGAATTAAAGATGCTCTCAAAGTTTTAAACATTAGGTTTTATTTTAGTAGAAGAACTCACTTGAGGTATTCTTATATGTGGAACTTCATTGATATTGATTTTTAGGTTAGCACTAGCAAATTTATTATGATTAGATAGCTTTTGAGAAACTTATCGATTGAGATTCATGGAATCGTCATTTTCAAAAATCTTTTTAGAATCTATTGTGGATTGTTTTGGTGATTTTTGTATTGATAATTGCATAGGACTTTTTGATCTTGATCTATTACTATCTTTACTAAAAAAACTTTGCTAAGGATTTTTATATGGCAATGCATATTCATTAACATTCACTTACCCAATTCTTATTTTGTTTGGAGTGTGTACAGGAGTATGATTTCTTTGTTATTTTTCTTCAGCGTTCTTTTTTTATGCATATTGTATAAAGTTGCCAACAGCTATTGGAGACTTCCCAATTCGTAATCTATCGGAAGGAAGGTTGGAAAAAGGTTTAGAGAATTTTGAAGAAAAGAGTTCTCTTAGATTACGATGGTGGTTAGACATAATTAATTATTTTAATACATCTCCTTAAATTCATATTATTCAACGAAATGCAAATATCTTGATGAATAATTCAATCATTCATCTTAATATTCTTATCAATTTCCCCTTCAATCACTAATCTAGACTTGTCTTCTATGCATTCCTGGTGATTCTTTAGAGTAAAACTTACTATCAATTCATCTTAGGTATATCCTATGGTTTATAATTCATGTGTAATTTTTATTAATTTCTCCATGCTTGGAATATTTGTAATATTGCCTTCATTGGCCTTCATTTTTATTGCTAATTTTTTATCCTTCAATGAGGAATTGATTTAAATATCAAGAATATTCAAACACTTATATCGAATGGTCTATTTTCTCTATTACTTGATCTAAACTTTATTGTTTCTCTCTAATAAGTGCTATTCTATAATTGGATTTTCTTGTATTTAACATAATGAAAATTGCAGAGCCTTCTATTAAAGAAATTCTTAATCATATCTTTCTCCTGTTGTAATAAAAAAATTATAATCCTCAACTAATTCCGGGTAATTTACTTCAATGTAGTCTTTATCTTCCAAAACTTAATTATTACCATATGAAACTAGGTAAGTATTTGTATTATCATCATTTTCTTTGATTATTCTGTTTGGAGTTCGAGCATCAACTATAAATGGATTACTTTTCTATCCTTTATGAGCCATGAGTATTTAATAATAACTTATTTAATGTATTCATTAAAGTTGGTGTCTTTGCTAAAGTATTTGCTATTTTCCAAAATTCATTCCAAAAATTTTACCAATTACTTTTATCAAAATTAACAATTTTCACTGCTTTAAAATTATTACGAGCATCTTAAGAATGTTATTAAATCTTAATCCTTCACTAATTATGAGGTTTCAGCCCTAATGATCAAAAGCCTTTCTATTTTCAAATAATAATAATTTATATTAGAAATAGAAATTAATATATCACAACTAATTTGAATAATTTCGATTGGACATTTCTATTTGGACTACGAGGCTATTCGAATGATTCTCTACTTACAGTTCCTCTATTTATTGAAAGGATAATAGAACCCTATATAAACAATATTAATATACCGTTTTAAAATAATAAATTAACAAAGATTATTGATAATTATCTCTATGATTCACATGTAAAAATAGATTTGCTCTTTTTTTTAAATTAAATTCAATAAACTGAAATATTTATCATTTAGTAAGATTAAAACGATAGGTTTACTTTTAACAAAGAACATTTTGTTTTTCTATTCATATGTCACTTTATCTTATTTATCTTAGATTAAGTTGTTTTAGATGATAAAAAGAATTTAAATTATCTTGAGTCTGCTAATATAATCAGATAGACCCTTCAAAAAGGATATGATATATAAATATTTTTAATATATATAACTCATCTCCTATCAGGGAAAGGTTTTCCAGTTTACCAATTATAATCTTATTACGGTTTGTTTTATAAGATAGCCTCAACTTTTTATTCTAATTCCTTATCCCATTTCTTATATAATTCAAGGGCTTTCAAAGAATCTTTCACCTATTAAACATTCTTGGCACCGATTATAGCTGTAGACACATCTTTGTTATATAAAACCCAAGCTATTGACAGCTATGTTTGAGTGTAACCAAGAGACTAAGCTAAGTCTCCTAACTTTTTGAGTTTTGTAATAGCATCTTCATTTCCCACTTAAATATAACAACATATAATTACAAAACTTTGCAAAAAATACTGCATGAGCACTGTCTTTAGTTAACCACCCGTTATCTTTACCAGCTCTGCTGTCTTCTGGTATTTGATTGTTGTTGTATTTACCAGTCAACAACCCTCCTTACAATGGACTGTAGATAGTTGATCCATATCCTTATGAAAAAACATCAGCATAATCCTTCTCCACTAAGTTTCTAATCACCATGTTATATATGCATTGTTCAACCACGGGTCTGATGAGGCCATGTTTATCGCAATAGTTAAAAGCCTCTTAAACCTTTGATGGCTTCCAATTAGAAGTTCCCCAATAGAAGGCTTTACCATCCTCAATGACTTAATTAAATCCTCGACAAATCTCATCCACCTAGATATCTTAATCTAGAAAATGAGCATAGGCAATGTCAGCATAGTCTAATTGAAGTCTTTTAAGAGATGCGTTGACTCCTTCTATTACGTGTTTACGATTTAATGTAAAAGAACGATTAATTGGATTTCCACCTTATTCAAGATTAGCAAGGATCTTAACGGATACAATTATCCTTTCTCTTGGAATGTTAAGTTTTTTTATAGATCTACCAAGTTATTCTTCTGCCTTTCCATTTTCATATCTAAAATTTTAGGAATTTAGAATACAATTCTGCAGTATCAAAAAAATTAACACCAGCTTCATAGCAAGTTTTGATAATCTCTGTATTGACTTCTTCGTCCTCAGGGGCAAAATTCACCATATTTCCAAAAGATATCTTTGAAATCAATAAGCCTGTGTTTCCCAATCTATTATATTCCATTTTGACTAATATTAATTTATTTTATTATAATTTGTTTTAAAATTAATTCTAAATTATAAATTAATTCCATAAGATTATCATCTCCTATCAGGAAAAGGTTTTCCAGTTTACCAATTATATTCTTATTATGGTTTGTTTTATATGATAGCCTCAACCTTTTATTCTAGTTCTTTATCCCACTTCTTATATAACTCAAAGGCTTTCAAGGAATCTTTCAATTATTACACATTCTTGGCCCCTATGATTGCAGTCGATACATTTTTGTTATATAGAGTCCATGCGATAGCCAATTAAGTTTGAGTGTATCCTATCGATTGTGCTAAATCTCCTAATTTTTTAAGTTTCACTATTGACTCAGGATCTTCCACTAAAATTGTAAGATATATTTATAATACAAAATTTTTTAAAGATTAATGAATAAGATAATTCTTTTGTTAACCATCCATTATCAGTACCTGCTCTACTACCTTAAGGGATAAGACCATCATTATATTTTCCAGTCAATAGTCCCCCTTATAAGGGACTGTAGATTGTTGTACCATACCCTACTTCAAATATATCAACATAATCTTTTTCTAAGATGTTTCTTGTTAACATGTTATATGGACATTACTCAACAACAGGTCTGATTAAGCCATGCTTGTCACAGTAGTTGAATGCATCTTAGACTTATTAAGGTTTCCAATTAGATGTTCCCCAATAAAAGGCTTTTCCATCTTCAATGACTTGATTGAATCCTCTACAAATTTCTTCGATAGGTGTATCTGGATCATAAATGTGAGCAAAAGCAATATCAGCATAGTCTAGTTGCATTCTAGCAAGCGATGCATTAACACCTTCTATCACATGTTTACGATTAAGGGTGAATAGCCTATTAACTTTGTTTCCTCCGTCAAAGTTATTGCCCTGTATCTTAACAGAAACTATTATCTTTTCACGTGGAATGTTTAATTTCTTAATGGATCTTCCTAATTAAGCTTCTGCTTAGCCATTTTCATAACTAAAATTTTCGGATTTAAGAATACAATTCTGCGGAATCAAAGAAATTAACACCAGCTTCATAGCATGTTTTGATAATCTCTGTATTGACTTCTTCGTCCTCAGGGGCAAAATTTACCATATTTCCAAAAGATATCTTTGAAATCAATAAGCCTGTGTTTCCCAATCTAGTATATTCCATTATATGTAATTAAATTTATTAATTATAAAGAATTAAATAATGTTATAAATTACAGAAGATTTAAATTTATTTCAATTGGAAATATTTCATGAATTTGCCTCCACTATTGAAAAATTATAGGTTCTAAATAGATAAAAAATATTAATAATTTCAAAATTTTTATTAACAATTGCTATTTGCATCCTTCATATCTGCAGTCAAAGGTCTTGTTAATATTGTACCAGCATTTGGCTATTTAATATTTTTCGAGACTAATAATTTAAGATATATGAGATTACTATCTGATTTTTTATTTTGCATTTCTTTCATAAATTGTATTATTTCATTATTAGGATCCATCCCATTTTTACTTTATTAAATTAATTTTAAATACTTTTCAGATCTTCTTCCTAAATCAGATCGATGAGATTCTTCTGATTTAAGTAAATCGGATTATTTTCTTGAATTTTGTTGATTCATAAAACCGAAAAGCCTAGTTTAATTTCACTTGATTACTGTTTAGATTTTTTTTTCTCTCTCTTGGGAGATGTTTGTCTGAAACAATTATTTGTTTCTTTGTTTTTCTGTTCCCCCAAAGAGAATAACAAACTACCATAAGACTTTGAACTATCTTGTTAAAGATTATTTAATTTTTCATTTAAAGCTTATTTGAATTTTTATGTAGCTCTACCATCTGGGGAAGATATTGAATATGATTCCTTTCTTAGGATTCTATTAATAATACTAGAGTAATTAATGGCATCAGACTTAATAGACATTAGTTCTCCTACTGATGTAGAATTTTTAGTGCTTAAAATATAGAAATAAGTCTTACTGTATCTTTTAAGACTAGATATCTTCTTGAAATTAGTGGGTATTTTTTTAAATCTTCTGATTTAACTGTTTTTATTAAATAATCTAAGCACATTTGGATAATGGAGATATCATAGCCGATCTAAATTAAAGTTCAATAATTACAAGTTCACTATGTTTTTACCTTCAGCTGGATAGTTAATGGTAACATTTAGTGGTTATTTCTATTATGTCAACAAGCTTGTTCTGCTATCCTTACTCAATGATTATGCTCTATTCTATGATTATGGTTAAGGAGAATGATTTTGGTTATTAGTTTTGCCTGGATCCAGGGAGAAGATATTATTATTTGCCAATTACAAAACCTTGGAGGTTTCTAATAATTCAATCTAAAATCTAAATAATGAAATGTACATTATTTTATAGCAATATAATTTCATATTGAAGTCGAGCATTCTCTTGACATTTCTAGTTTAATTTCTCAATTAAATATTAAATCTTCTGATTATTTGCCAATTTACTTGGTACAGATTCTGGTAAATTACAATTTTCAATTATTGTATTTTTATCTAAACCTTATTTTTTTTATAAGATGGTAATTTTTTAATATAAAATTTGTTTATCCTAATTCAACGTTTATGTTTGTTATTTTTATTAAATTAGTTATTATTCCAAAAATTAATTTTACTCCAATAACTGTTTTATTTATGATTAATATTGTTATTATATTTAAGTTTTTTCTTTGCAAAGCTAAGTGATTTATTTTCTTAAATCCTCTTCGATATTATTTTTATTTTCAGACAAAGACTGGTTTTTTAAGACAGTTTATTCTGAATTGCTTTGATTTCTATTGTTATTCTAAATATCTTAGTTGACACAAAGTTATTTCTTTACTATATTAAATAAATTGATTCATTACAATTATTCAACCCACTTCCTTTAGATGGAAAGCAGAATTTAGTTGTATTTTTATTTTATGGAGCAGGTGGCTCTGCCATTGTATCTTTCTAACTCTATTATGTATCTGTCCTCTAATTAATTGATTCCGATATTATGCTATGAGGATTGAATTCTACAAATTGCATATATGCTATTTGTTCATTGTCTTGACTCTGCACACTTTTTATTTTTGATTTGCTCTTTTAATCCCGTGAATCAATTGATTGTTACAATTCCGATGATTTTGATTCATGTGTTTATTAGCAATCAATGCGAATTAATTATGAGTTGTGTGTATGTGATTGTTTAGAGAAGTTTATGTCTTGATTATCCTAATCAGGAATATTGCTACAAAACTCTTCGAATGTGTCTAATTCTGGGATCTGTTGTAAATACAGAAAAAATACTTCGTTTTCTACAATGATTTCTTATTGGAATTATTATAAATTGCATGGAGCTCGAAATTTGAATGAAGTTTACATCTATTCGCCAATTTAAATTGCTATAATTGTTTGAATAATAAAAACTAATATATTACAGTATATTAAAAATACAAATAATTGAATCATTAACAATTCCTGCAATTGAATTCATTTTTATCATAGGTGCCATTTTTTATACCAACACATTCAAAATGGTACCAATTTTTACATGAATCACACTTAATATGAAATTATGATATACTTGAATATATTGCCTATCGGGATTCACCGGTTGAAAGCATAAACAATATTACTATATTGCATCCATATTACCAAATTATTTTTTCTAAAGATCCCATTCTAATCTGTTAAAATAAATAGTGGAATCTATTTCATCCAACTCCTGATATTCACTGCAACTCAATATTTTGCAGTTAGTTATTATACTCTAGGCCAAAATATACTCTTAATGATTAGTTATAAATAATTCTTGTTCAGAAATCCATTCAGAACATTTAGGCTAAGATTTAATGATCTCACTTTTTCTCATATACCATTAAATTCTACACAAACATATTAACTTCGCCGTTGTTGGCTCTTTTATTGATATAATTTATTTTATGGTTCCAACATAATCCTCATCATGTTGATCTCCACTATTAATTTAAACTGAATCTCCAACACATATAACCTATCCCTAGACCTTAATTGTATCATATTCCTCATATAAACCTTTAGTTTATGAGGCAACCTTGACTAATGTTTTCCATGACTTTTATTTGTAAAGTTCTCGAATTGTCTATCGTTTCTCTAATCTCTTTTAAATTTGCTTTTTTATTGTTGCAGAACTCTCTGGGGACCATCTTTTCATTAACTTACTATAATCTGCTACCTAGCTACATTACTAAGATTTTAACATAATTTATTTAAATATCTACAAATGTTTGAATTTCTCAAATTGCTTTATAATAATTTAATTAAAATTTCTCATTCGATATTAAATTTTTACTCATCCTCAATCTTAGAGCATAAGTGAAATATAAATTAACATAATAATTGATTTCCAAAAAGAAAATTTGATTTAAAAGGCATCAATACTATTGAATGTATAATATATAGAATTTAACCCATTCCATATATAAATAACAAAATGCACAGAAGAATTATGTTGGGTTTGGATTTACAGAACGAATAATGATGCAATCATTTTACATTAAGAAATTTGAAATTTCAAAAAAATATGTAGATTTACCAATTATTAAATTATCGAATTTTTATAAGTATTTAAAAATCGGTTTTTTAATATATGAGGCACTATAATTTCATAATAAGTTGATAACAATATTTATGATAAATCAAGTGTTTTTTGGATGCTTCAATTTATTAAATATCTCTAGTTTACAATGTTCTAAATTTTCGAAATAATTGTCAGTTATAGTTTTAATTACTTATTAATTCTTGATATATCTTCTTAATTTAACAGTGTTTACAGTCTTTACATAGTTATATATCTCTTAAATCTATTTCTCAATTTTCTTTTCATCTTCAATCAGTTCTTCCCTCAAGACAACTGTTCTTTTGCATTTTAGAAATGATTCATATTTTTATATTATTTAATTAGCTTCTATCAAATTTGTTAATTTTTCTCTAAAATCTATATGTACTGGTTTAGCTTAAATGTTAATTTTATTTTATTTTTCTTTGAAATCTTATAGTCTAATCACATATTTTTTAAGAACAAAAGCTTTGATCAGAATGGTAAGAAAAATAAGGATTAGAAATGATTAATCATTATTGTGAAACCTTTCTTGAAATTCTTTAATTTAATCGTTTGAAGGAATTTCTTTAGTTAGAAAGCAAACTTATTCTTTCAGTTCTTTAAATTCCATTTGTAAAGTGGTTATTTCTTCTTAATAAGATTTTTGCATCCCTTAAATCTACCCACGAAGCCCACAAAATCTTTTATTCATTTCAATTATTGATATTTATTTTAAATTCCAATCTTTTTATTTTTCATTTTCACTTTCTAAATCGAAAAATTCTACTTTTTAATAGAATGACTCAATCTCTTTAATTTATTTATCCAGATGTTGAAAATTTTCTTCACTTTTCTTATAAATTTCAGTTTCAATTTTTTTAAATTTTTCATGCTTTTTAACATTCTATCTATTTTTAATTAATTCCATATTTTATTTTAATATTTTATAAGAATTTTTCATCTTATTATTCATTAATTCTTGAAACTCGTCTTGCTTTAATTAGTGTTTTTCAATTATATGCTAATAATTGTAATTTTAAATATCAAAATTCATAAAAACTATTTATTTTTGATTAAAATCTTAACTCAATTATTACAACTCATCTTTGATATTCTAAAATTGTATATTTATTTCAGATTGGCATTATTTTAGAATCTGTTAAAATAAATCCTGCAACTGTGCAATTTGGTTGCTTTATTCATTTTTCTTATTTTCTAATTCTATCTAAATACTATTTGCCTCTTCTTATAGAGATTCAATGGTTTAGTAAAAAACCATGTCTTATTCTGTTTTTTATATTATTTAATCGTATTTTTATTTAGCTAATCCTTTTAAATTATTTAATTCAGTTTACTTTTTTTCTAGATCATTTTTAATTTAAGTATTATCGATTTATTTACAATTTTATTCCATTTAACTTAATTAATTTTTAAGATCATAAATTGATTCCTAAAATTGATTTGATTTCAATTTTATTTGCATATTTAAGATTGATTATTTTGTTTTGATTATCTTGATCTATTTTTATCTCTATTGTTATTCTTCTAACTTATTTGATAAATCTGTAAAATTTTTCTCCTCCTCTACATATTTTGATTTAATTTCCATGTATTCTTTTATATTTGAATAAGGAATATCAGTTTAACTAATCGTATTTAATTAATTAATTAGTTATCTAATATTGAATAATCTCTATTATAATAAATTTAAATTATTTTCATTTTATTCATCATTTACTTTTTTTTTATACTGAATTTTGAATTCTATATTTTTTGTTTGATCTTAAATTTTTTACATATCATTTTTCATTTCGTATTTTAACTCCTCTTCTTAAATTGAAAGATTATTTTTCATTTATAAAATATCATCTTACAGCTTATCTATTGATTTGTCAATTTGTAACTTTTAAATTTGTAAATAGTTGATTAAATCTCTAGAAACTTTATTTTCTTTTGAGGAATAGTATATTCTAAGTTAATTAACCGATGCAGCAATAGTATCTGCATGAAACTTTAATTATTTGAATTAATTAGTTACAGTGTAATTAAAAATTGATAATTTTTCACATATTACTTGAATGTTATGAATTTCCATTTATTATTCATCGAATTTCTTATCGAGGTTTTAATATTTTGCGACTTAATCGTTCATTTCTTATTGAATTTCTTTTTCTTCTTTCTCCTACTTTTCCAATAAAATGTTTTTTTACTAATCTTTAACAAACGAAATCAGAAAAGATTAAATTTGTTATTGAATCATTTGATTTTCCTAAATATGTATTTAAAATTCATTTTTATATTTGGATTCAAGTTCTATCAGAAATTAAAGTTATTAATACTCATTCTTTATATCTAAATTACTGATATGCTCACTTATTTAATATAATTGATTCTACTTTTAGCTTATAAAATTCTATATTTAATTTATGATATATTATTTATCTGAATTATTAAATTCATAACTATCTATTTCTGACCTTTATTAATTCACAGATGATATATGATTTTAAATCGCATTCTATAATAAATTAATAAAATAATTTAATTATTTTTTCTTACTGTTAAGTTCTTCCTATATGTACTAATTTTAAAATTGTATTTAATACTCTTACTATTTCTTACTTAATTCTAATTAGTATTATTTCTAGAATTCTTCGTTTATTAATTTCTTATTTTCTTCATCCTCCTTTTATTTAATATAAAGTAAACTTTCTTTTGACTTATTTTACAGTAATTACATTTCTTATTTCATTTCTTATTAATATTTCTGTTCAATTTCAAGTTTATATGAATTCAGTTAAGATTAAAATTATAATGTTTATTCTAATTTTTAAACTTCATAATTTTTCTGATTCTAATCTGATGCTTATTGTTTTTATTCTAGAATTTTTCTTAATTCATTTTCCTTTTCAATTATTTTCTATTCGTATAAATGTTGATGTTATTCCATTAGTTGTTTACATTAATTTTCGTCATCTAGTTTCTTTTGTCGATAAAGATTTTCATATTTCATTTAATTCTGATAAATGATTTGCTGCTCCTTTTCTTAAAATTCTTTTTCTAACTGTATTTTTATTTTGGCTTCCATTTTTTAGAATTTTATTTTTTAGAGAGTTTGAGTTATTTTTTCAATTGCATCGTCCAACTAAATTCTTTTTTGATGATCTATGCAAATCATTTATTTCATAATTTCCCTAAATTCTACCTAGCATTTATCAAGTTTATCAATTTTTTAATCTATTTAATCAGTCTAAATTGTGGAGATTTAGTAATAGATATTTCTTTCATTAATACCTAAGGTAAATCAATACGTTACCTTAAAAAAAGGTTTATAATGTGATCATTTCATACCAGATAGCTCCCATAGCCCAAATATCAATCTCTTTTGTATAGTTGGTAGAATTAAGAACATCTCTTGCCATATAATAAGGAGTTCCAACTTATAATGTTTGTCTCCCAATATCTGATTATTCTTTGGAGCAGCCAAAATCTATTAATTTAATAGTTAAATTCTATCTTATATCACGACAGCAAACAAAGTTTTCTGGTTTTAAATCTCTATGAAAGTAGCCTATTTAATGAAATTCTTAAACACCTTGAACCATCTATAATTATGTGTTTATGTACTTATAAAAATAATTCGCTTTTTTCGTCTATATCATATGTGCTAAATTGATTTGTATTCATAAACTTAAAAAAATCCATCTCTGCCAATTCCATTACGATATAAACTTGATTCTTTAGTTTTTCAATAGCATAAATTCTTATGATATGTTTTGGTTTATGCTGCTTAATTGATTATAATATTTTCTCTTCTCTTGGATTTAATTCCTTCAATACTTTTATAGCCACTTGTTGATTAAGTGTTTTGATAAAACCTTAATATACACTACCTTGAGTTCCAGATCCTATTTTAACTTAGACTACAATCTCCATTTGATGTTGAGGTAACTAAATCAAAATCTATTAAGGAAACATTTGATTTATCATAACAATATGAATAATCTATTAATTTAATTATTATTGCTCTCATAGTTTTAATTGTTTTCATTGAAAGAAATTTTTAAATACTCTATTCTATTTTTAATACATTGCCAGTGCACTTAATCAAACTCCAAAATATCAAATGAAAATGAAGAAAAATTAGAAGGAATTTTCAAAAGAATAATTTGAATGAATCCTAGTTCACAATATAATAATAATTTAGATTTAGTATTAAATTGGAAGATTTTTGGATTTATGTTTAATATATCACCAATACTAGAAAATGATTTGAAGAGGATTAAATTAAACGAGGTATCTAGATAATATTAATAATAAAATCATTCATTATAATGTTCACGCATTTTTAGATTTAATTATTTTAGCAGATTCAAAAAAGAAAGACAAGTATCTTGTGATTATAAAATCAAGAATATTTTTATTAAAATCCTTATGTTATTTCAGCATTAAATTAGAAAAATTTAATTATTTTATTTTCTTAAATAAGTTTATTTATTAATTTTTTAAGCTTTCTAAAGATACTCTTTAAATGGCTTTTCACATTATTATTACCAACATTTATATAAATTATTGAAATGTTTCCTTCTACATTTTCAACCATAATTCTAATCGCATTGCTTCTATTAATATTTTAATTTCTCATTCAAGATTATCACTCATATTATGACAAGTATAATAAGTAAATATAATAAGAGAAATGGTTTGTTAATATATATATGATGAATATTTGATATGTATTTTTTTTTAATATTTTAATGAAAATCAAACTCATTATTTGATTTCTTCATTAATTCTTCTCTTTCCATCTGGTGTAACTCTGAGGGATACTATAATTTTGACCTTTTATCCTCTTTCTAATGTCTATGTTAAGGTTTCAATTTTTTGGATTGTAGCAAGACCTAAAATGATAAGAAATGTGATTACCCTATCTCTAAAGAGTTTCAGCACATCTGACAGCTCCTGATATGGCATCTCCAAGAGCATGAATTTCTACTTCATCAAATTTCTTCAAAAAGATCTTGGAAACGAAGAATGATGTTCTTGGTTTTGCAGAACCTCTTAATTAAAATACTTTGTCTTTAGGGTCGATTGGATTTTTCTTCACTTGATCCATTGTTGTTGATGGTTATTAAGAGTAATATTAAAAAAAATTTGCTTTCTTAATTAATTAATGATTTACCACATAATTAAATAAATTAATATGCCTGATCTCATTTTATATAATTTGAATAAGAAATTTTCAATAATTCAAATTGAAATGGCAGTAAGAAATAAATTCGTAAATATATACATCATATATATTTCTTGGCTCAAATTCTTAAAGGGAATTCTGTAACCAATTCTAAAGAACAATTAGACCTAAATGTTTATTATTATAGACCTAATACATAATAATTAATGCTCATTTTTCAATCTATCTTTCTAATATTTAATATGTAATACAATCTTAAATTTAGAGTAAAATTATGGTTATTCTAGTTCTTAATTTGTTAATATGTAAATACTGAAAATCAGATTTTTCATTAATATAGCGGAAATTACAATTAATTGATTCCTTTGGCAAATAGAAAAGGATAAAAGAAAGAAATCAAAAGATTAAGATCAAAAAGAGCATTAGAATAGGCATAATAAAGAAAAAATTGTAAAATATTTTTTTTTGAATTATCGATATCATGATTTATATATAAATGAAAATGCTTTCAATTCTTAACTAATAATTTATCCTAAATTGGATTGTTATAATTATTTTATTTCATCATGTACATTTTTTATAATTCCATCTAAAACTCGATCTTATTTTTATTATTATAATTATTGCCAACCTTTGCATAAGATTAACAAGATCTATGAAATATTAAGATAATTTTATTTCCATTCCTTAAACAATTCCATTAATATTTTACAAGTACTAGTTTAAATGTCTCTTAATTATTTATTTCTTTATAATTTTAATTATTCTTATATTTCTATCTACCTTTCAATTTGTAAGACAATAATGTCATCGTTTTCTTGACAAATATGTATTAATTGTTTCGATAAATTAGTTAATTCTTGCATGATGCATTAGGAATAATCCTTCTGAGATTCTTACTTGATGTTTGGTTCAACAATATAAGATTATGACAACTTCATATCATGAATATCAGATGCCAATCTATGTAACAACTAACATAATAGAATTGAATTAGATTCCAGTTTGTTTGCGGTGTGCTATAACCCATCCTCATTGATAAATTCAAATTGGTTAATTGGCAATTTGAGATCAGTTATAAATTTGTTTAATGATGTAAAAATGTCATCTTATTAATTCTAAGAATAGTAAGCTATTACTATGAAATCTTTCAGTTTTTGCCATAGCATCTGAATTTTGAAATTACCGCTTTAACATTGAAACTATAATTATAATTAATAATTACGTTGTTAATGAAATCAAGTGTGTTACTTGTATAACCTTGATTTAGCAATTAATCCAGTAAACAGCAAATGTCATCAAGCTCATAATTAGGTTGTGATTTTTTAAAGTCCGAACTGAAATTGGTTTATCTTTAATCAATTCTATAAGAATTTTTGCAACTAAAACTTTCTCTAGGAATATATGTAGAATATCTATTAGCTATAAAGTGATTCTTTAAACTCACACTTCCTTCCTACGTTCTTGTTGTAATAGTATTACTAAAGTTAGTATTACAATTATAAGATTTCCTTAGTGTTTCATTCTCTTCTTGAATTCTTTCTAAATCTTATAAGGCTTTAGCAAATAATTAGGTTAGAGATGCTATCTACTGATTCATTTCTTCAATCTAATTCGACTATTGTATGATTTTGTTATTCATCTATTGACTCAATTCCAATAATTCTTATCTTTGTTCTTTGATATCACTGTATTCTTTCTACTATTATTCTAATTCTTGAATCTTTTTTTGCAAATTCTAAATTTTGATATTTTAATTGTTTTGAAGGCTCATATTGAATTTCTGGCTTGTCTAATTAAATTCCATAAGGAGATCAATTAATTTATCCAAATCATTTACATTATTAAATTCTGAATTTAAAGTTTTAGCTAATTGAATAATATTATGAAGGTCAATTTAAGTGAGATTATTTTAAAGAATATGTTGAAAGGCAATCTAGTATTTTGATACTCTCATTTCCAATTGTTAGAGTGCGTCAGTATAGATTTTGATATCTGAATGATATTGTTATTTATAGGCATCCATTTAAGAACAAACAAAATCAATAGTTTATTGCAATAATTGACATTTCTCTAAACTTTAATTTTACATTTTCTACCATAAACTAAATAATTCTTATTCTCTTTCAATCTATTTATCTAGAAACTCTTTCATACATTGTTCCTTAAAATAAACCAGAAATTCTTATTCGTCAAGAAAATATTCATTCTATCTTATTTTTTTTATGCTACTGTAACAATTAACATGATTATCATTTTCTTTATCTGTCATTAATAATTTTCTTTTAACTTGTTTATTAATGGCTAATTAATAAAATAGAATATATTACATTAAGTTCTTGTAATTTAAGGAGAGAGAGAAGGTGCTTTGATTGGTGAAAACAAATCTAATTGTTCAATATAGACATTTTTCATTGATTTATTTAGAAATGAAATTTGAGTATTTTGTTGCTACAATTATTCATTCAACTAACTAATCTATTTTTGATATTCAAAGTTGCTAATTTATAAATGGAATAAAGTATACTTGGCCAATTCTTAATCTAATTTATTTTGTGTTTGTAATTACAAATTATTTATCTAATCTAACAACTTTTCTTATTCATAAACATGTAGATTTAATTATGATTCAATTTCATCAATTAGGAGAAAGAATTCTTCTTTTAAACTATCTTCAAGTTTATCTTTGAATTGATCAAAATGCTCATTTTCTTTTAAATTCAATTTGTAGTTGTTAAACATATTTTTATTTTATTCAGTTATTAATTAGTATGATTACTATGAATTTATATAATTAAGTGTTATTAGCTCACTGAGTGTTACTATTCTTTATGTAATAGTCATTCATATATATCATTTGATTATAGTTTTATAAATAACTAATATTTAATACTATCAAAATAAGTCGTCCACTAATGAATATAATATGATAAATTCAATAGATTAGATTTGAATTCAAATAAATTTTTACACATTATTATTATATTAATAAAAAGTAATAAAAATATAAAATGTAAGTGATCTATCAGATGAGTTGTTTAAGAAAGCATATATTAAAAAGCAAAACATATTTTTTAGAAGTGCATGATGATGAGATGATTTTGAGTGAAGTATTAGAAAATATATAAATATTTAGCATAAAAATATGTTAAATGCAAAGTATGTTGTATCATACAAATGGGAAACAAGGGTAATGTGGAAAGTTTCTGAAAATGAAGAATTGTGTGCATTCGGAATTTATTATAACAATCGGATAAAATGGTTTGATTCTGATCATAATTCATTAAACTTACTTAAAATACACTTGTCAGCAAGAGTCTTTTTTGGGAACATTTCAATATTCTATGATTCAAATTAAATTTTAGGTCAAGGAGCATCTTCAAAGGTTTGCTTAGTAAAATGTAAAAAGAGTATATCACATTATGCAGCCAAATGCATTTCTAAGAAATACTTGTTATAGAAAAAATCAAATGACAGAATTGTATTTCTTTATTCTTAATTTTAAGAATAGATTAAGATAAGAAATTGAAATCCTTTAGAAATTAGATCATCCAAGTTTTATTAAGTTATACGAGATCTATCAAGGAGAGAACTCATATTATATTGTGACTGATTATTTGGAAGGTCACACCCTCTACAACTACATTAAAACTTATCCAGATGATCAGTTGCCTTCTTTTCAGATAAGGGAAGCAATTAAAGTAAACAAGTTTCTTATACTAATTAGATAATCATAACAGCTTTGAATTACTTGGACTCAAAGAAAATTATTCATAGGGACATCAAACTTGAAAATATACTTTTATAAAAGCCAAATGAGATAACATCTCTTAAAATAATTGATTTTGGATTAGCCACATATTAATAACCTCTTTAAAAATTAAGCGTGTGTGGAACACCTGGATATATAGCACCAGAAATTCTCAAACATTCTAATAATGAAGAATATTTTACTTAAAAATGCGATATCTTTAGCGCAGGAGTTATCTTCTATAAATTGTAACTAATTTTATATATATCAAAGATTAACAAGGAGGACATTATTCAGAGCAGAAAACACTCTCGAAATAATGGAAAAGAATAAATAATGCTAAATAAATTTTCAAGAATTCGAATTCAAATTATAAAAGGAAACATTGAGTTTATTGAAAGCTATGTTAGATCCAAATCCAAAAACTAGATATTCAGCATAGTAATGTTTAGATCATCCATATTTTAATTGCAAATTAGAAAATATGAACATTTTATAAGAAATATTGGATAAAGCAACAGGATTCTCAGGAATAACTTAAATTAGTATTTAATTTAATTAAATTTAGTTGATTAAAAGGAAACACATTCTATTGGATAAGAATGCCAGGCTGCTTAAGTTAAAAGATGCAATCCAACATCTTATAAGATTAGGATAGAATAACTCAAAAGATCTAAAAGTCCTAGAAAATACGCAGATTTCTAATTATATTATCCTTCCTTTTGTTAAATGAATTCATTAGAAAGTATTAGTAGTAAAGGATCATCCTATAATATTTCCCATATCGAAAATCTTATTAATGATAAACTCGATTCTGTAATTGAAGAAGACGAAAAACAATAAATATATAATTTATGAAATACTTACTAATTATATAATTGTGATCATAGAATTGTTAATCATTTTATATTAATATTAATTTATATCCAATTCATAGATAGTATAAAAGTAAAGTATATTAATTCTGATAATATTAAATTATCCGAAATTCTTTAATAAATCTCTTTTATAATAATATTCGTTAATAATGAGTAGAAGCTTTGAGATATTAAGCGTAAAAGTGTTATAGACGTAATTCAAAGGATTTTTTTTTAAAATATAAAATCTTGTCTTCAAATGAGTACTAACCTAGACGTGAGATAAGGATGCATGGAATAGATCTAAGAAATAGATAACCAACAAAAACTCTTAGTTGAACCACATTACAGAGATGATGAAGAACAAGTATAAGTTTTCATAATCTTAGTAAGTTGATCAATTCTAAGAAGATGACTAAGTGCCTGTCTATTCTCCTTATTAAATCTCTATATTTAGGAAACCAATTCCTTAAACTCTAGATGAGTTTCATCTAGACGAGGATCTAAAAAAGAAGGTTTGTATTGAAGAATGCTCAACCAATGAGCAATCACTAGATCATCATGCTATGGGGGACCTAGAAATACTAGCTGTGATGTTAGAAAGAGAAAATTAAAAAAAGTTCTCGTATCCAAAAAATCTTCCAATTCCAACTAATGTAGAAGAACACTTTTCTAATTTGAGAATGAGGTTCCAGCCATCCCAGAAATAAGAAGAATTTATATCTAATTATATAAAATCAGATGATATCATGAGAATTAAAATTGGATTATGTGATGAGATTCTTAATGATGAAGAGACACTTTAATTTGAAGATTGGGTAGAATAACTTTGCACATCCACTAATCATGAATCCTTAAAAGAAATGGCTAGAAAATAGAAAGTAGCTAGATACCTTTAAAAAAAACATAGTCGAACTTATGAAAAGAAAGTTCACTATCATATTAGATAAAAGGTAGCTGAAGAGCGATTACGAGTTAAAGGAAGATTTGTTACATGGACATAAGTAATTCATTCTATATAATTAGGCATTAAAAATGTTGAATCAACAAGACACAATTAAATCATGGACACATAATGATTACTTTAAAATTAAAAATTTGTTAAATGAAAAGTTTGGAGCTGTCAGAAGTGAAAGATCTCTAAATTAATGATTTTTAACCTTTTTATATTAAAAATTTTTGTGACTTCTTTCATTTTGTTTCTACCTACTTTATTACCTTTTCAAAAAGATATTGTCAAATTAACCTTATACAGAAAATTGGTTGCTTTATAATGAATTTAATGTAATCAGTTACCATTAAATCTTTTACTATGTTAAAAATCATTCTTAAAGATTTTTATTTAAATATGATTAATTAGTTCTGAAAAGATTTAATAAGGATGTATTATAATTAAAATTTCCTAGATAAATAATCGTAATAGATGTTTTAAAAGAGAATTATTACTTTTTTTATTGAGTAATCAGTTTAATCATTTTTCCTTAATTTTATCCTTTTCCTTAAATAGAGTTATAAAATATCAATTAAATTCTACACTTGGGTTCATCTGCATTGATTACTAAGAATAATATTAGTTCTTCTAGATATATTATATTTATTAATTAAAATTATGAAAAATTATTACATTTATCATTAACATATAATTCCTACTCTTCATAGAATATATTTAATAACATAAATAATTATTTATACAAATTCAAATGATTTAATAGTAATTAGATAATCAACCATTCAAATTCTCAACAATCAATTTTTCTAATCCCAACTCTTCCTTTCATAAATATGTTAAAGATGAAGCACAAACATAATAAATGCCAGAATCTAGAATAGAAGTATGGCATAGAGCTTCTATTTCAACAGAAGAATCGTAGGAGGATTCAGAATCGTAAAAAATTATTAAGAAAGGAAAGATCAGCAAAACTAAAGATAAAGATCAACCACAACCTTAGAAATCTGAGACTAAAAACATTCCCAAAAATTTTGGAGTCCTCCTAAAGAAATATTTATGTATTCATAACACCAACATTATTAGGTAGTAAAAATACAGATAATTAGGCTATCAAAGCTTTCTTAAAGAATGGAGAACACAAGAAAAACTTCTCAAGACAAGACTTTACTAGGTTGTTTAATGATCCCGTTGCAGCAGAATTATCTAGACAATATTTTTCTGGATTTTAAATTATACACGACCTCATGATAAGTGAAAAAATTCAAGATGTTAAGAACCATATGAAATATATAAGTAAATTTTATAATTCTACTTACAATAAATAAGAGCTAGACGAACTTAAATTATAATGAATATATTAATTAAAATTAATATTGAAAATTCTATTTTTCGTAAAAATAATAGCACATAAATTAAATTTTTCATTTCACTTCATACTTCTCAAATTGAGGCCATTTATCGATACTACAAGATTCCAAGAGCTTCGTACTCAAAACACATATGTTAAACTTTCTATCTATTATTAAAAATAGTATACTTGTTATCTACTTGAATAGGCTTATCAGAAATTATGATGGTTGTCTTATTAGTTACCTATTTAACAACTGTCCCTCCAAAATTAATCACTTTTAATTCTAACCTTTTATATTCAAAATCTGTCAATGCATCTTTAACAATATAGACATGCTAATATTATAAAGGTTTAAATTATTAATTCATGTATTCGAAAAGACTTGTGCCCTTAAAAAAGGATTCTTCTAAGGCTTTATGATATTGCACAAAATCTTTGTTAACCATGTTTGAATGATATTATATCATTTCCTCGTACTCTTGTTCACTCATTTAATTCTCATTCATAATTTATACTTTAATCACATCATTATTCTCTTCGTTGATTGATGAAAATAATTATTACTTAACTATCGATTTAGGTTATGAAAATCTCTATTATTTAAGCAAAGCTTCATCTAATTGTTTATTTATAGAGTCATATGAACTTTATAAATTATGTCTTTTATTATTATTATCTTTCTCTTCCTCACAATACATGTCGTCAATTTATTTCTCAATCTCAAGTTCTTATTATTCTTATTTTTACAATTCTTTTTTATGGGTCTTGATACTCTCCTCAAATGCTCTTTATAATTGGAAATCTTCACTTTATTTATCATGGTTTTATTGTTTTTTTTATTACTAAGTTTTATTGAATAAAGAAAACTATTAAGATTTTTGCACCATTTATGCGCTTCTTTAACTAATCTAATTTGTAGGATTTATTTTTAAATCAGATACTATTATTAAGGATTCTTTCTCTGATGATTTAATCAATGGAAATTATGATGGCCTGAATTATTATTTCATGTGATTGGTCTCTGATTATAATGCATATTATGATAGAGTTTGATTCTACCCTGATTATCCAAGAACTTGTAAAGACTTTATTGATAATTCATTATTCTAACTATAAAACGTTATTTCTGCGAATTAATAAGTATTATCTTCAAAGTCAGGGTTTTGTATTTTTTTCTATTAGTTCTATGTTATAAAATTGACTGTTTCCAATTGTTTCAATTAAATTTTTACACTATCATCTGTAATATTGTATAAAGAGATTTTTACCTAAGAACATGATTTTGTGTCTAAACTCAATGACAATTTTATACTTATGATGAAATCCTTGATCTTACAAGGGATATCAAATTTTATTACAATTGTTTCATATTTTTATGGATTCTGGACTATCCAAACATGCTCATTAGTAGGAAATTAAATATGAGCAATTCCATTTGCAAGAGTTTCTCTATCTTAAGTAGTGGTCTAATTAATTGTGTATTTTAATGAAGCCATTAAACCGCGAATAAATAATTATTATATTATATTAATAAAATGAAGAGGAATAAGGGTCAATCTCTCTTAGACAAGTGAAAACTTTAATCGAGGTTTTTCTTTTACATATGGAAAACCTACTTCTAATGTGTTTTTAGTTTATTGGCTAAGTTTTTCTTACTAGGGTGATGGAATAGCAGCAAAATAAATTGATTTTAATGCTATCTCAATTGTTTCTTATAAGAAGAGTTTATCATTAATTTTATCAATTTCCTAAATTTGAATTTAATATATTGTTCATAACCTTATTGTATTTTAATGAGCTCGATGGTTAATGTATATTCTTGTCTTTAATTAAGTTCAATATTGGTGTTAATTTATTGTGAGAATTAGAATGTAAATTGCTTTATCTATCATCTTATTTTCTGATCATAATCTATTTTCATCACTTTTGTTTTGGCAGAGGGATTTGTTATAAAACTAAATTTCCATTATTTTTCGTATTTGAGTTAATATTAAATTTAACTAAGATTTATCAATCTACTAAACCTTGTCAGATAATTGAAGATAAGAATGTAAATAAAGATGATGATTTTATAAGTAATTCGATTTCAGAATCGTTCTCATTAATCAAAAGATGACACTTTTTAGATTAAATAATTCAAATTTCTAGACAAATAATTCAAATAGGAAGGATAATTATTTAAATGAATATTTGGTTTCTAAATAATCGAAATCATTTTCATTATTATTATTGTTTAGATTCAATTAATCAAAAGGATAAAGCATATATTAAGTAAACTTAATATTATTGTTATGAATTTTATCAAATGAGCAAAGAAATTATGTGAAACATATAATCTAATAATTAATCTGTTGAAAAATCTGAAATGATAAATTTGATTTGGAGTTTTTTTTTTTATGATAATTATAAATTAATCTTTTGAGTTTATCAGATTATTAATACTGATTTTATGAAATAGAAGAAAGTATTTCAAGTTGATCGTGAAAGACTCAATAAGCTGAAAACAAAAGAATCAACTGCTTGCTTAGACTGGGCACTTAAATAACCTAACATAAATGAACTATAATCTACAATTTAATAAATGTCCTTTATCGAATTGCATTTAGAAATAGAAAATATTGAAATGTAAGGAGTTTGCCATATTTTGTGCAATAACTAAATGCAATTAAAATTCATTTCAATTGCTAATGGGTTATTAATATTTTAAGAAACTAATTGTGTTGTTTTGAGTGACTGTGTAATCTAGAAAAAGAAATTCCATTGTCATCATAACTAACTATTTTTGATTATAGTATAAAATCATGGAGGAAGACTTATCTTAATATTCTAGCATCCAATGTCATAAAAAGAATGGTTTAAGAATTTGAAATTATCAGCAAAACAAATCGATTTTCTTAAAAAATATAGAATCTAAGATAATATATGCTTAAATTTTTACTCAATATCTCATAAGAAGAAGAAGAAAAAGTTTGCAGCCTAAATTATCAATCGTAAAACTTTCAAATCCTATGATTAGTAAGAAATTGTTAATAATTATATTAAAATTTTGAGAAATACTAATATCTAAAACGTATTTCCTATCATTAGTATTTTCGACGATAATGATATTCTTTATCTCTTGACTGATTAATTTATTGGTAGTTCTTTTGAATAATTATTATCTAATCAAAAAACCATTGTTACCCAGGCGGATTTAGCATTTATAATTTTTTCTGTTCTTTAGAACTTAAGAAGCTTATAAGATGAAGATCTTTTTCATGGAAATTTGAATCTAGACAATATCATTATTGTTAATTAATCAGGATAGCTGGGAGTCTATGTAATCAATCCAATTTATAAAGTAAACTTTATTGTTTAAATTAGTTATATAAATAAAAGTAGATCGATTATTATCTTAACATTGTTCCTGACTATCTTCTTGCTCCTGAAATTAATGAGAATTAAACTCCTTCAGTTTGTAGCGACGTTTACTAATTAGGAATCATATTAATGTTAGTTAGCTTTTATAGTATATCGTAAAAACTAAATAACTCCTTTATTGAAAGAGTACTAAATAATAAAGAAATCTTGACATCTTAATAATAGATCAAGTTTTAAAAATGTCAAGATTCAGATTTTCCATATCTGTTTAGTGCGTGTTAATTAGATTTGATTATGTAAATGACTGAAAGCGATCCAAGTAAAAGAATCTAGGTCCAAGATGCATTAAAACATGCATGGTTTATTAATACTAAAGATAAAATCAAAACTCAAAAATAAAATTTTAACAGAGATCTGCCAAGTTTAAAAACTATTATAGAAATGGTCGAACAAAGCGATTATGACATCAAAAGAAAATCCCTTTAGAGCACAGCAATAAATTTTAAATTACCCCTACAAAAATACGAATTCAGCCCTTACGTCTAATAATAACCGGAATTAAGTCCTCTTAGAAAGACCTCAGAAAGTTTAAATGAAGTTCTAGATGAAGAGCATTAAATAAGCAATCTAATTGATTAATTGAACAACAAATAATATATAATGTTACCTTCATAATATAACCATTTCACTTAAGCCAAGAGTTAATTGAGACTTGTCTAAACTGAAAATAATTTAGATTAATTACATATTTGAGAATATCCAATCATATTTTAATGATTATAAATTTAAAATGTCATCGCTATTAGCTCTTTATAAATTATACTACAAAGATGTGTTATATAAATCCTAATATTCATATGCATATGTAGATAAAGGTTGATGCAAATATGAGTTTCAGTCACTCGATCAAAAAATACAATATAAAACAATAAAAAAACACATTAAAATGAGTAAACTCAATTTAAATAAAAACTAAAAGCGATTTTTTTGATTATGTTGCTGTTCCTTTGAATTAATTTTGTATCATAAAAAACTATTTTTATCAGAATCATTACGTTCATTCTATCTACTAAAGAATCCTTGAATTAATTCAAATTCTTAGCTTCGATATCATATGTTCATTTCGATTATGTTAGTTATATGTATTTTAAATTTCTAAAAGTTATTCATAATTAAATAAATGTTAAAAAAGTTAATTTAGTTTTTCTTGCTTTTGAGTAAAGTATATAAAAATTAATAAAATATAGAGACTAAATAAATGTTATTTTGAGTAAAGACCAATTTATATAAAATTCCACCATTAAAATTTTAACGTTTTATACATTTTGAAAAGAAAAATTAAATAATTTTATAATAATTTCACATTGAATGAATTAAAAATCCAATTTAAAACCATTTTTAAA